TCCTCCTCCTCCTCCTCCTCCTCTTCTTCTTCTTCTTCTTCTTCTTCTTCTTCTTCTTCTTCTTCTTCTTCTTCTTCTTCTTCTTCTTCTTCTTCTTATGTATTCTTTCGATTCTTAGTTCTGCTTGCATGCCAACAAACTACCATCAGGTTTGTTTCATCTGTATCATCGCCGATGTTCCTGGGAACGGGGTTTTGGATACAGAAACCGAGCATCGGCCGTTGAAGCCGGGGAGTGTGATGTAAACTAGTAATGGAAGTACCATCACACATCCAGACCTGCGCGCAGTTGAAAAGACCTCTCTTCTTCGCTTTGCCCAGACAGACTCGTAGTAATCAAAGCACAGGCTTGTCTTCAATTTCTGATACTGAGCGATTGCGACATGTCTACCTCACACCAGGTCTCAGGACACCATAGCTCCGCTACACCTCGATTCTCTCAAAAAAACCAAACCTCCCCTGCGGATCATACTTCCGCTTTAGCCCCCGCAGCCGCTCTAACCGCCACTTCTCATACCCATACACGGCCTCATTACTCTCGTCCCCAATCGCGTAGTTCACGTACGCCCCGAGCCTCTGGCCCGTCCCTGCGAGCATCGCCTCTCGCACTTTCTTGCCATAGCTGTACGCCAGCGCGTCCTGCGTCGCGTTGCTCGCATCGTAGGTGAAGGTTGGTGCGGCGAGGATGTTGCCGTCGCGCAGAGGGAAGGCGGTGCTGGCGGGGGAGACGAGTTTGACGCCGTTGGTGGCGTAGGCTTCAAGGAGCATGCCTAGGATGGGGGATCCGTCAGTTGAGTCAAATCAAAACAGGGGGCCGAGATATGTGAAGGTCATGTTGTAGACATGACGACTTCGTACTGGAGATACGGAGGGGGGAGAATACCGGAGGTGTCGAGCCCCGTGCCCGGCAGCTCCGCGAAGAGATTGAGGACGGTGCGCAGGTTGGCCGGGGACCATTCGACCAGGTCGACGGGGAAGGTTTGACGACCGAAACCCGAGGCGCAGTTTGGACCTGTAAGGGAGGAGCCTGAGAGTGCGTTTGCGCCGGCGAGGTCAGTGTAGTTGGATGTTACGCTGTAAGGTTTCAGAGCGTCGAGGGGCGCGCTGTATTTGGGCGGGAAGGAGGGGCCTTGCCAGAAGACGAGGAGTTGGATGATAGGTTTGGGGGAGATGGACGGATTGTTGAGGATGACGCCGAAGTGGGTGAGCTCGACAGGGCGGGATTTGGCGCGGATCCAGGTATTTAGCAGCGTGAAGAGGGGTTCGAGCGCTTCTTCTGTGAAAATGTAGACTTTGGTCGAGAAGCCGTTGTCTGCGGGGGTGAGGCGGTCGTAGAGTTGGTAGTGGACTGAAGTGACAACGCCGAAGTTGTGGCCGGCGCCGCGCATGCCTGTGGTGAGGATGGAGTCAGTATAGGTAGGAAGGTAGAGGTGGGAAGGAGGATTGAGGCGTCACGTACCCCAGAACAGGTCGGCGTGAGAGTTTGCAGAGACGGTTATTGCGGTGCTGTTGGCGAGGACGACGCGGTAGGAGACGACGTTGTCAATAGCGAGGCCGTATTGGCCTTGCATCCAGCCGTGTCCCCCTCCAAGAGTGACCCTCCAAACAAGGTCAGCAGATGCACGACTCTATGATTGTGATTGTGAGATCTCACCCGGTAAATCCTGTACAGTCGCAAGCGCCCGCAACGAGAGTCTTTCCAGCGGCCCAAGCGGTTCCGATAACTTCGCCAGACTTGGCGCCGCCTTGTATGTAGGCCACCGGACCCTTCTCGGTCCGCTTGTTGCTGATGGTCACGTTCTTCATACCGCGCATGTTGATCCCGATTCCGCCTTTGAAGTTGTTCAGCGTCTTGGAGAAGCCGTGCCCACCGTTGAAGACAAGGAATGGTACATTGCGTGCGTTTGCGTACGCAACCTACCCATGTCAACTCAATATTCCCTAGGTGTTCGAAATAAATACTTACTGTAGCCTGTACATCTGCCTCAGAAGTCACCTTGACGATGGCATCAAATGATGGATTGATGTTGGCTGCCCATCTTATCTTCGCATCATCAAAAGCCTGCGACCCTGGGGTGTAGATCCCAGCAGCCGGCGAAAGCTTAGGTATTAGGTCCTTAGAAAGGTCTCCGACGCCTGTTGCCGATGCGACGGCTGCAAGACAGAGCGCCGTGAGCGGTGTAGCTAACATAGTCACCTTGGCGTGCACCTCTTAATTAGTCAAGCAGAGGGTGAGAGATACCTAGTGTATGCTGCGGCGATGCTGCAGGTACATCTATATTAGAGAATTAGACTGCATATCTGATGTGTGGCGACTTTTTGTGGTGCTGAAGGGTGCCTTCAGGATGGTCAGACTATGTCCGAAAACATGACTGCGGACTTCGCGTCAGCTATGTGGTGCGCCCTTTCGACGAACGAAGCGTGTGACACTTTCTCAACTGGCTCGCATCTTTTTGTCTAGATGATCCGTAGACATGGTTGGCGTTCGGAAGCCATGTGTGGTGAGGCAGCTCCTGGTACTCACCGACGAATTTTTCCGGCGCCGAAAACCGAGACTCCCGGCGAGTTGTGGAAGCAAATGGCTCAGACTGATCATCAGTCCACTTCAGCGGTTCCTACGTTTGCTTTTCCGAATGCTGGCCTACGTTGGTACGGGTCGGCAACTGGTGTGGTAATTAATACGCCAATGAAACATACCATTCACCTAGAAGCACCGTTCTGTTGGTGCATTTGTTGTGGAGGTGCGTAAATGGTGTGTATACACATGCCATGAATAAATGCCGAGTGCTGGGTTGGTACCTGTTGCCTGTTATGCAGAAGTGAATTCAAGCGCAGATTTGCGTATTTTCGCATTGGTTCTCAAAGCATTCCTAAGGTCGAATCCAGAGCACTGTGCATACAAGCAGTCTCTCTTGTAATGATAATTCGAAAAGGTCTGGTAGTCTCCATTCCTTAAAGCCATCGTGTAGTATGCAGCGAGGCAAACATTACTTGCTCGGATGTGGCTTCACCATAGTAATGGAGACGACGATTTTCGGTAAACTCAATTGATGTACAATCGTTTATCAAGATATGGAAGGCAGTCTCCTGGAGGGAAACTCGAAGCTGACCTCTCCCATTGCGGATGACGCAGCGTTGTTTCGATGGGACCGACGTGTCGCATCGCCTAACATCCTTGGTGAGCCAGTGCTTGCTAGTATGGCCATTCATGCTGTGTTCCGAGCCTTGGGGATCTTGAATCATATTTAGGGCCAATTAGTGACGCGTGATTCTCTTCGGTTATGATCTGGAGCAGGAAAAGAAGGCTACAACCGTACTGTGCAGCTCCGGAAGAACTGCGTGCAGCAGCGCAACAAAAATCCTGACGCTCGTCGCAACAGGGTAGCCAGTCAAACTGTTCGGATGAGGTGATATCACATCCCCGGGAATGGAGGATGGGCACTTCAAGTTAAACCATTGCGATTCCGCGCACGTGGCACAGCACGTTCAAAAGGCCGACGCAGAGGGAAGATGGGATAGCTGATGTATGTCGATTTCTTAGCTTATACATCCTGGGCGCTTCTTGTTCGCAGTGAGTGTTATCTAAACGACATCTTGACGGAACTCGCGAGTCATGGTTGCGATGTAATGGTCAGGTGATGGTTGGGAGGGAAGTTATGTAAGCGTTCTAGGGCTGCCGCATGTCACGTGCGATCCTGTCGCCCGCGGGTGCTTCAGACTGGACGAGTCCGTCATATGTCACGTGCTGAGTTGTGACCCGTGGACCCGTGGACCCGTGGATCTCAGCCTGGTCAGAACACTGGAGATTCTTCTCGCCTCGGGTCCCCTGCGCAAATGTTCATTGTTGTAGCTCTACTTAGCGACCGCCACGCAAAAGACTCTAAAGACAGAGCACAGATTATCAAACAACGCTTGTCAGTTAATCAAGGCACGTTTTCGATTGTTCGCGATATAAGCTCCGACTTCATCAGAGCTCGAAGTAGGAATTCTTTCGCTCATAACCATCATCAATTTTGAGTTCCATTCAAGCTGGGCGTTGACAGACAGGCACATAGCACCTTAGCTTGCTTCCTACTGATCGTACAAGATAAAAAGCTCGTTCTAACGATAATGCCAATTCTGGTCGCGAGAGGATTTTACGAAGTATATCGCTACGATACGAAGTGCGTATACCCGGTCTCTAGGTAAAGTCAAATTTGTTTTTACCGAAATTGGATCTAGCCAGCAAGAGCGCTGCCGAGAAAATCACTAGAAACCAGAACAGATGCAGCATGCACGTTAGAGCACTATACCTTCTGGTACCATGCTGTACGACGTGCAAAGCTCCATCGCGGCCTCCGACAAGCTAAAGGTCCAACTTTTCACCATTATCAGCATCACGACCGCCGATGGTCAGGTTGGTGTACAGTAAGGTCTGTGCCATACAACTAACGCTGGGACTACGTAATGTTAATCTCCACATCGCTGCGCCACAACCCTCGATATTCCGCCTCTTGGAGACGGCTCTGGGGGCCAATATTACCGTACATCCGTCCCTAGGGCCATATAGCTTACCAAGTCCAAGGCCCTCGGTCTGGAAGGGCCCTCATGCCGAGGTGTATCGACGATAGCGCCGAGGAACATTGATATTGGCGCGAGGGCGATGAGAATTGCTGCATTCGCTTCTGGCAACTATCTACTGTAGTGCCATGTGCTAGAGAAGACTGATCGGCTGGCTGTCTGATTCGGTCATCGTGCCGAAGCTTCACAAGCACCCTGTTCACCACAAGCATTCGAAAACGCAGAGGAATCGATAGGGATACCGGGGATGAAACAGCAAAATCCAGAGTGCTTGCATGTCAAAGCCTCTACCCACGTTGCTTTTCTCCACGGCCTTCGTGGGTACCAGAGGCACCAGTGTTCCCCGCTATACAGTTGCTTTTTCCTTCCCAGCAAAATAATCGCTACGTGCGCCCCACCCACGCATCGGACGCATCCAGATGCGCTGGACTGTATGGAGGTTATTATAAACCGAGAGTCAGGATCCTGGGCGGACGCTGTGACCGATGCATTAGCGTACGGAGTTCGATTGATAGCCGGCGATAGTTCACGACCAATGCCATAATGACGCAAAGGGGCATGCACTGCCAGCGTGGAAGGTGGTAATGGTGCTTGCAAGCACTGCGAGACCACTTGAATAGTTGTGCCTACGATCGGTAGTTTCGATGCGGCATGGGGTCGCTATGATTGATAAATTGGTAGGACAGGCGCGCGCGGAACGCGTTCATTGGTTAGGCCGCCATCGGCTGTTACCGCAGTGGCCGTTCGCATGGGACTGTGCAGTATCCGATTGGTGTGCTGCTACGCTCGGGATAGCCGTTATTGATTTGGACCACCACGTGTAAGGATGTGAACCCTGGATTGACACAAGGAGGAAGGCCGTCATTTGAACCAGCCTGTTGAAGGGGCCGAAAGCAGATCGTGCATGCAGACGAATCATTTCATGGCATGCATACGCTAAGCACGGAACATGAGGGTCCTCGCATGCCATGACCTTGTAGGGTATCTCCGCGTCCAGCCCTGAGCTTCTGTACATATCTATACTTCGGCGCCACTGTGAATTCACTCCAACATGTGCGACCAGCAGCGAGGGTCACAACTATCTATCCATCTGTAGGTCAATATTCTTACGCACCTATAATATGTATTGACAAAGTGTAGCCACCTTCGAAAGCAGGCCTGAGAATTCGAGTCCTTGCATTCCGTAAATCAAGACCCACATCAGTATGGCAACTTGTCAGCAAGATTCGCCTATGCAGCGAAGTGTCTGCGTACCAGGAGAGGGGCGTGTCAAGTTGCGATCCTCTTGCGACGGTATACTATCTCTCAATGCGTACCCTGTCACCAGCCTGCTTACTTTGCTCAGCTTGCTCAGCCGCAAAGGTGAAATGTGATAGCCAGGTCCCCTGTGAACGTTGCCGAGACAATGCCGTCCATTGCTTCTACAGTCCTTCTAGACGCCACGGGAAGCAGCCTTGGGCAAAACGAGTTGCGAGTCAACACCAAAGATTACAATCGACAATGCATGTCCACCCTTCGCAAGCGCCATCCATGGGCTCCTTTCTAGCTTTCCAACCCAACCCGGGAGGTGGCACATTTACAATGCCATCGGTGTTACCACCTGGTGTACCGACAAGTCAAATGAACAGCACCCCGTTCGTAAACGGTCCAGCTGATGGTACATCGGCGGATCACTCTTTCAACGTCACCAACAATCTCCAGTTCCAGGACCCGTGGCTAGGAGTGTCTGCCAGCGCTGCGCCAGCACATTCTTCGAGCCCGGCAAGTACTTCCACGCTAACCATGTCAGAAGCAAGTATGTCACCACTGCTTGAGCCGGCTTTCCAACCCCCGGTGCATGACTGCGAAGCTAAAGCTCTTGCCATGCTCCATTCTTTGCATATGAAGTCCGCGGAGCATCCAACATCCGGGACTCACTCTTCGCAGCAGTTGCCTCCGCTTGACAAGATCTTGCATACCAATCGGATGGCCGTTAGCACGTTGGGAGATCTATTGCAATGTCACTGTGCCCAACAACCGCATCTTGCACTTTTGTACATGGCCACTATCTCAAAAGCCCTTTTCTGGTACCGACTGGCGATCAACTTGTCTTTCAAATCCTCCACTCAACTCCACGGAGTCCGACATGAGCCGTTGTCACCGCAGTCACATACTGGACCATTCTCTATGTCTCCAGGACCCAACACGACCACTTCCGCCACCAACACCATGTCGAACCAAATCAAGGAAATCCCGAGAGGGAGAGCGCGCTCGAACACTATCCAGATCGGCTCGTTCGACTTAGAGGAAGAAGACGAGGCAATATTAGTGCGCAGTGTAGTTGTGACGGAAGTCAAAAAAGTAGCTCGTCTGGTAGATTTCATGAGAAGCGGTGGTATACAGACGAACATCACCAAAGAGCACGGCGAAGATAGCTTGAGCGTAGGCTCCTGGTACAGGGCCGGTGGTGAAAAGCTGGACAGGGAGGTACAAGACACATTGCAAGAGGCTAGAGGATCCGGTAGAATTGCGACTAATTTCGACCCATATGCGGGAGGCAGTGAACAGATGTGGTCGGCTTGAATTCAATTGAAGGATCCATAGCCAAGTCGGGCATTTGTTGACACTCTTGCAGGTGCATAGAGGCGAGGCAGCTTATCCCGAGATGTCTTTTATCCGCCTATCAGGCTCTTGTGTCGGTCGCTTTATCGTTCAATGAACAATAATGTGCGGAGCCATGCTTCCGTTATCATCAGTCCGGATTTACCAGGAGCGAAGGTTGAGAAACTGCATGGTAATCCTCAGCAGCATCATCGTGTGCAGGGTCCAGATGCAGGGTCGCTCATACGGGAAGGATGGAGCTTGTGAAAGAAGGAGCCCCGTGCGTTGAAGGATCGATGCGATGCGCAAAAGCAAGGAGATCAGAGGGATCCTCCTAACGCCACGCCACGCGCTAAACGGGACTAATGACAATGAGGTCCAACAATAATCCTAGTGAAAGCGTTAACTCCCGGTCCTCTTATCCGTCTGCTTCCTCTAGCAGCATTGTCCCATACATACAAGGTCCTTCAGGAGCACCTTGTAGCAATCCGCGCACAGCTTCAACACAGACTTCCTCTGATACCGATACTGTATCGCCGTTATTTAATTTGCTCTCGTCAGGTGAACTACTTCGACTCTGAGGGGCCGAGCACTGGTTCCAGCCGCAAATGTGCGGCTCGCAATGACCCTAACATACAAGCTCTCTCGATAGACGACGGAAGGACATGGCACGCCAGTCTACATATACCTATCGAAGGCCCAGTGGCCTGCGGATCATGGAGACGTGGTTCATGAAGGCAAGGCGACTGGACAGCCTTGCGTGGACCAGCATCCTTCGACGCAACACCAAGCGCATTGATTATGTGCAGCTTCTAGCGCGGCTAGATGATATCAAGTAGCACTCGGTTGGCGGATGATCGACTCCCCTTGCGGCGCGGTTCGTGAACGAGGAGAGCGGCACGTTGCTCTCGATACTGCACAACAACTGTGCTTCGTTTTCCGGATAGCGCAGCGTCGATAGCATTTCACGCCGCTATCAGTGGACTAGGACATTACCAGGAAGGCTGCAATCAATGTATCTGCGCTAGCTGCGGGTGCTCGAGCCCACATGACCGACTGTCGTTAACTTCAGAGCAATCGGAGTATTTCCCCCGCAAACTCAGCTGGGTACAAGCTTGTGAGGTCTTTCTTCTGCATGAAGGTGATGGGAAAGGAGCATTGGAGTGCTTTCGTAGTTGGCTAGGACAATCTCCACCAAGCCATCTCAACTTCCTCGCGCCTGTTTCGTCCTCAACCAAGGGGTCTCTACAAGGGGCTACCATGCCTCCGCAAAGCACACGTTCTTACCAACTCAACTAACGAGGGGTACGTTGCGATTGTATACACACGTTGCCTATTGGATTGCTAGAACGGCTGCGTCCCAGAGGCACGATCAAATATCTTTCTGAATCCTGCCTATGTAGAGGTATGCTGCAAGTAAAGCGCGGAGGACTCACGCACCAAAATCGGCATACCGAAGGATTGCAATCAACAGACCTTGCCCTCACTTGGCTAGTAGCCATCCTTCGTGGGGACACAGGGCCCAGGCACGCAGATCGGCCCCTCCAACACGCCCTTGCAAAGACCTTCCAGAGAGAGCTCAGGGGCATGATGCCATATTTCATGTGAAACGATCTCAGAAATAGTCTGTGAAACTCGCATTGTCGTCCTCACATGTACAAGGCCTCGCTACCACACTGGACTGTGAATGAAAGCAAGTATGCGACAAAGAGAGCCTAGTAGAGGGGCGCAGCCAAACTAGGCTAGGATTTACTTACAGCGAGATAAGTTTTGTCCGATTCTATCAGTGGAACATGAAAAGAGAATTTCTATGCCTATAACCAGTCTACTCCTTCTTGTACCCATGTTCAGCCTCCACAGCCATATAGGCTCTTACCGCGCTCCGAATCCCCTCCTCAACACTGACTTCCGGCCGATATCCCAACCGCTCTTTCGCCTTCGTGATATCAAATGTCCGGTTCATCGTCAGATACTTGGCCATTAGTCTGTTCATGTGGGATTCCCTTCGACCAAGACTCGTCGTCCACACATGCTATCCTGCAAACACAGCCATACAGTAGAAGAGCCAACCCAGGATTAACCAAATATCTTCTTTCTTGGTAGAATCTCCAGCAGAAGCACCAAAAGTTCGGATAAATTCCCAGAACGGCCATGGTTCGTCATTGTTTGTGAAGAAAGCCTCTCTGTCCATGCGTTGTCTTCGTTTTCGGGCCTTGGGGGCACTTTCGGGTCGACTTTTAGTAGAGCCTCAGCAGCTATCAGATGAGCTTGAGCAGCGTTGCAAATGTAGGTCCAGTCAAACATGTTCTTGCCGTCACCGAACTGCACCCGATCTGTGTCGGCATCGCGTTATCGCCCTCGCTGGGAAGTGCGGTGCCTCTGATAACCGCCGTACACAGCCCGTTCCGTCTGTTGGGCCCTAGCACTAGTTTCTCTGCTTCAGCCTTTGTATAAGTGTAGTAGACAGGCTGCTCGGACTTGGGACAGTAAGGCATATCCTCCGTTGCGAACACAAGATCGGTCATGTTGGAGTGGATGGCGGAAGATGAAGTATAGATAAGGGTTTTCGTTACGCCCAAGTCCAGGATGCATTCAATAAGGTAACCAGTTCCTTTTATGTTGACATTTCCGAAGATTTACGACGTGTTGCGTTGGCCTAGCATTGAAGGCGATGCAGTGTGAAACACCATCATAGGCTTGGTCGTTTCCAGGACGTCATGAATGTCCTGGGGGCTTTGTACCGATCCTTTCACATATTTAACACCGGGCAGTCTTTTTTTATCTATGCTGACATCGAAGACTGTAATAGCGGAAGCTCCGGCTGAGATGAGGGTTTTAAGATGTGGTGGCTTAAGCTGCCACATCCTCCAACAACCAAGACAGGATCCATTGCGGCCACTGTGGAAGAAGAGTTCGAGAATGTCTCAGTGGATGAAGTTGCATCCACAGCTTTTTGCAGAAAGGAAAATCAATGCGGTGCGCAGTGATAGGGCGTTTATGGGCTGTGCTGCATAGGTGGTGTATAACACCTTTGCGCATCGGATTGCACCTCTGTAGCGTAGATTCTACGCTTTACATGTGAGGGTATCAATAGCGGAGGCGTAATTGGCTCATCGCAGTGATTTGAAATGGAAATTACCTGCTATACCTTATATGGAGAACGCTAGAGGGATCCAAATCGACGTGCAAAGGTCCTTGGACATAGGCTCTTGAACACCGGTTTAGTATTAGGCTAATATACTTATCAACGAGTAATGTCCCTAAAATTGATCACATCAATCGTGATTTGCTCAAAGTAATTCCAACAGTCGAAGCTTAGTATGAAAGGAAAGAACGCATGCTTCGCATAGTAAGAGCATCGAATCCTGAACAAGTGACGTTGCGCACGTGCTCTAATTCATCGAAAATGCTCTTTCCTTATCGACCTTGGATTGCTTTGTGCGGGAAGCATTGCTCTCTGAAGACTCAGGCACGCCACGATTTTCATGTTCATGTGTAAGCTTAGAAATGGGGTTATAGCCGTTGGCGGCATCGTCCCATCAAGGATGTGGATCTATGAAACCGATTTCGCAGTAGCGATGTTGTCTGGAATGTGAAGGAGCTAATAAGAGGCGGATTGGAAATACGATGGACATCCATATATGACTTATTAACATTTTTTTCGAGGAAGAGAAGATGTTCAATGGAAGACCCAGTTGTTGCCTCATAGTTTCGAGGAGTCCAGGGAGGCTAACGATCATATACCCGAAGCACTAGACAGATCGATGCGCACCAATGGGCGACTACCAATGGTAGGATCTGATCGTGTTGGTGAAGCCGCGGGAACTACTCTAGCTCCAGGGTCGAAGTCTAGAAACTGAAATTGTGTACAATCTACCCCGCATAGCTACTCGACGGAGGCAACATCTGTATGGCGGAGAGCAACCCTTCGGTGAGAAGGAAGCTAGCTTCTGCGGGGTTTCTTACATCGCGCACTTAAATATGTGGCAAGCATGGAATGAACCAACATTTACTTCCCCAACTTTCTTGATAGCAGATTCATCTTAAACCACGCACAGCCAACAATGAATGGAACGAAATTCATAACCTGTCCGGCAAGCCACCATCGGATTGAGAACATTCACAATGGGAAAGTGGCGAGCGGGACTGTAAAGGCTGGAGGCCAGGACAAACCTGCGCCGGGGAGATACATCCGCTGGGATGCGGAGGGCGTGGAGAAGATACAGCCAGGGGAACAGGAGAAGATCCAAGCCGTTTCAGATCAATTCAATCGCTTCCAGATGATGAACTTCAATGAGCATATGCACTGCTTAAGAGGAACACATTTGAAGACCCAAGGTTGCGTGATGGGAAGATGGTGTGTGCAACCTGATACTGCACATTCATGGAAAATGTACTAACTCATGGGTAGTGAGGCTTCGAAGTTAGTGGGAGATAAGTCTTTCAGTCGCTAACATTCGTTCGCAGGCATCGTGCACGACAACTTGCCTCCTCACCTTGCCCAGGGTATGTTCAGTAAGCCTGGAGCATACGACGTGATCATGCGATATTCCTCCCTTACGCCCAAGCTCGTACCCGACAGTATCCCCGCTCCGAGAGGCATTGGGATGAAAATCTTCGGCGTGGAGGGTGAAAAGCTATGGGGAGAAGATAAGAGGACGCAGGACTGGACATTCAACAACTATCCAGTCCTGGAACTCCGGGATCCAGAAACCACGCACGATATCGCCGATTCGCTGGAGCGGAACTGGAACGACCTGGGTACTTTTGCAGACGAGCAGTCGAAACGTGTGGACGCCGATGTAGCGACGCTCGGAAGTCAGCTGCCAAAACAACACAGTAAGTGGATAATACTGTCTTGATCCTCTCGGCTGGTCGTTAACCCGTAAAGTGGTTGCAATGCCAGAGTATTCTCAATCCGCATATCGCTTTGGAGATTACGTAGCTAAGTTTGGTGTTTTTCCCCTCGGCGAGGAGCAGAAGAAGCTCGAAGACACTGAGATCAAAGAGTCCGATCCCATCAACATCATTTCGCAAGAGCTACGAAGCTTCCACATGAAGAATAAGGTGACCTACTCGTTCTGCGCCCAGCTCCTCCAAGATTTACGTGAGCACCCGGTCGACGACATCGGCATCGAATGGGACGCGAAAAAGTACCCTTTCGAGCAAATTGCAACGTTGGAGTTCCCGCCGCAGGACAGCTGGCTACCCGAGCTCCGAGTGTGGTGGGATGACCGGATTACGGTGAACAGCTGGCACGGGCTCAAGGTACATCAGCCGCTGGGCAGTACCAATCGCATGAGGAGGGTCGTGTATGCCGAGAGCAGGAAGCTAAGGCTGAGGGTCAACGGCCATGAAGACTATGTTGAGCCTATGGGTCTGAATGAGGTTCCTGTCCCTGTTCCGACGCCGCAGTTACCGTTGCGACACCAGCATGCATTGCAAACTACCGAGGTTGCTTGATGCGATTTTTCTTCCTCTTCCCGTCCTCTCTTCTTTGAGTCCGTATCAAGGTTAGTTGATAATCCTCTTTAGCGGGCTTGAGCACTTGCCGCAGGGCGGTTCGGAAGACTAATACGGTAAGGTTTCCGAGGTCGTGTTGTTCTCCAGATGCCTTTGACAAAAGGAGATTCCCCTGCAAGTGATCGGAACCCGTTCCGAGAATCCCATGGTCGACGGTACATGTATGTTATCTTGTTACTTGCCATTTCACATGCAATTCGAGCCAGATGGCGGTGTCAATTGTTTCGCATCTCGCTTCTTCAAATTGGTTCATTGGGCTCTTCGTAGACTCGAGATCTTCGCGATCTGCTTCTGCCTCTGCTCTTAACAGTCTGCACACATGAACCGCAAACAAGAATTCGCGGCGATGCGCCTAGCAGGATGCGGCGATACGGTCCGTGGGCCAAGGGTAAAAAATGGGGAAGGCTGGGGATCTCGGAGGTTGTACCTGGTTGACGGTTGTGCGTCATTCGCTGCAGCTGTCGATGCTCGATGTAGAAGTACTCTAACCGTATGAAGAAGGAGGAATCGTCGGCGATAATTCTCCCGTCTGAACATCGTCAACGGGCGTGGCCTTGGCTGTCAAACCCTATGTACGTTACCCCACAGACTGTGGAGCCTGAGCTTTGTACCCCTCACGATCGGCCTTTTTAGGGAATGCAGCCTGCAGAGGAATTTTCCACGATATATAGGTACGGCATGGGGCCGTTGGTCACGATGCATCGTTCCTCGATCACTGCTCACCATGGGTGTCTTTCGTGCGGTTGTGTTATCGGCTCTACTTGCCACAGTCTCCGTTGGCCAGGATGGTAGGCTTTGAACCGCTTGTATACTTGCGCTCAGCACTAACAAATTCTAGCTATATCCGCTGACGGTACCAATTTCACTTTAGGTGATTGCACTGTTTGTGTATCTGCGCTCTGAATTGACATGATTTAGCTGGTGACAACGTGTCGTACCTTTTCCACGTTGACACCGAGTCAGGCGAACTCATCTCCGATCATTATGGGGCGCCGGTTGACGACTTCACCCCACCAGCTTTTGTGCTGCCATGGGGCTGGCACGACAACTTGGCGAACCTGCGGAGAGAGTTCCCTGATGTCGGTCGGAGTGATCCACGACTGCCTGCAATTCATATTGAACACCCGGATGGAGATACTGTGACGGCTTTGCTTTACAAGTCACATCAACTTGTCCAGGGCAAACCTGAACTACCTGGGTTGCCTGCCACTTACGGAAACGACAGCGATGTTTCGACACTTCAGGTGCACCTGTATGATAATGTGTCAGATGTCTCGGCTGTGCTCTCTTACTCGATATTCCCCAAGTACAATGCGATCGCGAGGAGCTTCAGCGTCACCAACAACGGAACTGGAAATATCTCAATCGAAAGAGCAGCAAGTTTCAGCACCGACTTTCCCAATGTCGATCTAGACATGATCGAAGTGCAGGGTGATTGGTCGCACGAGTTTAACAGGGTCAAGAGGAAAATTGATTACGGGGAGACTACTTTCCGAAGCACTGAGGGGTTCGGTTCTCATCTCCACAACCCCTTCTTCGCACTGGTATCTCCTAGCACGACCGAAACTTCTGGTGAGGCCTGGGGTTTCAATCTGGTTTGGACAGGCAGTTTCGAGGCGACAGCCGAGAGGTTCTCCAATGGCTTTGTTCGCGTTCTCTTCGGGCTCAACTCGCTCCATACAAGTATCCAAGTCAAGCCCGGAGAGTCCTTCCAGTCTCCAGAGGCAGTATCTGTATACTCTGCAGAGGGTGTGAATGGAATGTCACGGTCTTTCCACGATTTGTACAGGAACCACCTGTCACGTGGGAAGCAAACTCACAAGACACGACCCATCCTGTTGAACTCTTGGGAAGGTCTTGGCTTCAAATTCAACCAGACATCCCTAGTCAGACTGGCAGGCGAAGCGGAGAAGCTTGGTGTCGAACTCTTCGTCAACGACGATGGTTGGTTCGGTGTCGAATACCCACGCCAAAACGACACACTTGGACTCGGAGATTGGACGCCGAATCCGCAGTACTTCCCCGATGGTCTAGGCCCTTACGTGGCACAAGTTAACAACCTCACTGTTTTGAACTCTTCTCAGCCCATGCAGTTTGGTATCTGGGTCGAGCCAGAGATGGTCGACCTGAACTCGACGCTGTACAACGAGCATCCTGACTGGGTTCTTCATGCAGGCAAGCACGCAAGGACGCTCACGAGGAACCAAATGGTCCTCAACGTGGGTCTTCCAGAAGTCCAAGACTTCATCATCAACACTGTCTCGGGTATCCTAGATTCAGCCAACATCCAGTACGTGAAGTGGGACAACAACCGCGCCATGCACGAATTGTCCCAGCCTTCCGATTCATACAACTATATTCTCGGTCTCTATCGGGTCATCAACAATCTGACCACGCGCTACCCGGATGTACTCTGGGAAGGCTGCGCCTCTGGTGGCGGACGTTTCGATGCGGGGCTTCTCCATTACTGGCCTCAGCACTGGACCTCAGGTGAGTTGCCATAACACTCCTTAACGAATTTCGACTTCCATGGCCACTGCCCTGTTGTTGAGCTTAACTAACACCTCTGCAGACAACACAGACGCTTCGGACAGACTCACAATACAGCTTGGCACGTCCCTGGTGTACCCGCCTTCCGCAATGGGCTGTCACATCTCGAAGGCACCCAACGGCTTCAACCAGCGCAACATTTCCATCGAATTCCGCGGTCACGTCGCGATGCAATGCGGCTCCTTCGGGCTCGAGCTCAACCCGGAAGAGCTCACTGAGCACGAAGCCGCAGCCATACCCTCGATCATGGCGGAGGCAAAGAAGGTCAATCCAATTGTCATCTCTGGCGAATTCTACCGCCTGGCGCTGCCCGACAACAGTGCTTGGCCTGCGACACAGTTCGTCTCTGAGGACGGCAGCGAGAGTGTCGTGTTTGCTTTCCAGCAGAAGTACACCGTGAAGCCTGCTGCGCCGGCCGTCAAGCTGCAGGGTTTGGACCCTAAAGCGAGATACTCTAATGACCTTGATAATGGCACGTACACTGGTGCGACGTACATGAATGGCGGTATCAACATACAGTGGGATAGGGCGGATTACCAGAGCAAGCTGATATGGCTGAAGAAGCAGTAGATTACGATTGTAGATCAATCAAAGGATGGTGACTAGCTAATCATTTTATCTAACAGAAACTGAGTCTAACCCTGCCATCACATATTGTAGCTCACTTTCCGTTGCCACTCATCCAAGAGATGTCAATCTCAGGCGTGCGCGTTGCAGCCCTTGGACAGGCAGTGATAGGTGTAGAGATAGGCATAGCAGGAGCAGATGATACAGGTACCTCGAAGCCTAGCGGCGGGTGGAACTCGTCTGACAGCTCGATGATGTCCCTGTAATAGTCCGGAAGGCGTCCTCCGCAATGATGGTGATGCCAGTGGTGATGGAGTTGATCGTTCCAATCGCCGTCACCCCAATCGCCATCGTCCCAGCCGCCGTGCTCCCAGTCATCCCAACCGCTAACATCACACTCCTGGTGACTCCCCTTGTAATCCCAAGGAAGACCACGCTTCCAATCATGACCAACGGCTATTGGCCTGTCATCGTATTCAGACCATTGATCGTCGTGCAAGTGAATGCCCCAGTCCCATTCAGTTGGGTTCCGGCCCCACATCTGCTTCATCTTCCGCAAGATCGTCCGTTCATTGCGCACCGAGTCGATGTTCGGGCAACATATGTATGCGTAGTGTTGTGCGCGCTGCTGAAGACACCCGCGTAGGACTGGCTCAAATCATAACTTTCGAAGCTGCCGCGAGCGAATCGTTCATTCCAATACCTAATCTTGCCGCCAGTCTGCTCCCCAACTACCTTCCAAACGTTGGCGCCGACATCCCACCGACCGAGACGGTGCAGGCCCCAATTAAATTCCACCGTAGAGTGCCCCGGATAGTGGTTGTAGTAGGCATCCTCAATTGTGCCGACATACAGGGAGGAACGGCATCGCCAAGTATGATTCCGGCAACGCGGTTGCGAGCGGATGATCCTGGCTGTCGGCCTGCCAAGTAAGGTAGACGAGGGCATCATCATCGAAGTAAGGATCTCTTAAGAGAGGTTCAATAAAGCCACGTGCCCAGGCGCGAGAAACAGAGATGTTAGTGTCGTGGCCGTCGTTGTTGAGATAAGATATCAGGAAAGGCCAATGAGGAAAACATTGTTCTCGAGATCCTCGTAGAACCTGGCAAAAGTCAACATGCGTCACGCAAAAGGTCGAAATGAAGGATTGCGTATGACGTACAATGTCTTGTTCTTGACGCGTGAGGCGCGATTGGGCGCAAGCCTGGTGGACTCGAAGCGAGCAAGAAAGTTATGTTTGCGCTCGTAGTTGCCCTCGATGGGATTCTCACAACAGAAATCCTGGAATCCAGAACAAGGAAAACGCTCGTGGTAGTTGCTCCAGCTGATGCCTCTATCTTCAAGAAGATCGATAGTGGTAGAAACGTTCTTATCGACGAGAAATAAGCTGCCGCTGTTCAAGCCGAAGGTATCACTACTAGCAAGAGCAATGTAATTGGGTTGACTTGAGGCTCCGACCCCATACCCTTTGAGCAGAAGTATGATCTGGGTTGTGGCGAGTCTTGACCGATCGATCGCGCGTCAAGCTTCAATAAATTAGTAAAGCGTTCCAAAAGACGGAGACTTAGGAATTGACATACAACCTTCGCTGTATGGACTATTTTGCCATATCCACCTCAGGCCACCCCGTCATTCTAAAGGCCTCATCCCAATGAGGTCGGAACATAGCTTCGTCATTCGGGATGTTCAGCCAGAGTACATTCTTGAGCCGCGCAACCACATCTTCCCACCCGCTTAACGCCATGGAGGTGGCTATTAATGCAGTTCGACCGGCGAACCACGAGTATTCGGCGGTTCCTGCTGAGGCAACGAGCCCAACTGCGTGCAGCCACAAGTCTATCTCATCGTAGACACGGAATTCCGACTCGAGTTGCTCGAGACCAGCGATATATCGAGTGACTACATCTCGCAGTATAACGGCATGAGAGTAGTATGTTGGCCCTTGAAGAATGAACATGTATGATACAAGCGCATAGCGAATGCACTCGGAATATGGCGTTGGAGGCCTTTGTGCATCTGTAGTGGCTGCGAGAAGTCGATGAATGACGAAGCTAGCCAAGTCGTGCAGACGAGTAGGCTGCAGTGTTGTGCGATTTGCTTGTCGGAAGACATGGTTCAGCCGCATGAAGACATTCTTGGTGACTTTATCACAATAGTCTTCACCGATGTACCACGTATCTCCAGTTTGGTCTGCAGGATCCAACTGCCACTCTGGTATTGGTGGAATGCCGCTTCCTGTGCCAAAGTCATCCTGGGTCTCAAATTGCGGCTCCCGCGTGATAAGCATTGAGACCCTGTCCGAGATCAGCCAGAAAACGATAATGCGTGACGGTTGCTTACCAGCTCACCATCCTCGCTGTGAGCGGGCTTGTTTGCCTCACGGCGTTGATGCCGCCCCTGAGATTGACGAGTCTCTTGACACCGTCAACGTGCATCTCGCCGATTTTAAGGTTACCCTTGCCAAACTAACGCATTGAATTAGCATACGTGTCAATTCGATCGGGAGTCAAGACGCTTGTCTCACTTCTATTGCGGCGAGGGTTATCACGGAATTCATGGTACCATCCTGTACGGCCAGCGACGTGTCTTCGACTTTCCGCCGAAGCAGCGCAACTGAGTCTGCCATCAATAGTTCCGATGTCTGGAAGCCCTTCTGGGCCCACAGCTCCTCGTCAAGACACGCTGTCTGGAGGGAGACATGGAATAACGCGGGATCTCCTAGCGCAAGTGGCCTATCTAGTAAGCAAATGGTGAAGAGTGGCTCAATAACCAATGTTCATGCTAGGTCAACTCACCACCATGATACTAAAAAAGGGTTCGAAGTTGCGCTAAGATCTAGGGGGTAGTACTGAAAAGCGATTTTGTTTAGGACTAAACTGTTTAGTTAAGCTCCGGGATGTTCCATTATCGGTAGTTCACGTACACCCATGGATGAGTCGCTGAACGTGTTCTCGAGGCAGTCGGGTCTGCGGATATGAATCAAAGGGGTCCATATCTAACGATCCAGGTCGGTAATGGGTCAACGTTGATATGGAGCCCTCAGGTGATGGCGTCGTCATATCATGGTGCCACTTTGACGCGTTCGTCAGCCCTGTCAAGGGCTCATTTGCGTACACGCATCTGGCATTGCGCTTTTCGCATCGCGAACACCGTGGCAACCGTAGATCGCAACCGAGCTTCGACTTGGCACACGCGGCGCATGACCGGCGAAGCGTATGGCCCATTGCAAGATAGTATGAAGCCCATGCGAGTATCTTCTGGGTGCGAGTATTCGGGATGAAGAGTCGTAGGAAGGTCAGAGGTGTGACCCAAGCCCTTTGCGCTTAACCCAAATTGGGAAAGTACTCTTTTTCTGCATCTAGAAAGGGACTAACCTCCGAAGTGGATCACGCTTACATTGTGACTTCACCCTTCTTACGATTTCTCAAGCCTTCCTACGCACGAAATTGTGCAGGACTTTGGTGGCTGTCCTCACATACGATGCTGTTGTCCGGGTCTCATGTGCAGGCTGCTTTCCCACGCCAAATTCTGTACCTTAGGTCGACATTGCTTACTCATCCTCGTACGAGGCATAGTAACATGCATATCTCCCTCCAATGGATCGAGCAGTGCGTCGGATGATCGCAGACCCATCTTCAACCCCTCGATATGCTTTCATGCGCTACTTACATGTTCCTTTTCCTTAAGGTCCGTGGTCCAACGGAGTCTAGTCTCTTTCTGGAAGCCTACTCTTCACACTGAGTGCTGGTGGCATCATGTAAAACGGCCACTGAGTTGCATATGCAACGTCCGTTACTTTATAAGAAAATAGAGAATCACCTCAATCCCTGCAGTACATTCCATAACCTGCAGTTTCCTCAATATGGTGTCCGGATATGCCAACTCCACCATGCCAACAGGTTCATTAGATGCCAACAACTTCCTACCCTCGCTAGTTCACAATGCTCATTTCACAAGATGGCTGACCTGGCAAACGTTCTGCACAGCACTGCTCGCTGTGGTGATTTATGACCAAGGTACATCTTCAAACTCTCGCCTAACCCGTGTCTAAGCTAACATATCCCTTCCCCAGTGATGTACCAGGTCCGAAAAGGCTCTATCTCAGGCCCAAAGTTCAAGATTCCCCTCATGGGTCCATTCCTGCAGGCACTACACCCACGATTCGATGGCTACCTCGCACAATGGGCCAGCGGCCCCCTCAGTTGTGTCTCTGTCTTCCACAAGTACGTTAGAAAAGACACGCAGCTAAAGTTAACTCCGTCCAATATACAGTGCTCTGACAAGCCTCCTGTAGGTTCATCGTTCTAGTCTCAGACCGCGACTTTGCGCACAAAGTCTTCAAGTCCCCTGCCTACGCCGAGCCCTGCATCGTACCCATCGCCAAAGACATCCTCGGCCATAACTCGTGGGTCTTCCTCCAGGGCCGCGCCCACGCCGAGTACCGTCGCGGCCTCACTCCGCTCTTCACCAACAACGCAATCGCCACCTACCTGCCAGTGCAGGAGAAGGTGCTCGCCACGTACTTCGACAAGTTCGTCGCTGCGAGCGAGGCAGAGCTTGGCCGACCGAGGGAGTTCATGACGCTGTTCCGCGAGATCAACTGTGCGCTGTCGTGCAGGACGTTCTTTGGGGATTACATCTCTGAGAGCGCAGTAAAGAAGATCGCCGAGGACTTCTACCTTGCGACTGCGGCGTTGGAGTTGGTCAATGTGCCGTTTTCGATGTATATCCCTTTCACAAGTACGTACGCCTGAACGTCTTTGGACCACCTGTAGTGCCTCGACTTCCACATCCTACTAATCTCCCCCTTCAGAAACCTGGCTCGGGATCCGCACCTCCACCGCTGTCCGTGCCGAATTCGCGCGCTGTGCCGCCGCCTGCCGCGCCCACATGGCCTCTGGCGCACTCCCAACCTGCATTGTAGACCACTGGGTCCTCCACATGATGGAGTCTTCTCGGTATCGGGTTCGCGTCGCCGCAGGCGAGCAAAACGTTGAGAAACCCACCAACCTCATCCGCGACTTCACCGACGAGGAGATCGGCGAGACTCTTTTTACCTTCTTGTTCGCCTCACAAGACGCCTCCTCGAGCGCTACAACGTGGCTCTTCCAGCTCCTCGCCCAGCGGCCCGACGTACTTTCACGGCTGCGGGACGAGAATCTCGCCGCACGGGGCGGCGATGCGAGCAAGGGATTTACGCTGCCTATGCTGGAGACACTGCCGTACACCACCGCCGTCATAAAAGAGCTGCTGCGCTACCGCCCGCCCGTGATCTTCGTCCCGTATCTAGCGACCAAGCCGTTCCCCCTGACACCGAGCTACACCGCGCCAAAGGGCAGCATGATAATCCCCAGCTGTTATCCCGCCCTCCACGACCCCGTCGCCTACCCCCTCCCCGAAACCTTCGATCCAGACCGCTGGATCACAGGCGACGCAGAGAAACAAACCAAAAACTGTACGAGACCCGGTCCTCTCCCCTTACCTTCCTTGGCCCCCATTCATTTCTCTCCAATCTCCCTCCCCCACACCACGCACTCACTCTCCTCACCGACCCCTCTTGTCACCCTGTCCACCACATCCACGATATGCTAACACGAGAACCCAGGGCTCGTCTTCGGCGCCGGCCCGCACGACTGCCTCGCGCGACGCTACGTGCCCCTCTCGCTCGCTGCTATGATTGGCAAAGCCGCACTCGAGCTCGACTGGACGCACCACGCCACACCTCAGAGCGAAGAAATCCGAGTCTTCGCGACGCTGTTCCCCATGGTACGTCGTAATCTCCACAACCTGAAACAAACGATCAATATGCTGACTCAAGCGTAGGACGGGTGTCAGTTGGTTTTCCAGAAAAGGGAGTAGACACAGTATCATGATGACCAATTTTGCGTGCATGGAAAGGATGTATAATGTGTCTATGCAGGGACCAGGAAACACAGAATAGCAACATTGAACTTCGTGAGAATGTATCATGCTCGTGCAGTGAAATCACTACCTATAAGTATATGTCCATTATTTGATGTGACTCCTGGAATGGTTCGCATGAAAAGTGACCCATATCATGCCCGGCCGATCCATGAAACCCAGACACCAAAAACCGATACAACCATCTCCACAAAAGCGACTAGAATATTCTAAGCCTCTAGTAACGGCCCCCTGGGGGAGGTGCACCGTACTGAGGCTGCTGGCCAGGGTAGCCTCCAGGACCACCTTGCGGCGGGCGACCACCAGGTGGGGGTGCGCCATACTGGCCCTGACCCTGACCCTGTGGAGGGTAGCCCTGAGGCGGCTGTCCGTATCCTTGCTGAGGGGGGCCTCCGTATTGCTGACCCTGCGGCGGGTAACCACCTTGCTGGGGCGGCTGTCCGTAACCCTGCTGAGGAGGCTGTCCGTAACCTTGCTGAGGGGGGCCGCCGTAGCCCTGTTGGGGAGGACCTCCGTAACCACCAGCCGGGCGGTTGCTCTTCTGATCTTGTGTGTCGTAGCTGGAATCGATGGCACCGAGAATCAGCTTCAGGATCCACTGGTCGGGTGTGAGATCAACGGGAGGGTTAGCACGGGCCATTTCCTCTTGCTCATTCTCAAAGTCTGGGTAATGTCAGCATGAAATGTACACGAAGAACGCAGACCTTCTGGGGATACATACTCGACGTGCAGTCGATGAACCTATCAAGCTGCGGGTCTTCATCCAACTTCCCGAGGAATGCGCGCGCAGCTTGATCGTTGCCGACCTGGGCAAACTGGAAAGCAATACCACCAGGAGGTAGTGATCGAACGGCCTCATTGATGGCATCCAGGACGGCATTTTGCGGCTCACCAGCCGGCTGTCCATCGGTGACGGTTATGACCAGCACAGGTTTCCTGAATTGACCCGAGCGGGCCTGCTGAACGAGTGGGTCGATGATCTTCTTCTTCAAGCTGGTTCCCATGGGAGTGAGACCCTTGAACTGGACGCCACGCATGAGGTTTTCGATCTGGGCTTCTTGGGCGACGTGGTTTGCTAAGTTATCGGGCAGATTGGTGTTCATGAATCGGACATTGATTCCATCAGCATCGAAGAGCGTCGCGGCGAAAGCGACCCGCTCCAGGATGACGCGCAGGTCCTTTATCCGCTCGCCACCCTCTTCGAACTGCATTGAGCCGGAGTCGTCTGGAACACAATTAGCGTTTTGCTTCGGGCGTTTGCGTTGGTGCCTTCATACCGATATATAGCCAGATGTCGTATAGAGCAAGCTTGACTACATCATTGGCAATTTCTTTTGGAAGCTTCCATCGTGAGATGACCTGGCTAATGAGTTGGGGAGCCTTCTGCGCGATCTGCTCGACGACCTGCGAGCCTGGTGGATAGAAAGATCCTAGGTTCTTCTCCTGGATGCATGCCTGCAGGAGCTGTCTGTATGCGGCGGGGTCGCCAGGGGGTCCCTTGAGTGAACGTTAGCCGGATCCACGCCTTTTCTGCAAGAGAATGCACTGACCTGCTGTTGTGGGGGACCACCGTACTGGCCTCCTGAAGGTGGAGCTCCGTACTGGCCCGGGGGACCTTGACCGGGTTGGCCCTGCAAACCACTGTCAGCGTGGATTCATGGCGACGCAATAAAAACAAAAAATTGCAAGCCCTGTATCATGCATCAACCCTCCACCGGACAGTTGTGTAGATGTGGCCTCAGACACAAAGCGTGTGGGAGGTTACGGACATATGGATTTCCAGAGGGCGGTTGCTGGCCGTACTGAGTTTGTCCATAGGCTTGCTGTTGTCCATAAGGCTGCTGCTGTTGTTGTCCATAAGGTTGTTGCTGCTGACCATAGGGCTGTTGTTGATACTGTTGGTTCTGCTGGCCCGGATACGGCGAGTGCGGCGGACCCGGAGGCGGCGGCGGCGGCGGCGGGCGATTGTACCCAGACTGTGTTTGAGGATAGGGCGAGTGCGAACCGTAGGGTGCGTGTGCAGATGCAGGAGAGTAGGGCGGGGAGAAGGGCGGTTGCGGTTGCGCGGAAGCTGGTGGATAGGGCGGCGGAATGGGCGGCTGTCCTGGGTGCGCTGGAGACTGATATCGATTGTTAGGCGCGTAGTTGTACGACTGCTGCCCGCCGTAGTATGCCATGGCGGATGCAAAGCAGAGGAGGTTGTGTGGCTGGTGGGATGGCGCGCAAAGAGTCGCAGCAGGTAGGATCCGCAGGCAGGGCCCAAACGACAAGTGAGGGCGAAAAGCGAGCAAGTCGCAAAGCAGTTGACGCAAGACCAGGTGGCGCAACGATGGTGGGGGATGGTTGATGATGACGATGAGGGAGCATGCGACGCAAAGAAAAAGCGCTTACCTGTGGCGGGGGACCGCCGGGATACGCTTGGTACTGTTGCTGCCCAGGCTGAGAAGGCTAACGGTTAACACGGCTCTGGAGCTTCGTAACGCGTACAAACAAACAGCAGGACTCACATAGGCCCCTCCAGGTGCGCCTTGCCCTTGGCCTGGAGGCGGGTATCCACCGCCAGGAGCGCCTCCTTGGTTTGCTGCGGCGAGTTTGCTGGCGAGCTGTTGCGCACTGTTAGCACCAGGCAGATGACGTTGATGCCTGCGATGAGGGGCAGGGAGGGGTAGCTGTCGCCGTTGCGCGTCGACTTACACCCATGGCTAAGGCTGCTGGCTGCTGGATTCGAGTATGTGGAGCTGTAGCAAGCGCTGGTAGGGTTGTTATTGCAGGGAGAAGGTGCTGGCGGGTGAGGGATCTTGTAGCAGAGAGAGATTACCCTGCCATGGTGAGCAAGCTGCAAGCTGAACAATGACACCACAGCACCAGCACCGCCACCCTTGCTGCCCCGCTCTCCTTTGCTCCTGCCCCACCGCGCCGGCTCCTGCCCTGCGCCATTGGCTGCCATTCACCGTGGCCTGAGTTTGCTGCCACGCCAGACCCTTGAACCGGCGATGCACATGAGGCTGAGCATTTCTACGCCTCGTAATCTCTGGTTGACGAACCGGTGGGCCCCTGCAAAAGCTTGTTGAACGCACCGCACCACCTCCGCAATGCTTCTTTCACATCTGTTGGAAATGGACATGGATTACAGCCACGCGTCGTAAGAGCCATTGCAAGCTCTGTTCTTGTGGCACTGTGCACTTCAAGGGCTCAACAGTGGGTCCGGCGTTGGGCAGCATGCTCAGCCCTACGGCACTCAGCCACGCTCAATAGCACGTCGGGCATTGCTACACTGCAACAAGCAAGTGATGACTACTGTATTACCAGCGTCTCTGTCCAAGCGCTGAAGGCTGCTGACATTCATATCAAAAACTGTTCCAACCAAGCACATCTCACTATCATACGCGCCTCGAAGCATTACTTTTTTCTGTGCAAGCTTCCATGCACAAATTGATCTTGGCTGTCGTCGTCCGCCTTCTACTTTGACCTGCAGTTCAACAGATTGCTACATGACTTCATAGCCCTAGTGACAACTTCCTCCTAGGAAACCCCTAATAAATGAGGATGCTCTACTGAAACAATATATCGACCATCTCCGTCCAGGTCCCATCCTCACAGCCTTTGCAACATCGCAACGGCAGTGCCAGAGAGTTGGTTAGCACTTAGCACCTCAGCGGCACCTCGGACGGGTGCCGGCGGTGCCGCAAGTCAGTCGTCCCCAGTAACATATCATCCTAACTAGGGGTACCTAGAATGATATCGTACAAGGTAGGAAAGCCAGGTGGTATGGAGATCGGTGTGTATTTGCGTGTGCAGAGAATAATGGAGGGGCGGACTTTGTGTAGATATCTTTGTCAGATGTGATGCTACTTGTACCTATTGTCAAAGGGTATACTCTATGCATGATCAACTTCACACTATCTAGATAGGTGCGAAACGAACAGTCTCCAGCAGTCATGCAGCTATGCAGCCATGCAGCCATGTTTTGATGACGGACACAGACAACTCAATACAGTCGTGCCCGTTAGTTTTGGCCATAGCGTTCAATCAGCCCCATGCTCGTACGCAAATCGTCCTCGAAAACTATTCCTCCTGTGCCGGAACGTCTCTTTACCGCTGGCATTAGAGTAAGGCCCTGCCCATGCAGCACTACGCAGTACGCACTGCGCACCAGGCATAGAATGCGACCCGTGATCGTCATGTCTGTGTGATTGCGGTGCATTCTAGATTTAACCCCAATTCGGCTCGTCGATTTTGCCTAAACCGGCGAACTACATAGGTTGGATGCTGACTCTTCCTGTACCAGGGTAAAGACGGCTTTTGCCGAAGGTGGTACGCGGACTTTAGTGTTCATTGAAGGGCATTGAACCGAGCGCTGCTGTCCGCACAAGTTGCGGTCTACGAGCAACAACGACGGGTGTAGAGCATGTGACAAGCTGGTGGAAGGGCCTTACTGAGGCGGTGCTCACCTTCGTACTGCTAAGGTGAGAAGCCGTTTTACATACTCTTTCCCCGCAAACCATTTAACAGGATCGCAGAAATGTGGAAGAGGCGGGGAAATAATCCGCCAATCAGAATGCGGTTCAGAGTGATGTTGACCGTAACAGGCTGTGTTTTATGCGTTACCCAGAAGTTGATGTGCAGTAGGACCGGACTTGGACGATGCTGCGCAGATGTCGGCGACTGATAGCTATACGGGGTCCGGCATTGCGAAAGCGAATGCCATCTAGCTCACTCGCATGCAAGCTCGTGCGGTAAGCTCCTGCGAATGCATAGTCCAAGGATACGTGTACACGCAAATATTTTGACATCTGATGGCGAACGCCACGGTGCTGACATGCCTAAGTTCCCACACGGTCGGCTCGTCCCGCGCTGGCACCGGTCACACTTTCTGTCAAACTTATCCTTTTTTGCGGATTTCGATTCGCCGTGGTTGCACACATTGTTGGTCCATACGAGCAAAGGATCCGGGAACCGGGTCGGTCAGTCTTGTGACTTCAGAGCAAGGCTGATATCGCAACGCCAGTAATACATATATGCAGGGTGGTCGGCGATTTCAGATCGCTAGGCCTGGCTGAGACGACCGGAGGACCAGGGACCGAGGTACGGAAGTCCGATCCGCTGTCTCATGTTTGATTGGGAGACATTGCGGAAGTCGCATTGCATGCTGTGCGAAGTGTCTCGCTCTTCGTAGAGTAGATTTCTCGAGCTGAGATAACTCCTGTATCTTCCCTAGTCGGTTGCGGCACGACTAGCGTTCGTTGTTCTCTGCACATATGAGCCCACTCGTGCAGCTGCGAAATCATCTTTTAGGATGTGATAACAAGACTAGTCGGGTACATGAGCCACACAATTTTCTTGAGTGGTCCAGTGCGGGATCTACCATGCGTCGCTCTGGCGAAATTGCGTGTGGCACTAGTCGACGAATTTGCATCATCTACATAGTATTCCAGCGCGGATTCGCGGGATGCAAGACGAGGACGTACTCGTGCACTGAATCGCAGACACGTTGCAAGGTCTTCGACCCTCGAAGACACTGGTAGCTGTTTCTTAATGGTGAAGCGGGCTGGTCCGCAGCACAGGCCGTGAATCGCACCTTGCCCACCCTCGAAACCCCACGTCATGGATCCTCCGTGGGTCGGATGTGATAGCACGATGCCGGACGAGCTTCAGCGGTGAGGTGTTTCGGATCGGTCCGATTATAGTATAAACGGCTATCTTTGACTGAACCGATGTGGGCTTGACTGGAAAATTGCATCGCGGCAGCAACGAACGTTTCGCAAGGAGCACGTAGGCAGATGCATCGACCGTAGTGATTGGACTTCTCGTTCAATAATGGACGCGGCATAATGGCTGGCCATCGCTTACAGACCTCGGATGCATGATCTGACTTGCCGAATGGCACTAGCAGACGTGACGGGGGACTGCATGGAGGAGTGTCATCTTCCAATTCGATGCGCTGTTGCACGAACACTTGCGCGATATCTCCCGTTTACGGCAACGTGACATATGGCAGTGCACGACTTCTTGCAAAGTACGCCATACGTGCAGCCAACGGATTTGCGTTTTGCATAAACTGGGTAAGACAGGCCACGGTGGAAGAAGGATCCAAATACATTTGTGCGGCGAGCCGAAATCTAAATTTGCTTCTAAAGGTAGGTCCAATGCCCGGGGAATCGTACTAAGAAAACAATGCGTTCGTCTCGTGTTCGTCAAAGAATCGTGCATCTTGGTCTATGATTTCGTCTGTTTCTTCGATCGCCTGGTCGTTGTCGTTGGGGCCTTCGTGTTTCCCGTTCCCTTTCCCTCTGGTCGCGATCCTTGTGTATGATTTGTCGACAAAGATCTACAAACACCTCATCCACATTGGCGCGCCGCCGGGCGCTGGCTTCGTAGTAAGGCACTCCACCCCATTCTTGTGAAAGCTTGAAAGCCCGTGCTCTTGGGACCGCCCGATCGTCTTCGAGATCAGATTTGTTGCCCACCAAGACCATAGGGACATTGTCATCTTCTTTGATGCGCCGGATTTGCTCACGTAGCTCTTGGAGCTCGTATAGCGAAGACATGCTGGTAATAGAAAATACAAGGAGAAACCCTTGTCCAGTTTTCATGTACAGCTCTCTCATTGCAGTGAATTGTTCTGTTCCAGCGGTGTCAAGGATTTCTAGAATGACATGGCGACCCTAAAGGATAGGTTAGACAAATAAATCGAGTTCAGGGCTGTGTAACAAACATCGACTTCGATCGCTTTCCGATACGAGTCCTCGATTGTAGGGTCATAGCTTTCAATCCAGACATTCTGTACAAATTGTGCTTTGCAACGTTAGTAGGAAATTCTGAGAGCCATGGCTCGACGCATACCAGTCAGGCAACTTTTGCCCACACCACCGGACTGCGTTCGTCAGTATTAATTATCGACCGATGCTTGGATAAACTTGCCCCCAAAACTACTATATGGTATTCCCGCTGGCTCATGCTGACAGCTTCGGTGTCACTCCGTTGGTGTCAAATTTAGCTTCCGTGCAGCAAGCGTCCCAGTTCGTCCCGAAAACCGCCGTGCCTCGACCGAGCGAAAAGGAGTGCGCTCACAAGGCGAAAGTCACAATCCGATGGCCCAAAACTTTGGAATTATGCTGAATCTATGGAGTCCGACTTGGCCGAAAAAATGCGACCTCAGGCTGCAACGAGTGGCGGAATTAATACGGCCAGAAGTTTGGACAGCGAGCGAATAGGCAATGATGATCCCGGGCGTGCAGTAGAGTGGTGTTGCTGGCAAACGCCAAACTTGTTCCTCGCGAGACGTGTTGGTGGCTGGGTGGAAAGACTTTTTCTGTAAGGCTTATCGATTAGGAGAGCCAAGGACAACAGGAGAATCTGGTTTTCTGTCGGCAGCGGTGCGGGATGTCTGGGAAGGAGTGCGTCAGGGCTTCACGGGCAAAGTTAGGGCGGAGGACAAGGTTAAATGTTAGGCCTGGCCTGACATAAGTCAGTACTGGCTGGTGCTTGGGCACAGGCGAAGGCATCGCGTCAACCCGGGCGCGAATCGAACGCTTGAGACGTCCAGTCCACCCTGGTGTCCGTGTACCACACTGCGCAGGGCTACAATTCGCGTTGCGAGATTCCGCGCGCGACACCTGACGAATGGGCATGCTGGCTCACCGAGTCGATGCGTTGGCGGAGGGCTTGCCTTCGTAATTTTGGCAAGCCACGCCCACCGTGCGAGACGGCGCTACCCCCGTCCACGTCTTTGGGCCCGGCTCTGTGCCGTAGGGTTTCCTAACCGGCGCATCGGGAGACCCCATGCCTCTTCGAGCCGTCTGTGGCTTTCACTCGCTGCTGTCAGAGCTGTCGTTGATATTGCCGTTACAGATTGGGTATGCGCGCTCATGCGGCAGGCCTTTACTGTTGCTGCGCAAATGAAGGGTGCGAGGATCCCGTTCGGCCACTTCGTTATGGAGCTTGCTCCGAGCTGCACAGACGCGGCCTGCACCAAAGCGCAAACGAACGGTTGCCTCCGGGGCAGGAAAGCTGTGACGTCGCACAGCGGTGAGATTCACAAGCAAGAGTCAGTCCCGCGCACGCTGTCGGTAGTTGACTGGCTCTGTTGTGGTACCGTCGCAGAGTAACAGGCGATGAGGTCTCTCATCTCCGCCCGGTCACCATGATGGCGCCGACTCTAGCGGTCGGGCTGATCTGGGAATCCAATGCAGCTTGCTAACCCGAACCAAAATCGTCAAACCTGAGCTACGAGCCAGCGTCAATTCGGGAATCCTCTGCGCTGTGGAGCAGCCTGAGAGCCTCTTACCGCGATGAGCTACACGTCGGAAGTAATTCTGCGCGTCGCGCCAATGCGCAGACGACTAGATCGGACCACGCTTACAGACGGTCAGGATGGCTGGGCGGAAGCGGCAGACATTCCCCGTGGCGATGGGCCGCATGTGTCGCTCCGTGACTCAGTGGGTCTTTCGCTGAGACGGCATAACGGGCGATGAACATGGCATTGTCGTGCATATCTTCCCAGGGGTGTGAAGAAATGATGTCAGCAATGCGGTGCCAGCAACTCAGCAATTCATGGACGCATGCTGATCACGTGCGGGTCGATGGCCCGGGCCCGGACAGTCGACGCTTCTCTGGCGATGACGAAGGCCGGCTCTGGCTTGCAAGCTGGCGAAGTGTTGGCTAGAAGATGCGATCTCTTGGTTGACTCGTTATACCATGCGTACAAAGCTGACTGAAAAGGCACCACCGGTGTTCACGTTTGCATGAGAGCAGACCTCCGTACCAATCAGGCAAGAACGTGCGGATTAAGGTAAGACCGACCCCGCGTCAGCAGGCGCCTGTATGGCAGGAGCACCCAGCTTTGTCAACAGCAGCCCACCACGATGCGTGTCAATGCCGCGCTCGCCTTTGCAGCGTGTCTTGCCCCGATCGCTGCCATTTTCGAGGACGATGCATACCATATAGACTTCCATTATGCCCTCCTGGGCTACCCGAAACCTGAGGCCACCTTCTTCCAGAAACCTTATGCTGCCAGCAAAGCGTCCCTTCTGTACACCGTCTCCGAGAATGGAACCATCGGCGCAATCAACCCAAAGGATGGCGCATTGGTGTGGCGCTCGGATCAGGGTATAAGTGGCAACGGTCACCTCAGGGCCGGCGAAGACCAAGACACTGTCATCAGCGCAGTGGGCAATCGCATAGCTGCATGGAGCGCTTCGGACGGAAGGATTGTCTGGGAAACCAGCATCGATGGCGCAATCGCGGAGGACCTGGAGATCCTAGAACAGGAGGACGGCATATCGAACAACGACGCCAAAGATGCCATCGTACTTGTCGCCCACGGCAGCAGCGGCGTGAAGCGGCTGGACGGCAAGACCGGCCGTGTTAAGTGGACGTTCGAAGACACGAGGTAGGACACGCAGAATCGAATCAAGGGATAGGCACTGACGTTCGTAGCGGCGACACTCCGTTCCAGGTCTCATCCTCGCCCACGACCATCTACTACATCGCCCTACACTCGCCCCTTCTCGGAGGGGGCTCGAAGATTAGGGTCACCTCATTAAGCCCGATAACCGGCAAGAAGCTCGACTCGTACACGCTGAGCTCCGAAGGCGAAGTGTATACCAAGGAGAATATCCTGTTTGCTGGAGCGAACACCGCAGCACCTATTCTGGCTTGGACGGATAAGGCGTATAAAGTCTTGAAGGTCAACATCATAGGGACCAAAGGCGTTTCGAGCTTCAATACGCCAGCAAGCGAGAGCATTGAATCGATTGTACTCCATGCACCGCGAAAGGTCAACTCTCTGCCACATTTCCTTGCAGAGTATCAGACAGCCACCGGACATTCGGCCGAGGTCTACCACGTTGACTTGAAGAAAAACGCTATTTCTCAGGCCTACAAACTCCCGCTGCTCCAAGGCAAGGGCACTTTTGCCACCAGTACAACAGATGCCAACGTGTTTTTCACGAGGATTACCTCCGACGAGGTCTCAGTCGTTGCATCAGTATCCGATGGAGTTCTTGGAAAATGGGCAGTCAATGGTTCTCCATCTCTCGCTGGCGCCTACCCTGTGCACGGCGTAGCTGAAGTGGTTGTCAAAGGCAACTCTGCATCCGCTATTCGATCTGCGGCACTCTTTTCTAACGGTCAGTGGGCGCTTATTCGAAACAGCGAAATCGCGTGGAACCGGCCCGAGTTCCTATCTGGCACTGTCTCGGCTGTCTGGGCGCAGCTTCCGGAAGAAGAGTCTCTGGCTCAGCAGCTCGAAGAAGAGCATCACCAGGACGTCATCAGCGCATATATCCATCGTGTGCAGAGGCATCTGCGTGATCTAGAACATTTTCCGGCCTGGCTGCAGAACCTGCCAAACAGGATCCTGGGCAGCGTCACTGACCAATCAGGCAGCAGCACGATCGAAGAGATTCAGCACGATACTTTCGGCTTCCACAAGCTGGTCATTTCCGCCACCGAGAGGGGGCGCTTGTCTGCGCTCGATGTGGGTTCTCAAGGCAAGATTGTGTGGAGTATCGACCTCCACCAATTCGCACCAGGTGCTGTCATTACACGCCCATCATTAAAAGCGTTCCGTGGCTTTGTTGAAGTCAAAGATCCTGGCTTGACTAGCCCATTGTTCATCAACTCGACTACCGGTAGTCAGGTATCTTTGGAACATGCGCACAACCAGTGGCTTCCAAACTTGGATCAGGAGACACTCGTGACTTACAAGCTTTCGGAAGGCGAGCTTCAAGGTTTTCTAGGTACCGAATCTACTGCGCAAGCTGTGTGGACTTTCACGCCTCCTCCAGGAGAGAAGATTGTTCGTTACACTGCCCGGCCAGCAAAAGACCCCGTGGCATCTATCGGTAAAGTCTTGGGAGACCGCAGGGTTCTCTACAAGTACTTGAACCCGAACCTAGTCCTTGTTACAGCTGTTGCCGAGGCCGGACGTCGGGCTTCGGTTTACCTTGTAGATTCCGCCTCTGGACAGTTGCTTCATACGGCTTCGCACTACGGTGTAGACGTCTCTCGATCCATCCCTTCGACCTTCTCCGAGAACTGGTTCAGCTATTCCCTTACTCTGGACTCTACTTCCAAGGCATCGCGTGGCTATCAGCTCGTCGTTTCTGAGCTCTTTGAGTCTCCTCTACCCGACGATAGGGGACCACTCGGAGACTCTGCCAACTCCTCCACAGTCCTGCCAATGGGTGAGGCTGCGAAGCCCCATGTTATCTCGCAGAGTTTCCAGATTCCAGAAGAAATTTCTCATATGACTGTCACACAGACACGGCAGGGCATCACTAGCCGCGAGTTGATCGTTACCCTGCCATCTTCGAACTCAATTGTAGGTATTCCTCGCGGAGTGATCGATCCCAGACGTCCCGTTGGCCGCGACGCTACTGCTCAAGAGCAGTCAGAAGGTCTCGTCAAGTATGCGCCCATGGTCTTGTTCGATCCCAAGTGGCACTTGAACCACAAATACGAGGTTGCCGGCATAAAAGACGTCATCACTAGCGAGAGCGGCCTTGAGAGTACCAGTTTAGTATTCGCTTACGGAAAAGATATCTTTGGGACGAGAGTCGCGCCGTCCTTCACTTTCGACGTTCTGGGCAAGGGTTTCAACAAAGTGCAGATGTTGCTCACTGTCGCGGCGCTGTTCGTTGGAGTGTTGTTTGTAGCACCGCTAGTATGTAACATCTCTCCCCGCTTGTGTGTATGCATTGGCTAACAAATTCAGGTTCGGAGAAAGCAGATTAACTCTTTGTGGACCGTACCACAGTGAGTGGTTGGAGGGAAATAAGTCAGATCTAGAAGACAAGTGCAAGACATGTATGATGCGCTCGAGGTGGACATCTACAAATGATGCAGTGTCCACCCAAAGGATACCCATGGGGAGTGCGAGGTCGCAGGAAGGCAAGCGCTCGCGGATGAGGCGGAAGCTACAAGTGGGAAAACACCAGGTATATACGTAGCGTAAATGTATATGCTGTCGAATCTACGCCATTTTGATGCCGCGCCATGAGGAAATGCTAGGTACTGGGTTAGGGTGGTGAACACGACCTCCTTCGCTTTTGAAGAAGGCAGGTCTTGGGGCGTGGCTGCCTGCTCTATTATTATCGTTGTCCAGCGATCGTCTCTTCTCGTCGCATGACACCCCCACAGCTAATATCTGAATGTTCTCGCACTTAGCACGTCAGGTTTATGATTACATCCCAAAGATCTGCCACCCACACTTAGTGACCGTTTCAATACGCGCATCAGGATGGAAGAACAGCCTAGCGAGCAGATGAAGCACGATGCAGAATGCCCTACGCGCAGGCCCACCGATGCGGTGCTTCAACATTGCCCACTGGATATGGAAGGTCCCAAATACGACTTCTACGACTGCTTCCCACGAATAAAGATAGGGCCACGCCCCATCATCGCCGACGATTACTACAAACTGAATGCGCATCGCTGGGCGAGGGCGCTGGACCCATATGCTGTCGAATCGAGACGTTTGATTTTGACATCGCTCCACCATACGTCACGCGGTCGTACACCTGGGAACGAGGGTCTATTTACCGAGCTACTTTACCAGAAGACGCGAACGAGAAACTGAAAGTATCACTATGCTAACCCATAGACTCATCCCCAACGGCCTCTCTCTTCATAAACTCACCATGCCACTCCTACTGCTCTGTTCATCACGTCTGCCCATCCTCGGCCCCGGCTGTCCAAATCATGGACCAATTCCATTTCAGCGACAACTTGCCCAATCTCCTATGATCGGACATTCTCTTCTTCGTTCTGGCCCAAGATGAATTGCGGCGGCCGCAACGTCTTTTATTTCCTAATACCTTGGACTGTCACTGTTGCTGCGATAACTTCTGAAGGAGACTTGGACGGTCTACCAGGTTTGAGGATAGACCTGGCGGCGGTGGGATTGCGCTCATCGCGGTCAAGTCAGCGCCAGAGTTCATAGTTCTGGAGGCGCGCGCGAATGCACTACGGCGTGCAACTCGCCGTGCATTTCTACATCCACATGCAGGGAGAGCTCTGGTGTTTTATGCAAGGGCAAGTGCCAAGGTCGCGGCAACGGGATGTGCAAAGGTCGAGCTCGCGTGTGGTAGTGTGCGGCGTCAACAAAGGATGAGGTGTGATTGGTGGTAAATTACGGCGTGTCTACCAGAGGTCCGGTAGGTATTAGTAGGAGGAAAGAGGACATCCGCGCGGCATGTCTGACGAGGAAATAAATCCGAGAAAGAAAGGAAAGTGCTACCCGATGCGGTTGTGTTCATGACTTCGCCTCATATTTTGGTTGCAGCACGGTAGAGTGTGACGCAGTGGTGGTTTTTGACGATCTGCGACTCGGACAGCTTGTCTCGATACAGTAGCTAGCGTCGTTCGCAGTGAATGGGAGGTCGGATGGCTCAGTGTGACACCTACAAAGTAAGTCTGGTATAGCCTCGAGTGGCATGGTTCAGTGTGAAACGCTATAACGTCTGTGATTGTGGAGTGCTTTCAAATTACTACAATTATCGTGATACTCAGGTACCGAGAGTCCGGCACTGGCCAACCGTCAACACGCTGACGCCTCATGAATGATCGACATTACCGAGGATCTACTCGACATCACTCCATCCTCTTCCCCAAGATCCGAACCCGAACCCCACTCTCTGTCCCCAAACTCGTCATTCCAATAAAACAATCGTAATTCGTCTGAACATCTCTCTCCTCGCTTGTACCCCAAATCTCCAGTTCCATCCACCGCCACACAAATGCAATACCAAAGTATAGCTCGCTGGTCGCAAGATTCATGCCAAGGCAGCTCCTGCTCCCACGCCCAAAAGCGAACCAGTTCTTCTTCAGGTCGGAATTGTCCAGCCAGCGTTGCGGTCGGAATGACATGGGCTCGGGGTAGATCTTCGGATCGGTGTGGATCAGATAGGCCGACTCCATCACTGGTGTACCACGAGGGATTTTGTAGGGGCCGTAGGTTAGATCTTCGTTGGTAGGGATGCGGGGCTGGCGAGACGATACACCGTGAGCGACTCTGAGGCCTTCTGTTATTACCGCAGACTACCCGATGTTAGAGAAGATGGTCTCGTGAACGTCATCCACATCCAATTATACTCACGAGGTATGGGAGAGCTTCGAGCTGAGGCAGCGATACTGTTGTTCCTCTCACGGGAAGAATTCTTTTCAGTTCCTCGAGCAACTTCATTCCGACTTCCTTCTCTTTGAGAAGATAGTATATCGTGACCGCCAACGTCCTCGAAGTCGTCTCCGTTCCCGCGCCGATGAAAACACTACTCTCAGCCATCAACCGAAACGGTGTTTTCTCCTCCGGCGGTAGCTTCACATTAGGATCATCCCTGAATACGTGGAATATCGACTGATGCCCCGTCCCTTTCCCACCATCGTCCTTAAAATCCATAATTTTCGTAATTCTTCTTAATAACCCAGCATTGAACTCGTTCAACGGCAGAATATCAGGTGACAAGTACCCAACATACTCAGGTGGCAAATCAAACATCCAGTTGAAGAAGGTCGGAAACTGCCGCGCGAGGGGCCGCATCTGGATGCCCTGGTGCAGTATGTCTAGCATCTGCTTGCCGTATTGCGAGCGCTCCATGCTGTTCATGCCTTCGCCGAAACAGTACTCACTGATGATGTCCATGGTCATAGCTGCGAAGGCATAGTTTAGATTGACGATGCCTTTTCCGCCTTCACCGATGTCGCGGTGCATGTCTTGCTTCAACCTAGCCAGAAGCCTGTTCGTAGTATTGACGACAAGCGGCTCGAGAACTTGCACGTTACGCTTGCTGAAGAAGCTGCTTGTAGCGTTACGCCGCATCTTATGCAAATCGTGGTCCATGGCTTCTAACATTGCGCCGCTCAAGGTCTTTGCGCCGCTGTGGTGGGACCATGAACAGCGGTCGCGCTTGTGTGCATTCCCGGAAGCGTAGATGGTGTCGAGGTAGGCATGGTCGTGAATGTGTACATGGATGGGATTTATGCGGATGATTGGACCGTATTTATTATGGAGCTCTCTGAGCTTGAAGCCGTACTGGTATTTGTGTGGGTACACATCGTAATAGAACTCGTACCAGAAGGTCAATGCAGCGAGCTTGGAGTGTCAGCGTCTGGAGCTCATCATCATTAAGTAATATACATACCTTGGGCCCAGGAATTTTTGCTATTGGACTGAACCAGACGCGATACACAACTATCGCGATGCAATACGCGAGCCACAACGTGAGCAAGGTGCCGAATACCTTTGCAACACTAATTGTCCTGACCTGGTCGAACCTTCCTATGAGAATATTCTTGTCCATTTTAGAGGAGGGTTGACAAGACAAATATGCGCGGCTCTGTCGTTCTGATATAGCTTTCGGAGACTAATCCATCAGCTACGACAGTAAGCGGAGACTTTTGGACCATGTTAGGTGGACCGTCCACAGCACGCCGCGACTAGTACCGTAGCGAGCTCGTAGAGTCAGCAATTGCCCTTCAAAATGAAAAACCATACTAACAAGGTCGGTGAAGCAGCGCCGACTTCCTACGACGGTGCTTTCGCCAACAGCCGACACGAGCAAATCCTCCCAGCAAGCAGTTACAGTCTTCAATTCTAAGGTTAGCATGTTCGAGCTGTGCAGTGTGTTTGCGTAGTAGTTCCATTTCGCGCTGCTTAGCTCGTATATTCTCCGCTTCAATTGTGCATTCACAGCAGTTGTCCCTAGGACGATCACTACTGCTTTAGCAACAGCAGCGAACCGTAGGGTTGTGCGAAAGTGACCTGATGGTTGTAAGGAGCTTTTCATGAAGGAGAGTGGAAAGCAGCGCCTATGTGCGGTTTTTGTGTCATTTAATTCTTCGCGCGAGAACCATAGCTCCGAGCTTCCATGGCTCCTCCCCCACGAATCGCTCCCTGAATACACGTGCAAAGGGTGTGGACAGTGGGATGCAGTCGACGAGACTTATATGCGCGGGCTAAAGGGCACTTCGGAATCCCAGAATCGAGATAGGCAATAGTGAGAAGCACCCCTGGGCCGTCTGCAAGGAGGAACGAGTGTGGAGGTGCGGTTCGGCGGCCCAAGGTCGCAAACGCACCTTCCATCGCAGGTGCGACATCAGTTTATGAGTGCACGATGATGTAAGTATGTAAGTCACTAGGCTGGTCAATCTCAAACTGTAAAAGTCAAGTATCATAAGTGGGTATCTCGAACAAAGGGTATCTAACGAAAAGAAAGACCAATCAAATCTCGCTTCCAGAATCGTCAAATGCGTTCTCCGGCACGGAAACTGCCTCAATGGACTCTTCGAAGAGGCGGACCACCTGTTGTATGTTTGCCTGCTGTGCCTTCCACTTCAAAACTTGTGCTTCCTTTCTATGTCTCTCGTCGTCGCTCCACTTGAAGGGGTTTCCCGGCGACGTAGATTCAATCATGTTCGATGTAGAGTTTGGTGTCACTAGTAAAGTATTTTGCCAGTCGGTGTGAAGTTTCCTGATGTTGTTCAGCGCATCGATCATGCCGCTGTGGTCTTCAGCAAGCTTCCAGAGTCGGCCGCGCTCAACCTTGGCCATTCCGGCTTCCTTACGTGCAGGCATCAGGAAAGCAATCGCACTATCCTCAGAACGCTTTAACACGTCAAACTCCTCAGCTGGCACAAGATCTATACGCTTTCCGAAGAGACCTGGTAGCGTACTGAGTCCCCACCGGGTGAGGGAGTGGTCCGAGTTGTTCTTGTCCAAGCTAGCACGAAGTCTTCGCCGACGAGTTTCCCTTAAGCAGTCTTCTTTTCGGCCGAACGAGAACTCTGAGTCACGTTTCTAAGTCGTGCAGGTTAGTATAGCTTAGAAAATCTATGGTATGATCATGAGCAGCGATTTCGAGCTTGCAGTATTGTTCCTCGAAATCGACTCACCTGTTCCATAATGGTCCTTAGTTGCGTTTCGCCTTGAATAAATCGGAAGAGGAGTCTCTTCCACTCGATCATCACCCTTTTGCTAGGCAAGTCGAGGGTGAGCCTTTCTCTTAATGCTTGAATGGGGAATTCGAGATCCAGAACAGCGCTATCCAACCGCATGCACCATCTCATTTTCCCAAAGGCGTCTGCAGAGCCCTCAAGATGCAGCCTTTCTACTAGGAAGTGGAAATTCTGGGCTCTGTGTCTGTCAGTGGAAATTGTTTCAGCCAGAAGAAACTTGTCAAGCCAGCCATCATCAATGCGGAATACAGCGTGGCGAGCACCCCACTTCGCGTTTGTCAGCTTGGATCCCGCTGGCTCGACAGAGTCATCCAAGCGCTCGAAGCTACATCGCATGCAAGCAAGATCCTTATGTAGCTCCGGGGGTACCCCGGCCCAGTTGAGTGTGTCGGGAGCGCCCACGAGCCCAATTATCTCGGCTCTTGTGATGCAGTTATACATGACAGGGCCATCGATGCAGTCGCGAAAGCCGCGACACACAAGCCGCCATTGAAGGATGTAGTCAATCGGCACATAACCGACGATATTGAAGAGGACTTCGGCTGGAAGCTTCGGCAGGCTGGGAATGGACGTGTGGTCCTGGCTCGCATCGATGGAGGTGATCAAGGCGGAGACATCGTCGGAGTCGAAGCCGAAATTGAAGTGGCGCGCGATATACGACGGCAGAGGCGTGTCCTCACTTGGAATAGGAGGTGAGTGCGCTCTACTGCCCAGGCCGGAGCTCATGATCGCCGCGCATGGCAGTTGATAGCAACGGAAAGTGTGGGTTCGGCCGCGGGGAAGTCGTAATCGCGGGCGCTTAGCCCACAGTTGTTAGCGCATCGCGAGGTCACGTGCGACACTATGTCTCGAGATCCTGACCTTCCAAGGTTCCATCCAGGTGTCGTGAACACTTTCATCACCCAGACGAGGGGGTCTTCTAGAGTCATTGCAGCTATTTCTCCTGAGAACAATGACCCGTCGTTCAATCTCCCCGCCCTCGCTCCGCCCTCGGCGTGCTCAACAGCCTAGGACGTTGCGGAATTAAGGAGCCGTCTCAATTGCTCCCGAGCTGCCGACAGCTGCTCTTCCGAGACTCCGCGACGCAGGGCATGTACAATATCCGTCACGTGATTGGTCCCCCCTCCTGCTCACCGGGGCTGCTCGGCAATACTGAACAGCTCCCCCAACGTTCTCTCCACACCATCTCCACAAGGCTAGCGCATGATGCTCCCGCTGTGGGGTGCAGTAGTCACCACACCTCAGCCCGGTCTTGGCTCAAATGAAGCACGGAAATGAACAACCGCCAGCTCTCCCATAGGCCTCCTAGACTGGATGGTCGGGTATGGTGCTGGCCTAGAAACGTATATCTTAGACCAGCGGCCGCCTGCTAAGGGACTTTGACCCAGCAAGCTGTTTCCTCTTGCCTTGATACTTCTTTCCTCTTTTCGTGCTCCGAGATACCCACCTTGATCGATCATGTCGCCCTCTGCCCGTCGTCCTGTCCGGGTTGCCGGCGCCTCCGGAGGCTTCTCGGATAGAGTACGTGCAATTGCCTCTCTAGCGAAAAATGAGGAGGTGGATGTTATTGTCGGAGACTGGCTTTCTGAGCTCACAATGACTATTCACGGGACTGGAAAGATAAAGAACACAGAGCAGATGATGCAGGCGCGGACTTTCGAGGAGAAGCTCAATTATGCCATGTTTGCGGAGAACTTCCTCGACTGCTTCATGCCTGCTATCAAGGATGTTGCTGAGAAGGGCATCAAGATTGCTGTCAACGCCGGTGCCTCCGATACTGAGCTTCTGGCTCAGCTTGTGGATAAGAAAGTCAAGGAGCAGGGATTCAATTTGAAGGTTGCCTGGATTGAGGGTGACGACGTTACCGGCACTGTGAAAGGCATGTTGAACAAGGGTGAGGGTTTCCGCAGTCTCATGCACGGCCGATCTGTCGAAGAATGGGGACTGGATCCCGTGTGCGCTCAGTGCTACCTCGGGGGTATGGGTATTGCAAAGGCCCTCACTGAGGGCGCAGATATTGTTATTGCGGGTCGTGTGTCCGACGCATCTCCTATCATCGGTGCTGCAGCGTAAGTGTTACCGTCTTTTGACTTCTGTGTCATCGTTGACACCAACAGTTGGTGGCACGAATGGACCAACGACATGTTCGATGAGCTTGCCGGATCTCTCATCATTGGTCACCTTCTTGAATGCTCTGCCTACGTGTCAGGTGGCTACTGTTCGGACTTCCGCTCCCTCCTGGCGCAAAAGAAGCACATCAACTTAGGCTTCCCCATCTGCGCGATCGACCACAAAGGAGAAGGAGTCATGTATAAAGAGAAGAACACTGGTGGTGAGATGACGGTCGCCTCCTGTACCTCGCAACTGCTTTACGAAATCCAAGGCCCCCAGTACTACAATTGCGATGTGACCGCTCAGATTGAAAATGTAAAGATGGAACAAGTCGGCGAAGACCGTGTCAAAATCTCCGGCGTGAAAGGTCTCCCTCCGCCGCCAACTACCAAAGTCGGCCTCACGGGCTTCGCCGGCTGGCAAGCCGAATACCACATCTACCTCTGCGGCCTGCACATCGAAGAAAAGTGCAAGTGGACCGAAGAGCAGATTCGCTACGAGCTAGGAGAGGAGAACCTCAAGAAGTTCACCACCCTCAAATTTATGCAGAATGGCGCGTCCCCCATCGACGCGCGCAACCAGGACGTCGCGACTGTCGACTTCCGCGTCTTCGCGCAGTCCAAGGACCGCGAGCTCCTCAACATGCGCAACCCGAACGGCTTCTTCCGCATCTCCATGGTCACGTTCCTGCAGTCGTGCCCAGGCGCGTCCCTCGGAAACGACATGCGCCAGGCAGAAGGCAAGCCCTACTACGAATACCACCCCTCACTGCTCCCACAGTCGGCGCTGCAGCAGCGCGTCCATTGCCTCTGGGACGGCGATGAGGCAGCGGGCTTCAAAGACGGCAAGAAAGTTATCGATATGCCTCTGGCCCCCGAATTCCGCGAATACGACCGTCAGCAGCCCTCCTACGAGACCACAAACCCCGTGCCCCTCGACGCCTTCGGGCCCACGGTACGGCTGCCGCTCGGCTCCATTGTCCTCGGCCGCTCAGGTGACAAATGCTCGGACTGCAACGTGGGCTTCTTTGTGCGCCATGACGACGAGTGGGAGTGGTTGCGCAGCCTGATGACCGTCGAGAAGGTGAAGGAGCTGTTGGGGCCCGAGGAATATAAGGGGAAGCCGATTGATCGGTTTGAAATGGCGAATATTCGCGCAGTGCATTTCTTATTGCATGGTAAGTCAAAACAACCTCTTCCACCTAAACACTCCAAATATTGTCCATTCACTGACTTTGTACCCCACACGTTAGATCATCTAGACCGAGGCTATGATGCGTGCTCGACATATGATACGTTGGGGAAGAACTGCTGTGAGTATTTGAGGGCGAAAACGGTGGATATCCCGATTCAGTTTGTCAAGAGGGGTGTTTTGTAAGGCAAGAGGGCGGCTCATGGTTGTTTGGCGTTTTGTCATTGAAGTTGTTCCTATTTGTCTGAGTGTTTGGTATGATGACTGAGTTCATGCTCCTTGTGTGCTCAATCATACATTCCTTCCAATGTCATCGCAGAGCGGCAATGCGCATGCGTGTCAAAGATAGGTGGCATATGCTCCAGGCCAAATCAATTAATGCCATCCCCCTGATAACATCCGGGTTCAAAGCAAGGAAATAGAGCAAGGACCGGCAAATCCGAACAAATGTAACACTTGCACCACCCATCGTGGGCAACACATACTACCCAGAGATTTCCTCAAACCCCCTACTTCTTCTTTCCCTTGCCCGTTTCCTTCTCCTTCATCAGTGCAATACTATATGTAAGTTTTCAACGTAAGCCATGTCGTGATGCCGTTCCGCTTGGCTACTTTGTGGTTAACTGTGACTGCTTGCTTATCGAGCGCTTTGCCTAGGAGATACTTTGGTGTTTGGTAGATCCTAAAGAAGAGGCGCAGAAGGAACATGACGAGATCAATCCGCTAAAAGTCCAGTATACATAACGCCAGCCGAAGTTGTCATGGCAGTGACATTGACCTTTAGGTGTAGTTGAGGGGCAGGACTAGCTAGCGACCAAAGGCCGGCCCACAAGCGCAGCTACTGCTTGTTCAACAGACCAGAAGCTTGAGTGCATAGTGAGTGAACACTGATGGGTGGCTGGGATGAACTCTAAAATACCTCAGCAAGCAGCATGTTGGAAACACATGTGTCGTTCATCGAGTGCGCCTCACAAGTGTGGTCTTGTTGGTCTCTCGGAAGTAGGAAATACTGTTGTCGAGTCATAAAAGTCGTGATGATAGATGTTCAAGTACAATGTCACCTCCGAGTGTCGTCCCTCCCCACCATTCCCGAACCGTCAAGCCCGTGCACGCACCACCTTAATCCGGGAAGTCGAGGCTCACGACTACCACCACGGCATCTCTCCCAAATCACGTCACTTGCGCTTCCACAGACCCCCGTAGCAATGAGCAGCTCACAGCCCGGCGGCTCCGGCCTCCGCTACCCGTCCAATAAGAAAACAATCTACGACCGCAACCTGAACCGTAGCAAGAATGCTGAGCTCTCCCGCGCCGCCTTCGCGTACCTCTTCATCGAGATGATAAACCTCGCGCAGAAGAACGCAAAAGACGTCGGCGACCTCGAGAAGCGGTATGCCGCCCCGTTTGCACTATACTCCAGCGTCCAGATAAGCGAGCAAAATGGCTAACCATGGGTGCGACACAGATTAAATAACCAAGGCTACCCCATCGGCGTCCGCCTTCTCGACCTCCTCCTCACGCGCTCCGCCAACCCCCTCGCCTCCATCCGCCCCACGCGCATCCTCCCCCTCCTCCAATTCATCGCGCAGACGCTGTACCGGCACCTCTTTGGGCGGCCCGCCGATGCGCTCGAGCGATCCGGTGACGACCCCTCCCAGTACATGCTATTCGACAATGAGCCAATGGTCAACACATACATATCTTTGCCTCGCGAAATGAGCAATCTGAACTGCGCGGCGTTCGTGGCGGGCATCATCGAGGGCGTGTGCGATGGGGCGGGGTTCGCGACGGAGGGGGTTACGGCGCATAGCGTGGGGGCGCAGGAGGAGGGCAAGGAGGGGAAGGCGATGTGGCCTGGGAAGACGGTGTTTTTGATCAAGTTCAAGAAAGAGGTGCTGGAGCGGGAGGAGATATTGGCGAGAGGGAGTGGGTAGTGAGGGCGAGGGAGAAGGAGACAACGCGACACAATGGGGAAGACGGGGGAGAACATGCATTAGAGGGCGTACCGGTGCTAGCATTTACTGGAGTACAGGCGTGGACACGCAGCGATATGCTCGTGGGCAATTGACATGATACTGATCAACTGCGTGGGTCGAGCGGCGTGTGGACCCAAATGTCTCTTTTCGCCAGGCCAATCTCTCGAGGACCATCGCATGCACGACCAAGCGGTGCCGAGACTACCGCAGGTTTCTTCGTTCCTGGCAAATCTGGCCTGGGGGCCAAACAGCCTGACAGATATGCAAGCCCCGAAACACGCTTCCCACTTGGCCATGAAAACGAATTCTCGGCGCACGGAAGACCATACGGGACGACCAAAATAGTCCTCTAGAAAACAAATGCTACTACTCCAGGGTCATCCTTTTCGCCTCCTCGCGCGCTTACCTACTCGCCCCTCGGTATCCCGAGTCAAGCACAACACAGAAAACTCGGGTGGCTCGCCTGTCGCAAAGTGCCGAACCCCCCATCGGCACCTCGCAGCCAATGAACCGGTCTCGTGACTCCCTGCAGCAGCCCGCATCACGTAAAGTATTACACCCTTCACCGCTCCACAGGCTCTGTGAGGCCGTGACAGTGCGGTCCGAGGAGCGCAGCGGGGAACGGGGGTGACGAGGCTGTAGGTTGTGCAACGTCCGCGCAGACTGCGCGGACGGGCGCCGACGGGATATAGTGGCGGAGAGCGGCTGTGTGTTAAACCCTGGGGTGCTGCGCGCGGGGCAAGATGGGTCCATCTGTGTGCGAGTGTCGGGCTGCGAGGTCGATTCAACACGTGCCAGCACACGCAGAATCGCAGCGCAGCGCATCGTCGCATGCACAGTACACACATGCGCCTCCTCGTCATCTAAATCCCTTTCTCTGCAAACCTTAATCCCACCTGCATGCAGATAGGCAAGTGAAGTGTGCGCTGGACGGTGCACCAAAGCCTGGACTAACCGCTCTCCACAACGCATGTTGGTCGCAGAGCAGTCAGCACAGCACTCGGTCTGGCACGCCTGCGCTAGCGCGGCCTCGGTCCCCGCTGTGGTGCTGTGTAGACTAGTCCTACCTACAGCGTGAGGGACGCAACACGTGCACCGCTCCTGCCGGGGATTACAAGGCCTTGCTGCGATCCGAGGGCTTCGGGTGAGGCACTCTGCTCACCGTTCCGCGCCGTAGCAAACGCGTATGAGGAGGCTGTGAGTGAAGCTGCAATGTCACAGTATCTTCGACAGAAAACGCTTCGTCTCGGTCGTCTTCCGGAGCGGATCCAGGCCAAGGGGAGAGGCGAGCGTGAGGCTACGGGGCCCTGGCTCGCGTGCAACGAGTTGCCAGACGCGGCACGCGCATCGCAGATCGCAGCGGCCCAGTTTTGATTTTCCGGGGGTTGTGCCTTGCCTCTGGCCCATCGACTCCCTGGCACCTCTAGCCCGCAGCGACGTTGCTGGCTTCAGCATCTGTCACGCCAAAAAGCAATGTTGGCGCCGCCATGCTCCGTACGTGAGCAAAGGTCGCCGCTGCGTCTCCGCGGTCTCCTAGGGCTGAGTGCCCCCGGCTCGCCGCCTGTTACACGCGGCGGCGAAAGGATTTCGGGGCCTCTCGTTGGCCGTGTTGTAAAAGTGATCGCTGCCCAGCTGCCCTGAGGGGATGTCGCCAGGTCTAAAGTGCAGGCCTTTCCCCAGCCTCATTCCATGTGGAGCTATTCTCCGCGCGGCCCCGGGCCTTCTTTTCCATGCGCGGTTTTTCTCAGTTTCTATCGAGTAAAATGCTCGTGTGCACGTTTCAGCCCGACGTCAGCGGTAGCTGGGCTGCCAGAAGGGATGTATTATTTTCTTGCAATGCAAAGGAGCCCCAACAGCGGAGCCTCACCTAGGCGGCAAAAACATGTCAGCATCGAATTGCAGGCAGAACGTTTCCCAACGTCCCATCCTGCAGCGCAACGCACCGCGGGGAATGTGAAGGGAAGAGGAACGTGCGGTGCATGATTCCCGCCAATCGAGGTTGGCCGACGAAGGGCCCAGAAGAGGAGGCACACGCACAGGGCGTACAGCACTCAGGTCTGCAGCAGGCCTCCCAGGGTCTTCTCCGCATTGTCCCCTCTGTCGGGTCATCCGACCCTTCGCCCAATATTGTATTATTAGACTAGACCGACGCCTCCACACATTCATTCTTACACTGAACTCCCACCATCTCTGTTCACGCCGCCGTGCAGCCAGTGTTACGTTCGCAGACTCACGATTCCTGATCGTTCGGGCGTATCCGAGGTATTGATCATTTCCACATCCGACGGGGCCACTGTGTGGCGGAGGTCTCCGAACCTGGTCGCGTGATGGTAGCGTAGCCTTTAGATGCGCTCTCGGCAACTCCAAGGCTGTGATTCACGTCCCAGCACGGGTCCGTATCACTGTTATTTCCCACCACATCCACCGGGAGGTAAAGTGTCGCACGCGTCCTCGCCGTCGCAGATCTCACTTGGTGTACTGTCTCCTCCTCTGACGCCGGAAGACTCGCACCATTCCAACAAGAAGCGGAGCGAGCATGTCGAATCCGGGCCTTACGCCTATTGTCTCCAATCGACAAGCGACGCCGCTGGACGGGGGGTAATGCCGCCTCTCTCCTCCCCATCTTCAACACCGTTACGGCCGACCTTCACCTTCCCGACACTGGGCAATGTTTCGAACACGGAATTCGCTTTCAGGATCCTGCCTCGACCTGAGGCACCTCTTTTGTTCCTGCCTGCATCACCCCCATCTCCACTATGCAAGCGTCGTCGAGCTATCGCGGATGTCGACGGCGAGCATTCGTGCCTGCACAAGAAGAAGAGAAGGCTGCGTCTCTTCTTGATCACGTCACGGCTCTCTCCGCAGTTCTCCCATCCTGCTACCAACATCGTAGACCGCGGGAGCTCCAAGATCGCTGTGTGGGCGAAGCAAAGGGCGTTGGGCCGCAATATACTGCGTAAGGCCGCGATATTGAACCGCATCCGTCGGCAAAGTATCTGCGCGCTGGAGACGGCTGGAGGTCTGGGCCGGGTCTTTGTCGAGCAAGAAAAAGAGCAAGAGCAGCTACAGCTAGCTCGGCTTACGTTGCTGTACGGTAGTCATGACTCGGCAACGCAGCCCATACGTAAAGAAGACCTCGGCCTACCAGAGGTGATTGAAACAAGGACTGGTGAACAGATCAGATCAGGTGGATCATCCCCGGCAAGTTCGACGGGGTCGTCATCGCCTCCACTGGACGCGTGCGACATCAACGATGCGAGCGAGTATCGGTCGCCTAATGATGCGTATGCATACTCGAGCATCTTTTCGAAACCGCCACGACCAGCGCACTTGCCATTGCCGCCTTCACCGCTTGGTCTGTCGAACTATGATGCTCTCGATTTGGAAGACGAGATTCCTGATCCGTACGCCCACCTCGACGAAGAGTACGAGGCAGCAGAACACGAAGAGTGCGAGGTCGACATGTCGTATCCTCTCGACACGCCGTTTTCGTTCCAGCCAACGCATGTCGATGTCAACGTTCTGGATCCAGGGGAGCGAGTCATAGGCGACTACGACCAGGTCGAAGAGGGTGCCGATGCCATATGGCCAGCGGCCCGCCAGACGCATAGCCGAAGCACAGATGCAGAGCTACCTTCATCCTCTTCGCCCAACTTCACAGCGACCCCAAATGCGGTCGCTCAGTCGCACCACGCTAGCTCATCGCTCAGCCCCACATCTTCTTCGCCGAACTTTGCTGGCTTGTGTATAACCCGCGATGCAGCGGGGCACAAGTTCCAGGCGAAACATGCAATTGATATAGAAAAAGAACGAGAAAGGCAAAAAGCACTCATGTTCATGGCTTATGGGTCGTAAAAACGTCTTGATATATTTGTTCCAGGCGGCTCTTGCATTTCAGGCGCTGTAGCTTCCGAGCATGGAAAACCATCAAAATTTATCTGCATCTGCATCCATGGGTGGGCTGATTTGACTGGGCTGGGTTTCCGGCCTTGAGGCCTTTGAAAAAGTTCATGGGAGGTTGACGTATCTGGTAATCTTGGCGTTTGATGGGTTGGGGCCTTCATCCTGTCGTTACTTGTATATAGCCATTGGTCCGGTCCATATGTGTTCAAATACATATGAAATGAGAACGATCGATACAGTGCGTAGTGAGCTGGCGACGCCAAAGTGAATGCTCGCATACACCCTGACTTGAGACGGTTGGCTACTTTTGCAATTTCGAGGCTCGATCGGCAGCAATGTCACACATGGCCTGTGAGAGAATGTTAAGTCGTGGCGTCTCGTAGGGATGAGAAACACACTTGTATGGCCTCTTGGCGCTCCGCTTTGATGTCACCTCGGACGATGCGTGTCCGCATATTCATCATGATGGCCGGTCTCGAACGGCCGTTGACGAAGACGCTACCTTTGATCAGTCATATGCACTGGAAAGTATTGAAAAGCCGTGAGCTTTACACGTATCTTAGTCCTGGAAACTTCTCTTCATATTCCTTGTTCAGCGCGGCCAGTTGCTCCTTCTCTTCCTCAGCTCCGGTGTGCAGCTGCGCCTGCTCAGCACGGCTCTGCTCGCTCTCGACCTTCTTCTCGCCCAGTCGCGGGTGCGAGCATAGTATCTCTGATAGCTTTTCGATATCTTTGGGATCGTCGGATTTCGCGAGAGCTGACAGCTGCGCTTTCACGGCGACGATGAGGATATCATAAGTAGGGAAGACAGTGGATTTGAGGACTGGGAGTGAAAGCGCGTGTAAAGGTGGAGAAGGTTCAAAAAGGAGGTCGAGCACCTGAGTAAGCTCATCCTCGGGAAGGTGCGACAGAGTGGAAACGGGAGGAAGTAATGTCATGTTGAATTTGGATGTTGAGCTCGACGATAGCAAGTCAGATGAGGTGTTTAGCGCTAGAAAGCCTAATAGAGTTTACGTAGAAGTAGTGAGCGAAGACGAGCGAACATTGGCGTACCGGCGTTGGCAACTGGACTATGTAGCGGAATTTTACGCGGAAAAGGGCGATGTGGGGGGCGGTCGCACCCGGCCGAGCAGAAGCAGTGCCGGCTCCAGCTAGGAGTCGTTGGGTGTCTACTGCGCGATGATGCTGGTGCAGTGGTGGGTGCCGGTTCGAATCAGGAGCATAAGAGTGACATTTGAAGTGGCACCGGGGGTTGGAGGGGTAGGGGGCTGATATTTCTGATAGCTGTGTGGTACCTGAGTCCCTTATCTACCCCCAGGGTACAGAACAGCACAGAAGCATCAAGAATGACTGGCTCTTAATGATGGGGCCCAAGTGACGAGAAACAGAGCCTTTGTGTAAACCGTGCGATCTCGCATGCGACGGTGTAGCTGCGATTAGCGTGCCTCCCAAGCTTGTCCTTAGCACGGCGCCGTACCGTGGAACTGAGATGGGAGGAACCCGCTGCTGGACGACTAGCTCCAGAGACTCGCAGAGCAATGCTTGAGCGAAATTGCCGATACACATACTCTTCTCCCACTCGTCTGATGCCCCGAGGGAGGATGGTCGCACAAGAAAGCCGCAGAGTGAGCGCTGATTGGAATTGTGGCAGGATGCAAGCAAGTGCAGGGAGTGAGTACCTAATGAAGTGCGTAGGGCGGGGCGGCGGGGTACCGGTCGAGGCCGACTACGACGACGACAACAGCTCGAGCTTGCGGGCTGCTGCAGGCGAGCTGAATGCATCACCACCACGGCGACGACCCCGTGCCGGTTCGTCTTGGAGACGGCCCGCGAGCCCTGCAGCTCTACGGCCTTCCGCGATGCTGGAACAGAACTACCAACCTTTGCTGGCGCGTCGGGCAGCTATCTGTGGTAGGCGGCGCGTGGCCCTAGACCAGTACACCAATGGCCTGCAGCAGATGGAGAGAGCTCCGACAGCAGCAGAGTGGACCACGCCATGCCAGCGACTGCAAAGCATCGCGAGAACACCGTTCGGAACATTTCCCAGTGGACTAGCTCCAGCTGTCGGTTGACGCACGCTGACTCTGCCGAACCTTTTCTGCCGTTGCTGTTCGTGCTGTCTCGCGCCTTCCCCGTCCGCTTGGCGCTGCTGAAACACCTGCCGCAAGCCCATTCACACTGAGCGCGGCACGTAGAGTCTGCAATGCCCGTGCCAGAAGCACCGCGCCCTCGCATTGCCCCTCTGTCCACGTCCGCGCCCCATTTCGTGCCTTACTTGTCCGCCCCTCGCAAATGCTCTGCCGAGTCGCGGATCCCGCTGTAGCGCAACCGGCCATCTGCATCCAGGGGTAGAGTGCACGGGCGACCAATCCCTCAGCCTTGACCTTTCTCCGCAGACGGACGGCCTTTTCTCGACAGACGGCCCCAGGCCTGCACAAGGAGCCCGCTGCGAGCTCCCCAAGCCTGTCGCGCGCCCCAAATGTCTCTGAACGGGCTCGACGACGCAGCCGTCACAGAGGCCTATACCGGCGCCCTGGGGGAAGCCGGCGGCTGGTACGACCACAGGCCCACCGTAACGTACCCAAGAGGAAATGCTGACCCAGCTGCAGGTTTCTGCTCAAGTATGCTTCGCGCGACTCGGTCGAGATCCTCACCCGTGGCACCGGCGGCGCACATGAAGCACGCACAGCCATCGCCGCCTACCCAGACAACTCGCCATTGTACGGCTTCTTGCTCTACCGCCGCCGAAAAGTTTTGATCAAATACGTACCCGAGGGCACGTCGCGCTTACTGCAAGGTGTGTCTGCCCTCCCATTGCTGCATTTGCCCGCCGCTCACACATGCCACAGCTCGCGTCGCCGTACACTTTACAGCCGTTACCGACAAATTCGCCCCCCATGATACCACCTTCTCCATTACCACACCCGACGAGCTCAGCGACGCCGCGCTCACATCGGCATGCTCGTTGCACACCGCTGCGCCTTCAAGCAGCTCCTCGAGCCTATCCTCGCGAAAGCAGAAGCTAGATGGAATCACAGAAGACGTCGAGGATGCGCAGAGCACCGCTGGCGCCAGCGAGTCGCCATCTACAGCACGCCCTTCTACAGCCAATACTGTGACGGGAAACACGCCGAGTCCTCTCCCTGAAAAGACCGCAGAAAAGGAGGTTGAGAAGAGTGCATCAATTGATGAGGACCAAGCAAAGGCCGATGGGGAAGCCGCCGAAAAAGCACCTGCTACTGCCGACGAAATTACCGACAGGCTTGAGCTTCTGAGGACGCCAACAGCGCCTGACCGCGACAGCTTCAAGAAGTACGATGCGCTCTTTGAGAACGGACCAGACCCCCGTCTCTCGTCTCAAACCACCCGACCCGATCTAGCCGATCTATACGCCGAGATATATGCACAATATAACAAGCCCAAGGTAAAGCTAGGCCCCAGACCGAAAGCATCTCTGGATATGAAAAGACCAAGTACTTCGGGCGCCGGCACACAGAGCGTAACGCGACCAGTATCGTCTCTGCCACCAGGTCTGCGCTCCTCGAACCGAAAGAATGTCGAACCTAGACGACCCAAGTCGAGAGATGCCAGCACAGTACCCAGCATCGCTATCCCTCCACCACCGCCGATTCCCATGGCGCCTGAAATGCCTCTATCTCCCATGTATCATCCGAAAAGCCCTACAAGTATCAGGTCTTTGCCGATGAATACCTACAGCAGTCTGCACGGCCGGTCTCACGGATCAAGTCAAGAGAAGCAGCGGTTGATGAAAGCCTTGCAGTTGAGGAAAAAGCAGATGGAGGCTAGGAAAGTACGAGAGGAAAAGGACGCTGAAGCAGCGGCGGAGGACACGACGGCCGGTGCAGAGGAGCACGTAGCTGATGAGAAAGCTGTTGATGATCCCACGCTGCCTGCAGATGCACCAATCGAAGCGCATGATGAACCAGAGACCGCCAAACAGCTAGCATCCGAGAACGACGAAGTGACCGGAGCTCTCGATCAGGAGGAACCGAAGCCTGAAATACCACCTACACGAGCCGACACAGACGATATACATTCTGCAGCCTCCGCTTCTTCACCGACGTCTGCACAAACCCAAGGGTCGTCAGTTGCGCCTTCGACGAGGCCGTCGTCAATTTCAGAGGACGATGTGCCACCTGCTAAAGAAATCAAAGAAGAAACTGTCACTGAACTACCTGTGCGACCCGATGAAGCGCTCGCTGACAACGAGTCGACGTCAGCCGAGAGCACCCCTACGGTGGTTCCAGAAACCACAACACCCGTGCCGTACCTCCAAGTTTCCAGACCAAGTATGGACACCACAGCGGGTGCCTCGGAGGATACAGTATTCGACGACTCCGGAGAGCGAAAGAAAAAGCGGGAATCCATGGTCCTCGTTTCGGCTAGTGAAATCGACGAAGCTCGTGCGCGCAGGAAGTCTAAAAGAGCATCAATGATGCTACCACTGTCGTCGGAAAGCCTGTTCGACACGCGAAACAAGACATCATTGAACGAGCAACCCACCGCGGAGGGCAAAGAAAACCGTCGCCATGTCGTCGATCCATCACATCTCAGTGCTGAAAACTCCGAAGCCGAGTATCTGAGCGACGATTCCTTTATGGAGGAGCTGCAAAGTGCAAAGGTTGAAGAAGCCATGCCAATGTCTGTTTCCAAGTCCCCTATCACGCCTTTCTTCTCACGGAAGCCCTCCAGTCCCGAGTTCTCTGTTCCAAAGAGGTCGGCCTCGCAACATGCCCGGCTAGGCGGTCACTCTCCAGAGCAGCCAGGTCTGCGAAAGCTATCAGGACCGTGGGTGAACCATGCCAGTACAGAGCCGGTGGTGGTTGCTAAAAAAATCAACGTTGGATCGGGAATCTCGCAAAGAATCAAAGCCTTGGCTGAGAAGTCCAACCGAGATTCGACCGCATCGTTGAGCCCTGTGATCACTCCGGACGGTGTCTCTTCGACTGTTGCACAGCGCAAATCGTCATTCTTCACGACCCCTCCAGACGGCAACTCGCCAACTGGGAAATCCGTCAATCGCATGTCGCGCGCCTCCTTCATCAATGTGTCTAGGTCAACCACGCCAGAACCGAAGCCAGCTGTACATGCACCGCGCGCAAAAACCCCCACACAGCCTCAAACAGTGTACACTATGCAGCAAGGGTCAGAACGGCCCGAATCTGTACAGGTCACTGCTCGCATCGTCCGTGATGCGCAGCCGCAGAAGCCCATTCTCACAATGCCAACGGAGACCAGCCCATTAGAGCTTCACCGGAGCGCTATCACCATCGATCATCAGAAATCCACCCGACCACCAACATCGAGCTCAAAGCACAGTGCTACCAGGACAGAGCCAACGTCGCCGAGACCACCCTCTTCTTCACAATCGAACGAGCCTGTCCCCAATCTTCCTCGATCATCTTCAGAGAGCAGCTGGCGATCCTTCGGTCGACGGCACAGCGAGTCCAAGAACGGTGGCCCGCCGCGCAGCATGTCTGCAAACAGCTTGGTTGAATCAAGCAGTGACGAAAAGCCTGCGAAGAAGGAAAAGAAAGATTCGAGGACCAGCAAGCTATTTAAGCGAATGTCTTCTATCTCCTCGATCACGCGGAAGAATTCGGCCCCCAGCATTCCAGAAGACATCCCCTCTATTCCTCTTCCGTCCCTACGGGAGCCTCCTTCGGCTGTTCAACTTGGCGATCTTAATATACAGTTTCCAGACACTTTGCTTTGGAAACGTAGGTGGGTTGAGATCGATGCTTCAGGCAACCTCGTCTTGAGTCAGTCAAAAACCACTGAGCAGTCGAAGGGTGGTATCATGAGACGCTTCAGTTTAATGGAATTCCGAGCCCCCTTTGCACCCGATCTGGACCAACAGGAACTCCCGAATAGTGTCGTGCTTGATTTTCTCGACGGACGAACGCTACAATTAGCTTGCGAGACCTACTCTGGGCAGGCGCAAGTGCTCGCAAGTAAGCAAAATACATCCTCTTTCAATGTTGAACGTTGCTAATCAAATCACAGTTCTCTCAGAAGCCCACACCGCCTGGACCGATTACAATCAGGGGCTGTAAACCAAGAGTACCTTGACACACCATTTCTCCGTTACTTAGAGACGGCTGCTATATCTTTACTTGTTCTGCACCAACTCATACCCGAGGCCTGCGTCTCATCTCTTTTGTTCCATGACTGTACGACTGTCTTCACTGCATCGCTGCATGCATTTCCTTGTGTTGGTTCGGTGGTGCTTGCATAGCGTGGGTCAGAGCTCTCTTGTGGGGAAAGCTGCAAGATAAAGAAGTTGATCCCTGTTCCGTGTTCTGTTAGGCTTTGGCGATCTTCCCATTTCAGCGCTCACAGCGTTCCATTTCGTTCTTCGGCGGCTTTGTGCATTTGAGGCTGGCGGTTTGGGGCTAGGAAGGGAGGGCATACTTAACTTAAGACTGTATAATATTCAATGCTGCACTGGTTCTGCAGCGTTTTCTGTGGAATCCATACCCTTCCTACATGCCACCCCTCTCTTTCCCCTCGTTACTGTATCACGAAGAAGCTCTCCTGCAATGCATCATGCACGCGCCCGAACACGCCCCCAAACCACCCCCGGAACTCCACCCATTCATCCTTTGGCATAAGACAACTCAACATATTCAGCCACCCGCCTACAATCAAATCGGCATAACACGGCTCCGGACCCTCCAGCCAAATGTGCCCCTCCCCACTACCAAACAGCGCCGCCACGCCCTCCATCGCATCTTTGAACCCACCCTCAAACAATGGCCTCCTTGCCTCGCCCGGGATAGTGAGATCGTCCCAGCTGTTCAGGTGCGCGCGCTTGCACATGAGGGCTTTCGCGGCTTCCGCGGTCGCCGGGTTGAATGGCAGGAACTGGCCGTAGAGCGCCATGTTCGCGGAGAAGGTGGCGTCGATGTGGAGGTTGAAGGATGCAAAGGTTGGGTGCGTGGAGCCGGCGTTTGTGGTGATGGGGGCGAAGAAGGGCGTGTCTTTTGCGGGCGACGAGTAGGTTGTCCACTTCCCCTTTAGCGATTCCTGTGGGGGGAGCAGGGGCGGGGATGGAGATGGGATCGTGGCATCGAGATAGCTAAAGAGGGTGCGGAGTCAGGATGGGCAGTGGCAAACGTGGCGGGAGTAGTAGTTGGGCGTTGGGATTTGGGCTCTTGCCGGAAGGCTTCCCTGAAGATAGATGTGGCAGACGGGAATCAACTACTTGGCACACTGGCCGTCATTACGTACCGCGCGATGTCGAAGCTGTCGCCGATGACTTGCCCTGTGGAAGCATCGCGGAGGATGGGCAGCGTGAAGAAGTCGCTGCCATCATCTAATTTGCGGGTTGCCGGGCAATTGAGAGAGCGCCGCACGCGCTCGATGTCTGGGATATCAACCCACTCTGTGCGGAACGAGGCACGTTTGAAGCCTAGGGCTAGGCGCGCTTTTGAGGGGTTGGGGGCGTAGGAGCGGGGTTGGAGAGGGGAGGAGATGTCGTAGAGGGTGAGGTCGGGCATGACGGTGGCTGTGGCTGAAGGATGCAGATTTCTTCTAGGTAGGATGAGAGGGCGGTGGTCCAGGTGGGCTATTTGAGTCGCAGAACCGCGAGGGGTTAAGCTCGTATGGAGTGGAGAAAGTGTATGCATGCCAAGACAGGGTCCCGCTTCGTGGCACCTGAAATAGCAGATTGTTGGTGAGGGGTTTCGAGAAGGCAGCTGTGCAAGTTTGGGGGACTTCTCGTTCGTGAGTGGTGCGGAAGGAAATCGGACTAGTGGTTGCTTCTGCCTGTGCCTGCCCGATCAGTCGTTATGCTACTTTGATCGCTCCTGTACCGGTACCGGTACCTCCGTTCGGTCGAACCGAATCCACAATAATGAACTCTAATTTTTATTCTGTCTCTCTGCCTCTGTTGTTCATATCACCATATTAAGCTTATTCCAAGCTTTTTCTGACACTTTAGCACATTGTATCGAGGCTTTCAACAATTACCAGTCAGCAGGGAGGTAGGGAAACAGAATAAATATGTCAAGATTTCATGTTGAGGAGATCTCTTGTATGGGAAGGTGGTAAAGGAACATTTGCAAGGCACCGATTCCAAAAAGAGCTCAGGACATGATGCGGAACGCTAAGCAAGAAAGACCTGGTCTCTAGAGACACAGACTGACCAAATCGCATCCGCCAATCAGGCAAATTGCATAAATCTACTTATGGAACCGCCAATAGGCCAAAGAGGCAAATTTTGCGCCGTGACGTAGAGCAGAAGCCAGTCCTATGGCTAGCAGAGCGCCGACGACATGCGCTGTTGGAAGCAACAGGATGATCTCGCGACCATAATTTCGAGTCCAGATGTCAAGCCATCGTTTGTAGTGAACTGCGATAGGGACCGGTTGCGGGGGCAGCAGTGACTGTAGAGATTGTCCAGGATTTCCAGGCTGCCCAGGTTGTACAGGTCCATGATAAGACATGTCTGAGAAGGCTTCTAGTGCCTTCATAATGTCATTCGCTGCTAGTTCGCGATTGTCATTTGCTGCAATAGCGCAGGCGAGGCGAGTTACGTTCTTAATTTGTCTCCCGTTAATTTCATAAGCAGCAACTTCATCGAGAAATTCGTCATCGAGCCAAACAGGGACCGTGGAAGATGATGTGCTTGAGACAAAAGTGGTCCATATAGTGCGCCGGGCTTCTTCGCCCAATTGGGGATAGGCTAGCATCAGGTGAACACGCGAAGCAAACGCGTCATCAATGCTTTGAAGCCGGTTGGTCGTCATGAACATGATTCCCTCAAAATACTCCATGACCCTGAGAAGAACTACCGAACTCGGGTCAGTATTATATATGAGAGAGGTACGGTTTCTCACCTGCTACCAAAGCGTTACGAGTGCTGTCCCACGACGATCTTTGCACCATAAAAACGTCTGCTTCGTCCAGGAGAATGTACGCATTCCACCTAGTCGCCAGTTTGAGAGTCCTTGTCAATTCGCGTTCAATCAATGCACTGTTCTGGCCCATCTCTCCCGCTCCGATCGTGTAGAGGGGCCTCTGTGTTATCTCGGAGATGCTTTCTTGTCAATCCATACCGTTAGCTGGTGCTTCTGCTTATGACTTCTATTCATACCGGCAGTCAAAGTTTTGCCCACGCCAGGTTCTCCGTGCAGCAGGAAAAGAAGACCTTTTCCTTTGCCTTTCACCAGATCGTCAAAGTCCGATAAGTGGTTCTGATGGGCGTTTACAAGAGATATAAGCAAGTCCTTATAATGTTGTGGCAGGACAAGTGCATCGAACGCCTGGCGATTGTATTCAATCTCCGCCAGCCCGCTCACCTTGAAGAGTCCCCAACGACGATGCTGAAACGAGAAGCCAGCAATCTCCTGCGAACATATGAGTATGTCATCATCGCAAAGCTTCTCGTGTTCCATATCCTTGCCACGGATCAATTTGGAGCCTTGTATGTAATCACTCATGCTGGGATCAATATTGCTGACGTATTCCTCACAGTCCACAACGACTCTTCCGTCCGCCTAAATTTTTTCAGTATACATCACTTTGAATACAGTGAAAATCCCTCACCTCTAAGGTCTCATACTCGGCGTCGCCATCGTCATCAATATCCTTGAAGATCCGCGCAGTGCCACGATAGTTTCGGTGGTTCACTCCCAGCAATGTGAGAAAGACCCTGCCTCTAGCCATTAATGACTCCCGAATTCTCAGGTTATCCTTGTGAAACCGTAAAGGTATGATTTCCAGGTCGGAAAGGGAACGAAAGCCGTCGTAAACGAAAATACTGGTGTTGCCCCAGGAATAAATAAAATCTTCGCCATCGCATTTGATGATCTCGCATGACAGGTACCAGAACTTTGCGTATCGAAGAGGTTGGGTGTTGCACTCTTGGATTCTCATGCTTCGCAAACGACATACCTGGCCCTCGCCATTAATGTTATGGTAAAGAAGGTCGCCTGGGCGGAATACCATCCACAGGTTGTCAAAATCCAACCCAGGGGTTTCGGTGTTGCTGGCCATATGAGTCTCATAGCTCGCAATCTCTTTCCGAAGAGCTTGCCGTACGTATTTGAGCAGGTACGTTACATGCTGCTTCACATCTTCATCACTGTTTGCTTGTGCGTAAGCGTTGAGCTCATCGCGATAGTGAAAGAGGCAGCGTGGCTCGTCGTAAATTTTGAGAATGCCCGACGTTCCGATATCAACGCCAGGGTATTTCCCAATTACATCCACCATCGCCTTCTTGATGTACGGCGACCTGATCTCGAGAATTGTGGATTCCAGAACCTTGGATTCATCGTAGCACCGCATCAATACCAAAGCCGCATCTGGACTGCGGATCTCTTCAGTATCCAGCTCTTCTTTCGCGCCAACCTGAAGAACAACCTCTTCGCCCTTGCTGTTGAATCGCGTCTCATACACATGGAGCTCGCAAATTTCACCCAAATTTATTTCGTGTTCGGCATTTTTGTCGAGATCACTCAAAGATCCGATACTTGGGGAACGATCAGGTGACGATTCTAATGTCGTGTACGCAATCGGCAGATTTTCGCTATTTTGTTGGTCACAATCCATGCGGTTCGGCAGCCCAAGCCCAGACTCTGGAACGTCGGTATCTCTGAGGTCGGATCCATGCCCCGCGACGGAACTTGAAGGTGCATCCATCTTTACTGTATATTATGGTGATGCCCTAATGGTCACGAAGAAGCAGGCGAAGTATTACTGAAACGTTGAAGAAGCAAGATAGCAAAGACACGGACACGGTGCACTTTTCGTAGAAGAATTATTCAATAAGATATAGTACGACAAGGCAAGCTTAAGGCTACCGGGCGGCGCAGCCGAGATATTGTGGCGCTTGATACGTGGAATGCATGGTTGTACAACATGATGACATACGCCTCGCTAGGCTCCCTTCCGGTCAATCCTTCTCTCTCCAACCTGTCCAATGTTGTTGTACGGCTGCTCCGCTCTGCTCTCCTCTAGCCAGCGTTGCATCATGGGGACATACGGCCCGTTCGATGTTCCGGCCCCCGTGGAGCGGAAGGAAATGCTCGAAAGGTCTGTCGGGTTTCGGTCCAATGGCGTGTATGTAGAGGAGCTCGCATTTACAGCCCCCGCGAAACCGTTATTCTTGCCCTGAACAAGATCTGTATCAGCACCAACCGTCCCTTTCCCCTTCCCCTGCGACACAAGACACACATGCTACTCACATAGCCAGACGATGTCGATCTCTGCTTTTCGTTCTGCATTTTGAGGTCGATATCAGCGGATCGGTTCAGATTCAACTATATCAATTTTGAAGAAAAAAATTTATCAGTAGTGGAAAGCGCAGTGGAAGTGGAGTGGTCGTCAAGCAATTCGATATCATATCCGGGATTTATACTTGGGGATGCTTCAATTCAAAATACTTTTGCTCGCTCTGAACTTCTGATGGTCTTGCATGTCGCCGCCATGTGCAATTACGCGTGTCATTGCGACTCGCACGTCTGATCAGAACCTTTGGGAACTATGGTCGTCGGCGGGATCATCAAAGGGACATTAACCAATGCGCTTTCGACTGACGAGTTCTTTCCCCAAACAATTGTATCGCTCTGGTGGGTCTGCTCTGGCGGTGTGTGCGGACTTTGGTGAACTTTGGTACAGTTGGCTGTATAATGCGGCGCGCAGACTAAGATGCCTCAGACACCCACGGACCTTTCGCGAACTTTTGTTCCAAGCGCGAAAGGCTGTCACAGTGGACTGGTGGCTAAGCACTTGTGACTATCCTATTGGTGCGGGTGCAGCTGCGACAGGGATCTTGAATGTATCGGCGCATGGAGTGAAGTGAGGCTGTGGACTGGAAGTTGCCTAATCGCGGGGGCATGCGCAACAGACCTTTTGCGAACTTCTGCGAACTTTGGCTGGCGGCGTCACAGGAAGCTCGGAACGCTTGAACCCTTTGTTCACAGTAACTAGTAGCCAACCCTATATATTTTTCAGTCATCCTCTTGATCCTTCACTATTTTGCTCTTCCATTCTCACTTACAGCCTTGTAGTTGATACCAGACATGGACCACAATCCGTCAGAATCGCCGGTGCGCTTCAACTGGAGCCCGAATCTTGCGGCTAGCATGCTCACGCCTATTGACTACAACGCCAGTGGGGTCGACATCTCCCAAGACCTGCACTGGACACAGCCTACATCTCCACCCTACCATGCACACGACCAAAGTCAGCGCGAAGCGACATCGGACAATGTGAACGTCAACCCGCTCAATCCGCTTAACCGTGAAAGTAACGATGTCACGATGGAGGACATCCTGGATCCTCGAGCTCCTAATCGTCGGATCCCTTTACCAACCATTGCTTCTGCGTCTCGACGGTCCAAGTATGCGGATCTTGATTGGGATGGTCATCGAGAAAAGCTTTACGAGTTGTACATTCAAGACGGGAAAACTCTATTACAGACGATGGAGATCATGCGAGAAGAGTTCGATTTCGATGCGCCGTATGTATTGCTAGTCTTCCTCAACGCACCGATTTGTTCACTTCGCGAACTTCCGTACTTCCCAATGCACATTGTCTGACTTCTTCAGAGCCAAAGCATTCAAAGACAAGTTCAAGTACTGGGGCTTCCAAAAGAACTTGCCCAGAGAGACGGCTCAGTGGATGGTTCGAAGGGCGTTGTTGAGGAAAGAAAGAAGCAAGGAGACACAATTCGAATATGGAGGTCAGAAGTGGACGCTGGAACAGGCTCTGAGCCGCGCCAGTCGTTCCAAGAAGCCAATAGAAGAATGTGAGTGAGGCCCGTGATTGAGAAGCTCAACTGACTGGTCCTCAGTGGCAAACACACCGGAAGGCATGGTAGTTACTACTCCGGACAACCCGAACGACGCAGTTCCGCCAGGCAATCACGATGATGATGATGAAGAAGAATTTCCGAGGAGTCCCAGTGTTACTGCCATAGGCTCTGATACCCTGCCAGCTGCGCGTGGTTTGCCGCTGAGCTACAATGGCAAGACCAGGCAGGACCTCGCCGATATTCTCAAAGTTGCGCGAGCATCTGCACAGCAAAAAGATGCTGCTAAAGCAGAGCAGGCTTATATTGACGTATTTCGTGGTCTCGAGCACCTTCTATCGCCTACCGCTGTGGATACTGTCAAAATCGGATACGAAATTGCATCATTTTATTGGGAGCAAGGCCGTAAGGCTGATGCAGATGGCATGCTGGAGACCATGTCAGCAACCCATATAAAAGAGCTGGGCATGCATAATCGTAGCACCCAACAGCACATCCTTCACGTCGTAGAGATGTTGAACAGCTGGAAGCGGGGCGAGGATGCTCTAGTGATGTTACAACACGCCAGAGATATCGAAGAAATTGAAAGGGATGCTCGTCCTCGGAGGAGAAACAGAGCGCAAAACATGGCAACCTCGAGCCTTTCAGTAGATGAGAAGCTCCAATCGCTCTATACCGAGGTCGATAGCGCGGTGAATTCTACCCCCATCGACGAAGGGCTCGTCAACGCTCGTATTTTCATGGGCACAAACCATCCCACCATTGAGGTCTTACTGAAAGCCATTGAGAGACAGTGTTTGGATGGACCATCAGGAATGGTTGCCCAAGGACTGCGAGCAAGAGCTGAGCTTCTCAAACATTACATCAGCAAGGGTGGCCGTCTCTCGGCTGCAGACAAACATGCCTTTGAAACTGCAGGAGATCGTCTGAAAATTTTCTGGCGTCGCACCCGCTGGGACAAGAAGCAGTTTCAAAGTCATGAGGTTATAGAGGCTTCTCTCGAGCTTGCTGCCGGAGTGCTACGTGGCAAACTGGTGCAACACGCCCGGTGGATGTTCGGAGAAATCGAGAAGAAGGCAACTGATGTCTTCGGAGCAGATGATGAGCGGACCATCTGGACGCTAATCAACATTGGAATCATATACCAGACATACAGAACCTGGGAGGAGGCTAGGCGCTGGTTTGAGACAGCGCTTGCAGCTTCCCTCGCAGCGTGGGGCACTAGTGATGGCGTAACTAGAGCTCTGGAGAATGCTAGGGACAATCGTCATTTTGCTTATCTCAACGACGAGGGCAGACCGTTCGAGACCATTTTTGGAGTATGTGGCATAACGATCCGTCCAACGAGGCTGCATCTGGAGTAAGGAATCATCTGTAGCTGTCGTCGTGCGTGGAATAAAGTAGGGCTAGTCACAGCGATAGCCAAGTCGTTCCCGTGTTTTTGATGCGCCTCTGCTATATCTTCACATTCCCACGAGAGTCGTGCTTTCAGTGCCTACTCATGGTCGAAAGGGAAATTGTGATAGAGACAGCTGCAGGACCGCTGCCGTTAGGCGTCGGTGTAAACCCCCAGTCGTGACGTCACCCAAGCCTTTACTGCATCGTGGGCGTAACAGCTCACTCAGCTCCGTCAGACCACCAAGGGACAGACCATAAAGCCTGCCAAAATGAATCGCTATCACCATCACTGTCACAATTACAACCACCCAATATGCCATCTCCCAAGACCCTCCTCTCGTTCTATACATCCCTAGTTAAATCCCTCCTCGCTGTAATCTTTGCTCGCCTCTACAAACCCCAGGAGATACCGCCCAAAGATCTCAGAGGCCAGACGGCAATAGTAACTGGGGCGAATAGTGGCATTGGGCTCTCCATTGCCGTCGCCCTTGCAAAACAGGGCACAGCTGTCTGTCTCGCCTGCCGCAACCCGGATCGCGGAGCCGCAGCCGTCGAATATGTTACCTCCTCTTGCAGCGGCAACTCTCAGGGGAAAGTCACCTGTCGGATCCTGGATGTAGGGGACTTGACCAGTGTGCGTTCATTTTGCGAGAAATGGGATGGCGAAATCGACATGCTCGTGCATAATGCGGGTATCGCTGAGCCCGCCTCCGGAGGCCCAATTATAAGCAAAGAGGGCTTGGATATCATGTACACGACGAACTTCCTAGGGAGTTTCCTAATGACGCACCTACTCAAGGCGAGGCTGAGTCCGACGGCGCGAGTAGTATTCACCAGCTCGTCTGGGGCCTACTCCGGGGCATCGCACTTTCTCCAGGAATCCAGCAAATCTTCGCTAGAACATCGTGCACCCGGTCTACTTGCACGGACAACCACCCGGATCAAAGACTTCCTAGGCATCACCGAAAGCTCCGCCCCTACATACGCCCTGACTAAAGCCCAACAAGTCCTCTTCGCCTCCCTTCTGCAGTCTCACTTTTCCGCCTCGCCCTTCCCTAGACGCACAGCCCACGCTTTCACACCGGGTTTCACGTCGACACCGATCTTTGGCAAACTGGTTGTCTCGTGGCAGACTTGGTTCTCTAACCCTCTTTTCGCGGCGCTGAAGATGACGGAGAAGTGGATTGCGGTGGATACGGATGAGGGAGCGAAGACGGGTGTGTGGTTGGCGACTTGGGGGAACGAGCTGGGGATTGAAGGGAAGGGAGGGGGTTTTTGGGAGTGGATGGAGTGGAGAACGAGTTTTGTGGAGTTGATGGGAGAGACGCGTAAAGAGCGGGAGTGGGATACGTGGGAGAGAGACGCAGGAGCTGTTTGGGACAGATAATTGGGGATGGTCGGAGGGGCGTAACATTGTCATCGGTGAGGCTCGAATCGACAAAACTCAAACAGTCCAGTGATGCCGAAGTGATATCAGCATTAGAGTAAGCGCGGTTAGCATCAGCAACCTTCCACAGCCAATACTCGACAAGAGTTTAGTTCGTTGACATGGCGGCCACAAGTAGAGCCCTGTTCATGGGCATTTGAGAAGTAACCACAGATGCGTAAATGCTTTCCGCTTCTGAAAGCAGCCATTGAATGAATTGCAAGTCGGATCTAGGGTTTCTGAGCTTGGTAAGCCTGGCGAGGCGGCCCGCTCGAGGAGCAGCGTAGAAAGCTTCTTCAATGTCTCGCGCCCGAAGGCATGTCTTGATAGCATCCATCTGGCACACAGCCCAACGAGACCTGGCTTTATCAATAAAATCACAACATGACGTCTGACTTAAATTACATGCCATGCGATGGTGATCGTAGTTTTGATGTTGAAATTCAAGTCCGTGGACAGGTCTCGCAATCTAGCATGTTCGCAACAGCTCTCGATGCAGGCTTGACCTTCTCCGAGCTCATTTCGACAGATTGAGTCAGCGCATCTGTAAATTCGCTCCTTTGAGTCGATCCTAGTGTGTCAGTCTACCACAGTCAACCATGGCAAATAGTTCCTCTCGTAAAATCCTTGATCCGGGATCTCGTCCAGGGCGTCTAGGATCATGAGAGCCCGCTTGGAACAGTACTCAATTGTCTCCCTCAGAGCGCCTACGAGCTTTGTCATGGAGGGAGAGTGGCCTTTATACCGAAACTCAGTGTACGTGCTTCGCACTGATTCAGGAATGGAATCATCAGCTGCCCAAAGCTGACGTAGTGGAACCCTTTGCATGGCGTCTACGGATTGAGTTTGTTGATCTTAGAAGTCGAGATAGAAGTAAGCCAGCCTTTCATCTTGCGAACAGTCGCATAATTGCTTTGATGCCTCAACGACTGTAGAACAGAGGGCGCTTTTGCTACTTTCGGCTAGGAATTGTTAGCAGGGTAATGATCCTGTGCGCTGGCTTGAAGGCGATCGCACCGATGCTGGGCTTACGTATTCCAGTGAGCCATATGAGGGAAGGCATCTGTATCGATCGTTGGAATGTCTCTGATTTCAAGAACCAGAGTCCAGTGTTTGGCACTTTGGATTTGATAGCGTTGTTGAACCTGATTTGCCTTGAGATGTTCTTGTTTGTGCAGTGGCCATCTGACGTTACGCAACCATTTTCTTGATCTTGAGTTCGTGGGAGCGATATACAAACACAGTGTGCTGTTCACTTCAGAAACTTTGTTGTCGCACAGCTCGGTCGTTCCGTAAAGAACTAAGCAGTCTTCGAACTTGTTCCCTCGATGAGTCTGCTGTTCGGTGAAGCGTTCGAGTTGCTCCAAAACCCCGCTTAGTGCACTAAGCTCTTCGACGAGCTCCTGTGATTCTGTAGTCGTGTGTTTAACTGAGGTGACATATCCTCTGAGGCATTGTTGCAGCTAAATGGTGAAGCTGAGAAGCCCCGCGATACCTGCGGTGATGCCGAATGGATCCATATACCGTAAAAGCGAGTTAATACGATATTGTTTTCAATGTTGAATGCGATGTGGGTGATATTAGGTTCATCGTGGGGCTACGACTTGCGCGTTGCAGCCCAGCCTGGTGAGGTGAAGCGCATGCCAAGTGTCGTGCATATGCAAGGCTGAGAATGGGACGACTATCGGTCAATTTGGGAGTTGGTAATTGAGATTATCACAGTATATGTATTTGAGCATCAGTCGTCTTCTGACCACCCGGGTGGTAACCAGCCGATAGGCCGCGGTCTCCACAACCCAGGATACTTCTGCGGCCCACGCATCTGCTTTGTGTCGCTCAACGACTCCGAGACTAGTGATTCTGCCTCAATGACATCCACATCCATCTCATCTGGACCAGCTTGAGATCTAGGAGGAAGCGCTTGCGCGTCGTCATCTTCATATGCATCCTCTTTTGCGACTCCCAAAATCTCGAGCCATGATTTTCTTCCCGGCACACTGCCATCCTTCAACAGGTCCTCCGCTAGCTTTAGCGTCCAGAACGTAGGTGTCGAAAGACAGAGACCCAAGACGTCATCCAGCAATTTCCTTCTGCGGGGCTCTTGTGACTCCTGCTGCCATTCTGCCGAGTCGAGCATACGGACCACCCACGCACACATGCCCTCCATCGCGGGATCCTCCTCAACGCTTGCCGTACCGCGCCCAGGCAAGGCCAGCACACCAATCATTCGCTCGGTTAGTGTCTGCAAAAACAACGAATCGATGGTGCCAAGCGCGGTGACGAACGGCGTCCAGATGAGATATGCGCCCTCCATGCTACTTCCCAGCTTCTTGCCCACAGGGAGAATGTTCCTCTCCGCAACCAGCAAATGCACCAGTATCTTCCCCTTCACGCTCCCCGCAGCTCCAATCCGCAGCCAGCCCCCGACCGCATTGTCCGCTGCCCGTGGGCTTTTACTCCTGCTCTTGATCTCCGCTTTGCGTTCCTTGACATAACTTTTCAGCACGCCCTGCAGCCGCTCCTTGACCTCAGACTCGTCGAGCTGCTGCGCGCTCCCAGCAGACGTGAGCAGCGCATCTAGATGCGACCAATAGTGTTCCCAAAGCCACTCGAGGCTCTCGTTTGCAGCGCGCTTGAGCTCGGCGAGCGAGGGGAGATGGCGGTGGACGATTCGGTGCCGGGTCTCGCGGAGGGAGACGGGGAATTGAGGCGTGGTCTGTGCCGGCAGACTGAGGCGTGCGAGATCGGAATGTGTGTCGAGGATGCCGGTCACGAATCTGCATCCTGTATTAGAGAGGGAGAGCGTAGGAGGATAGGTGTGTAGGTACCTTGATATCGCGGTCGCATACACTAGTCTCAGCGCATGAGATGGCACGCCCTGTTTACCATCACGCAGCTTGGCTTCGACGATATCCGCCGTGCTCTCCAGCAGCAAAGGCAGCTCGAGCTTTCGCGCCCGCCATGCGATAATCTGAGGGCCATGACTTAGCGAGCAACTCAGCAAAATCTGTTAGACAGAGTGGTCAACGAACCTTGTTCACTGCTCTCTCGCGCGCAACATCGTCGTCTGCAGCAAAGAGATCGCGCCGTACGGTAAGTAGCTCATCGGCATCTCGCCAGGGCGTAACGACGAATTGCGGCGCCATGGCGAGGCCGCGGCGCTACAAGAACATTTTCGAGGTTTGAAGCGGCATGCGCTAGGCTTTAACGCCAGCTTTAAATCCGTGCTGCAACAACAGGACAACTTTTGTCTCCAACTATCGACTTTGACGATTGCATTTTCTCGAGCTTCTCCACTTCAATTCGGCTCTGTTTACGAGCCTTTCTACCACCACCACCCTTTACCTGGGATGGGACTGCCTCCCCCTCTTGATCGATGGATCATCGATCCTGGACTGATCGGTCAGGAGGCCTAGTCATTCATCACATGGGTGAAAATCCAAGTATCCTGATTTTAGGGAATATGCTCTGAAGTCCAGATCGGCCTATTGCCGGCTTAGGGTCGCTGTGCTTCTCACGAGCTGCTGGAGAAGTTTGTTTCGTAGCGCTGGCGTCACAGTACGTTTGCAGCGCCACGAGAGGAGACATGTGGCTCGATATCAAAGAAGGCTTCGGCGTCGTCAGTACACTCGTCTAGCTCTTTGTCTTAGTCCTGAAGCCTCGATCTATGCCTCGCGATCAACGACCCAACTAGGGGAGGCGTGGATTTTGGACACGAACACCCCTACCCCAAGCACCAGAGACGAAGCATCTATGACAATTCACAACTGTGCCACAGTGTCAGATCAACATCGATCCACAACAACAGTCAAGCCGGCCTCGGAGCATTAACCACGACACGTGAACGCGTGCCCTCGCGTCCTGGCGCCTTGTCCCGTCCCATCTCTCAACACCACCGACCAACAATTTTTTCTTAGCAACCCCCCCAGCTCCCGACTATCGATACGCGCGTGCGCACCTATTGGCGCCCCACCTCACCCCTCCCTACCCCTAACGCTACCGCGCCCGCGCCCATCCGAAAGAATAGCACCCCTTCACAAGTGTCAACCTCTGACCTCATCCGGAGCCGATCCTTCCAACGCGCTTCTCCCGCCCGCGCGTGCAGTAGCCCGGCCCCAAAGTCAAACCTGCGCACGCAGAGAAAACTCTCCTGCACGCGAGCCCGCAACGCCAATTGCGCCGTCGCGGGCGGATACCCGCCCAGCACGAGACGAGCGCATGGCAATGGCACACATGAGCAAGCATGGCAGCGCGATGGAGCAACTGTGGCGACGACCGAGCCGTGCTGACTTGGTCTTGATTGACTTGCAGTGAGCAAGTTGGGGTGCAGGCTATTGTGCAGTGCTTCCTTGCTTGCTGGCTCGACAATAGCGTATAGCGTATAGCAGGACAATAACACGGCGCAGTGGCTCCCTTCCGAAGCCAGCCAGCCTATGTCTGTGGCACTGGAACGCTAGAACTCCACTCCAATAGCCCTCTCCCCTCTTCGGAAATAGAAACGCGAAGGTCTCCAGAGCAGACGCCAGGCGCACCGCGGCGCAGCAACACACGAGGCCACGGCATGGCGACAACGTGCGAACAAACTTTCACCACACGACTTAACATTTGCTCGCTCCACGCGTGCAGATGCAGCTTGCAGCGCCGACCGACCCACGCCTACGTTCGACAACGCCACGCCACGCCCCTTCCGAGAACGACCGAGATGACGACGGGCGCGGCGAGCACTCGACTGGATACTCGTCTCGTCTCGCTCCGCCTCGTGTTGCGCGTGCTTTGGTGTGTTCTCGGTCACACGCCCGGCCCAATCCGCTTACGCAACGCCATTGGGTAACGCTTCGCCTACGTACCTTTAGCGTCCCGTACCAGGCGGTTGTTTTAACAGCGGGCATTTCGCGGGCTATGCCCTCTAGCGAAAGCTAACAACTCCCGAGATCCAGGTCGCTAGTCTGTGTAAGCCGTGCGCTGATGTAAATGTGCAGAGGTGCTGCGCAGCTTGTTCGTTGGTCCACTGCTGGGTAGGCAGCCATGCAGATGACTCAGGAATTGGGACGCATGGTAGGTTTGGTGGGTTGTACAATTAGTTTTGTTGAGCATGCTCGCATGCTGGCTGCGCTATGCTAATGCTGTTGTTTCGTCTACATACATCCTGTCTGTGACATACATCGATCGAACGCGTTGGCCGATGCCGCGTGTTCACGCCTTTGCAGGCTTGGGTATCTGTATCCGTTCGCAACAATATCTCGATCACACAATGAGATCAACGCCAACGCTATGCTAGATATAGGAAATGTCGTTCATAGCCAACCGTAGCCATATCCAGCGTCCCGCACTGGCATGGAAGGCTGCTTGAGGTGTTGGTACCACCACTCTTTGGAAATGTTCTCGTCCTCATCAAAGAAGAAGCTCTGTCCTTCCATGTTACCAGCAGGTTGATCCTTGGCAGAAGCGACAGGGGCCACGGGTGCCGGAGGTGGTGGCAATTCTTCCTCTCCGTCGTCAGAGCTGGCATTATCATCTTGGTCGTCGTCATCCTCGTCCTCGTCCTCCTCGGGTGGTTGCCATGTCTCTTCAAGTTTGAGGCCCTTTCCAGTCGCCTCACCAAGGGGAGAGGTCCAATCAAGGGAGGAGTCGGAGACGTCGTAGAGACCCATGCCAATCAGCTCTTTGCCGGAATCTTCCATGCTTGCGCCGGCCTGTTGCTCTTCGGGCTCGGTAGGGTGCTGAATAGGGAGGAAATCCATCGAGTTATTTTGCGATGCAGCTTGCTCCTGGTTCTTGCGAGCCCACTCCTGAAGATACCATGGCATGGGTTCTGTGGCAGGCGTAGAGTATGCAGAGTGAACATGGGATTGTTGAGATTGCTGCGTCTGCCAGCTGGAGTCGGAGTCTTGAGAGCCTCGGTGGGTTTCGTAGCCAGTCATGTAAGTGGGATATTGCTGAGTGGTGTCTGCACCCATGGAATTTCTTGCGGAGAAAGAATAGAAATCGGATCCTTGAACAGAAGTTTGATCCGAGTAGGTTTGTGACCAGTCTTGCGACTGATCGAACATGGTCGATTGAGGCCGAGTGTAGTACTGGTTGGATGAGGGATGCCAGCTCATTGGACGAGTGTTGGCAGGCTCGCCCATTGGCTCAATCTCCTCATTGCTGGTGATGCCCATCATCATGTTGTAATGGTCGTCAAGGGTTGCGTAGAGCTTTGCTCCCGTGGTAGTCTTTCTGCGTTCGACAGTCCGCGGGCTGTTGTGGTTGCTCCGCGGCTTCTCAACGCGATACGGGTGTCCTGGTTGGCTGTTGGAGCTTCGTGCTGTGCGGTATGGATTGGGAGCATATGCAGTCATGTTGGTGGCCATGTCGTATGGCGATAGCGAGTTGCTCATGTCGGGCGAAGGCAGCAGATATGTCGAGGGTGCGTGGTGCGTGGTGTGTCAGGTGGTCCGGAGTCACAGAGATCAGAGTCGTTGGAAGGCATGGGGCATGTGCATAGGTATATGGGGTGCCAAGGAATACAGACGGTTTGGGAAGGATGGGTGGGAGACTCTGGAGGGACGGCTAAGATGCAACTCACTTGCCAGGACGGCCTAGGCGAGCAAGAGGGCAGGCGTACCAAGAGGGGCATAGAGTGCAGGCAAGGAAGCGGTGGCATGCTATACGGCGACCAAGGGATGTGAAGGAACGGCACTACTGTGACGGCCAGGCGGCTCGGGAGCTGATGGACCAATTCACCATGGTGGATGCAGGCGACGAAAAGGAAGAAGGGCAATTTGCGGCCGAATCACAGGGCCGTGGGCCAGCATGGCGCGCGTTGCAACGACGGCATCCGTGCATGCGCGAGGAACCTCCACATGGCGGACAGGCAGGCTGGGTGGTGCGACTGGGGGTCGGCGGTGCTAAATGTGCGACTCGTAGCGGGCGGGCTGGGGCTAGGGCCAGGACACCAGGGAGGCGAGGTGTTGGTGGGAGACGAGGCGGGCGAGGCGGTCAAGGGCAGCAAGTGTTTAGCCGCCTGGAGGGAGGCAGAATTAGTCCTCGGGCGAGGGACAGAGTGGGCCAAGTGAGGAGACTGGGATGCGTTCGAGGGGATGCAGATGCAGACGGAGGTGCGTCTTCGAAGTGGTCCCAGGGGCTGGGGTGGCCGCATGCAGCCGGCAGCCGGGGCAGCAGGGCGCCGGCTGATTGGGCAGCAGGAGCGAACGGCTTCCAGAAACTGCACGACGTGGCCCGCAGCCCTGAGCTGTGACCGGCGGCGAGCACAGGCGGTGCCGGTTTCATGGATCGGCGGCCAGGGGTGGCGCCAGCAGCGCGCACAGGATGGGCGATGAGATGGGCGATGGACAAGGGCCGCCGACGAGGGCTCCATGCCTTCCCCACCCAAACTCGCCTGCCGGCCGTGCGCGCTGCGCTGAAACCGTGCAGGCAGCGGGCTAGCGCCTTCCCTGGCCAGCAGCGCGCTCCTGCCTCCACAGCGCGCGCAGGCCCACAAGCCACCGAACGAGCACCAGCACGGCTCGGGGCTGCACGCTCGCCCGTCTGACCCAACACCTCCTTCGGCGCCCTGGCGAGGCGTGACAGCAGCACTCGCGATTCCTGCGAAACGCACGCGCCCGCCATCCACTCTGGGTTTGCCCGGCCGTCCCTCCATGCCAGGTCGGTCAGACCGCGAGACGAGCGTGCCACGCCTTGTCTGGTGCATCGTCTGGTGTCCCAAGGAACGCGCCGTCTTCAGCGTGCACACATCACGCCCGGTGCTCCGAGAGAGACGCCGTTGCCCATCCTGCACACGTCAGTTGCCGTGCATCACATCAGGTCACAGCGGCTGCCTGTCCGCTTGTTTCCCAGTGCAACAGGCCGGTTCCGTTCCAGTCCGCAGACTCACCGGGCCAACGCCAGCGCTGCCTGCATCAAGCAACAATGGCAGCCACACTTGAGGCTGTTCACCTTCGAGCCGGCCGAGCCCTAGCGCTCCTTTCCCCACGGTGTCCAAGCCCGAACCGGCAAGACCGTTTGGAAAACTCGATAACGAAATATCGCCGGCATGGTGGCTTTTCAGCCGAGCGCCGACACGAGCCCTGGCCTAGGATGCCCCAGCCAACCGATCGACGCCAAACCGGCCATCATCGAGCCCGATCCCTTTGCAAGATGGCGCGCCAGAAAAAGCCCATCTCCGTGCGTAGGTCTGTGTGACCTTTCATCCACGCCAGGCCTGCGATGCCAAACGTCTTATGCTGACGCAATGCACTTCTTGCGCCTAATCAACACCGCGCTCATCCCTGAAGCGCTTGCAATATGTATGCACCATCGCGATGACTCCGACACTTTCAGAAGCAACCCAACCCACCCGCCAGGGCATTGCGACGGCGATCCGCAGTGTGAAGTCCAATGCAGTAGGGGCTGTCTCCGAAAAGGAGCGGCATGCGATCCCCATCCGCTCCGTTACCAAGCGCATCCCACGCATCCCCATCACGTTTCGGTCGAGGATGCCATGTTGCAGCATAGCCAGCTCGGATCAATGTTCGTTTGTGGCTGCGGTACGGTCAAGCGGGCACCCGCCTCGTCGCATCACGAGACGAGAGAGTAAGCATTGGGCAGGGGCACGCTTTTCATGGCGCGTATGCATCTACCTGCAGTCGGTATCGGATCGCAACGATGGATGTGTGCTGACCGGCGTTGGCGCCCTCACCTACCCAAGGTAGCATAAGGTTCTGGTAGTGAATCAACTGCGATCCTCACGAGTACAGTACATGTCCGCGTGCCAGGGGGCAATCGAAGTTAGGAAGGCCACTAATCGGCCGTAGTTTCAGCAGTGCCCCTTCCGGCCTTTTCAGCTCAACAGCCTATCAAAACGTATGCGGGGCCAAGGATTTTTTGTCTTGCATCCAACCAGGCTGAGCAGTGACAGCCTCAGCCCGGCAATCTGCTTCACGGGAAGGAGTTTTTGATGACGTACACTCGGCGTTCCACGAGATGAGTGGGTCCAAGCGTGGCGTTTCGTTGTCATCTGTTGGAAATGTGGAAAAAGTGCTGCGGCATGTGCGGCTTCGGCACGACAACCCCAAGCGGTCCGAATATGTTGCACATCCTTGCACGGAAAAACAACAGGTCTGCCGTGCAACCAGCTTCCAGCGGTGATCCTACGACTGTGGGCACTTGTCCTCGGATAGAGTTTGGAATGCGTGCATTGCCGGTCTTGCGAGCACGAGAAACTATGGGGGCAGTTGTCGTGTCAAGTTGACGCTGCAGAAAAAGCAAAGTCAATGGCTCGCAGCCGCCTACCTCCGCGTGGCAGCACCAGGCAGAAGCGATTTGCGTCGGTAGGCTCACACCAAGCGAAGGCTTGCATTACTTTTAGTGGTATGGACGATCACAGCCGGATGCTGTGCGTGTTCTAGACTCATGGCATTTTTAAACGCTAATGCGCAGATTCGGACTGCCGGTTTGAAACCCATGACTTAATATTCAACTGGGCAACTCCCTCGGCATGATTCATTCTCATACACTGACGACTGACTCAGCTATCCTCTAGTAAGACGTTTTGCATCCGTATTCTGCGCGTAGTTCTCGATCCGGTAACCGGAGACACCTCGCCTGCAGACTATCGATACCTGCCAGTCATGGGGCTCCGACAAAAACATGCGGCGTAGCATTTCACAGACTCGAAGCGATGCCAAACTAGGCGCCTCGTTCCAGGATGTCAATCTGCGTGTCCAACAAATGAAGGAGCCAAAGCGACGCAAGGGGCTAGGAATCCCAGGGTCCCGCAACCACAGCTGACAGAACAACGCGAGTTGTGAAACGCCTCTAATAGGAAGCAACCTACTAAAGGCTGCCTTCGGCCGTGTTTTTATTTGCTGGCTCGCAGGTCTGACCTGCAATCAGTTTCACGCCAGAGACGCAACGCTGTTTAATTGGCTGGAGGGCTGACTTCCTTGGAAGTCTTTTCGCGTACGAGTCCTCCCCAGGGGCGGAAGCGAGTAACGTCCAGTATCAGACCACAGCCTGTTCAATTCAGCAGTACAATCCCTATGTACGATGTGTCACATCCTCATTCCGGGAGCTTAGTCGGGGTCGCAGAAGAGCGGCTTACGGCGCGCATTGATTTGCTGCCGACCACCATGCCGACCCATCACCCTGGAGCTATAGCACACATCGTGACCACGTTCAATTTTTTGTGGGTTCCCAAGGCCGCCAAACGCAAGCCCAAGCACATTTGTTCGAAGTAGCAGCCGTCGCTACGCCACGTCGCTGCCGCGAATGCAACCGATGTATTCCCCTTTCGGGTCATGGTTCTGATTCGAGGCGGTGTCCCGTACCAAGTCTACGGACTTGCTTTCATGCCCAACCCGTAACCGAATCGCGTTCGGGTCTTTGCTACTGCAACCATTCCTCACCGACTAACATTAGCCATACGCACGCAACAAATTTGGAAATGGTCAGACAGGGCTGAGTCGAGCCATCGTCAAACAACACCCTTCTGCGCCAGGTTTTTGCGATCCTCAGTGCGCCATCAGCGTACGGCACGCAACTGGCTCATCGCAAGACTGTTTCCGTCTGGCTATCATCAAGATTCCAGTCTCTGTCTGGTCGGCGGTCGCTAACGGAGCACATGTATTACCCGAGGCCTCGATCATATTTCCGCAAGCCTACATACATACAAATATTGAAGCGCATGTGAAAAGACTCCATTATCCCACGCGCGGGGTCAGCAGTTGAAGAGCAATATTCGTACCTTGGAGTCTGCATGCCGTATTTATCCGCGTCTTGGCCAGATGGATGCAAGGCTGGGGTCGCTGACGATGCAGATTCCAGGCAGCTCGCGAATCTTTCCCTCCAACATTCGGGGCTGACGTATTTACGAGGATCCTGCATTACGGCGATCTCTACTCATCCTCGAGTGTTCATCTTGACTTGCAAGGATTTCGTGAAAACAGCTTGCCCAAGCTCGGCCGTTTACGCGCCTAAAGTCTTCCGCTACCCTTCCGATACTTCGCATATCATCTAGCTCGAAACTTCACGCCTCTCAACGCTTCGCCAGATACAGTCAGTGGCATCTTGGAATCAGTTCGTTGTCTTCGCCAGGAAAGGTAGGAGAGTGGCGGATAAATGATTATCCCAACAAAGCATTCCGACCACTGAGAAGGAAAATCACCGTCAGCGTCCGCGGGACAAGGTCCTGCCAAAGGTACCAAGTACAGGTTGGCCCATCAGCATGCACAGCACCTGCACAACCAAATACGATCATGTATACTATGAATGGTTGTCATTCATGGGGGTGTAGCTTCGTCGCTTAGAACCTGATGCCTCTGATGGATGTTGCCTCGACATCGGAGACTCTGCGCCTCTTCCATCGGAATCCTACAACGAGCGGTAGGTCTCAGAGTGAACGCCGTACAGGGAAACGTGCGAACGGACTCCGGACCTGCAGTTTTTAGTCTAAACGCCCACGTACACACGGCCATCTACGAACAGCATGCTCACATCGCGTCGTCTTCCCCTTACTATGCCAACTTTCCCTCGTACTATTGTCTGCGCGCCTACTTCCCATTTCTCTATCCGCCCTTCACGCGCACATTTCACATCGTGCTACTGTTCCCGCCCCCGCTCCACATTGCTCTGCCCTGAATGAACCTGCTCCTCAGTGTGCTGTTGTTATTGCACCGTCTTTGCCATGGTTTCACTTACATCTTTGCGTTGTCTTTAACCTTGTCTTTGCCATAGTGTTTGGTTGTCCTTCAAATATGAACAAACCTAATTGATCTTTGATTATGAAAGTTCGTTTCCCAGCTTTCTTTTGGTCCCTCCGCAGGCATCGTAATCTCCATCAGCTTGCCAGTACCACGGCCACGGGTTTCAACAACGCATATCGCAATCTTCTTATCGTTCAACATCGACGTCCTGAAGTGCCATCCTGCTTGAAGAACACTAAGAACAGGCTTGAAGCGCAAGCATATCAGGAGTGGACACTCGCCAAACTCCCACCGAGGGCCCTAGCACCCCAGCTAATGGCGCCTTCGGTCCGCATATCAATCTAGTATACAGCGGGAAATATGAAAACGACGACGAGAAGGTCCAGCGCCTGTTTGATCACGAGTTAAGCCAATCTACTAAGGAACACGTTTGCTATGTCTTATGTAATATAGCGAAACGAATATAATTGTTACGGAACACGGATAGTTTCGTGACCTATCTATCTTTCAAGCAGATTTGCATAAATTATGCCACGCCCAACAGTCAAACCTTACAGAATAATATCTTCAGCTGGCGAGGAGGTCTCTTGAATTTTCTAGACACCCATTACAGTGGTGGTCTATTAATTGAGGTCTTCTGTGGAGCCGGGTGCAGCGTCAATTTCATTATAGTGATACTCAGGAGGTGGACTGAGGACGGCTACCATGAGAAACTCGATATCATCCAGTATGTATACTGTGGGTCTTCGAGATATTAGGGAGCTGGTTCAGGGAAAGTAGAGAAGGATCGAATTGTTTTTTCTGCAGCGATAAATTCGGAATCCTTTGAGGCAAAGAGAGCCGTTCAAAACATCTTAATTCAATCAGGCACAGGAAGTGATGGACACGTGTATTATTCAAGAGAAACGAAGGAAGCTGCATAGAACCTAGATACATTGGCTTTACTTTATCCAGTTACAAATACCATCCACAAGCAATTGCAAGCAAACACTGGGACGCACCTAAGAACACTGACTAGGACTGGGCCTAGGTCAAGGCCATAGTTGCTAGTAAACTAACCTGCTTTACCTGCATAAGATGATAAGAATAAGTGTAACGTTACATAGCAACCATTCGTAGCAGGCAATAAGCTGATATTGATAGGCCTGTTCGCCCTTTGGATGAGTTGAAAACTATTAGTAAGGTGCGGGGGAAGAATAGGATGCTTAATTATCTGTAATAAGCTACCCAGAGGTAAGGTCGGCTATAACACGTGACAGTGTTGAATGCGACATCATCTATACTAATAATTTTGTAGTGGATTCATCTAATTTTGTTGTCAAACTAAGGTCTTAAAAAACGTTCCAGTCGTCGCCCTTGATAACAGCCAATCTCTCCCGATCAGGTTTAAGATCGAGATCCTTCATCATCATCTGTTGGATTTTCGGTCTCTTGTAGGATTCAGAAGGGCGCACCCTACTCTTTATTGATGACTGCGTGTAATTGCGGATAAGATGCCACCGCGGTGGTGAATCTGCAGCCCTTGAACCCAGTCAATCAGGAAGACCTCCCAGTCGTTTCCATTGTCTACTTTCATCTGTCGAGCGACCATGTTTGCGATCTTCGGATCGATCCATGTGAGCTTCGGCTCGTGGGGGTTCCAGCCCGGGAAGATGGACCTGAACTTAGCCAAGAGTTCCACTTCGACAGGAGACCACTCCGGGTCATTGCCGGAAATGGCTTGTTGCATCTGGTAAGCACGGTATATTGCTAAGATAAATTCTTCACAGGTTTTATGCAGCCCACAAACGACTTGAGATGTGGCTGTGATGGGATCCAAGCCTGTTGGCGCGCGTAAAAACCTTAGCACAGATGGTGTCCTGCGCGTGGATCGGTAATTTTGCGAATTTTTCATTGTCTAAAGGTATGCCTTCGATGGAACTCATCATTAGGCAGTACATGACTCTTGAGCTCTCTTCTGTAGTTGACCAGGCGGCATGTCTCAAGCGCCACAAACGATACCATGCACCCGTTCCCGCGGATTAAAAGGCATGGACTACATTAACACTTCCTTACCTAGCTCTATCCAACCCACCCTTCCCATTCATGAAAGAACCCGCAACGCTACGGCAAAGCATCGTCTCCATGCGAACACCTGTGGACACATCGTATGCAACACGGGTGGGACTGTTATCAGATATGGCTATGATCCAAGTGTTGTGGAAGTAAGCAAACTACACATACAGTCATTCGTCGCACATCGAACTAAAAGAGAATACGAGGAAGTCGAGAATCTACTCTTCGTGGCGGAAAAACGGCTGAAACTGCGCATACCTAACGTACTAGCTTTGTGAACATCGAGAGTCTTCCATTATTCTAGTAGCACATGTGCTTTGGAACGAAGTGCCATTTCAGGCGTCCATAAAGAGGCAGGTGAAATTACGTCACTGTTGCTTGTAAACAATCTTTTTGCACACTTGTTATTGCAGTACTATGGCCGCTATTTATATTACTTTTAGTTTATAAGGCCGAGGCAAAGGCATCATGTTCGAATGGGCAGGGAGGCCTCGGGACCACCCTTGGGGCGCAGTACGGATATGGCGATCTAGTAGATGACTGGCTTGGCCTCGTCTAGGATCGCTTTGCACGTTAAGAGGATGGCCATGGGTGCTGTGTGGCCGATGAGCGAGACGCGGAGGACTGGGAATTGTTGATCCGCCCGATGAAAGCTGGTCGATCGCGTGCGGTCTAAGACTTGCAGTGTATCCGAGGAACGTCTGTGGGTCGACGAGTTCCGATGTGCAGCAAAAAGCGTAGGTTGGAATGTGCTCGTATACCATCATGCGTACAACAGGTAGCTCCGCCGAGAGTATGAGGAACAGGAAAGGCATGGCGATATTAGTGACGCCGGAGTGGTGGAGTGGATGGTCTTTAGATGTTGTTCACGGTGAGTTGGGCGCGGGCGTGTTTATGTACCCACGGGAAACCGCTAGCAAACGTTTGAGCCGCTACAGCGGATGGTTAGTGTAGTAGAGACGTTGCCGCCCACGGTCCTGGAAGGTCGTCGACATACCGAAAGAGAGGTGAATGTCTACTGTTGGGGGTGTGCATGGGAGAGCTCGTGCCGCGTTCGCTGATATCGATGCCTGCGTCTGAGGCTTTAGGGACAGATATCGGGTTCAATCGTTCTTTCTCTCATGATGTATACCCCACGTACAACATCAAAAGTCCGAAATACACAAGAAGTCAGACTAAAACAGACTGACTTTCATGCATCACCAAGTTAAAGGGAGTGAGGTTTGCCCGCATCGTCGGTGTTGGCTACTCTCTACCAATATCTACACGAGCGCACTGCTTTGTTCACGAGCGCGGTGCGGAGGTTGAACTTGGTTCGTCTATGAGGCACCACTTTCCTATACAGGCAGCTTTGGATCCTAACACCGAAGGTGTCTTCTGCCCGAGGCAATGACCAACCAAGGCCTGATCTTCGGGACGAGGGACTGATCATGGTTTGCATGCGCCACATGCCAGCGATCTTTGCTACCATAAACAAAAGCCTCTTCTCCAACGCACGCACTACGTTACATACACAGAGTGTGAGCACTGGACCGTTCCGTCCGCTCCATTGCTTGCTAAGAGCCGCCACTCCATGGATTATTCCTCGCTGGAGACTTTCCTGGTCCCCGGAACCTATCCCATCATCAGAGATGAGACGCGCGATTCCATAAGGTTGGACGCGAATTTACGAAGTTAACATAGCTGTCGACCCGAAGATGAAGATCCGGTGGCTCTTTATCATCGGGTGGCTCTTTATCATCGGGTGGCTCTTTGTCAGCTGGAACGAACAGCGGAGCAAAGGCTGCTGACATTGCGAGCGGGAAGATGCCCCCCCGCGCTTGTGACGAGGATTGATCATAGATTAACATATAACCAACCAAGGATCTCGATGGGTATCGTCTTTTTCCCCTTTCCACGTGTTTCATGAAAACTCGTGGTATATTAGGACAACCCCTTCCTCAATCATCTATTCGGCTTTAAGCCAGTGTGCTCGTGCTTATTGTGCCATCACCTCCACCAAATAGCACAGCTATTGTTCAATGCTTCAAACACGATCGCCATACCTCACTCCAGGCCGTTTCGCCCCCGCCTCACTCCGCACCCGGCTTTCCATCTCCCTTCACCTTCGGATCCCTCACCATACAATACAGCATAACCCTCCCCTCCGCACCCTCCACCTCCGGATCCTGACACGCCATCTCCCTCACAAGCCTAAATCCAAACCGCTCATAAATCGCTTGATTCGGAACCATCCTACTACTCTCAAGATAACATTTCCTTCCCTCCCTATCCGCCATGCTTAGCACCTCCTCCATCAGCGCCCTCCCCACCCCCTTCCCCTGGGCCTCCGGCAGCACAGTAACGATATTGCAGAAATAGTACCCCTGGGGATCGTCCCAGATTTCTTTCTGTGCTTCGGCCTGGCGATCTTTCCAGATCCAGTAGCGCCGTGTGGAGAGGCCACCACGGCCGTACCAGAGGTTCATGTAAATTTGATTGAGCCAGAGGGCCCAGAAGGAGAGGTAGAGGGACCAGGACTGCGGGGCGGAGGCGGGGGAGGGAGGGAGCCACATTGCGCAGCCGAGGATTTTGGAGGGGTTGGCGGTGTCGCGTGCGACGTGGAAGAGGCCGTGGGATATGCCCCAGCGGCAGCGGAGGGTGAGGGAGTAGCGGTTGCGGGTGAGGTCGATCTGGTAAGTGGGTTAGTGGGGGTGGTGGGAGATTCAGGGGAACGTACTTTTGAGCGGTCGGGGTAGATCCATTTGTTATAGGGGTCGTCGGCGAAGGCTTGTTGGATGGTGTCTATTGCACCGTCGATGTCGGCTTCGGCCATACGGGTGACTTCGATTGGCATTGTGAGACTGTTGAGGGAGGTGTTTGTTGGACTCCAAGTTGGGGCTGACAACGTCGAGATATGCGATTCTCAGGGAGGAAGAGGAGGGATGTTGGAAGAAAGACAGCGTCTGCAGCGCGAGGCGGGACACGGGCGAGCCATGGTTGCGGGGACGGTAGGCTTCGTGAGTGGAATGGCTGCGGTCCGCAATGCAGATAGGACCGACACGTGAACGACTAATCGAATACGGAAAGTCCACGCGGAGAGATGCAAAAGCGAAGCTAGCATTGGCCCTGGTGCACTTCTCAGGTGTCAAGACATACCTACAAATTGTCTTGCGCGTATTGACTATTCCTGGTTCTGCGGCTTCTCCATGGCAGCAGCCTGACGTGAACCTAGATACTACGCTTCACGATAAGATCGTACATGATGTCGAACAATTTAATGAAGTGTATGCAATTCCCATTGAGGTATCTAACTTTTGACCTACTCAGACAAACCAGATAGAACCGTTCGTTAAGCACGCGATGCTCATCTTAACACTTCATTCGTAATTTACAACGGTGGTGCTTTTCTAGCACCTCCGTACCAACAACCCGTTCGATCCCAACCCCAACTCATGCATAAGAAATGTCAACCAATCCAGCCTTGTCTTCTTCAGATCCTGAATTAGACAATATCTAGCCCATGACCATACCCTTGAGGCCAGCCATGTCGCCCTCCTTGGCGGCAATCTCAAAGTATCCGTAGATGATGGTGACAGCCAGGAGAATACCAGTTCCGCTGCCCAGAGCGCCGAGGAGGTCGCTGGCGACGGAAAGGGCACCAATGCAAGCACCGCCGAAGGCGGCGGCAGTGGGAATGACGCGCTTGAGCTCCTTGTACATGGACTCCTCACGGTGGCCAGCCATCACAAGACCCTGTTCCTTGAGCTGCTTGGCGACATCGCGGGGAGAAGATCCAGAGACCTCGATCCAGGTCTTGGAAAAGACGGCGCAAGCGACGAGCATGTAGACGATGAAGACGGCGGTCTTGAGCGGGTCTGAGAGAGCCTCGGTGATGCTGAGAGGGGGAGACCTGCACAGATTAGATATAATCAATCGCTATTATGCGCAAGACTTACATGTAGTAGGCAACGCCGGAGGTAGCGAAAAGCTGAGCAGAACCCTCACGCGGCTCCCACACACCAAGAAGGCGGACAAGGAGGTTGTCGGCGAAGCGAGAGTAGAGCATCTGGCTGATCAAGAAGACGTTGGAGGACAGAGCAGACTGTAGCATAATGGGCATGTTGGAGGTGTAGAACAGGCGGACGGGGTACGAGCCGCGGACACCACGCTGGCGGGCAGACTTGACGGGGATCTCGACACGGAAGCCCTGGAGGTAGATGACGGCTCCGAAAACAATGACGGTGGCAATCAAGTTCATGACGTTTGGCAGGTTCTGGCGGTAGAAGGCCTCGCGGAGAGCGACGGTCTTGTTGGGCCAGGTGAAGAGCAGGTGCACAAGGGCGATGATGGCACCCTCGAACTCGGGGCCACGGCCGGTGTTGATGGTGGTGGGCGAGAAGGCCTTCCACATGATGGACTCGCAGATGTTGGTGGCAATGAAGAGCGAGATGCCGCTGCCGAGACCGTAGCCCTTTTGGAGCAGCTCATCGAGGAGAATGACGATGAGACCGGCGATCATGAGCTGCACAACGAGGAGCACGCAGATACCGGCGCCGAGGTCGGAGGGCTGTCCGTAGAGACCGGAGATGACGAAGACGACGGACTGGCCGAAAGAGAGGAGGATGGCGAGGAGCTTCTGGGCGGTCTGGTAGAGCTCGCGGTCCGACTTGAGGTCGAGGTTAACGTCGATCAGGTGGGTTCCGGCGAGAAGCTGGAAGACCATGCCCGACGAGATGATCGGGGTGATACCCAGCTCCATCAGCGTTCCTCTGTTACTGGCCAACATCATACGCAGCCAGTACAGCGGATCCGAGTTATCTGACGAGACGATTCCGTACAGCGGCATCTGGCTCATGACGAGGAAGACGAGGAGGGTGAGGCCCGTCCATACTAGGCGGTTGTTGAAGGGGACCTTGCTTTCCGGGAGCGAAATCTCGGGGACGAGAGGCACAAAAGGCTTGACAAGATCGAGGAACCGTACTGCATGGCATCAACTGTTAGCTGGGACCCTGGATGCTTGTGGAGGGGGCACGTGGGCGCGCTGCCATTGCGGCGAGGGGTTTAAACGTACGGCCGCTCATGATTGCGGTTTGGTGAGCCCGGGAGGAGACAAAAGAGACAGTGGACAAGCCGGAGCAGAAGGGGTGCGGGTTAAATGGGGGTTGGGGATGGGAGGGGGCCGCGCGACAGCTCTCACAAGGCCACGGTTGTGGAAATTCGGCCGCCGCCAAGCACCGCGCTTAGTCACACATCTGGAGCTCCTCCAGGCACGACCGAGGACACGCTGGCCTCGGGGTGCCAACCACCGAGAAGCTTCTCCAGTGTATGCCTAGAAGACAGGTATGTGGTGCATATCCTGCCATTCAAACGCTTGATTAGTTTTTGTGCTCCTACCGGGTACAAGCAGGTGCTGTGCTCACGGTACGCGCTGCGGTTCCGCTTGTTAACAAATCATGTGCCTATTTGACGAGCCATATGCGCATCTGAGAACCACAAATGTACGCTCTAGATAGACTCACTGCTCTCTGAGAGCAGAATCCTGCAGAGCACACGTTACGCACATATATCTCAGGCTTGGACTCTCACCTTGGCATACAGGCCTCTTCGCACTCGCAACGCAGCAGACCCCTCTTAGGCAGCCCCCATCATCCCAAGACATACAAGACGTCAACATCAATGTCGTGTACCCATCCGCGCGTATATACTCTCTCTTCCCGAGCACCGCCTCAGACAGTTGCCGCGCGCTGATTGGCCGCCCCCGCGAATGCGAACTTAGCGCCGATCCCCAAGGCAGAGAGGGCTACAAATGCGAAAGGAACGCCATGCGCATTGCACCTACGTAGCGATGCACACGTCCTGTATTTTTGAGCGTCTTGGAAACGTGTAGGTGTCGATGGTATTGGGTGGTTAAGCGGTTGCGATTTTAGAGGCGCCAATGCGAGGACGACATGACAAGCACATGGGGACGTGTAGATGTATATATCAAGCTGTCGGTTCCTCATCCATGGCATCTTCACACACCTGAGTATATCCACAGTTGTTCAGTGCACTTCTATAATCTCGATTCATTTCTTGCAAGCCTCTTGAGAGCAGCCAAACACCACAACTCATCATCATGGCAAACCCCCCAAAGGCTAAGAACTTCGATTGGGAGATGTACCGCTACATCCCTTCCCTTGCGGGCGCCATCATCAGCATGATAATCTTCCTCATCCTCACGCTGCTTCTCTTTTGGCAATGGTTCCGCACAAGAAACCACATCCTCATCTTCGTGGTCATCGGCACAATCTGTAAGCCAGAGACCTAGCAGTCTTCAGGCAAACCCCTAACATCTCCACAGCAGAAGTAATCGGCTACGGAAACCGCATCGGCTCGCACTTTGATAACCAAGCATGGGGACCCTTCATCACACAAGGCACGCTCCTTCTCGTCGGGCCCCTCTTCTTCGCAGCCACCATCTACATGATGCTTGGCCGCACCATCGTGCTTGCTGGCGGCGAAGACGTTTCTCTGATCAGGCCGAGGTGGTATACTCGCGTCTTTGTCGGCGCAGACATCTTTACGTTGGTTCTGCAAGGACTAGGTACGTTTCAAAGTCCATCCGCTCACGCATCAGCGCACTGATCGACCTTCCCAGGTGCGTCCATCATGGGCACCATGAAACTCCATCTCGCGATCGCAGGCGAGAAGATCGTCATCGCCGGACTCGCACTCCAAGTCGCGACCTTCGTCTTCTTCCTCATCGCTGCCATCGACTTCCAGCTCCGCATGGAGCGTAAAGCCGCCATCTCCGCTTCGCTCGGCACGCCTGCGAACAACCAGTGGAGGAAGCTGCTGTGGATCTTGTATACCGTCAGTTCGCTGGTGCTATTCCGTTGCATCTTCCGGCTGATAGAGTATGCGATGGGCAACGCCGCGTATCTTATTGCGCATGAGTGGACGCTGTACGTGTTTGATACTACGCCCATGTTTCTAACGGTGGCGCTGCTGTTGGTGCTACAACCGACCAGGTATGTGACGAAGGAGTACAGGAAAGGTTCGAGTGACTCGGGGGGTGAGGTGCAGCTTGGAAGTGGGCAGGCGAAGTAGGTCTTTTATCCATCGCAAGCATTTCCTTTTTCGGTACGACGAAGGAAGGGGTCTTGGTATGTTCTGTTATATTTATTCGGGCATTGCGCATAGTTGTAGCGGTATGTTTTGTGTTCGTATACCCTGTCTTCGCGAAGTTCAAGTTCTGTACTATTAGTGGTCCTTGTGTAGAGGTTTGTAGAGTCATCACGTCATGAGAGCGTAAACTAAGCTACTCAAGTGTTCGCTAAGCCCTAAGCTACTCTAGTGGTCGCTAAGCCCTAAGCCTTGTGCATTCCATCAACTCCCACGTTTGTTGCTGCTGGCTGCACGCGACGCATAATCACTCTCAAGAGTAGATGACTCCGACTCTCGCCATTTCGTGAAGCAGTGCCCTTCTCAAGGCGCTTAGTAACCGGTCATGCCGCGACGTAGCGCTGGTTTCATAGCAAAGCGACCGCACAAGAAATCAAGAAGAGGCTGCAGTACGTGCAAGAAGAAGAAAGTCAAGGTGAGACTCAGAGCTTCGGCTTGAGACTAGACCGCTCATGAACCTTTGCAGTGCGATGAGGGACAGCCCTCCTGCAAGTACTGTTCTCTGAGAAAACTTGAATGCGTGTACCCAACAGAGGCACAGAAAGAGCCGGACACATCGTCTTCAGACACATCACCGGACTGGGAACATGATCTCTTTGACTTCAGTGAACCCGTCGATATGCCCATGTGGCTCACGCCGGCCGTGATCACATCCTCAGGCCAGCTAAACGCCACCGAACTCAAATATCTGCACCATTACACGACAATCGTGTGGAAATCCATGAGTCTCCAACAAAATGACAACGTAGCCTTCATCAACCGTGACTGGGTTCCCCGAAGCTGCATGGCCTCAGAGCACATGCTGCACTCCATCCTCAGCATCTCCGCCGGCCACCTGCACGCCCACAGCCCTTCCAAGACATCATCCGACCAGACCCTCTCCCTCGTCTACCGCCAGCGCGCCTTCTCCTCCTACAACAAACAGCTCGCCAACATTACGTCAGAGAACTACGAATCCCTCCTCATCACCTCAATGTGGATGATGGTCATGGTGCCGCCACCGTCCCTGCCCTGCTCCGACGACGCCTGCCTGACCTGGGCATCCTCCCTCTTCACCATGATGCAGGGCCTGCGCATTCTCGCCTCCCTCCGCTGGGCCTCGGGCATCGAGCGCCTCACCATCTACCCCCTCTTTCGGCGCGAGCTGAAGAAGCTGCCGCCACCACCCATGCTGACGCCCCTGCCCGCGTGGTTCTTCTACACCGGCACGCAGCAGCCCGCAGAGTGGCGCTCTCCAAACTCCCCGAACGATCACTACTCCGACGCCGACTCCACGTCCCCGCCGCCACGCCGCTCCCCATCTCCGACCCCGCTCAAGAGCGCAGGCGTGCAGATAGACACTTCGCGACTCCCCACCCGCCCGCAGTCCCTCATGTCAGCTTCACAGTCCCCCCACGCCCCCGCCTCCTGGAAAGCAAAGTCCGACACCTACTCCACCTCTGCGCCGGCCTTCCTGCCACCTCCCCTCCTCGCCCTCCTGCACACCCTCGTCGACCCCACCTCCTCCGGCCCCATCGACTTCCACCGCCCCGTCCTCATCCCCGTCCTACACGCCCTCTCCCCCATTTTTCTCAGCATGTACTACTACCGCCTCTCCCCAGACCTACACATCCGCATCTTCGTGCTGCCCACCTTCCTGACGCCAGAATTTCTCGTGCTAACACGGGCGCGCGAGCCCCGCGCGCTGGTCCTGCTAGGGTGGTGGTTTGCGCTGCTTTCACTTCTACCGAAGCAGAACAAGTGGTTTGCCGGGGAGAGTGTGGCGCGGGTTCTCCAGGCGGTCAGTAATGCGATTCTGCGGACAGGCGATGGGGTGCTGGTCGATGCGATGGAGGGCGCGTATCGAATTGTCAAGGTGGAGCGGGAACGCGGGAAGGAGGCGGCGGCGCGGACGATATTTGCTGCGTGGGAGGGTGTGCATTGGGAGGAGGGGCCGAGGCGGGAGGAGGAGTGGCGGCGGGAATATGAACGTAGGGGTTTGGAGGAGGTGAGGTAGCTAGAAAACGTGGTTTGATGGAAAGAAGGAAAGAAAGAAAGAAAGAAAGGAAGGAAGGGGACTTCGTTTTGCTTGCGCGTGGGTCTATGTCTACGTATGGTTGGATGTCTATCACTCTGCTCATCACGACTCTACTCCACAAGCGGCACACAGCTCTGCGACGACAGCGCGCTGTTCTTCTGGAACTCGACCGCCGCCTTTCCACCCAGCACGATATCAAACGTCGTGCTGTCGCTTTGCCCATTGATCGCCATATCCCTCACCTCGTACAGCGTGTACCCCGCCATCTTCGTCCCCGTCGCCTCAAACCTCTCCACCTGGTTCTCCAATCGCTCCAGCACCGCGCCCTGCGGCACGTGACTGGCGAAATGCAGCTCCAACTCCGACAACTCAGCATCAGAAACAGCACTGTCCCGCACGGCCGCCACGACCGTTAGCGCCCCGTCGTATCCTCCGCTCCCGTTCGACGTGAACGACTGGCACGACTGCTTCTGTTGGAAGAGCACATTGTCCTTGACCGGGAACCCCTTGCCACCATTGTCGTACTCAACTGTCTTCCCCGTGGACGTAGTAGTCAGGAAGAAATTAAACGCACTGACCCCCGCATCGGCAGCGACCTGCGTGTCCCACTCGAAGAACACGAACTTGATGCCGTTGAATCCTTGCGCGGTACCGGACTCCCAGCTCGGGCGTGCGGCCTGCACCGGCGCGGAGACGTTCTTCCCCGCGCGGTCGACGTACGTGATGTACGCGCTTAGATCGTCAGCAGAGCGCCCTGTGTCACCGTCGTAGCGCACGCGGACGGAGCCTGAGAAGTCGATGGAGCCGTTGGCGTTGAGGGCGAGGGTGTTGATGTACGGCTTTACGTCGATGGGGGTCAGGGGCTCGGAGAGGGTGACAGTCGACGGCACGGTGTCGATCATGCGTGCCATAAGCAGCGCGCAGCGTTCCTGGAAGTGGGTTGGGTTTGCGAGGGCGCGCATGGTGGCGCCGCCGTCGGCGGCGAAGATGCGCTTGTCACTGTTCATGGTGTCGTTCTGGCCCGAGACGAGGGGGTTGGATGTCTTGTTCGCTAGATATTCGGTGACGACGTTGTTGTCGAATTTGAACTGTGACTCGTTGTATTCGAAGGCTGTGACATTCCCTTCGGTGTCATCACCGGTGATCTCAGGGAAGTCTTCATGGTGCACGCCGCCGAGAGTATGACCGCACGCTACGAGCTCAATCATCTCGGTTTGATTGAATCCCTGCATGGCAAATATCTTCGTATGGGTATCGAGGTCCTGTTGTGGCTCGGGTACACCAGTTCTTCCCGCTTCTGTGGCGTCGACACGTCCTACGCGCAGAGGGACGTCGTATCCACCACAAACACTCATGCTTCCAACAACTGCCAGGGCAAGCAGGTCCGCACCGGACGACCGGGTGGTATAGAAGCTGTGCAGATGGCCGAATGTGTTGTTGAACGCTGAGCCTTTGTTTTCACCGCGATTGGTCTCAAACATGATGGATGCGTCAAGACCTCCAGTCCCGGCTTCGACATCCGCGGTGGCCATATCGTGGTACGCGGTCCGTATCCATTCGGCGGAGTTCTGACGGCCGCGAACATTCTGTCCGAAAGCGCAGGAGAGGATGCCGTCGATGAAGCCTAAACGGTTGAAACCGGATTGCAAGTAGAGCAGGTCCTCCATGTAGTCATTGGGCCCGGGCCAGACATAGTCAGCCTGGGCTATTGAGGTAAGAGCGGCAAGTGCGAGGTATCTCATTATGAGCGAGTGGACGCAACTAAAGTGTTGCTTGTATTACTATAGAACGAGAGATTGAACGAGGAGCGACGTGAAAGCGACAGTAGATGGGTGAGGTTGGGAGCATGGCGAAATAACCATGTATTTAACTCATAGATTGTCACAACGTCCCTAGCGAGGCTTGTCTCTGTACGACATAGAACGGTAACAGCCTGCAGGGCTGTTAGCGGCTGGTAAGAATAGGAACGCATAGTGGTAGGCGTTGGTGCGCGCAAGGTCTATAGGACGCCCACCACGATAGGTGCGAATTCTCGAGAAGTATCGAGTTTCGGCGTTGGCCTGCCGGATAGGGACGCAAGGACAAATGCTCGTCATGTTATTGGTGGTTTGTGTGATCTGCTCTAGGATGCTCGCCCTTCCTCGGCCGCATTTCCGCCGCGGACTATTGATCATGGGCCAGCAGTTATTGACCGAACACTCCGTACCGTTACATGAGCTACAGTCCTACCAATGGTTGCTTTACAGTTTGTGTTGATCATACTGTCGTCGGCGGTAAGTGTGAAGTGACATCTTTACGGAAACTCCTGCTTCTGTATTTAGCACACGAATAGGAGACCCGCCAAGTGGGGCTGCAATGAAGGCCCGAGATACAAAGGGACGGACCAGAGTTGAGTGTACTACGCGTACAGACTCCAGGATGAAACAGGGGAAGACGATGCGCTGTAATTGAGCCGTGTTTTCGCCGAAGGTATTGCATTGCCTCCAAATCTAACATTGCCACACTCTAATCGTATGCCACAATGGGACCGAACCGCTCAGGTCGCCCTCGCTATGCACCAGAAAGAGGATATTGTACCAGGTATATTTACAAACAGCTCAAGGGAAATGCTTGGTTCGATGCGCTATATCTTCGCTTTCAGTTCGGGCGACAAGACTCTGTCTTCGAATCTGCGCATGAGCTTGTTTGTCTGCTCCGCGAGGGTGAGGGTCAGAATCTATGTGTGTTAATTGCAGCGCACAAAATCATTCCAGATTGAAGAAACATACGGTGTGGGGAAGAATGCGCGCCAAATGCGCAAAGTAGCCCTTGTAGACGGCGAGAAGACCTTCCGTCTTGACCGTCCGGTACAGACAATCGAATGCGGAACTGTAGAGGTTGCCAGTCTGATTGTACATGCGCGACATGACGGTATCCGGAGGGTGCATGACGCAGCAGACGACGAAGCCACTCGCTGTGCTGCTGGCAATGTGCAACGGCATGCCCTCGTCCATGCCGAAGTGCTTCACCAGCCGCCTCTTTGCGAAGAAGTATGTAGGCAGCTGGACCGAGCTACCGAAGCCGGTTCTGATCATTGCTGGCACTACACCACGGTAGAGGCCCTTGATGCCCTCGTTGCGGTAGATCTGGCTCATGCCATCGGCAGCACCCTTGTAGTGGTGCTGGGTTCCAACGGGTAGGAAGGGCGAGTAAGACTGCAGTCGCGTCTTGACGAGGAAGAAGGGCGAGCCGGCGGCGGCGCCGAGGATACCTGAAGAGGCACCCGAGAAGAGGTTAATGCCGAAGGACTGCACCGAGTCGTCTTTGTAAATGGCGTTTGTGATGAACTTGCGCGTGGGCTCGTAGAAGCCTAATCGGCAACCATTGAGCGTCATCTGATAGACATACTGAGCCCGCGTTAGCCATTGCGCCTGCCGAATGGAGGCGACATGTCATACGGCGCAATTCAAGCCTCGGAGCAAGCCTCTGGGTCCTTCATTCTTCAGAATAACACCCACGCCGTGGATCACGCCCCTGTACAACCGGGGTGCATCCTTCTTCGCTTGCAGTTCTCCCTGCAGTTGTAATCTGGAGCTGGTGAGCCGAGTGTCGCGAGAATCGTCGCCGGTGTCGCATACCGAATCTTTACCGTCTCGAATCCGTGTGTAACCGTCACGGCGCCGCACGCCGCAATGCCGCCCGCAATGAAGGATCTTGTAGGTGTAAGCTTGCAGTTGCCTCGATGATGGACGCATGTGCATACCCCAATGTTGTCGACATGGTGCGTCGTTCCGAGTTCTCGTCGCTATGGCGTATGCGCTCCTTCCCTCTGAACAAAAGGAAAGCGCGACCGGCAGCGCTCTTTCGCTTTTGAGGAATTCGTCTTTCGCTGCTTGGCCGGCTGCGGTGCACTACAAATATCACAATAAGGACTGTGTTGCTGACGCGAGATGACTGACCGAGGAGCGAAAGCTAGGTCCAAATAATATGTGAGCTGGAAATCCCCGGATCTTTGCGCTGTGGACCGAGACCGATTCCGGAGCGCTGGCCTGGCGCGGGCTGCAAGGCCGCCAAGAACAGGGGTCCTAGCTGCAAATCGCGACCAGCATTTGTTCGCAGGTCGCGTCCACGTTTGATAAAGAGGTCTGGCTCTTGGCGGCTGCTCACACCTGCACGCCTCGACACGGAGACATGCCACAGTCCTGCAGGTAGCCTGAACAATTCACATCATGGCGACGGGCTCGGGCACGCCTGGGCCTCCTCCCCCGCCACCAGGCCAGGCAACACAGAAAGTTAGCGACGTCATAACCGCGTTCCGCCCGGCCAAAGTACGCGTTGCGACTCCTCCATAGCTCGCCCTGTAGCTGACTGCTGCAGAAATTCAAGCCGCCCAGCGCGCGCACCTCGGTGACGTCGCTCGACTTCGACGACACGGGCGACCTCTGTGTCGTGGCACGCGACGACGACACGCTGCAGATCTACAACACCACCCTCGGAAAGCACGCCAAGGAGTTCAATAGCCAGAAATATGGCGTGCACCTGGCGCGCTTCTCCCACCATGCGCAGAACATCATCTACGCAAGCACAAAGGTCGACGACACGATTCGCTTCTTCTCCACCCACGACAACTCCTTCACGCGCTACTTCAAGGGCCACACCGACACCGTGACCTCGATTGCCCTCTGTCCGTCGTCCGACACCTTCATATCATGCGCCAAGGACAACACAGTACGTCTGTGGGACCTGCAGTCGCAAAACTTCTCGGGCATGCTCAATTTGCACGGCGCATACCTCGCCTGCTACGACCCCTCCGCCACTGTCATCGCCATTGCCTCGCAGCCCGGCGGCGCCATCCTGCTCTACGATGTCCGCAACTACGATAAGATTCCGTTTGCTACCTTTCACCTGAGCGAGATGGAGCAGCGCCACTTGGGCCCCAATGGCGGCGAATGGTCCAAGCTGGAGTTCACCAACGACGGCAAGCACCTGGTCGTCAGTACTACAGGCGCTGGCCACTTTGTTCTGGACGCCTTCGACGGCGGCTTGAAGCACTTCGCCCACCGTAAGAGGGGGGGCACGGGACGACTTGGGCCAAGCGCGGGCGTGCCGAAGAACAATGCGACGAATGGGGTTGCTTCAGCCCTTGGCCAGGGCGACACGGCCGTGACGCCAGACGGGCAGTACCTGATCGGCGGCAGCGCCGAAGACGGCCTCCTGGTGTGGGACATCTCGCGGGACCCTCCATCCGACAAGTATACGCACGCCGAGCACCTCACCGGCCCCTGCAAAGCAGCCGTTGTCGGTTACAACCCCAAGTTCAACATGCTGGCTACAGCAGACAAGGACCTGGTTCTGTGGCAGCCAGATCCGGACATTATGATGTAAGACGACGCGTTGTATCGAAATAGTGTTGTCAGATGTTGTTAAATGTGTTGCATTTGTCAGAGTTAGAAGGCAAGATGCTAACATTGATCTCAAGACCAGATAGAGAACTAGCCAAGGCGCACGGGGTGGATCTGGCCCACCGCGGCAAGCCCACGGAGGAGTAACGAAAAAGTCCAAGCCGAGACCCTCCAGCATATCACCAGCATGGGAACAAGGACGCCGATGAGTTCTGGAAACCTACGACAAGGGCCGAAAGGGACGACCACGAGTCGTGAACTTCAGCAGAGTCGAAACGGTCGACGTGCAGCTCTGCAGTGCATATACGCTTTGGCATGTTTCAATCTTGAACTGAAAAGGATTCTATCATCCTCAGCATATCTTCAATGGAGATGCTATACCCCTTGACCAACTCTCCTCTTTACTCCCACATTTGAGACACGATGTGTCACATTGTCCAACTTCATATTTTGCTCTCTCTCTCTCTCCACCTATAGTGATTGCTGCCTTTCGCCACTAGCTTGTTCACAATCGGCACCCATGCACACAGTCGTCGTCTCTTTTGGGACAGTAACGTTGACATGATTCTAGACCGGTAGCCCTTCGGGTCATGGCATCTTCGCCTTGACTGAGCAACAAGTTGTCAACTACACCGCGCTCTTCTGCTGGAAGCGACTATGTCAAGCATTCGATAAATGACTCGTACTTCCGCTTGGCATTGAAAGAATCTGAAGGCGTCAGTCAAAGCAGATTTGTCGGCAGATTGATCTGATGCGCTAAAGTAATGATGGAAGGCAGTAAGATGAATCCAGGGAAAGAAGCTTGATCACAAATCAGCCACTTCCATGTCAAGTACTCCTACTAACTTTTGACCTGTGGTTCTGCAGCACGTATCCCGGTGATGGTGCATAATCGTCGTCACCTCTCAACCTCTAGTGTTCACCTCGGCGATCCTCGCACTGTGACGGATTCCTCCGTAGTTGCCAGAACTTCTGAAATGCCTCCGGTACTATGGTAATGTTCCAGCTCTAGGTCCTCAAGGTTTGGCTAGCAACGTCTTTCCTAAGAAAATCCTTTGTCAGGCTGATCAATCCTCGCCCTCATAACTCATCCGCCTAAACACTGAGTCTCGAACATCGTAGGAGCTACATACCTCCACTTCCTCCAACATAAGCTTCTTCAAGAATGCTCACGGCGTCAGGAGCATGACCTAGTCCCCCAGCGTAGAATATTTGAAGCTAGCTCACAGGAAATATTCGCATTGTTTGTTCACGCATCGTAGTGCTACGTCGAATGGCACGGCCATGCCATTGTGAATGCTGAAGAATCGTCTAATCGATGGACAATGTGCCTCCTCATTACTCGGTAGCTCCCGCATAGATTGACCGCTCCGGCCCGACACTCACATGGTGATCGACAGGTCCGGGTCTGTAGGCTTGTAGTGGAATATGCCCACGACTTATCTAACTTGCTCAAATGTTTCTTTAGATTTCAGATTAAGGGGGATACCACTAGCGCCTCCTCGGGTGTGAATCCGACTGCCTGCTTCTCAAAGGGTTACCGTGGTCGCGGTCTCAATCGCTGGTGGGTGACTTCCCAGCTTTTTTTGTATATGTGAGACTGGTGTAGATTAGTGAACGGAAAGGCAAGAATGGTTCTGTTCAATTTGAAGGACAGCTTGGAGAATACGAGGCGGTTGGTTTGCTGCATGCTCGACTACGAGCTTCCACGGTACCGCCTCGGGACAGTGACTTTAGTACCAAGTACTAGGAAATTTTACCCGGTCATGCAGAGCGGCTTACTCCGTTGCGATAAGCACGGGCTCAAGATAAATCATATGGGACCTGCAACCCCATTCCACCTGTCCGTAGTGCTGCCCCTTCACCAACATCTCCGACGCGGAGCCTGCGCGTATTTGCTCTGCTTATCCGCTCTTCTCCAGACATGTACACTTTACACATTCGTCCTCCATGTTGGCATCGCTCATGCTAGAGTGGACATCATCGCTCTGGTATCTGATGCGCGGTGGTAAAGCGGCCAAATTGTGGGTTTAGTGATAGGGCTGGAGGAAAAGCCTAAGAGTCAGTTAAACAGCCATACCCACGGCTGGGCCAATAGATTTCCAGCGAAACGGCGATCTGCAGCTTAAACTTGGGTCTGCACTTGTGATTCATACACTTCGTTCTCCCAAGCGTGGTGGGTGGCATCGGATGATCTGCAATAGGAGAGTCATGGGGGTGAGATTACACGACGTGCTGCGATGTCTCCTTGCAGGAATAATGGAAGGTTGAATGAAGGCATGCGCGGCAGGCGGAAGAGCCGCCTATGCTTGCTTGGAATTGGAGATCCTACGTAGGGATCTTCACTTGTAGAATCTTGGGGCGGTTGATCTTTATATTGCACAACAAGTATTACAACAGCACCAAAACTAACAGCCGCTGATTGAGAACTAGAGTATCCTTGCTGTCTCGAACTTGGTCGGATGTCTACACATAGTCTGCGATCCGTCAAAACAACGGTGTCAGTCTAGAGGTATTTCAGAGTCGATGTTGAACATGTGGGTGTTTCAAAATACTGGCTGAACAGGGCAAAAGCTCTGTCTTTCAGCACAAGCCTGCTCAATGTCTTACCACCAGCCTGCTCGCCTGACGTAGTCTTCTGCTGACCTTCAGTTGAGGCGGTGTCGCGCCCCATCCGCTGATGTTTCAACTCTTACCAGAAAGTCTTTGATCTTCGACCATAAGATGATTCGAGTTGATCACCGTGCACAGCTCTTTCCATACGTCAAGATTTGGGACCAGTGTTAGAAACATCCGGTCATGATGGTCGATGAGAAATTGAGATCGGAATTTCACCGTGGAAAGTATTATTTACCGCTCAAGATCAGCTACTCCTTTCTCGAGTACAGCGGGTGAGCAGCTCAGGGGCAGCGGCAACCAAATTGACAATGCGATGCTGAGCCGCAGTAAGCACATTGAAATCGTGCGCAACGTGCGGCGCATGTCCCGCGCGAATCCTTTGTTTGCGTACCGTGCCGCAAGTATGTAACCGCAAGTTGGTTGACGGTTCAAACCCTGAGCAATAGTGTGGGGTTATTAAAATAAGGATCAACTGTCGTCGTGGTTTTCGCCGAATTTGTGCACGTGTCAGCTGTGGGGCGACGATCGCAACCTCCAAACTGCAAGGCGTGCCATTACGTCCCGAGCCATCCGCATCTCGAATAGTGTTAGAATCGGCGAGAGACGGACCTCCCCTGCCGATTGAGATCTCTTTTGGAAAGTTTCCTCTGCACGGTCGCCAATAGCCACATGCACGACAAGCGTAGCGTGAGCTTGATGGTTGGGATAGACGCTAACTTTGATGAAGGGTCCTAATGGGTATGAACGTTGTCTATCATCGTGGGAATGGGAGACAGAGGATTGAACAGGGTATATAAGACTGGGCGGACAGCACAGTGTTTCCGGCATCATCAATATACTCACCCAGTCAATCTTTTAGACAACGCAACAGTCACTCTTTCATCCCACTTACTACACTCTTTAATTTTCTAATCTAATACCCAACAATCAAGATGCGTTTCAACTTCGGTCTCGTCGCCCTCTCCGCCCTTTTCGTGGCTTCTTCTGCCGCTCCTACTGCAGCGGTCACCGACCTTTCTGCCGTCCAGGACGTCACCGACCTCTCCGTCGTCAAGGACGTCACCACCAAGCTTCCCGCCGTTGAGGGCGAGCTCAACCGTCGCACAGACAATGTTGTCTACGAGAAGCTCCAGTACACCCTCGTCGAGGTGAAGAAGCACACCGCCGTCATCAACTCCACTGTCTCCAGCGTTCACGGCGTTGTCAGCACCGTCGAGAAGACCAAGATCATCGCCTCTGTCAAGTCCGAGGTCGTCATCATTGTCCAGCTGCTCAGCACCGTCGTTGGCGAAATCACCGTCCTCCTCACCGATATCACCAGCATCACCGGCGACCTCAAGGACAACATCATCAGCGTCGTCGTTGAGCTCCTTGTCGAGATCCTCCTCACCCTCAACAATGTCATCACCGCCTTGAAGATCAGTAAGTCTACCTCAGAATTCCCGCAATTCCCTGAATCTCGCTAACACTCCGCAGCCATCTTCGAGCTCCTCGGCCCTATCATCTTTGCTTTGCTCGCCGTCATTGTCAACCTCCTCGCTGTTCTTAACGTCATCATCGTCGACCTCCTCAAGATCGTCTTCGGCCTCCTCGGTGGTGTTGCCGGTATCCTTGTCCACGTCCTCGCTGGCCTCGGTGCCATTATCGGTGGTCTCCTCGGTGTTGTTGGTGGTGTCCTCGGCCTCGTCGGCGACATCGTTGGCTGCATCTTGTAAATGTAAATATCCTACGACGACCTCACCGATACGAGTCTAGGGACGGATGCTGCTTGTGAAAATATAGAAAGCCTCAGCATCCTGTGTCTGCGGGTGGAAGGGACTCCAACCAGGTGGTTTGGGAAGGTGCTAAGAGCTAGCTTCTTCCCGGTTATATAATGCTTGTGTTTACAATTACGTCTACCAAACTTTGTTTGCCAACCCGTTTCTTGCTGATTCCATTTGTGCCTCTCTTTCTACTTTTCTCGTGCCGTATATTCTCCGAGCCAAGCATTGAAACAGTCAGAACTTACGCAACGATGCAGCGTGGCCAACGAACAGAACAAACACCGAACAAGGTCCTTGTTCGTTCGATTTGTATAATAACGTTCGTACGTTCGAAGCGACACGAACAACAGCTGATTCGAACCGTACAGCGAACGTTCGGCTGAACGTTCGTATATATACGATTTGCTAATTAGGAAAGAGGCTGGTGTTGAGGTCCGGAAACTGGCTGGCGTCCATCAGCTGGATGTTTTGGCAGGCATCCTTCTTGACAATGTATTTTGACACCGCCGTGAGGTGACTTGATACGGCGTCTCTTGTCAGCCAGTTCTTCTGGAGTTGTAAAGCTTCGACGACGGCGGGCGATAATTGATTGCGATCGCACGTGATTGTTCTCCTGGCGGAGGAGAAACACTGCTCGCAGTCGCACGAGGTGGCTGGCACAGAGAGATGATCCATCGCCATCTTGTATACGACCGGGTAGCATTTTTGGCCGACGTCAACCCACCAGCGGTGTGAATCCTGCATCAATTTGTACATGTCCGGCGACGCGGAGATAGTCAATCTATCGTCGTAGAGGCTGTCGAAATACTCGTCGAGCTGCGACGTACGTTTCTGCCGCTTGTGTGCCTTCTTGCCTGTGAGAAGGTGGTCGTCAACAAAATCCACCGAACATGGTATCGAACAGCCGAACGTACGGCTCCAAAAATGCGTTCGTTCGGTGTTCTGTACGTGTCAACATGCCTGTACGTTCGTTCGAGTCAAAACACCAAAAAATTCCGTTCGGATCGATTGTTCGGAGCGAACGTACTGTTCGTTGGCCACGCTGCAACGATGCTTACTACAATGTTCTTCAGTATCTTACCTGTAAGGATCAAAATTCCAAAATATAGCCGACCCGAGAGTCCTGGGACGGTACAATTACAATAGGCAAATTCGAAGGCCCTTTTGTGCTCCAGAGAATATCCGGGTAACGCTATACCCTCCCAGCTGGGCAGTCACCGACGGGACCAGAGCAACAACTTGCAGCTGAAGTCGATCGCCCTGATAACACTTCACCTTTGCTGGGACCAATCTTCACCCTTTTTCTTTTCAACCCAAATCTTTCACGAGTGAAGTAGGCCCACACTCACTCTCGCTTCGATTCGATTCTAACGCGTCTCTTACCACAACAGCGACGTCATATAAACAAGACCATGGAAGGCAGTCCGCGGTCCCACCAACACACGTCGAACAAAGCCTTTCACGGCACACAAATCGCGCTCCCCAGCAACAACGCGTCAAACGAGGGCTTCACCTGCAGTTCGCGACCACAATAACAAAAACAACCCGTCGACGAAACGACCTTCCCGAATCCTCTTTCGCGACCATTCAACGCATAAGCCGACCTTGCGACGGTGATGGACACAACTGCCGTGGGCGTTCAACCTGCACTCAATATGGTGGCAAGCCCAATGTCAGCCTCAATGCGCGCACATGACAGCTTCTCTACGAACGGAATGGGACCAAATGTTGCGCAGATATTGCAACAGATGAACATCAAAGGATTCCACGACTTTCTGGTCGGGCGCCTGCTGTAAGTACAAATGTCTGGCTCATGGCTGCATTGTCGAAGTTGATTAAGTATTAGATATCTCTCCCAAGAAGCCCACTGGAGGCTGAAAAGCGATCTCGACCTACGTGGTTGGCCACTGCATCTGCGATCGATGGATGACGCGAGCTGGCAGCTAGAGGCAGGCGCGCCTTGGGCGCCCGAAGACCAGAAGTCGCTCATGGTGCTTTCGGCGCATGGAGTGAAGGCCGAAGACATTGCAGAGCAGTTCTTCGAGGGCCGCACTGTCGATGAGTGCCAGGTTGAGATCGACGCCATCAAGGCCGGGGTACCTATGAATTCAATCGAGACAGGACAAGGAGCAGCCGATATTGACATCGGGGCTTCCAAGGCTGCATCGCCCGAGACCCCGTCAACGAAAGCGATATTATCCGGCCTGGCCAAGACACCGTGGAAGCCGACATCCTTTATAAATCGACTTATCGAAGTTTCTTCCGGTGCAGCAAGGGCACGCTCCGATACGCCTCACGCAGACAGCCGCAAAGACTGGAATCAGGCGGACCGCGATACGGTTTGGGCGGCGGTGCAGCGAGGGATGAGTCCACGCCAAATCCAAGAAAAGTACCTGCCGTTCCGATCAGAATCCGCGATACAGACACGAATGACAAAAGAACGAAAGCTGAGAGGTGTGCAAGCAATACCGACAAAATGGTCAAACCGAGATAACGAACTTGTCATCAAACTTGTGGATGAGGGACATGACTTCGAGGACATTGCTCCACGATTGTCGAGAGAGAGGACGCCCAAGCAGATCGAAGCTCGGTACCGCAATTTGAAGAAGCAGGCTAGAGTCAGCCGAATGAGCGTCGAAGTCAACGTCATTGATGATGATGAAGACGTAGAACTGGGAGACGATAACATGCAGGTGGACGCAGATGGAGATGAAGGCTCCGAGTACAACGACGAGATTTCTCGGGTTGTTCAGACACCACACAAACCGAAAACTACCCGGAAGACTATCCCCTATAACAGCTCGGAAAAATCACCCACAAAGAAGCCCCCCTCATCGATCACCTCAATTCGCACCAAGCTCTTGAACTCCATCGACGCCAAGTATCTGGACTCGGACGGCAAGAAGGGGCTAAGGAAGGCACTCAACAAAACAGGTTGGCCGACGCGCTTCACTTCAGTGGAGGAGCACGACTCCCCTATGCCCGAGAAGAATGGACCGAAATGGCCTACTAAAGACGTGGAGGCGCTACGGTGTATTCGCGAGACGGCATCTTCGATACCCTACAAGAAACTCGAAGAGTTCTTCCCCGGTCGGTCCCAAACGGCAATCAGGAATATTTACAACACAAGGGCCAATCCGAGCCCAAACTACAGTGACCGCAAGAAATAAACCGGTAGGTGGTGGAGCCAACAATCAAAGGAAATTTTTGGGACATGATGCTTTAGCACGAGGATCTCCACGGTGGCATGAATTTTTGCGCGAAAAGGTTGGATTTGAGATGATGGGCCGTCCATTGCTCTACGAGACGAGATTTGGTTTCAAGGCTTTTGGTTTGCATACCACAACGGGCACGCGGAACTCGGATGCTGTTGAGCAACGTTTGCGGTAACCGTGCTTGAGTCGATCTGGCACTGTTTGGGAAGTAAGAGTTGCAAGAGCCTTTGGGTACTGGAGGCTCTTTGTGCTAGCCCAGAGTCTAGCAATAAGCTTTAGGCGAGCTAGGGCCTAGATATGAAGCAGGACCATATTGCAGAGAGCAGAGGGCCCCATTTATCCCCTGAGCACTTTGGATACCCTTGTAGGTTTTCTGATAGGTCAATTTGTCTTTGGAAACAATCTTGAACAACAGCAAAAACAACAACAAATGTATGCCTCCGTCTTTTGTCTTGCAAACCCACTTTGCACGACCAGATGGAACACAAAGCGTGACTTGGCCGACCAAGAAAACAATAATTGCCACGCCGCCGACAATAGTAAAGACAACAACAACCTATGCAACGTAAGCTAAGTCATGAAAACTAGCTTGTTCTACACATACCTTTGCATCATCACTCCACCACTTATGATGGTCGATCCCCTTGAGCGCAGACCACACATACAAGAACAACCCAACGATCATGCAGATCTATGCCGACGCCAGAAACATTATCGACATCTGTCAAGTATATAGTTGTGCCATGCTTGGTCTCAGCCACCCGTTCCTTTGCTTCCCATTCGATTTCGAGAGGAGCTCTCGAATTTGTGCACGGCCGTCGCGGTGCGAGGACATGTGGTGGAGCCGGACGGTCTGATCAGCCGCGCTGAGGAGAGATAAAGCGGAAAGGATGATACCGCAGTACCTGTCGCGTGCCGGCTAACATGTACGAGAGCGGGCGGCGAGGGACTCACCAGGTCGTCCGCACAGGCCATGGCGATATCTTCCCGTTGGGAGGGATGGCCGGCCATGAAACCAGTCGATGTCAGCGCACCAGCAAGCAGGGCTGACTAGAGGTGACAATCAGCGTTTCTGCAAGCATGCGGTGATCACGAAAAAGCACAAGAAGAATATCTGAACGGCTGGAGAAGGATTGGACCTACCATGACGCCGACAAAGCTCAACTCGTTCAGCTTGCTGTCTCGCCACAGTCCTGTGAACCTGTCTCTCTCATCCGGGTCTTCTGTGCTGAGCAGTATCTCAATCGGGTCGTGAGTAGAAACACCAGAGCGTAGAAACCGCCCTAGAAGAAATCTAACCCCGCTAGAAGAAATCTAGGGACCTTGGTAGCCCCGAGTACGTGTTATGTTTGCGCTCTGCTTCTTGCTCCTCTGGTGTGCATATATGCAATTGGAGATGCCCGTTAACATTGGATCGTGACTAGTTTGACCAATGACGTATCAAGCGTGCAGCAACGTCTACCAGTATGTTACCATCAGACAGTGCTCCACTCTGTCTACTATCAGTGTTTAGAAGTAGTAGAGAGCAACCAAGTCTGTATTTTGGAGTACATGTTATCAACGGTCAAGTTTTCCAAAAATTTGAGCCCCATACTCTTGCAGCGCAGCCTGGAACAGGCGCGAGCTGCGGCACGCATGTCCTTGGCAGCAGACGAGGGCTTGCTGCGAGGGACCATAGTTCTAGGGTCGATTACGATAATGACACAAATCAATCTGAAGACGTGTAGTGTGTGAATTGTGTGGCTTATGAACTAATCTGAAAAGGAAAGCGACCGTGATGACGCGCGCCACTCACGGGTAAGATAGCCCTCCCGGGTTACCAGATGGCGCCGTCGTTTATCCTGCTCCTCTCGCATCCCCGCCATTCCACGGAATAGCGCCCACAAATGGTCAGAATGTTTCCTGAAACCATTTGCGCGCTAAGAGTCCATATTCGCAATTTGTGAGACAGTCAAAAGAACTTTCGCTGAGAATCCGAACAGGCCGTTATGAGGATTCAAGGTATGAAAGGATCCGAGAAACGTATTATAGTGCAGAGAGACAGACGCAAGACACGAAAACGTATGAGTAACGAAGCACTATTGGTAGCCATAAGAACCCTGGTAGTGTCGGCCTGGATATTGCTGCGGGGGATAATCCTGCGGTGCCTGGTGATACGTCGCTGGATACGTCGCCGGGTACGCTGCTAGGTATGTCGCTGGATATGTCGTCGAATATGTCGTTGAAGAAGTTGAGCCTGAGTAAGACTGGGCTGCTTGATTTTGATCTTGTTGTGCATAGGTTTGATTTTGATCTTGTTGTGCATAGGTGTAATTCGGCGGCTCCTGAACATGTTGAACACCGTCATGATCACTGTCGCTTCGACCATCCTCCTCTCGATAATACCGAAGAAGCAGGGAGTGTTGTTCCGGGATAACGTCTCCGATATCCTTGACTTTCACATTCATTTCGATTGGATACACCTTGCCATAGTGCAATCGCGATGCGGGGTCCATCCGCACGCTGGTATCTGCCGGATTGACACAGATTGGTTCTTTATCAAGACCGCGTTCTCTTTCTCCCTCAAACATGGTTGGCGTGGACCCATACAGATGTATCACCGAATGCTCAGATGATATGCAGCCAGGTTTGAGGGTACCCCGCTTGCTGTAGGTGAATATAGGACTGAGCGCACGTGTCAGTAAAGATTTTCTCCTCCGGTCGAGCTGTCCTAGGTATTACCATGCATAGACGAATCCGCGACGCGAATCGACTATAACGAAACGTCGGATCTGAGAGAAAGCTCTCTCTCCGTACTGAACGACTGTGATGTTGGCACTTAATGCTGTGAGATCCGTTGCACTGGCCGCTTGTATATGCAGCATGGCGAACACCTGAAATGATGACACTGATATTAGCAACGGAAAATTTCGCAGGCAGCACGAGCGTACCTTGCCGACCCTAAAGAACTGGCGCGCTTCACGGCCACTCCTCATTCGATAACCTGTACTTCTCAGCATTGCTACCTCAACATCCTTGGTTATGCTTACTGGGATCCAGCTGCTCAAGCCAGCCTGCCTGTGGGTTTCCTTTGATGAAGTCTGGATGACTCTTCACAGCCGCCGGTGCTATCAAACTATGCATCAGCTTTCTTCAGCTCTAAGAGGTACTCTTCTGATCGCCTACCTAGTTCTGGCAGGGTCTCTTCGTCGGTTCGTGGCCGGCTTTGGTAGATCAGCCCCGCTATGTTCTTAGGACGCGAGAATCGTACAAATCAATATTCACATGTGGATATGGCGTCCTCGGGTCGGCTTCCACAGGTGCTTGCTCTTTTTGAAAATGGTAGATATAGTTGCCTGTAGAATTGTGAGTTCGCACTTGAGGTCGTCACTAGCCTTGAACACTGACCCAACGTGTCTCTCGTAACATAATAATAGTCTTGGCGGTTAGCATCCCAGGTCCACACCGAAGGTGATGACTGGGACATGTTAAAGATCGTTTATGCCGTGGATGTTGAACGTCGTCGCGGAGGGCGCTTATAAGCAATCGCTGCCGCGTTAATGGACAAGCGATGCGGCTCTGCTATATTGCCATCTTGGTGGAGCTGCCTGAGGGTGTGTGGGCAATCAGTGTACTGGCGGCATGGTTCTGCGTCTTCTCCACTTTGGCGTGTGGAGCATGCAGAGAGTATGCAGGAAGTTGTGTTGCGTGACTTCGCTTGCTCGCGCATGTGGCTGACTCCCTTGCGCTAGGCCAAAGGCTGCATGGAATGTAACGCGGGCGACCCAGGATGCGCTTCGTGCCGCAACCATCCCCCTGGGAAGTAGGCCACGCCATCATCCCACGGGCCTTGAGCACAAACAGGCCACTGATAAGCCCAACTTCCGGGATGCGGCATCCCCTAATGCCTTGTCTTTGCCTCTTGACCTGCTCGCGCCAGCCACTCTCTTTCTAGGCGTATCGACCCCTGCCATTTAAAGGAGTTGTTCGTCAAGCGCATACAGCTGCACCTGTTGTATTTATCCACGTCAACGGACACTTGGCATCCTTGCAGTGAAACAGATACCGATCCATCCACCAACATCCGAGGCTCCTTAACATCTCCACAAGGCTGGCACAGGGCTATCCAAGATCACCCATCAACTTCTCAGCAAGAGAACAATGAACACCACTGCTCTGGTCTCTGTACACATGCGCCATGACCTGTGCTATGCAGGCACTGGGCTCCTCGACCGATTCGTATTACGGCTCGACCGACTCGCATAACGGCTCAACCGACCGCACTGAAGTGCTCGAACATACATTTGGCGGTCCTGATATTGGCCTTTTCAAAAACCCTGCGCGAATTATTGTTGCATCACCCTTGAGCAGATTACATGAAATCACACTTGCACAGGAGGAGGTTTCGCAGGCAAGGAAGGACTTGCTTGTCGAGCGCTCGAAAGCAAAAGCAGCCGGAGAAACCGTGCGATTACAACGCTTCGTGACTGGGACCACCGAGGGTCAACTCCTGAGCGCATTGCGTGAATTCTATAACGCTAACGCAGAGGCGCTGCCACCATCTATCACAAAAGCATATGAAAGGGTAATTCAGGAAAGAGATCGACTGGGTCTCATGGAGGATAGTTATATTGAAGCTGAAAGAACTCTTGGAGGATCGGAATGGAGATTCATGCAGAAGGAAGAGATGCTGTACCAGTATCACTTTCCGGACTTACGGGCCCACATGGAATCGACTTTACCCAAATATGATGCTAGAACACAATCGCGTCCTCCGCCACCTCCCGACCCAGTTTTCCTAGGAAATCAGACGGTTCTTGTCCACGACGCTCCTCCGCCTCCTCCGCCCCCGCTTCCGCCCCCGCCTCCGCCTCCGCCTCCTCCCCAGTACTTGCCCTTGAACTCACGTGAGCCTGTGAACGTGGCCGAACCGCCGCCTCAAACTCAAATTAAGTTGAATCCTGAGGCACACTTTGAAGATCAATATAAAGCCGCGGTAACGGAGCTCGACAATCTCAGGAAAGAATTCGACTCATTGCGTCCACAACAGTGGGAACTCCTGGATCTGGAATTTGAAAAACCAATCACCCACGTCGAAGCTCCTGAGCAACGTGTTCTCTTCCAAATTTTATTTGATAAATACAGCACTCTGCTGACAGAAATCATGAAAAAAGATGTCGAAGTCCAGCATCTGCGTCAAAATAGATGGGGTACTCCCGACATTCATACCGACTTGAGCCGGCGAATGTCTGATGAATGGATGCTGGACTATGCCAAGACCAATGCTATCGAGCGGACAATGTACTTCAACGTTCTTGAAGAAAAAAAGATATTGTTACCGCACGGTGACTCAGTAGACGAATGGTCAGAGCGGTATTGGTTCTCCCACGCAACGAACTCCTCGAATGATGGTCAAGATTCCACTCACACGGTTGGCAGTCGATCACATTCGACCTCTTTCACGAGTAGTAATATCGATCTGTCGGCACTGGCCATTTTGACGCCTGGAAGATGTATTTATCCATCAAGACGGCGACCACAACAAAGCCTCCCATCGTTGGCTTCCGAGAAGTTGCTCTCCCGCCTTCAGAACGTCGAAGTACGTCCAAGACGATTTTCGCTCAGCGCTACAAAAGGCGATATATCAGAACATGATTCGAGGCAAGCGGAGCCGGCCGACCACTCGAATGACCTGCTGATGTCGGGTCACGCATCAGAGTCATTACATCACCATCGAAGCCAAAGCTTCCCAGCAGTACTCAGGCCAAATGTTGTTACGCACACTGGTGGAGGTTCTTGTAGACATTTCCCAGTTCTATCACAGGCAATTATGTGTTGATTGAAGTGTTTCCGTTCAGGATATCGCACGGACTCTCTCGCATGTACTGCTTTCTGACTAAAACAGAACGCCAAACCAGTGTTCATCATTTAAAAGTTCACTCAACGTGGTGACTGAATACCCGATAGCAATACTTCAAACTTCAAGTATACCTGGGGGAGGTAGGCACACAATATGAACGTCCGCGAAAGGACATCCCATTGCACTTTTGAGCCTGCCTGTTGTCCGAACGAAATTCCTGCTATGCCCTGACTCAGCGAGACAAGGCTCCTGCCCTCCAGCGCCCTCTCTCTGACCGCATGTTAGGCGATCACACACCGATGGAATCTACTTGTATTACAATTTCCAGAGCCGCGATCCTCCCAATATACCGACTCTACAATCGATGCTTGGGACTGAAAGCATGCGTTTCGTCTCACTTGATGTACCATGAATCCTATTTGGCGATAATATTCCTATTGATTGGGCAAGTTTCTCGTATTTTGGTTGGCAGTCATTTGTTTGGACAAATCCCTGTTGCTCTACTCAGCCTTTGCTGCTTGTCAGGAAGCGCAAATGAGGGCTCCAACCAAGATAGCATATTATTATCGGACCAGCCCATCATGCAACTGCCGCTCATACCTTCCATTGGCTGAAGCCAAATCAGGCGAGCAGGCAATCTCCAGTGACCAGTGCCTCCCGCGATACGGTCTCATCTTGCGAGGGCTGCAAATCGGCCCAGCGATTGTCTCTCCGCCTGTAAGATATGGACGCGTGCGGTCAAATGATTTGTTTTTGACTAGCAGCTCTTATCGAAACAAGAAGAGTGCGAACATGCCATAGTGAAGCACTGAGATCGGAGTTCAGCGCAGGAAGTCATACCACCCCGAAACCGAGCTTACAAGCCTGGTTGAATGTAAGACGTCCCGTGCCGCGTGAATATCGGCTTACTGTTCGACATCGGTTGGTTGCTGCTCTCGGCGCAGATGCACAGGCTACCGATTGGATACATTAATAGCGCGAACCCTTTTCTTCTCCTTTGAATCTTTCGGAGATTGTATAATGGCTTCCTCTGAATAGAAGAAAGAAGTATGCGCACTTGTGCCTTTGTCATGGTCCTCCAGTTCCGGTAGTGTGTACCTTGCACTTCCCGCACCCCGCTATGCATCCTGGTCGACCAGAAACGGCGACCCACTTCGATGCACAAACGAATATCTTGCAGCTCTGCCTTCCTAGCTCCCGTGGACCGGTTCCACATCACGTATTCGTACCACATCCACGGTAGCATGGAGTTTTCGAGCAGACATTGAGGGGCAAAAGAAAACACCTTCTGTCCACGGTATGACTCACAGTAAATCGTGCGACGTAGCTGCAGCATGCCTGCTAGATGCGGGGCTGCATTCCCGTGATAGGACAGTCGCACGCAATTACAGGGTTGATGGCAGCAGAAGGGGATTCGGCACGTTCATTCCTAGTGCAACTGGTCGGTGCCGCAATCTTTGAGACAGTCACACAGAGGAGATTCCCTTGCTTTTTCGTGCTTCGTGTTTCGGCCCGCGCCTGATATTCTCTCGGGCCGCTCGAAAGGCAAACCTCTGTTGTTGGCCGAGTCACTAACTTACCCAGCCCCGACTCTGGATCATATCCTTGCAACCTTCACGCATGCGCGGAGTGCGTGGCCCCGTATCTAATCAACCCCACCAATCAAATGGAGTCGATGAATCACGCGCGTAACCGCAGTGTAAGTCTCGGATGAGTGAGCAGTGATCGGCGACAATCGTAATGCAGCCTGAGTAGTGGTGAGGTTTGTATGATACGCTGAATTACTGCGTAGAGACGCGTTTAGGAGAATGAGCCTATCCTTTTTTGACCAGTTTCAAGCCTGGTAGAGATTCATTAAACGCATCTTCAAGCGTTCCCGCCAGCAAAGCCAGGAGGAGCAACATCTGATAGGAACTCAGGAGTATCTTCGGATATTTCTAGCCTAAACGGCGATTTGCACTTGTCATCTGTTCAGCCATCAGCCTGGCAGTATTCTTCTACCCCCACGCGTTGACCGATCGTAAACTTTAGTAATGAAGAGCGAGTACGAATCGCTTTGATTGAATCTTTCAATTAGGAGTATGCGCATACCATTTCCGTCGCAGAGCCTCAAATTCCTTCCAACCGGACCGCAGCTCGGCTATTTTCAGCCCTGGTGAATTGCCCTCAAGAAGGCAAACAGCGCTAATGCAGCCTAACAAGGCGATCGGTGAGTCTGTACATGGATGCGCATGAGAATCGAAGCGATGGGGCTGTATCGACAAAATGAGAAATGTACCACCCAGCAGTCAAGATTCACGGTCGTTGCACAGAAGCACAAGAACCGCTGTGTGGATAGGTCATTGCCCCAGGTCACTATGATCAGCAAGAGTAGCCTGTTACACTACAGATAGCGTCGTTCCAAATTCGATGTCAGGACCATGAGCTGGGTTCGCGCATATCGCTACTAGATTTCGTTCATGCACGTCGCTCTTCAAGTCCTCAGAGAGATGCTCTTGAGGAACATTCACCTACTGTACCCCGAACGCGCCCCAGATAGATGTCGATCCTCAAAAGTACCGCAGCGGTATGGGGACGATGATGAAAGCATACTCATACAGTATGCCCAGGCGGACATCAAAATTGGAATAGAGTCGTTCCTACTTGTTCGATGTAGCTTGACCTGCAATATCGCACTTGTATTTGGTAGACTAGTGCATTTTCATTACCAATTTACCTGCGGCACTCCAAACGAAAGCGAGAAACGTATCAGTCTCCGAAAATACGCCATCCAATGGTGACGCAAAGTTTAATTCATCTATTTATTGTTGAAAATTCTCTCCAAACAAGGCCATAGCCTTTCGGCAAACTCTTTCCCTAAGCCGTCCTCCTCACCAGCATCAATGTCCAAAGCGTCCAATCCATGATCATGCTCTCCAAGTACCCTCCACCACTCATGCTTCATCCGCTTAGTCTGTAGCGCTTCGAAAAGCTTCTCGCTCTCCTGATCGTGCACAAAATGATCTTGCTGGGCGTGTGTCGCAACACCGGAGGAAATCTCTCAGTCAGATTGACCGGGATATTCCACTTCAGATTGGTGACCACCTCATTGAATGTACCATACACGGATTCGAGGTAAATGCCTTCCTTCAGCATGTAGAAATAGGCGTTTGCTTGGCCCCAGTACCTGAAATCCGGGATCTTGCAACTGATCGCGAGGCGAGAGGCCATAGGTGCGTCTGGTCCAATGAACTGGCGGAACTCATCGTAAACGATCAAAGACGTGCGTCCTGGGAGTGGGCTCGGCTTTATTGGGGTTGTGAAAGCCTCATTTGTGGGTCCTTGATGGGATACAAGCTGATGATCGCCTTTGGCGGAGCCTGCAGGGTCAGACCAGCGGTCAAAAGCTAGCTGTGCACCTAATAATTGTTCAGTCACGCTTCAATGACATGGGGAAACTTTCCGGCTCACCACAGCTGCTTCCACCGATAATCAGCTTCTCGGGATCCACAAACCCATCCCCAAGCTCGGTTGGCAGTACTTGGCGACACCAACTTGCGCAGTCTTCCGTGTATCGATAGAAATCCTTCGTCTTCGCCTGAGGAGCCAACCTGTAATCCATATTTACTACAACAAACCATAGTATCGGTCCAAAGTAGAACATATGTGTACCGATAGCGTGGCGGTTCTCGAAAACTAAGTCCACTGTGGTGCATCCAAACGATCATCGGGCATGGTTCGGAGAAGCATTCTGGGCATAGACATCGCAGACGACCTCGCATCCATTCTCGTCAGTTTTGTAATCAAATGTTCTCGGAGTAGGGATGTTGGCGGATATGTCGAAGCGGTGAGACCCTTACCAGATTCAAGGTTTGGGTAAATATTGAGTTGAAAACCTGAAAGAGTTGCACCATCAGTGAAGGAGGTATACTGATATATATACTGTTTATGCGCGTACCACACAAGCAAGCCCTTCCCCGATCTAAGATCTAACTAGTGCCTAAGGGCAGCAATGGGCAGTCTCTAAAGGCGGCTGATGTTAAATGTAAGGCACACAGCTGCTCCCACTTGAACGTATGCCAAGAGATAGGTTCCGAAAGGATTTACTTGGATGGAAGGGGATTGTTCAATAATCATCAGGTTGGTGTAGATGGTGATACCCTTCTGCTAATTGTCATGATACGTGAGCGCATGCTAGATCACGTCGATTTACACAATATTGTAAAGAGTGTTGCTCATGTCAGGCTGTTCAAAGTTAGAGATGTAGTTGGGCCTTTTACCTCTACAATAACGATCTAGTGTGAGAGTGCGACGTTCTAGCTCGCGCGTGCTCGGCATTCAGTTCTGATTGCAAATCGTTGTCAGAGAAGCTTCCCTTATAATACAACGGCTGCTGTGGTGATGATAGTGTCTTTTGAGAAAAAGGGGGATTTTAAGGACCGTTCTATATCTGCGTAGCAAGAGTCCCCAACCACAACCTCCACTATGAACATACACCTTCTGATAATATGACTTCTCTGTCTCGCAGTCCTTTTGGTAGCAGGGAAAATCGTGAAAATCAGCGTATCTTTTTCCGGAATCAATCGCTCGAGGAGTTTCTGCATCAAAGAAGGGTGTGAGGTAAGGGGAAAAACCCAAGCCTCGTACTAAGAGAAGCATCTATTGGTAACTGCGTCCATATTGTTTTACAGTGAATCTAAAAATTGTATAATATTCTCCACCACAGCATCTGGAGCATCCACAGGCGAAAGATGCCCCGATTCATTCAGAACCTGCAGCTTTGCCCCAGGGATACGCTCACACACCTCCTTTCTAACCCTCTCAACTGGCTCCACAAGATCTTTCTCCGCAGCCAGCACCAGCACAGGGACCGCAATCCTACCAATTTCACCAGACACATCCTCACCCATCGCATACGCAGGCCACGCTTCACGAGCCCACTGTCTCCCCTTGATCATATCGTCGACCACGAATTCTGGTAGGTCTCTGTCTTGGAATGATGCCGTTAATACATTTTTCGCCACAAAAGCCGCAGAATTCAGGTCATCGTACGCATGCAGCTGCTGTTCACGCATCTCAAACGGCAAACGCAGTGGTGTCGTAGGCGCCGGACTCATGAGCACCAGACCTTCCAACGCCGTCAAAACTCCCACACCAGAAGAATACCATCGCGAAGCCACAAGTTGCGCGACCTTCGCACCCATCGACAAGCCTACGAGTACGATTCTTTCGAGCCTCAACTCCCTTATACTTGCTTCGACATCATCGGCCAACGCAGTGATGGTATATGCTTCCGGGGTGTCGGGGCCGGTCGAGTTTCCCCAGCCTCTAAAGTCAAGGGCGACAGTCTGATACTTTGCGGAGATATGCGGGATGACGAGTGACCACGTGCGAGCGGAGCCGCCCCAAAAATGGAGGAACACGAGACTAGGTCTTCCTCGATGACGGTCGGGGCTGTGTGGCTGACTGATTACAGCGTTAATGGTGACATCGGCTTGGAGCTTGATGAGTTCCGTTCTTGAAGATGTCATTTCTTGCGAGTTGACGAAGTGTGTCGGCAGTAGTGGGAGAGTGGGAAATGATGTTTTATATAGTGTCTCGACGTTGCCTGAGTAACATTAAACACTGTCTTCTCTAGAGTCTCTTATACTGTTCAGGTGGCATGTTGCTGTGCATGAGTCATCATCCGGATCGGCACGGAAAGACGACTGAGTCCGATAATCGACCTGAATCTCGGAACCTACATTAGTGCGTACGCGCATTACGGCTTGCTGTAGAACAGGTTTTCCTCAGATAGGGGACATCAGATTTGCACCGAGATCCTTGAGTGGCTCGTTGAGAGGCAATCACTCCAGATCCGGGCATGGCAATCTCAAAAGAGCCATGTGTTTTGCACTTCTGTCTGATCGAAAGCCCAGTTCATCATGTCGTAGCCATAGGGGTCGTTCATACCAGTTGGTATCTGCTGTAGTGTTTTAATGCGGCGAGACTAGCAAAAATGGAATAAGAGACTCACGATTGATTGCCAATCTGCAAGCATTTCGGGCGTCAGATCATTCAGGGAAAGGCTCCCTAGACCAGCCTGATCTTGGTTCGGTATCTCTGTTTCCATCATTCCCTCCAGCAATACCATTCCACGCTGCAAAGCATTGTGTGAGGCTTCCACAAGTGACCTCCCGATTGCTTCCTTGCCTAGTCCCTTTGCAAGACCTTTGGTGTAAGCTTCCATGAGATACACAAACACAAGTGCCTTAACGTTTGTCTCGCCGGCCTCCATGCACCATATCGACCACGACTTGGCTTCTTGGATGATGGCGAATAAATCTCGCCGCAGTGGTGTCGGACTTAAACCGTCGTCTTCCTGTATTTGCGTTCTCATTTCGACTGCAATCATCAGGATAGATTGCAACACCGCCGATCTGAGGAATCCCTGACCACAGGTGACTATTCGCTGGAGATCATCTCTTACGGGGGACGTTGTACCACTCGAAGATGATGAGCCGAAGTCGTTCGAGGCCGGGAATATCGCGTACCACATTTTCAGAGCTGTGTCAAAAACTGTTTTCCTTGAGAATGCGTACTTCGCGTCTTTCAATGCAGGGCCGAAGAAAGGCGTATGGACAGCGCACAGATAGCGGTTCATGACCGTATCTACCACACGGATTTGGAAGTCAGATGGCAAGTTTCCATGGTTAGAATCAAACCCTCGAAGAGCGTCTCGCAAAGCCTTGTAGCCTATTCGTAACTCCGAGTCAAGTTGAAGGGTTTCTTCAAAGGTGCCAGTGGATGTGAAATTGTTAAGAAACGCAGCTATTGCGAGCCGAGCTGGGAAAGTTCTCCGCAGGATTATGGAGACGGATGACTGCGTCAAGAAAGTTTCCGGCCTCGCAATTGCGTCGTTGTTTTCAAGCTGGTCGTCATCAAAGTTCCCGGCGGGTTGGGTATCGTAATCGTCCTGGCTCAGGAGAGGTGGGCAACCTGCATAGATACTCGCCTGCAAGCAAAGCTCGATAACAGTGGTCCAAAGTCTTCGATGCATTTCGTTGGCATAAAGTGTCCTCGCTGGCAGATGCGCGGGGTCCCTGTGCAGACCTAAAAACATTGCGGAGCGTATCAAACTCCCCGTGGAAATGAACACCATGTCTTCGCCTACAGCAGCTGTCTGTCGCGCAAGAAGCTGGAGACAATATATTTGTATATATTGTATACCTAGTCGATGCTTAAGGTGGGGGTTGGTAAGGAATGTCTCGGCTTCATGTACCCATCGCATGGCTGACGGACGGAGCGTAAAGTTGTTGTTGTAGGACGTTGCACCTATTGCCAACACCAGCTTCAATTGCACCAAGAAAGTTGAATCGGGATCACCCTCCGTTACCCATATAGCTTCATAGGTTCGTTTGAAAGAAGGAATATGGAGTATTCGGTACACGCTTTCAAATGTACGGAGATAACAGTCTACCAGATCATCCGCAATGTTCTTTGGAGGCAGCTCTGGTGTTGGCGAACACGGCCATGGTGGTTCTCTCTGCGATTTGACGAGTCTGGCTATTCGCTTGCATTTATGCATCCCCGAGAAGACCTTCTCGCTGAAGTCTTGCGTGCTGGGATCTCTCGCTTGTCCGTCAATCATCTGCGCAATGTCTTGGACCATAATCACGCTCATGTTCATCCAGTGGCTCTGGCCGTACATCCTTTTCTTGTGCGTGAGACTGCGATGTATGTTGGGAGATTGACCAAGGGCAGGATCTCCATGGTGGATATAGAAGGTGCCACCAATACGGCTATCCGCCGTTTCGATGCTGGAAACTGGTGTCTCAGCTGTAGAAGGAGCTGGAGGAGTAGAGCGTATGACTCTTCGCAGTGCATTTTCAAGTTGGTTCTCGAGAAGTGTGACGCGATTTCTCATAGAATCCATGTCCTGGAGTGGAGCCGTAGTAGAAATGGTGGTGATGGAAGCTTCATCGCGATCACTTTCCCGTGAGCGATGAGGCAACACCGGCAAAGTCTCATACTCGCATGTACTGTTTCTAGACCTGATGCAATTACTGCATGGGGTTTCGCGGTTGCAACGGATCTTGCGCTGCCTACACAAAGTACAAGAGCTGTGTCCGATCCAGATTAGCCTGATTATTCGTCGTTAAAGAGCCATGCTAACATACACTGCTGGTCGTCTTCTTCTACGCTGGGGCTGACTATCCGGCATCCTAAGCCTGTCTCTTGTTTAGTGTCAATTGTTGGTGCAGTACTTTGCAATATCAGAAAGCTTGAAACACGATGACTTACAGAGGGATCGGGAAGCTTCAGTTTTATCCCCGAATTTGCCGATATCTCCGCCCCGAGGCCGCGGCACATCCCATGAAAGGCCGATTCCCGATGCAGTCATAGATGTCACTGGAAAGCAGCGATTAGGAGCACAAGAAGTTAATTGGCCATGATGAAATCAATACGATGCAGTCAAATGCCAGGCCCTGCGCTCGGATCGTCAAGCGTGGCATTAATTACAAAGGCTATTGAATAGAGATATAGACATAGGAATCCACCATCAGATCCCATAAGCCTCCAAATCCTTTGTCAATCCCTTACTAAACACCATTCCAATTATAGTCCCTCCGTCCGAGTAGATCCCTTTAATGTTCCGTACACCCCACTCCTTGAACCCTATCCGTCTGAGCACTGCTTTCGAGCCCTCATTATTTGGGTCGCAAAAACCGAAGAACTCGGTCTGACCTTTCTCCTCCTCGAACCAACGCACCAGCGCTGCTGCCGCCTCAGTCGCATACCCTTTCCCTTGGAATGCGGGAAGCAAGCCATAGCCTACGTCTGGCGCGAGTGGTGCGCCCTCGAACTTCCTGAATTTCAGTCCAACGACGCCAATTTTGGTGTAAGCCTTGACTCTTTGAGAAAACGGGACATCTTCTGCCTCTGCAGTCGCGGAGGTAGTGGGCGTTTTGAGACTGACAAGGTATCGGCCATAGCCCGAACTATAAATGAGGTCGTTCGAATCGATATTCTTGCGCGCGGCTTCACGGTCTGGCATGAGTGAATGGACGGGTTTGTGATCGCGGTTCTGCTCCGTGTCGTACAGTGTCACTAGGAAGTCGCAATGGGAGTCTTGCAACGAATCGAAATGGGAGATGACAAGACGCGGAGTGTCGATGTGAAATTCGGTAGCGACCATCGTTTACAGGCGATGGAGGGTTCAGGATTCGACAGATGTAGCACAATCCCAAAATTCGAGGAGATGATGAGGGGAGTGTCTCATAGTTGCCTAAGTTGGAGAGTCAGGGTGCGATGACTCATCAGTTGATCCCGGTTCAGGTATCGCTCCTACATACTGACTATGTATCGCCGGGAAATCCGAACACGTGGAAAAAATATTCGGAGTTAGGTTTTAATTACAGGTACGCAGATTGAATGACTTTTGCACGTTCCAAGATGCCTGTTTGTGACCCATTACTATCGAGTCGTAGAACCATGGGTAGAGAAGAGTTCTTCCGGCGAAGCCTTAACCCATGAGTGGAGACAGATTGCTGATTTGTACAGCTACAAACACACAAAAGTTTGGATAGTGGCTGTCTCAGTGGCGCATGCCGCCGCCGAAGCCCATGCTGTGGTAAGTTTCGTCCCCCCAGAGGCCTGCGTCAAAAAACCTAGCGTAAATATAGATTAGTACGTTCCAACTCTATACAGAAAGGATGAGCTCATACCTGTCCATTTCAAAGTCCATATCGCGCATGAAGGCGAAAGGGTCATTCTCATTCATGCCATTGGGATTCGGTCCCTGGTCAATTGACACATGTGGGCAGCGCGTAGTGTCCAGCCCCAGAGATGAAGAGGGTCCATCTGTACCATCCGTCATCAGGCCATGGGGAAATCCTTGGAACGTGTCCGGCGTGGGTATTCCATTTGATGGCGTTGTCTTCGCACTGATTTTCTTCATGAACCAACTCTTGGTCAAATCCATAATCATCTCCAGCGACCAGTAGAAATCATGATGAAAGGATTGTGTCCGCTTAAAGGTACTCAAATTTTTCATTCGATAACACAGTGATTCAAGGTAGAGATCTAGACGTCCCCGTTCATGGGCCGCTTTCACATCCCATTGCGCTGCGGCATGCGCGTCGCTAGGGATGCACAGGCGTGCTAGTGTTATCACGACGAGAGGAATACGGAACCATTCTGCGAATGCCAAGATGTGATAATTCGACATGGGACAGCTAATTAGAGTGTCGAGGTACCGTTTGCAAGCTTCGAGAGTGGCGAGCAAAGCGTTTAGGCGCGTCGCATCAGCGATGTAGTCTTGGTTGGATGATTTCGGTGCTCGAAGAGCTATGCTATGTAGCTGCATATCGGTGAATGCAGATGAAAGATCGAATACTGCTAGAACGTTAGCCGTGCGGCCACAAGAGCAATGCATGCCTTACTGAGTTGGTACTCTTGGTTATAACGCTCGCGCTTCCACTCTTCGAGCTGGCTTTCCAGGAGCCGAAAGTTCATCAAGATGCGGGGATCTGCGATATCGAGCCTGGAAGTCTCTTCGGTAAAGAAACAATCTTGGATCTGGTCATCGAGGCGCCTTAATGCCAGAAGATGCCCAATTATTACATCTGAAGGGAATTGACGATGATCTCTCAAGTTGCTACTACATTTCCCCATGTATTCTGTATATTTGAGCAGGCTGGGCTTTTGCATTCCTGCAGAAACTCTGATAGAATTAGCGAGTGTATGACTACATCATGGGATTGGTGGCTTACTGAGAGGACAAGTAATAGCAGCCAAGGAACGTCCGCTGCCGCTCCAATTGCTCCGTTGTAGACAATGGCGAAGGCGATGGTCTTCCTGGAAAGTCGATGACCGGCGGAATCGAACTCTGATGAAGTCCAAGATCAAGTGCAAGCCCGTTCGCAGTCGTCTGCATGAAGTATATTTGCTGAGTCTTATGACTGAAGACGAAGTGGTATCTGACTGGTCAGTTCTATTGAATCTGAATTTAAAATATATGCTGGTACCTTGATAAATAGACAAGAACGCTTTGCAGTAACGAAATCGTTCTCCTTGGGCGAATGAAAGTATGATCCGCCAACTCCTTTCGATAGACCCTGTCTAGATGGCGTTGCAACTTGTGATCCTCCCAAGCAGCGACTGTAAGAATAGCAAGACAAAGCATAGGCTTAGTAGCATGCAAGTGTTCGGCCGAGGTCACATCGTCTATCGGGACAAATGGAAAAGTTATGCACATAGACCGGTATATGTCGAGTAGATCATCGGCCTTTCCGTTCTTCAGCAGCTCGTTCACTTTCTCATCATTAATAGGGTCTTCCGCCTTTCGTTTGGATTGAGCTGGAGCATGGTTTGGGTTACAACTGTCTTCCTTTTCCGCGAAGCTATGGATGCTGCGCAGTTTCTCGACATAGTCTAAGTCTTGTGCGTTCTCTGCTGCATCCACTTCCGTCTCGGGCTCTGGAGCGGATACCTCGGATGGTGCATGGATCTCGGGCAGCGATGTCTGCTGCTCAAAGGAATCCGGAAGTTGCAACCAGCTCCCAGGGGCGACCGGACGATCTCTTCCAGCGAGTTTGTGGGTTCCAATGGTTGTCCAGTGAGGTCTCTCGGGTGGAGATGTCGACGTTTCAGCTGTGTCCGTGGCACTTGTCTTAACAAGACTCGCCACAAGCCCATCAATCTTCTGCTCTACTTGCGATATACGACTTCGAGCGCTTAGGACCCTGCAATCTTTGAGGAGGACCGTGCTTACGATGGACCGCGCACGCGACGAGGGCGGCGTGGGACTTCGGCCCAGATACAGTCACGTTTAGCAGTAAAACATCTTGTATACAGTCAGTTATCGAACAACGAAGCTGATCATAAACGAAACAGGCGGATGGTACCTCTGACAAGTGCCGGACTGCTCGCTTGGCAGGCAACGTGTCTTGAGCGTTCGGCAACGTTGGCAAGCCTGGGTCACGCGTGGGTTTGCAGGTCGCGCGGATGTGGAACTATCATTGTTTTCCATCCCGGCTGTCAGAAGAAGAAAAGAACGAGGTGCAAGGAATGGAGCAGCCGCCATAGAGGCAGCGGAACGGATGCAACAATCACGCCGATCCGATAAGAAGTCGACGCTAGTAACCAACAAGGACTAGTTTTTGGGCTCTATCTCCGGCTACATTACGAACTCTCCGTCACACCAAGCACACAACAATATCACAATGGTATTAGAATCATATTTCAACCGCGCCTAAAGAAAGTCTTGTCTGTAGCATGAGCTTCTTCCGCGAGGCTTCTGTGACGAATCGTAACTTTACCAATGCTCAAAATTGAGCTTCGAGGCCAGTCTCCACCCGTAGCACAACGTCGCTCCAATTGTAATGATGTTCAGATGAATACTCATCGCGTGATTCCACGAGAAATCTCGATTGACTCCTGGCAGCTTTCTGCTACCATCGATTTGGTTCGCTAGACGCTGTTGTCAGCACATGCGCTCTTGCAAGAGTTCAATGTTCATCGTTCAACATACACAAGACTCGTCTCCTCATCATCAACCTGCTCGTGCGCGGCCCATATACTGCTAAGTTTAAGAGCGCCGTAGCTCCGGCAACGAAAAAGGGTATCCAGTCCCCCTTCCTCTTAGCTAGAGCGAGCGGGCCATGGGGGAATGTGATCGCAGTAAGAATGAGAAGAGCTGTTTGACCACGGAAGTATATCGGAAACACTCTTTTTTGCAAGTCTGTAAACGAATGGGCCGGTAATGCTTGGTATGCCACTTTCACCATCACAAAGCTCTGGTAAAGTTGTGTACCGAGTAATGTGGCGTATGCGAATAAATGAGCTGGGGCGAGGATGACATGGAACTCGGTTAGGCGACGCATGGTGGGCGAATTATGCGCGTATCTGGTCGGTCGGATAATTATCTTGCTCTTCGTAGATGCGGAGTTCTCTGTTTGATTTGACTATTGTTGCAGCCTAACGACGTGAGCTTGGGATCGGAATCGGCACGACCTGTGAATCCGTCCCGTAAGATAGGGATGACCGCGTAATCTTTCCAAGATGAGAGGACACGTTATGGGATTCATTATTCCTCTTCAATAGGGGCGAAGCTTTCGATGCGCATAGCACGTACCCTATTGTTGACCGTTTCGCCATCAACAAGCCGGTACCTACAAATTCGGGTTCGAGATATCTGCTCCTCTCCTCGCCCAAACCCCGTCGATACCCATATCTAGTGATCTATCTCGAATTAGTGACATGAGAAATAGTGATATGCCCAAATTATTACCCGTCATCCTTGTGCATTACTACGGGCCTATCATCAGAAGCCGGCGATGGATTACGGAAGATGACACTCTTCTTGATGCCTAGTGTGAGATGAATGGCTGCTGGGTCTGTGACCTCGTATTTCTCGAGAGGTTCTTGGCCGAAGAGATGAACGACATTTTTGGTGACGATCTCTGCTTGCTTCATGGCACTGTACAGAGTAAGTGACCAGTAGTTGTTTACAAATAACCAGTTCGAGACACTTACGGTCTTGCAGCTTTGTGTGCTGCCGTTGCGGCGATATCTCCGAGCGAAAAAACGTTGGGAAAACGATCATCTTGTATCTGTAGCGTATCTTTAACGGCAATATAGCCTTGCTCATCGATGACATCCGGTGATAGCGAGCGAATGATCTCTGACTGCGGGGTCATGCCGTTGCAGGTGATCTGATCTAGGATTTAGCAAATTGTCCACCTGGTTTGATGGTGCTTTCTCACAGCAAGATCAGTCGGGATCTTCGTCCCATCCACTAGCTCCACATCAAATCTGCCGTTGTCCACAGGATAGCCTTCTTTTGGTAACTTGACTCTTTTACCCAGTACCAGGTTCACGCCCAACTCATCTGCTCTTGCTTTGACGACGCTATGTAGATCGGGGTGAAATTTATTCATTACATTCTCTCGAGAATGCACTAATGTAATACTCTTCTCAGGATACAGCTCCTTGGCATCAAGAGCCATCTGTACACCAACAGCGCCTGCACCGATGATGACGATCTGCTCACTGCGCTCGACTTGCTCCGCATGTTTTCGTAGATATGTCGTTCGAGATAGTTTGTTCTCACCGGGAACGTTCGATGGTGGAGCGAGCTTTGTGCCTGTAGCGATGGCCAAGGCAAAGTAAGGAATGCTATCGACTTGTTGTCCATCTAACAGGACCTTGCGGTCGAGCTGTACGGCAGAGCTCGTCAGACCGATCGCGGATGCTTGGATGAACGAACCATTTTCCCCAAGCCGACTTGCTTGGTAGGGAATAAATGCCTTGTTTGTGGGTACTTTGGTTGTTACGGCATATCGCGGAAAGGCGAAAAGATGTTGGAAGTGGCTGTTCCTTTCGACTAGAAGTACCCGGAAACGCCCTTGAGCTGCCTTCGCAAGCTGCTCTGCAACATTTGTCCCTAGAATGCCGAGTCAGTATTCCACCATTTTGCTGTATCATTGCATGTGGCAAGCACACCGACGTAGCTTCCGCCAATCACTACAACATTCCTGGCGACCATGGTGTCTCGTGAAGATGCTAAGTATACCGCAGTGTGTATCGAACTCAGCGATTTTATGTATAATCCAACGAAAACAAAAAGAGCGCCGATGTATGCAAGCAATTTTGTTCCCATCAAATCAACAGGTGGACTCTTTTGTAGTTGAGGGCCTAAAAACTTTATCAGATCCTCGTGCATCTGCCGATGTCGGGTCCGTCCGCTAGTCCACTCGGATATGAACCGCGGGATGCGGAGGACCTAAGTCCGAGAGGGCGCAATTCGGCGTATTTCGTTGTACAACCGGTACTTTTGGAGCCCCGAGCGGTACCAAATTCTGCATTTGAGTTTTCGGCAGCGATCGAGGGCTGGACCTTGAGTATATGTATCCAGCCAGTATCCAGGGTGAGAACGAGCAGTGACTGCCGGCTGCGTGAGAGGAGAACGAGTATCTGACTAACCCCGAATGAATTAGCGCAGTTCTCTTTCACCCCAACATTCACTTCCTTTATCAATCATGCAAAGATCAATCGTTGAACACCGAAACGAGATTCTTCAATTATCGGTGCTTTCGCTAGGAATAGAAATTCACTAATGGCACCTATAGAGAGCTGCGAGGGGCAGCTGTTGAGACAAAACATTGTACGAGATGTTGATAACCCAGAAACCCTACCATATGAAGCACACTCATGCGCTCCTGTATCCGTCCACCGAGGCCCAAGTGCTGCAAAGATGTCCTAAGCATGAATAGCTCAACAAATCATGTTTCCCTCCAGTGAACGATCTCAAGATGTGCGATGAGATCGATTATCGAACAGAAAGATAGCTGGCTGCCTGCTCTGCGCTCGGGACCTTCTACTTCTTTCTGGTCATACTCACATTTTTGATTAGGTGGCCAGGACGCGCGCCAGCTGTGCTCTTTACTGGTGCACGTGTACAAGCACACACAATCTTACCCAATGACATCTGGCTGAAGCACCAAAACGATGCTGACGCGGATTCTAACACAGAAAGAAGTATCGACAAAGTTCTTGTGTTTGAACCCTACACCTGGTGGAGAGGCGTGAGAGGCTCGCTCCCAGTCCTGCACGTTCGCCCCTTTCCAGCTTCGAGATCTAGAAACCACTCACCCCACATTGTATGATATAGATCGACGGGGCCCGTAATTAATGGGCACTAGGGTTCGTGCGCAGATCACTGTATCTAAGAATACTTAGCTCGTTCGATCTTTGCGATGCCATGACCTACACCGTTCGATGTGTTAAAACGCTGTGATAGTGGATCATGTCTATCCAGTCTGTGTCTCATCTTCCTATCAGATGAATTTTGCGTGCTCTTCACTCCTGCAGCTTTTGGGCAATTTCTACCGTCCACATCTTCGCATACCTGGTGAACAATAGTGCGTTCTTCGGGACAGCCTTGGACTCGAGCAGTAATATCCAAGCTCTTCCATCTTATGAGTCAAAATGCTCCGACCCACTTATCAGTTGACACACTTGAAACATAGCAGTACGTTTTGTAAGGAGAGGCCACGCCTCAGGATTAAACTCTGCGAGACAACAGTGTCCTCTCCTTTTTCGAATTACCCTGAAACCCCGGACCCAAGAACACGCTAAGCACGCAAGTTCAACATTTAACAACGCTCTACATCCACCTGCGGGTGTCAAGGAAGATTAATTGAATAGATTAGATATCTCTTGGCTATGACAAGCCTTTTAGTGCTGCGATCGACGGCGACAAGTAAGACTTCCGGTTCGGGCAAGGATGCGTTCTGAACGTCCGTTCGCCACCAAATAGTCTTCACTACCATAAAAGCAGTGCTCCAGCTTTGCTATGTCGAAGAGGCGGTACAAGTGGACATGGCGATAGCTCAGGGCTGATGAACGTCAAGCCCATAGATAACCTCCGACTGGCTGCAACTTCGAAATCGAAACGATCGGGCGAGCTGCAAGAAGGCCTCCCGCACTCATTTCGAAGACAATTTCTCTGTTTCACAATCTGCGAACCGCTCACGCAAGACGATCCTCAACCAGATACTCGGAGATCTACGATCTCCACGCCCCACAAACCCACCGCGTCTAAAACATCCCACTCAGCCCACGACGGCAGGCTAAAACACCCGCGTCCTTACACAAAGTAGACGACGCGCAAGACGAGGCTGCAGGAGGAAGGTCATCTAGACCGAACCGGAAGGTGCGGCGGCCGACACGTGTTCCAAAAGATGACGGGAAGACCCCTCGGCGATAGATCAAGGCCGACCCGGTAGTTCCGCTACTAGAAATAATGACTAAACTTGGGAGATTTGTTGGGCACGGGAGAGAGACGGGCAGATGCGCGGTGAGCTGAGGTATCACCGGAAAGGGGAGCGTCGGGCGAGGAATAGTGACTGGGCATCAAGACCCTTTTTTGTGAGATATGTCAGGCACAACGTGCGTGCAGACCAGAGGGTAGCTGGCCCGGGAGCAAAATGCCGATGCAATCAGGCCGCAACAATGGATAGGGCAAACCAGCTGAGGGACCATGGCCTGAAACGCATTGAGGGCGCGTTCGCGTGAGCAGTGAATGTTCGCGAGCGCCAGCGGACGTTCAGTTATTTTCGGTGCCGTGTTTTGGCCGTAGGTGCGCGGCCATTTCTTTCCAACTGTCACCATGAGTAAGCGAACCATGCGGCGCAACGTAATCTCAACGGCTGAAGCAGTAAGATTAACCACGATGTTTGATAGTTGGTTTGGTTTCGCGTGAAAGGGTACCTTCGTCCGCGCAGTAAGCACGACTCGATAAAACGTCTGCGATTGAGGCTCGCACCTAATTCTGTCCCCGCTGTACCACCTCCGTCATCTACTGCTTCTTGGTGGGGAGGGAAATAGAAGCTGCTGCAGATTCGGTGATGTACTTTGCATCTTGTAGTATTGAAAGAGTGTACCTGTGCATGCGTCGGAGGCATCATGGGTGTGGCTGCCGTGCAGCCGCTCAGCCTCCACCGAATGCAATGTTCGCTGCCGCGAAATCAGGTTATCAGGGTCCCGATTGCGCAGGGTCATTCGTCGGCACACAGAGGATGTAAAAGGCCAGGGAACCAAGCGAATCTGGGCGTGGTGCATGCGTACACGAGACCCTGGTGTGTGCTGGTGAGCAAGAATCAGAGCGCGCGGGCCAAGCCGGGGGCCTGTGAATGATCCATCCCATCCGGCTGGACCGCTGCTCCACCACTGGACACTGGCATTTCCGGTCCACCGTCTGGGCTGCCTGGGCTCGGCCGCAGCCCGGTCATGGCACGCTCTGATGATATTTTAAAGGAGGGCATTTTCCAGCAGTTTCTGTTTTGTCGATTCGGTCATCAGTCGCTTTCAGTACTTCCACCGCCCAAGATCGACAGCGAAACCCAAGTGTGCTCCCAAGTCTACGCGCCCTATCCTGCTGCCCGCCTCCGATTGGCCGCTCCCTTTACACGCCTACGTCGACAGGCCAACTGCACTACTGACGCCGCCCAATCTTGGACGGAGTACGCGGGCTTAACGCAACGGGCGAGACCACACCAGCCAAGCGAAACCCTGCATCCCTAGTATCGCAGAATCCAGAACGACATCATCGGGCATCACGTAGTCCCTGCGCATATATTATCTCAGTCTACTCCCTCCAAGCCGGAACGGTTAGCCCATAGCTCTCGCGACACCTCAGACTACGCTGCATGCCAGCTCAACACCGTTCAACACGCACTACCTCTATCACCACCACTATCAATCACAATGTTCTCCTGCTCCAACTACGAGCGCGGCTGCCGAGGCCGTTGCAACAACCAAGGCGGCCGGTGTGACTCCTGCATCACGCTCAACCTGCAATCCACACGCAGCAACAGCGCGAGCTCCATATCCTCCGTCAACGGCCGGGAATCAGCCGCATACTCAGCAATGACCTCGTCGTTCGCGTCGCTGGCAGCAGCCTCAAACCGAGGTCGGTAGCCAGAAAGTCAACTTCAACACCAAAAGTACACTCGGCAACGACACAACGACATGACGATTGAAACCTTAGCGACTTTGTCGTCCTTTTAGTGGACAGACACCAGCATTTTGGAGGAAGGCACAGCATTTACACGGACTTTGGAAGGGAATTGGATTACCGACGCGACCTGGTTTGATTTTTGACTTCGGATGTACCATATACCAGGACGCCTTTGCTTTGCGGGAGTTATTACAGGGACGCGCGAGTGGCTCGCGAGATCGCAGCCAGCATTGTCTTTCTATTTTGCTTTGCCTCTGGGAGGATTATTCTTTTGCGCGCCGCCCACTGCTGGCTGGCACAGGCTTGGACGCAGCAGTCCACCTCGTTTTGATTGTTAGATCACCTTGAAATGAACCCCATCCGTTCCAAACATGCTCTTGGCCCTGATAGTCACTGTGCACAATGGCGTGGTGCTCGTATCACAATATCCATATTACATTCCCATGAAATCATTAACCTGCCGCGGACTCGCGCCGCATCCCGCAACACGAGGTCACACAGCAACCCTGAAACACCTCCAGCATGCAAGATCCCCAGCGTCCTCTGAGATTCCCATCCCGTCGCTCATGCTGCTGCCCACACAGCACTTTCCCCTCCCCACCCACCCCGCTCATGCAACTTTTCCAGCGCATTCCAGGCTTCCACCTCTCATCTCGCCAAATCAACACACCCGCTCACAATCCCATGCCCACGCAGACAGACAAGTCGCCGGCCCCACCGCGTTCAGGCCTTCCCGCCGATCCCCTCTTCTAGACCCGAAACCCCTTCCTTGCGACAGCGCGTGCCACGGCCAGAGCGATCGGTCAACACAGCGGAGATCGGAAGTCTGGCGCGGGCGCGCCCAGGATGCAACGGTCGCGGCTGCACGGTGACGCATGTGGCGCGGGGGAGCTTGGCGAGAGGAGCGCGAGGTGGGGCAGTAGGAGGTCTGGAATTGGCGGCTTGGTGGAGCGCAACGGGGCGCGGCGGAGCGGACTGAACTGGGTTCTTGCTCGTGTGCCGGGTCAATTGGGCCGAGTTGCTTCGTGATGGGCTGGGTGGGTTGTGCACGAGTGGGAAGTGAGAATTTTGGCGCTGTGGGGGGTGGTACGACGTGGCTTGTGAATTAATTTTGGCACCTGAGTTGGGCGGGCCATGGAAGCGACAAATGGAAATCCGCTGTTGGTGGTTGCTTCTATCCTGCATGTGTACCTGCTGCAACTTTGAATCTACAAGCCCCTCTCCATGCACAATATAAGCGAGAGATGTATATATTTGTCTTCTTTAAGCTTTCAGTGGCAAAAGTGTCGTATGCAGGGCGGCGGAAAGTGCTACAGGAGCACCGTTTGAGGGAGCTGACGTGCAGAAACAGGGAAATTGGCTTGCTTCTTCCGAAAAGAGTCTTTCGGCATCGCCTGATTTATCAATATGCCGTTGCTGTACGAAGATTGCCGAGATGCGGTACTGGCTATTCCAGTGATGATCTTTGAGGCTATGTCACTGTGTTGCATCCACAAGATACAGCAACTGTAGGCTGTAATGCTTTCGGCTGTCTATGCAGATGCGTACCTTGCCTCAGTCAAAGATTAGGGGGCTATAGCATAACCGCTTCGAACTCTTTGACCGAGGGTTTGCAGTCCCGCTGTGCGCCAGCGCTGCACGCTATTTACGCCATGCAGGCAGGCTGGTCAATTTCCAAGGGTCAAACAAGCGCGGAACCTACCTGATATTGTAAAGCTGAAGACGTCACCATGCGTAATGGTATATGCCGGCGCAATATTGAGGCGAGGAAATTCGGAGCGTGCCGGATGGGCATCGTGAACTCGGAAGCCATCGTCGAATGCTGCCTCACAGATGGGTCACAAGCGTGTACTCGAGCCGAATCGACAGAGCCTCCTTGCGACCAGGCCGTGCTATTATGGGTGTCTCTCTATCCTGGAAAAGCGTTCTTCGCACGCGACCAGCAGGGGACGGCACATTCGCGAAGAATTCTCGCCTCGAAGTGGTCGTAGCACATGTCTAGAATTTGCCGACGACATGCCGCAGTGTAGCATCGCGGTCGAGACTGTAGTGATCACAAAATCTTCCCCCCCATATCGACACAGTGGATCGATTTAAAGCTGGGGTTTGAAGCACCTAATTGGACCGTCCGCCCTGTATGAGAAGCACTTGACAGCCTCATAAGTCTACCTTCGAAGCCAACTGGTCAGGTAGAGCGTCGCCAACACAGCGCCCACCAAAACCACTATCATAGCTTTGCCCTTGTTCGTCAGTACGAGATAGGACATGACGCCCACGACGATCTCATACCGCCTCGCAGCATCATTCCTGGCTTTCCACTCAGCATTTATGGGAAAAGGTGGGTTCGAGCGGATGTCCCCCGCATCTGCAGGCAAGGCGTTATCATCAATGCGTACATACAACGCGACAGGACGGTGATCGGAGGTCGCTTGAATCGGCAATGCCGTGTAGATTTGCGGGTCAAGCTTCGATGGAGATGTTGGGCAGGGTAGATATAGTATTCTGTCACACCACGATGGGTATCGATGGCTGGCCCACTGCCACCGATCCTCGGGCTTCATTAGATTCTCGCTCTTGTCCTTTCGTAGCGAGTACTTGTATGTTGGTGGGAATTTGATAGGGAGTTCTTCCAAGCCATGAAGCGTGCGGTTCGCCTTTCTCTCTCGATTCAGCTGATCTGTCATCAGCAGGTGCGAGAACTGCTCTGGTAATGCATCGGATGCGGCTGGCTGAGGAAACGTCTCGTGGGCACCGGGACCGGGCCCTTCGTTACTGGTTCTATAGTTGAGGTCGCCGGCAACGAAAAGGTGACTGTCAGGATGGAACAGACCGGTTCTGCCTGAAGGGGCTTCTCCCGATGCCCACAGAGGAGCTTCGTCGCAGTAACTGTATGCAGAATCATTGTCAGTTGCAAACACAGTGTTACGCACAATATCCTCCCAGTTCTTGTTTCTTGCGGCTACTTCCTTCTCATGAGGAGTCAGATGAGCTGCAACGAAGCTTACATTGAGCATCTCATCAGACCCCGGTTTTGACACGCCGATGCGCATGGCAACAGCACCTTTGTTGCCCATATTCCAGACTCCAACACCTGTACCCGCCGCTTGTATGTATTGTATCCTTTCCATGAACCCAGGCTTCGCAAATATCATGAGGGCGGTCAAGCCCAGGCTTCGAGTAGCCACATGCTCGAGTCGTTCGCTGCCATGGCTGTGGAGATCGGCAGCAAGGTGGACAGTCGTGGTGATGCGGTCGAAGTAGGGCTTGAGGTACGAGCCTCCTAGGAAGCTATAGGCGATGGGCGCGACTTCTTGAAGGCTGAGAGCAAGCACCTCGGGGACGGCGGCAGCTTTTGGGAGCCCATCAAACAACGCCGGCGCAAGAGTCTCCGGGTTCACAAGGTGCCTCGCACAGTTGAATGTCAACAGGTACGCGTCTATCATGGTCAAGCACAGTGGAAGTGCTGACGTCCCTGAGTCAGCGGGCTGGGAAAGTGTTGAGAGGGATCGTCACGTCCCGCTGCCGCTACCAAGAGGATTGGCGGTGACAAGACACGTACAAGTGATGATTCCTTACCTCTTCGTTCTAGCTCCTCGTGCGAGAATGCTGATCAAACCAGGAGATGGCGTGGTTGGACGCAGTTGGGGAATGTCGCGACAACAAAGGGTGCGTGTAGTCGAATGGTGGGGCACACGCAGAGCTGTGGTACCCAAGGATTGGATGGTGCAGAAGCTATTGCGGCTCGCTCAGCACTGCAAGTTGGTGTGGCGAAACGCGTGTGCAGTAGCTAATGTAGAGTTGTCGCGCAGAAGAGAGCTCAGGAAGCGAGCTGTCAAGGCGGAGAATGATTGTTGGGTGCTTGTGGGAAAGCGCGCCTGCGGTCAAAGCTCCCAGACGTCTCCACGGGGAAGCTCCCAGGTCCCTGGTACGTCATGGCGTGTGCCACCGCCATTCGGAGCACCACGCGTGACAGGCATGCCCAAGCTCTTGAAGGATCAATAATAGTTCCGGAGCATCGTGGCGTCTTCGTCTTGCTTTCTGCTTCTGCTGGCTTCTTCTGCGTCAATTGAGCTTCTGCACTGTTTTCTCTCTTGCACGACGCATACGCAATTGTGCTTTGACTTCAGCCCGCCTAGCACCCAGAGAGAGTGAGCTCACGATAATTGAACCCTCTGCCTTTTCTTAGCGCCCAACGTTTCATCAAAAACTTCAATCGTACATCCCCCACGCTCTGCCATCCTCACGGCAATGTTCAGATCCCAGGTACTCCGCCAATTGGCGCGCTCCGCCCGCGTACAAGCTCCACGAGTCGCAGCAGCAGCCCCACACAATGCTGCGAGACCGTTCTCCTCGGCACCAGCTCGCCTTAACAAGGGCACGAACCCGGAAGACGACATTGAGAATGCGACAACCTCCAGTGAGCCCGGTGCAAGCGGTGATCACGAAGGACAGTATGCACGTACGCAAGACGATATTCGCGTCGAGTACCCCGAGGAGAAGGACCTGCCTCGATCGCTACCTGTGCAAGGTCGCGGAGGATCCCACTTCAAGCGAACACTAGCCACCTTCTCGCTGGACGGACGTGTAGGCGTTGTGACAGGTGGTGCTAGAGGCTTGGGACTGGTTATGGCCCAGGCTCTCGTCGCCAGCGGAGCCGACGTGGCTCTCGTGGACATGAACCGAGAGGAAGCGCAGAGGTCTGCTCAGCAACTTGTGGATACATTCAAGGAAGAGAACCCAGACGCCGAGAGGTTCGTTATTTGCCCGCTATGTGGGCTCTAGCTAACACCGACGACAGGCTACCAAAGGTTACGGCTCACTTCTGCGATGTCTCGAGCCCAACATCCGTGAACCAGTCGCTGGCAGAAATCTTAAAGGTACACGGCAAGGTAGACAACCTCGTCACCTCTGCCGGCTTTACGGAGAACTACAACGCTATCGACTATCCCCACGACCGGATGCAGAAGCTTTGGGGGGTCAACGTCGACGGGACATATATGTATGCTGTAGCGGTTGCAAAACACTTGATGGAGAGGAAAGCGCCAGGAAGCATTGTCATGATTGGCAGCATGTCTGGTTCGATCGTCAATGTTCCCCAGCCTCAAGCACCGTACAACGCTGCGAAGGCCGCTGTCCGGCATTTGGCGTCGAGTCTGGCAGTCGAGTGGGCACATGCAGGCATTCGCGTGAACTGCATCTCGCCCGGATACATGCTAACGGCTCTGTGAGTACACAATTATGGGCTTTGAAGGACAGCACTAATGCGCTCGTAGAACCAAGAAGATTCTCGATGACAACCCAGAGCTGCAGAAGCAGTGGACGTCGCTGATCCCAGTGGGCAAGATGGGCCGACCGGAAGATCTCATGGGCGCTGTCACGTTCCTTTCGAGCGACGCAAGCAACTACGTTACAGTAGGCATTCCTCTTGGCCACCCCATGCGTGCGATACTAACAAGTTTCTAGGGTGCTGATCTGAGAGTTGATGGAGCTTACACTTGCACGTGAGCATCGATAGACGAAACGTACAACGTGTCGACACTGTGTTTAGCGAGCGTTGTTGGACATGAGGAACCCTAGGTTGACTTGCATATGTCTTTTGGAGTTGTTCGGGGCATGCGTCGACAGGTTGAAAATCGCAGCAACTTGCACATTCCTTAGCTCGGCAAGACGTTGCCGGACTGTTTCACATGACACGCCCTTCAGAAGATGTCGCCCGATGCGCCCAAGTGACCATGTAATCATCAAGTGACAGTGTCTTGTCCAACTCGCAGAGGCTGTAACAGAATAGGTATTGGATGTGGCCGGACTCTTTATTAAATAAGCTTTTGCGGCCCGTGCCCGGCTGCCAGGTGCGAAACCACCTCCGGCTCAGCCTTACCAAGCCACATCTACCCTGACCACGACCTCTGAGCGCTAACGCTTCGCAATGAAGCTGAAGCCTGACCGACTGATCACGTAGATACACGCGAACCTTGTCTTCGCGGCCGTGTCCCGCAACAATGTTCAACATCTCGAACCTGGTGCAGAAAGCGCAGCAATTCATCGAGCCCACACTGAACATAGCCACGGGGCCTGCAACCTCCTCCGACCGGCGCCCCTCGAAAGCGAACCTCTTCCGCCACCAATTCCGCCTGCCAGACTCGCAGAACCCGCTGCAAGAGATCACCGCAGAGCTCACACTCTCACCCCACCACTCGACGAGGGGCTCCGGCGATGCGTCCCCGGAGAAGGAACGCAGTCAGGGCAACCACTATGTGGGCAAGCTGCACCTGAGCGAGCAATACCTCTGCTTCTCCACGCAGGGGTCCAGCTTCCTCAACACGGCCAGCCTGAGCTCTTCGAGCAGTTACACAGGGCAGACACACGGTGCGGGGCCCGCAGGGAATGGTTTCACGCTGCCGCTATGCGCTATTCGCAGGGTAGAGCGGCTGCACAGCCAGAGCTACATGTTTGCGCTCGCCATCACGACTTGGAACGGAAGCCCTGACCCGAAAGGGAAGGCCCCCAGCGGACAGAAGCTCACCATACAGCTCGCGGGCAGCCGGCAGGCCTGCGAGCGCTTCTGCGATGGCCTCAAGAAGGGTCTCCGGGAGGGCGTCAAGGAGGTCGAGAACTTGCGAACAGTCGTCCGTGACGCTTATTCCGAATATCTCCTCCTCACGGACGGAGACGACAAGAAGGCTGCTGGAGAGGATAGCAAGGCGGAGCGGGAGCATCCCGACACAGGACTGGGGCTGATCTTCAGATATCCTGGCAATGCGAGGAAACTGAGGGACGCGACAAAGATTCGACTCTGGAAAGAGTATCTTCGGGGTGCGCTACGTCCTCGGCAACGCAGAAAGCAGGCTGACCGACATTGCAGAAAACGGACGAAGCGCTACGCTCATCCGACAGCCCACCTTCCACAAACTTATACGAGTCGGTCTTCCAAACAGATTACGAGGCGAAATATGGGAATTGGCGTCAGGCTCCTGGTTCCTGCGCCTTCAGAACCCACGACTATATACCGAGACGCTAGCGAAATACTCAGGGCGGGAATCTTTGGCAATAGATGAGATTGAAAAGGACCTGAACCGGAGCCTGCCAGAATATCCTGGTTTTCAAAGCGAAGAAGGCATCGGCCGACTGCGCCGAGTGCTGACCGCGTACAGCTGGACCAACGAGGAGGTCGGCTATTGTCAGGCCATGAATATTGTCGTAGCAGCGTTGCTGATGTATGTCTCTATTCCCACTCTACGATTACAGCTGCTGATTTTAGCAGATACATGTCAGAACGACAAGCTTTCTTCCTTCTCTCCATATTGTGTGACCGTCTTTTGCCAGGTTACTACTCCCAAACCATGTATGGCACCTTGCTCGACCAACGCGTCTTCGAGTCGCTCGTTGAAAAAACGATGCCTATTCTCTGGGACCATTTGGTCAAGTCCGATGTTCAGCTCTCCGTAGTATCTCTACCTTGGTTCCTTTCCCTCTACATCAACTCCATGCCGCTTATTTTCGCTTTCCGCGTACTGGACGTCTTCTTCCTCGAAGGCCCAAAGGTACTTTTTCAGATTGGTCTGGCCATCCTGCGTATAAACGGTGAAGAGCTTTTGGATGCCACGGATGACGGAACCTTCATATCTGTACTCAAGTCATACTTCGCGCGATTGGATGAGTCTGCGCATCCCAAGTCGGAGAATCCGAAGCTGAGGGCTGTTACAAAGTTCCAGGAGCTCATGGTTGTAGCTTTCAAGGAGTTTGCTGGCATAACACAAAACACCATTTCCGAGCAGCGGGGAAAGCATAAAGATGCTGTGCTAGAGAACATTGAGAGCTTTACCAAACGAACATCGATACGAAACCTTGGTCCGGAGAGCAAAAAGTTAAGCGTGAATGATCTGGGCTTTTTGTACGACAAGTTTTACGCTGTGCTATACGACCGACAGCAACGAGCGGAAATCATGCAGGAAGAGGCCGAGAGAAAGGCCAAGAGCGCGAGGAATAAAGCAACAGAGATAGTTACGGGATTTTCTTCTTCAAGCATTGAGAAGGGCAGAGTTGCTCTTGGTCCGAGTCCAACACAAATGGACTACGATGCATTCAGGGAATTCTTGGCCGGTACGTATGAGCTCTTGCTCTGGTGCCCATTGGTCCGAACACAAGCTAAAGCACATGCAGGGCTCACCAAATGGGCAATTACAGACTCTCCCAGTTCGCCACCCGAGACGAATGGAACACCATCACATTCATATTTCGGCGGCAGCACACGGAACAAGCCACCGATGTCACCATGGGGATCTGGCCCTGAACCTACGGATCATGACTTCATGCGACGACTTTTTAGACGCTGGGATGTGGACATGACTGATTCATTGTCACTTCAGAACGTTGTTGCGGGATTCGCTGCTGTCAAAGGTTCCAAAGACATCATGTCCAACATAAGCTACTTTTTTGAGCTTTACGACGATGATGGAGATGGTAGGGTGGATCGTGAGGGCATCCTCCGAATCTCTGAAGCCCTTTTATTCCTTTCAAGGCGAGGCTTTGATGGCTCCGCCAGCCCATCAACATCCACGAGCGACGTACGGTCCGTTCACACTCTGGATCGAGGCACTCGTGACGAGCAATTTCTGAGCAGCGTTTCAGCCTTCATACGAAGATGTTTCGAATACGCTGACCCGGATCACCCTTCGAACCAAGGCAACAAAGCAGTTGACGAGGCCAGGGACGACCTGGATAGTTTCGCAATCGGCGACGATGACGAGGACGATCTCATCGATCTCGGGACTGAGCCTAGCACGCCCACCGCCGCGAAACCGGCCAGTTCAACATCGCCCCAGCAGGAAAAGCAGCCTTCCTCGCCCACAGCCTCAAATTCAGATGCCAGCGAAGGAGAATCATCGGGAAAGACTGATAAGGCGACCGCTGCTAACGCTGCCCTCGATCCTAACAAACCTCTTTACATCACTTTACCTACGTTCCGCATGGTGATTCTTGCCGATGAGAACCTCGAACAATTCTTCGAGGTTGGATTCTCCGCCTCTTTCCACCTTGCTGATGCACCACAAGCCTCTCAGCTCTCAGGTTCAAACCTCACAACCTTCTCCAACGCAAGTCAGCAAGTTGCTGCCAGTTCATCCGGCATGGGCGGGGTGGTCGGTGGAGCAGGTGCTGGTGTCGTACCTCCTGGGAAGGGTCTGCGAGGTATGCTTGACAACATTGTCAGCGATGGCATGCGAGTTGCTGCAGAAGTAAGGAGGAGGATGGATGAAGCGTCACAGGAGATGGACAAAGAAGCAAAGCATGGGCGCGACGACGATGAGGAAGAGGAAGAGGCCGAAATCGGGCACGGCAAGGACGCGGATTTGCTAGAGGGCGCAGAAACGGCGGACGTGGATACGTCAAAGGGCAAAGCGCTGGATCTGCTGTTACCTGATGGTGGCGCTGGGGCAGATTCTCTCAAGCCGACCAAGGACCGCAGAGGCAGCGATGCCAGTCGAAAGACCATGTTTGAGCGATAAACTTACGTTTCGTATTGTACGGCATCAGGCGTTAGATGGTCTTGAAGCTCGATATCATGTGGGATGAGTTTTGTTTAGCATTTGTGTCTCTAGCAACTAGGTCTTGATTACGGCCTAGCGTTCACGCTCCAACATGCGCCGTTCCTATTTCCCGACCTCAGTCAAGTGCATGGTCAACACGCGATGTAAAGCTATCCATGCTGATTATGTGCGCCGTACCTGCGTTACCCCGCAGACTCATCCTGGTTTGCTGCCGCGGGTACATGCGGGGTAGCTCGGCCTACGCTGGGTACCGAGTACGCCGCTACAACAGCCGCGACCGTGCCTCGTCCTCTCCCACAACGTGCTCGCGAGTGGACATCTCGACCCGTGAATCTTGTGTGCTCATCGCCGTGAGCCTTTGCTATTGAAGTCCAAGCGTTGAATGGATGGGCCTGTGTGAAGAGGAGGGAGACTGTTTGATGCGTGGCTTTGCATCACTATGATATTGAGAGCTTTGCGGACATGGCGACGGGGAGATGGTATGATGGCTCGACTTGGGCGGAGGGGCCTTCTCACGAGGGCGTATGCTGAGGGGCCGAGTGAGCCTCCGCTATTGACGCAGACGGTGCCGCAGCATTTCAGGGAGATTGTAAAGAACTTTGGGGATCGAAAGGCAGTTATATCGCACCACCAGCGGACTATTTTGACGTATGAACAGCTGGATCGCGATTCGGATGCTCTGGCTAGGGGACTGGCGAAACAGGGGGTTCAGAAGGGTGACAGGGTGGCCGTGAGCTTGGGGAACAATCTTGAGAATGCGACGGCGACGTATGCGATCTTCAAGTTGGGTGCAATATTGGTCCCACTGAATCCGGCATTCAATTCTCTTCAGGTTCTCTCAGGTTTAAATCATCTGGCTGCTTCGCACCTTGTCATCGGCGCAGAGACGAACCTCCCGTACAAAGCGCCGAAGTCGAACCTGCCCTTGCTCCAAGCCCTGGTACCGGATCTAAAAGCCTCAAAACTGCAATCAGAGGCTGTTCCTTCGTTACAGTCTATAACACTTGTAGACAACTCGTCAGGACGGATAGACACATCACTATACAAGAGCACGACACCCTACCAAGCCGTCGTAGAAGATGGCCAAAACGGCCCCATTCCGCAAGACACTGACCTCCAGCCCGAAGAAATCATCAACATCCAATTCACCAGCGGCACAACCAGCATGCCCAAAGCGGCCTGCCTCTCCCACCACTCCATCCTCAACAACGGCAAATCCATTGGCGACCGCATGCTACTCACCGAATGTGATGTAGTCATATGCCCGCCTCCATTATTCCACTGCTTCGGCTGCATCCTAGGCTACATGGCGACCGCAACGCACGGCTCCGCCATCGTCTTCCCCGCCGAAGCCTTCCACCCGCTGCACACGCTCCACGCCGTCCAGCAATACGCCGGCACCGCGCTCTACGGCGTCCCCACCATGTTCATCTCCGAGCTCGAGCTCCTCGCCAACGGCACGGTCTCCCACGAAGGCTTCCAGCACCTCCGGACGGGCATTGCAGCGGGCTCCAGCATCCCCGCGGAGCTCATGCGCAAGCTGCACAAGACATTGAACCTCACAGAGCTCACGATCTGCTATGGGATGACGGAGACGAGCCCCGTGAGCGCGATGACGACGACAGATGATCCCATCGATAAGAGGATCGACAGCGTGGGCAGGCTCATGCCGCACGTCACGGCCAAAGTCGTCGACGCTGCGGACCGCACGCGCGTCCTTGCGCCCAACGAGCGCGGCGAACTCGTCGTCAGCGGGTATCTCACTATGCGTGGGTACTGGGGGGACGCCGGCAAGACGGCCGAAGTGCTTGTTCCCGACGACGAGGGGCGGATGTGGATGCACACTGGCGACGAAGCTAGCATCGATGAAGAAGGCTATATCAAAATCACCGGAAGAATCAAGGATTTGATTATAAGGGGAGGCGAGAATATACATCCGCTTGAGGTGGAGAATTGTCTTTTTGCTAATGAGAAGGTGAAGGAGGTTAGTGTTGTGGGGCTGCCAGATGAGAAGTTAGGGGAATGTGTAGCGGCGTTTGTGGTGAGGCACGAGGGTGTAGATATGCAGGCGGCGGAGGTACGGTCATGGGTGAAGGAGAGACTGAGCCATCATCTTGGTGAGTTTGAGGTGGCATCGATGTAAGGGTGAGATGCTAACAGTTTGCAGTGCCGAAGTACGTATTCTGGGTCGATGGGTACCCGAAGACGCCGAGTGGGAAGATTAGGAAGGTGGAGTTGAAAGAAATGGGGATTGCGCTCTTGAAGGAGGGTAAGGGATTGAATTGAGGGTTTTCCATAGGACTCAACATTTGTGATCCAATGTGAAATGCAACGGACGATTGGAACGCATTACTTGTTATTGTGACCCTGCCGTCGATTTAATGCGCGGCTCAATTGTCTATTCCGGACATTTTTGGGCTAATCACAATGTCGTCGAGGTGTGCAAGGATCAGGCAAAGGAGACGAATGTTTTCGTATCTATAGAGCTGGGGTGTCTACCGAAGAAGGGTACCCCCAAAACTCAAGGACGCGTACGAGTCCATGGTCGAAAGAAGCTCAGACAAACGAAAGGCGCGGAAGGCATTGCATCTCGTGCTCGCTGTCAAGCAGCCTCTCACACTCCGGCAAATGAGGACTGCTTTAGCGGTCGATGAGAACTATGATTTTCTTGAACTGCTGGAGGATCTCGAATCCCTTGACTATTTCAAGAGCACATTGAGCGATATTAGCGGTTTACTACTGGTCTTCCGCACTCGAGAAGTGTATTCTCAGTATCGTTTTCCGTAATTCTTCCAAGTTCTTTTTGGAGTCTTCATCGGGAGACTTTCACACATACCATGCCTATGATGGGTCTTCACAACCCCGTTTGTTTTCTTGAGGTAGTTCATACGCTTTCTTCGTTCTGATCGGCAATGAAAACCTACAGAATGCACAGGAGAACGAATTGTCGTGACTGAATTTTTGGTGGAGATCGGCAACGGAATCGATAAATTTTGTAATTGAAACAATACAGCATCAAGGGCGGAGAGAACGCGAAGGTGCTATTACTGTAACATTGCCCTTTCTCAAGGCTCCGTCCGTTTGGGGCCGACCGTTGATCTGAGCGACGCATTCGAAGGATGAAAACCTGGCGATACCAGCTGCTCGCCAAACTCAGTTTGTCAGGCGAATGAAGTCATTGGAGATTAAACTTGAATTTAACTCTCGCCGAATTGTGTGGGAAGTCTATAGTTGTGTGGCAATAACATGTTATATGTCACTAGTAGAGTCAGTGGCAGAGTCGTCTATTCAATGAAATAAGTGTGTCCAAGATTAGAAATTTTCCATAGAAAACAAGGTAGCGGTTCGAGGTAAATGCTCAACCGGAGATTGAACAGCGGTGAACATGAATATTCCCGCAACGACCCTGTTACTTCGCCCATAGACTTCAGCTCACTATGGGTTGTGCGCTGGCAAAGCCATTCTTCGGCACAGCATACATGACGTTATGGAGATATAAATGACTAGTACGTTGAAAGACTAGGATTTCTTGTGGCATGGGTCAAGCCTGACACGCAACAATATAGACAAGCTAACGCGAGAGCAGATTATGACTAAGAAACTATGAGAGAGATTCTGAGTGTGGTATATTATTTACACAACGCTGACTTAATGCATCGAACTTCACCTTAGCCCTCCCAGCGCACCCTTTCGCTCCTCAGCACGTCTACCAGGCCCACGGGCAACAAATCCCGCTCCCCGAGCTGCAGCCCACCAAAACGCTTGTTCATGTCTCCGACATACAAGCTGTAAATCCACAACCAGTACGACGACTGCTCAAGCGACCGCTCGCACAGGGCAGTCTTTATCGTCGGCAAAGTCTCCACCTGCTCCTCCGGCGGACACTGTTGCAAGTTTTCGTACGCGTTCCGCAAGTGCACAGACGTCTCTTCCCTATACCGTGTGTACTCTTCAAAGCTCATGAACGGTTCGTCGGCCTCCATGTCCGTTCCGCTCCCATCTTTTGGCAAAGGCGAGTGCTTCGAATGCTTGGGTCGGTTCTCCCCGGATTCCCAGCGTTCCTTAAGCCCATCGTAGTCCGCCTTTTCCAGCTCAAAAGCGCGATCGATGCGCTCCGTTGAGTCGCGGAACGATGTCCTATACGTCGCAAAGGCGTTGATGAGCGGATTGCGTAGACCCAGACCACCCAGCTCATATGGGAAGTAAAAGAAGCCGTCGGGGACCGAGTCGTCAGTGTCGAAGCGCTCTTTGAGCATGCCACGCAGGTAGTCTGTGACATTCATTGTTCCGGCATCCTTGAAGAGACTGCGCTGGATGTGCTCGTATGTTTCAATGATCATGTCGTTATGTTGGCGCCCGAAGCAATTCGCAGGCCGTCCAAAATGAGTCGAGAAGAAGCGGGTGACGTAGCTATTCCAGGCCTGCACCCATGCCATTACGCTCCGGCAAGCTCCTAGCTGGCGTCGTAGCTCTTCAATGTGCTCGTCAACCTGGGCGCGGTCAATGACCCATCGACCAGACGAGGCGTCAAGATTCAGGAAACCCCACTTAATGGGACCTTTCGGTAAAGCATCGGGAAGAGGTCGAGATGAAGCTTTGTCCGCGACAATGAGAGCCGCACCAGTCTTGTCTTCATTGAGCTGCATGCCCATGATCTTTGAGAACTCCTGCATCGCGTTCCAGGCCTGGATGCAGGTAGATTCCTGGCCCCAGAACCACAAGTCGTCATGGAAGCGATGTATGTTGGCTCCTTGCGTCCGTTTATTGACGGCGAAGTCAAGACAGAAGAGGACCGCTTCGCTGAGTGCGTCACTTAAAATGTGCGACATTGGGATGCCGCATTTCCGTACTTGCGCTTCCGCATCGGGACCATCCTGCGCAAAGGCAACCGGCGCTTCGAGGAACTTCTTAAAGAAGCGAAGCCACTTGCCAGGAACACCGAAGAATTTGAGCACAGCGAAGATCGTGTCGTGGGGCAGCGATGGACCGAACCACTTGAAGTCAGACTGCAGAACCAAAAATTCGCCGTACACCTTCGTATTGAGCAGAAGCTCAGCGGTCACAAGACGTAGCATAGACTGCTTCGTCGCGAGTGGCGACCCGCTTGACCCAGGCTGGTTCTCATCCTGATCCTCGGCATTGTAATCCCGTTGGACTTCAAAGTCGTTACTCGGCAGCTGTGTCATAAAGTAATCCTCTTGGTAGCTCTCACGTCTGCAGTTACGAACATTCTGCCTTTCTATGCGTCCAGGAACAAAGTACTCCCAGCGTTGACGGGCTTTCCTGCTCATCGAGCGGTATGGCGACTGCAGCCAGGCTCCAGAGTGATAGAACGCAGTAAATGCCTGCTTGAGAGCGACTGCCCAAGTTTGACCAACGAAATGAAGTAGAACAGCCTGATGGGTCTCCTCGTCCATGTACACGCGGTACTTGCCGTTGAGTTGACGTCGCATGTTCAGAGGGACAGGTGAGGGATCCCATTCCCACTTATCGAGTCCCTCCAGGTCCATGTTCAGCACGTCGACTAGCTCCTTCAAGACGGCCGGCTGGTTGTTGAGATCCGCGAGGGCTTCGCGTTTGGTGCCTGCGAGCAAATCCGATCGAAGGACGCCTTTGATGCACGATTTGAGGGTGTCGACATCGAACCGCTTGGAACAGGCGGATGTCCCCCATGCATCGCTACCATAGATTGTGTTCATTTTCTTTACAGGCTGCAAGTCTGACTTGAAATCCATTACCTGCTTCATAGAATCGCGAAGATTTTGAAGAGGCGATTTGGTGACTTTCTTTGCTTGCAGTGTGCTCCCGAATATCTCGTTGAGGTACTCCTCAATCCTGTCCTGATCCACCTTGCGCTCTGTGAATGCATAGCTCTCCCACTCTTTGCGTTGCTCGTGCATCTCTTTACGGCCTACCGTGTCAAAGCTTTCACTTATCTCGGTGTCTGAATCGCTGCTTGCCGCATTGCCACCAGATGCCGAGCTTGCGGGATTGGGGTGCTTGATCCATTCGATGACGAGCTTTCCAAATAACGCTGCGTATTCGTACTTCACACTTGTCACGTCCAATTCGTGTTCTAGTTTCGATTGCCAATCTGATAGGAGCGTTGTCGAGACAGAAGGGTCGTGTTTGGCTTGATAGATGAAGCGCTTCAGGTTTGCAATGGAGAGCTCGGGATGTTTCGCTGTTAATCCATGCTGCTCGAAGCCGTCCAGCAAAGCTTCCACTTTGCTGCGATGGTCGGGCGCGGATGCGACCTTTGCAAGAATAGATTTCTTGTCAGCTTCGAACTTTTTGCGTTGGTCCGAAAGCTTCCCCAACTTGCGCTCAGTGACATGATGGAGAGTTGAAAGCGTGGGTGTCGCCATATTTGTGCTTGGTGATTGGTGAAGACCACGACTAGTTGTATTCCTTCTTGTTGGGTGACCTGGGGGAAAGGCGCCTCGACCTCGGCCTCTTCCACGCGAAGACATAAACATATAATATGGAGAGTTAGAGAGAGATGCTTTGAAAGCTCGATGCCTGATGAGACTCGCCATTTTGCGCGACGAAGTCGCGCCTAAATACGCGAGGATCTATAGGCAGCAACTTTCACGTGAGTGCCCTTAGGCAGTAGGAAAGCACGTGAGAACGCGCCCTTCGCAATATCATGAGGTCTGCATCACATTTGAGAGTAATTGACGCAGGGCGGAAGGGCAGAAGGGCGTGAGAAAAGGTTCGATGACTGCCACAGTTGCTGCCTGGGATGCTCGGCTAGCCCTTGCAGGGAAGACGCTTAGCCATCCATAATGAAGAAAAATGGGCATAGTACTAGATTTGTATCTGAGTTCAAAGTTCTTTTATAAGTGAGATAGTGAAGACCTTCCTCATGTGAATTGCATATGAGCTTCAATATCAGTTCTCAACTAACGAATTTTTCCAATCTAAGCCCGCCTTTAGTGTAACAAGCAATCATTAAGCAGGCTGTCCCCTTTTCCTTCGCACGAATCGCACCACCCTTACCTCGAAGCGAGTAACAAGACTGTGCCAACTGGGTAGTGGAGGTGGCGGAGGATCATACGTTTCTTCATCCTCACTATGGCCTTCGTCTTCCGATGAATCGTATGAGTCTTCAGAGTCTTGTTCGTCCTCGGTAAACCTATCCTCATCATTCTCTACCTCTCCTTCTTCGACGATCAATGACTCGTTGTAGTTCTGGTCGAGATCTCCAGGCTCTATTTCCCAGCTTGCATCTTCAACCTCCCCGTCCCAAGTCAGCTCAAACGATGACTTCTCGATAGGGAAGCGCCAGGCCTTCGCACAGTCCACGATTGTGTCAAGGCTATCTTTCTTCACATCGAATGTCTCAAGTACAAGCTTGAGCTCCTTTAGATCTGGAAGTCTCTCCACGATCGTGCCCCAGCCACCATGCCGCCCGTTCCCTACGTCCTCGCCCGGGCGCTGCCTTGCAGCACGGAAATCCATCGATGTGTCACCTGGATCCCTGGAATGTATCACAGAAGGAGATTTCTCTCCAATTAATGGTTCAAGATAGAGCTGATTATGTGGGCCTGGGGAGTAGGAAGGTGCAGTTGAATCAACACTCCAATTCCACCAATCCTGATGGGTCAAGCGGATGGTCAAATGTGTCAGAGGGCGAGCCACCATCGCACGCGCCTTGAAGTGCGTTGCGAATGTTCCAAGCTCGTAGAAGATGTTGTGTTCGGTGTCAGGGATATCCATTGCGATGCCCAGTGTAAGCTCATCACCATCCCGGGGGTCTTTCTTTCCAATCTTAGCAGCTGACAAGATGTTGAAAGGAAATGGCTCCCTGTGGTGTACTCGTCCAAGTCTTCTGTCCCGTGTATGTAGAAAGCGCGGTTCTATGTATGCGCCTTGGTGTCGTTCCTTGGGAGCCCATTCTTTCAGCCAATTTCGTAACTCGCCCCGCTCCAGGGCTATTTGTTGGAGGCTGATGTCCAGACGCTGTATGAGAGCCGCTTGCCAGGGAGCCAAAATTTCTAAGTTCGGAAAAAATGGCCCTTGGAAGTCATATACAGTGTAGTAATTCAGCTGCAATGGAAGCCGGTACGTCTCGAGATAGACGGCCTTGCAGCTCTCGACCAGCCCAAATGCTATGTCTGAGACTGGCAGTTTGGGTTTGCCGTTCATCTTATCCGAGCGCCACATAAATGTGCCGTGGGCGGGTACAGAAGTGGTGTCTGTGAGCGCATACCCCCAGATCATCTCGCGGATCTCGATTGGAAGTCCTGTGACTAAAGTGGATTGCGCTTGTGAGTGGATACGGTCCTTAGCTATCGAGAATGCCAGCGGCTCGAGGTTGCGACCGTAGAACATGCAAGGCTTCTGAAATACCAAGTCGCGTTGGCATGAGCAGAAGTTTGCGCCATCGCTGTTGTCGCAGTACGTATCTAGCAGATACCCGCGCTGGAGATTTTTTGTGTGGCGTTTCACGGTGAGAGTAAGGCCTGCATCTGCCATTTGTCGAGTGAGGCGTAGGAGGTGGCAGGTTGACAAATTACTAACGAAGGGTTGTTTATGTAGAAGTGCATCGTGGTAGCCTGATCCCCTGTGCGCCTAGCCCGAACTGGGCGGCCTCCAGGCATCAGCCAATCAACGTATAGGACCGCTTATATTGTCCAAGCAGACTAAGTTCCGACATTGAGTGACGTCCGGAGTTCATGAGACACTTTACAAGTGGTGTTGAATTACTTCAGAAAATTACTGCCAAAGTGTCGAGTTGGAAGGAGGGTTTCGTCCTTCAGGCCCAAGGATCAATGACCACCTTCTTGCCGCTCACTCCCTTATGCACTTCCTCGATGCCATCAGACACCTTTTCCAGGCCGCCCAACAAATGTGGTGGCACGCCCTGGATTAACCCACTCTTGATGCCCTTCTCCATGTAGCCTCCACGAGACAAGAAAAACTTCGCCCAGTCTGCGTTCTCGGGCGCTTGAGTGCTGAAGAAGTGCATCCCTGTAGTGACGCCTTCCGGTAAGGTCGGGTTTCCAGCCATGGCCAGTGGTAGTAGCATGTGGATATAAGCCTTATTAGCCGGCTTGCCTTCCGGTGCCAGGATCTTCAGAATCGTGGTTACACTTGGTTTCAGAGAAATTGTATCGAACCAGTAATCGATGGGGAAGAGATCCCTAATCCTTTCCACAGTCGCGAGGTCGCTGTGATCAAAGATATAGTCGGCCCCAAGAGACTCCAACAGGTCGAAATTGTGTGGTGAGCTGGTGCTAATGACCGTGTAACCAGCTTGTTTCGCATATGAGATGGAAAGTGAACCCATTGCGGATGATCCTCCCCAGATGAGAATTTTCTTTCCTTGCTCTCCGGCCGGGAGGGGCTTGGGCGGTAATGACGGCCAGTGCATGTTGAGGCAATTGGAGGCGAATAGGCAGCTTGGTGGCGTGTAAGAACCAAGTGTGACGACTTTCGTGAAGTCGGTATCTCCGATCTAATATGGCCTTCATCAGCAATAGGAACGCAATAAAGTCACACTATGTCCCCGTCGTGAATCAACCATTAAGCAAACTTGAAGAGTTCATACCTCAATGACCTCTTGTTCTGATACCAGGGTATATCTCTGCGTTCCACCATATTTGGGCTTGTGCTTCTTGAAGATCAAAGTACCGCAGCTGACGCGGTCGCCGACTGCTACCCTGGTGACGCCTTCTCCGAGGGCGTGTACAATCCCACCAACGGGGCCACCCAGCACCGCAGGATATTCCACTAGAATGATGGCCAACTTTGCCACCTTTTCGTCTGCAGGCTGTAGAGCTACGGCATGAACCTGGGCACTGAGTCAGTCTGTGCGAGGCAAAGCGAGCACACTGCCCCGAGCGTAATAGAGCGTACTTTGATGAGGACCTCCCCTGGGCCAGGTTGTTCCATAGGCGCATCTCGCACCTCAAAACAACCTTTTGGCTCGACTAGGAAAGCAGCTCGGTTTCCAGACATGTTACGATATATTGAGAATGGCTCGGAGAGCCGTGTCGGCAAGACACGGGTAGCACGTTGGACAATGTAACCAAACGACCAAAAAGCCTGATCTGAAGGAGGTATCGTCCTCACAACATAGCTTTATGTGTTGAGCCCGGCCTCCTGATGCACCGATGCAGCGCGTGTAGAGTGCTACTGTGGTGGGGCGCAGTTTAGCAAGATCAAGGTGTAATTAGCACCAATCAGCGCTTGCATTAAGATCTTACCGACCATCAAGCGCATTGCATCACACAAAAAGCGTCATAAGACACCTCGTTATCCACCTAGACCATCCTACCGAGCAGGCCCCGGTAAACAAACACCCCCAAAAGAGGCATAGTTGGAGTGCAACGGACCTGGGCAAACGCACCTGGTTTGTGGACACAACTTTGAGCCCTGCTTTGTGGAGCATCCGGCAGCATCGCCCCGCTTACCACACATTGTCCGTGGAACGACTCTCTAGCAAGCCGTACCACAACGAAGTGTGCCTTCGGAGAACTCACATAGCCACAGTCAGGATCCTAGCACGACTCGCTGAAATGAACACGGGGCCACACTATACCTTTTCCAGCGACCACCCCGGCGCTGATAGGCCGCATTCTTCAAAATGTTTGTCGCACCGCATCCCAAACATTCAGATCTGTCATTTACGGCGTGCCGTCTGCTGCCTGAAGCCCGTCCAGCATACTTTAAGACGCCGCATTCTGAACGCGCCGCCCTACGCATCGCATCCTGAGCGCAACCATTGAACAACTTTGCGGACCGAGTCACCTGAGCAATGGGTCCCCAGCCACAAACCTCGACGTTCCCGCAGGACCTCCCGCCCCGCGAAACATCGTGGAAGGACCGCAATTGTCCCGGAATGCGCAGCTGCTGGTCGTTCAGCCTGTCGTCCTTCAGTCTCGCGACGTCCGACAAAGCGGTGCTGGCGCGCCGCATCTGCATGATTGCCATCTTGGGACTGCGCACGGCCACAAGCATCTGGGACGTTGTTAATTCGATCATTCACTTCAACCTTGGCTGGCTCATCATTGGGATTATCCTGGGCGTGCTCGGGTTTTTCTTCATTGCATGGTGTTTGGCGAGGATTGGGGAGGCGACGGGGTACAGAAGGGTTTTGGGGGCGCGAGTGGTGAGTTTTTTCGCGATTCTTTTGCTGCATTACTTGATACTCTTATCTGGTCAACAGTAACTTTACAGCGGGAGTGCTCTGGCCCGAACAGAGATGCCAGGTTGACAATTTGCAGGGTCGGTGGCACTTCGATGTCTTCCTCCTCGGCATGGCAATTATCCACATCGGTATATTCGCCGGCGCCTTCTTCTGGAAAAGCAGCGGCGGTGTGGGCGGCATGTGGCTGGCAATGTGGCTACTCATCTTCGGTGCCGCCTGGGTCACGACGTGGGAGCCTGAACCGGCGAGCAGTGTCTGAGGTTGAGTATTGCTTCAACGATGACAGGCTTTCCCGAGAGATTGTATCTGGGGGTTATCCAAAGGTTTGGTATCTTTCCATGAACGCTTTAGCAGGGCGCTAGAAACATATGCTTGGAAGCTTCCGAATCAAAGGTGACATGAAAAGAGGAGACCATCGTCGCCATTCTGGGAATGATATAATGTACACTAGATTCAAGCATAGAAAATTACCCAGATAGGTGTTTGACAATACACATATCAGCAAGGCCAAATTACTGCCAAGATACACTAACGCCAAATGATAAGCCACGATCCTACGAGAGCCTGTACATGAATTGTGATTATAGCCGAGCCAACCCCGCTTGCCAGCTTCTCTGATACCTCAGTCTTCAACACCTTCTCCAAGACAAGTCTAACCAACGCCACGTGTTCTTGAAGTCGCCGTGGGACTGACAACTTTGAGCTTGCTGGCACACCTGCCTGCGACAAACAGATCTTGCATACCTTCCTCTCCCAGCCATGCTAGCAGCGAGCAAATTGTCGCCCTTTCATCTTACTGAGATAGCAGCCGTCGCTATCTTCGTCTATCTTATTGGATTGGCAGTCTACCGCCTGTATTTCAGTCCGATCGCAAAGTTCCCTGGGCCGAGATTGGCCGCTCTGACTTTGTGGTATGAGTTCTACCACGACGTTATACGTGGTGGCCAATATGTTTTCAAGATACAAGAGCTGCATCAAAAGTATGGTACGGCGACCACTCTCCCCTTCATTAAGAAAAAGAAGCTGACTGGATAGGTCCAATCATTCGAATCAATCCATATGAGCTCCATGTGAAAGACCCCGACTTTTACGATGAGCTCTACAGTGGTCCAGGTCAGAAACGCGACAAATGGGGCTGGGCGACAGAAATGTTCGGAAATAGTAGCTCTGGCTTCGGTACTGTATCACATGACTTGCATCGCCTTCGAAGAAACGCACTGAACCCATTCTTCTCGAAGCAAGCTATCGGACGCATGGAACCACTTATTCGTGGCTTAATCGAGAAACTATGCGAGCGCTTCGAACAGTCCCAACAATCCGGTGAACCCGTCAACACGTTACATGCGTATGCTGCCTTAACAAGCGATGTCATCACAGCGTATTGCTTCGGTACTTCATATGGTTGTCTCGATGACCCGTATTGGAAATGGGAATGGCCCCAAGCCATGGTGGAAAGCACTCGAGCCTGTCATTTGAACAAACAATTCAAATGGGTGTTTCCTGCCCTGCAAGCGACACCAGAATGGATCGTGCAGAAGCTCAACCCTGCCGTTATGCAGCTCATAAACGTGCAAAAGGTGAGCCATAGCGTACCTAAAAACGCCTCCTCTGACGAAAGCAGGATCTCGCACACCAAATAAGCGACATAATGAGCGGTGTTCCGCGCAAAGACGAGGAGCAAAACATCTTTCGCGAGCTGATCAACGGAAATCTCCCTACTGAGGAAAAGTCCCTTGCCCGCCTCGTCGACGAGGGCCAGACGATGATTGCAGCAGGCCAAGAAACTTCGTCCTTCTTCCTGCAACAAGCTTCCTATTTTATCTTGGCTAATGCCGAGATCCATGCCCGACTCAAGGCCGAGCTGACACAAGCCATTCCCGATGGTACATCGATCCCACCGTTAGCTAGACTCGAGAAACTCCCTTACCTTCACGCAGTAGTGCAGGAAGTGCACCGCTTCTCACATGGCGTTGTAGGTCGACTCGAGCGCGTTTCTCCGGACGAGCCATTACAGTACAAGAAATGGGTGATTCCGCCGGGTACACCAGTCTCCATGACTTCTCTGCTGCAGCATCGCGACCCGTCAAAATTCCCAAGTCCGATGAAATTCGATCCTGATAGATGGCTGAAGCAGTCCGATAACGGAAGGTTAGAGAAGTATCTTGTTCCTTTCAGCAAAGGCACCAGACAGTGCCTGGGCATCAATTTAGCCACGGCAGAAATCTACTTGACGCTAGCAACGGTGTTCCGAAGATTCGATATGGAACTGTACGAGACCACGGGAAGAGATGCGGAAATTGTACACGATTTTTTCATCCCCCATGGACATCAGGACTCAAAGGGCGTCAGGGTCGTGTTCAAGTAGATACTACGGCAATGAGAGCCCTGAATATCATTGCCACCAGGAAGTTTAGAGCTGCAACCTAACTTCTATTTGCGAAAGAAAGGTGTTCTGTATTTTGCTATACAAATGGCTCGTGTTTAGGACACAGATATTATACCAATATCTGATCCTTCATCGGAAAGCGATGATGCAAGGACAAGAAAGCTGCATTCTGCTGTTTTCTTTCGAATTCAATCATTCTGAGACATTCCTCTGGTCGATAATCTCTCTCATTCGTCCTCTGCATTCCTATGAATGCCTTTGCTTCACCATTACCTCCCTCTTCAAACTCACTAAAACACACCTGGAAGGTCCCAATGCCAACATAACGCTTCCAATATTCTACCATCAGCATCTTAAATCGACTCATATCAATCTTGCTCTGACACATGGCAATTACCCAACATGACGACAACATGAAAGCCATACAGGCCTAAAAGGGGCACCAAGTCAATGTCGAACGGGACACCAAGATCAGCGAGCTTGAGTAGACGATCATTGCGCAGACAGGGCAATCCATGCACGAGTTACACTCATTAAGAAACCTACAGCTTGCTATACAACGACGATTAAACTGTGGGACAGGTGACAGCAACACTGGCGAGTAACATCAAGAGCCATCTCCCGTCGCTTGTTTGAGTAGCTTTAGCGACTGATTCTTCTCGATATGCTGCTTAGTTCAAAGCCACTACATTCATAGTGAAGCTCCATCGTACCGAAAAAATCCGGTTAGTCGCAGGTACTTTCGATGATGTTTCGTGGGTTTAGTGCGAAGCGAAGATCAAAGTCGGATGTCAGCCGAAATGCAGAGCAAGCTCAGCTGTGTCTCCGTAAGAGCAGCTTCACCTCTATTTGCGTCTTTTCTCACATGCTTGACATGATGGCGACGACTAACTCGAATACTCTCAAAAGACCCTCAGATGGTCCGTTAGAAAAATGCGGAAGGGCACATAAAGCTGCTGGGGGTGTAAGGGACGCAAGGTCCGCTCCAGCTGCAGTGAGACCGAGCTTTCCAAATACTGTAAGCGTGTATCACTTACATATTTGACCGGGTATGCCATCAATGAGCGACATGGTGAATAGCTGCTCATCACTCTTTACATCAAATTATCTCCCAATAAGTATCGTTTCATGATGTCTTTGCCTTCAAGCTGCAACAAATTTCATCCCCTTGAAAACATCGACAAAGGAGCGTCAAGAAAAGCAACTTCTTCTCTCACAATCACCCTCTACACAACACCCTTGCTACCCCTCATAACTCATCTGTGCCTTCTTAATCTTCTCCTTCAGCTCCGCACTCTTCTTCTCCGAGCACTCGCTCTTCCCTGGCACCAAATCCGCAATCCCAACAGCCAGCGTATCCACAACGCCCTCAATCCCCCTCAACGCCACTGCAATCGGGCGTCCAACAAACCCCTGCTCCCCGCGCGTAATAGGCGTCCCATCCGCATGATTCACAACAGAGGAGCGCTTGAGAGGACCCGTCTCAAGCAGACCCGAGCGCCCGATTAGGATGGCGAGCAGCTCCTGGTGTACGCGGACGAACTCAAGCCAGGCGAGGACAATGGTATCCGAGGAGCAAGAGGGCGGGAAGGGGGGGAAGGTGATGAAAGTAGGCAGCGCGGTCTGCACGGTCGTTGTGATTCTAGTCAGGCCCAGAGCCACGTCCGTGATGGGGTTGCTGAAGAGATCCACGTCCGCGTTGACGCTGACGTCGTCGCGGCCGAAGATGCCTGCACCGATTTTGCGCGCGCCGGTTTGCAGGGCAAACGAGATTTGCGTGACGTCGTTGATAGCGTTGATGACTGTCTCAGCGGCGCGCAGGACGGCCCCGCTGCAGCCTTTCGTGGGGCAGGCTGCCGCGGTGTTGGAGGGCTCCGCGGAGCTTTCGGTTCCGGTGGGGGCGAAGGCATTTGTGGGTGTGATGAATGGACCGCAATTGCCGGGGAGGGGTTCGACGATTACGACTTCTGTGTCGTTGTTTGGAGGGTAGTCGTAGAAGGTCGCCGTGGTGGGATTAGCCTGTGGCGGTACAACGATCGTCTTGGTGATGCCAGGTGAGAACGTGCCGGTGGGGACGCCAATGACGACGATCGAGTCGACGACCTCGCCGTCAGCTTGGGTACACGCGGGAACCGTAACACTCAGATAATCGGCCTGACTGGGAATGGGGATGAAAAAGGTGCCGGAGAAATCTGGCGAGGAGAAGGATACTGATGGAAACTCGGTGAATGTGAAGTTTGGAAACATAGTTGTCGTTGAAGGGTCGAAGATTGTGGTCGGAGTTGGGAAGTCGTTGGAGATGGTGGTTTCAGGGTCCTCAAAGGGCAGCGACGTTGCTGAAAAGAAACTCGCCGGATCCCTCATGGAGGACTTGCGTGCTTCCTCGCGAGGCAGCACTTTGGCATTGACAGCCGTGACGAGCAGGAGAGAAGCAAAGATGGCCGACATAGTGATCTAATGAATAGAAAGCGAACGACTTAAATTGTGGTTGGTCCACTGCTGGAAGAACATTGAGCTCTTATAGTCGTTTAGGGGCCACTATTTGGTTGTTTGACCTGTACGCAAAGTACGTTTATCAGTAACATGAGAATTTGGATTCGGTGTGATACCGTCTTGCAATGAACCCTCAGATGAAGCCGGGTCCTTGTGGCACGGAAGCGTGTACTACGGGCCGTGTCCGGTGTATGAATCGTTCATAGCGCTTGGCTTCCGATCCGGGCCTGTAAACCGCCCATCGTATCCCGATCCGTAACATGGACGTGGCAGCGTGACAGCTACCAAGTCATCGAAACCAATCCAACGGCAGGATCTTAATTAATCCACCATATCGACATCCATGACATTAGTATTAATGGCAAAGGGGTTACCATCCAGTCATATTTTCAATTTCACACAAACTGCGCGATTGGCGTAGTTACTGTGGCGCAGGATCGAAACCAAGCTTCCGGGTACGAGGGTGCACACGATGCGGGAGCTAAGGTACCAGTGACAGGGTGACAGACGGCGCAGCCTCTCACCAATGACACAGGAATCATAGGATGTGACCCCTCCACAAGAGCCAGAGAGTTCCAACAACCAGAATCGGATGAGGTGGCACTAGAAGGGAAAAGCCGTAGGAATCCGGTCAAAGCGGGACCCGAGAAGACGGCAAACAATAGTCCGCCGGAAATGGAAAGAAGCTAGGTTCATCGTTGTGTCGTGTCAGTGCGATTGAAGACTCATATGCATAATGCGCAACATCGTTGAGAATGCCGTCTTCTGGTACACGGAGACTCTGCCCTGCTTTGCCCCCAAAACGATAAATGAATCGTGGTCACCCCACGCTCTTCGATGAAAGTGGAACGTTCTTTGTCAAGCATTGCGTCTGAGAGCATTAGCTTTTTGGCGTCTATTGCACTGCATGCACGCCGTAGAGCAGTATCTTGGTCTGACATGTGTGTCAAATTGCAGCTAGTGCAGACGAGTATCATTCGAATTGGGGAGCAATTCATTTGTTACGAAGATCAATAATGAGGATCTTGAACCTCCAGGTCAGTGCTATTTCACGATATAACCCCAGCCTCCGAGGCGTACCTTTACCTAAGCCAAAGTCGTCTAAAGCTTCGTTGGAATCATCGCAAAATAAAGATAATAGGGAAACAGTGAAAGAAGGCCCATCGCTCTACTGAACGCAGGCGACCATCAGTTTTTCCTGGGCATATGTTAGCACTTGCTTCCGTGGATGTAGTACTTTCACTTACATAATCGCCCCTTGTCTCACCCTCGATTCTCCTAACCAGAGACTTGCCGTACTTCCGCTGGTAGGCATCGCTCACAGCCCTCATGAAACCCTGATCCCAGTGACACCGGACAACACGTTGTACCAGCAGCTCATCCTTCGTACCAAGACCGGCCATGGAGTCCTCAAGGCGCGTCGCTTCGGCCTCAGCGCGGTTGATTGCTCGCTCGACAAGTAGCACTAGCGCATCCTCCATGTGGCCCGAGAACTTTGATTTGATGGTCTTGACCAAGGGCTCATGAAATCGTTGCTGGTAAGATTGGGCAATAGCGCGGATTTGAGCATCGTTCCGGGTGAACAAGAGGTCACAGACGGAACTAGCGTTCTTGCTGATCATGTTACCCATTCCGCGCTGCAGCTCGGTGACATCCTGCTCGACGGCTTGTGGCATGACTGGATTCGAATCTTCTGCGCGGCGCGCGGCGATGACCATCATGTCTACGTTGCTATTAGTAAACCATTAGACTTGGACTTTTACAATTCCACTTACACATCTTCTCGGTTGCGGCTGAAAGGTCACCCCTCAAGTCGGCTTCTAGAGTCTTCTTGAAAATGTTCTGGTACTCAGCCTTTATGGCATTCACATCAGCGTTCGATCGGCCTATGAGCACATCATCGAGAGCTGCTTCCTTGGTTCCCAAACCCTTCATTGCCTCGTAGAGTGTGTAGCAGTCGCCTATGAGCGGGCCTCGGGCAATCTGAACTAAACCCTTCTCGAAATAGCCTGACGTCTCTTTCTCGAGATCTTTGATCAAGTCTCGCAACATCCGCTGGTTGTAAGCTTGGCGAATGGTGTTGATCTGGATGGGGTCCTTCTTTGCTAATATCTGGATCAGGACCTTCTCGTTGGTGCCGAAGCCCTTCATAGCTTTCCGGATGCCTTCAACATCCTGAGTCACATCAATATTCGCAGTCCGCTGGGGGCCATAACCCAGCGAGGGCTGAGTGGGCGGGCCGAAACTCTGAGGTGCACCGTATTGCTGGCCGTACTGCTGAGGTGGAGGGGCACCGTACCCGGGTTGTTGGGGCGGCGGCGCGCCATATTGCTGGGGGGGAGGCTGCCCATAACCTCCCTGTGGGGGAGGAGCGCCATATTGACCAGGCGGCGGCTGTTGATACCCACCTTGCGGTGGTGCAGGTGAGCCATACTGATTTGGCGGAGGTGCTCCATAACCCGGCTGTCCGCCAGGAGGTGGTGCTCCCCAATGACCCTGGCCCTGCTGAGGTGGAGGCGCACCATACTGTTGTTGATAGCCCTGCTGGGGAGGAGGATAGTTTCCCTGCGGCGGTGGGGCACCCCAACCCTGTTGCGGAGGTGGCGCGTTATATCCGTACTGACCCTGAGGCGGGGGGGCCTGATTCCATCCTCCCTGGTTGGGCGGCTGCTGTCCGTACATCAGAATGTGCGATTTGGTGGCCGGGTTTTAACGGGTGAGGTGAAGTTAACTGGTGTGTGGTCAAGGCTGACGGGTGTTCTGGAAGCGGTGGGGGCTGGTGTTTATTCTTTATAGCAGAGAAGGCCACCATTACGGTATGACGCGACTGCGACTGCGACTGCCTCCATCACAGCCACTGGGGCTTGGACGACTTAGCGCCTTGGCTTGCCCCGCCGGACCGTTTTATCACTGCCGCCTCCCTGGTTGACTATGAAGGGTAGATGTTGTGTCGACTCGAAGGATCAAGATTGAGTTGGTTTGAAGCGCATTGCATGCGTCGCTGAGTATTGACTACTCTACCCCATCTCGCCTACGATACCCTGCGTGTATGTTTCAGATTTTAGAGCTTCGCGTCAAGCTGCTGAGTCAGTGGCCCCTCGCGTTCCTGCACGCTGCTCTGCAGCAAAGCGGTACCGGTGACCACGCTAAAGCTCAGCCTTTCACCTACGACCCCATGTGGATGGCAGCTGGAAATCACTCAAGGGACATACGGCGGATACCAACGCCGCCCGCCACTTTGGGCAATGCGATATGTGAGAAGTGGTAACTGAAAGGCAATTACGAAGTTGCACAGCCTCGCGCTCGGACTCTGCGCATGCGCATTGGTTGGGGCAGCCAAGTTCGACGGGCTGTTGGCTACTTTTGTAGCTTGGAGCCTGCGCCAGCTGATGGTTCAGCACATCACGCTATCAACTAGAAAATGTTGGCCAGGGGTATAATGTACTGTTCATTGGCATATCGAGCAGCAATCTGCGCGGAAAAGGACAAGAACATCAACGACAGCTAGAAGGCAATCTTATGTTCGCTGCCAAACGCTCACCGTCGAATTTGAGACACACAAACTTGAAATTTCAGCTCAGACAGAGGGACAGAAGTGCTTGCAAAGACAGATATATCGTACAGCACAACGCTTGGATAGCTGCCAAAATGCAGCGCAGGGTATATCGATGCTAAAGAAACATAATAATAGGAAATTGGTAGATGAATGGACGCGACGGCGAGAATTCTAGAAGGAAACGTTCAATGTTATGTTGATCGTAGTCCTCTAGCATCGCAAATTAGCACGGGTCTGCCAACTCATCATCATCTTCATGGGGTTCGCGACTAAGCGTGGGACATCGAGGGATGGTTAGGGGCGCGGCTAGTGAAGGTCGTACGTCCTATTGTCTCCAAGTCAGCGATAATTCAGACAACTACGGTAGGGCCGTTCTTACCCTTCCAGTACTTCCAGAAGACGACGGCTCCGTAGACGAAAGTGATGAACCAAAGGATCATGTTCGTAAGCAAGATCCACACGGCGTTCTTCATGCGCTTAATGCCGCCATTGCCCTCGGGATCCTCCTTGATGTACATCTTGCCGAAGATGCCAAAGGCCGCGATGTACAGGATAAAAACGATAAAGTCGATGCCGAAAAGAAACCAAGCCTTGACGAGTGGGAGCATGCAGACGATGGCCCAGAACGCTGCAAGAGTTCCGGTGATGGTGGCGTACATCCACTTGGAGTCGTACTTGACGCCCGCCTTATGGGCGCGGTTGAGGTCCTGCGCGTAGAGCCCGATAACAACGATGCCCATGATCAACTGGAAGAAGCGCATGAGGATGCGGAGAATGGAGCCAGGCGTCATGCTGGCCCTCAGGTTGTTCGCCATGCCGACCTTTTCACCCTTCATCGAGCCGCGTGATAGGAATTTGAAAGCCATGAGGATGACTTGACTTATTGTCAGATTTCTGCGCAGCTCTGAGAGTTGTTCGGGGCGCTTACGTGGGAGAGTTTAGTTTGGGTGGTGCGAGTTGGGGCTCTTTTGCAAGGTGAAGGGAGAGTGAGTCGGTTGTTGCGCGCGATGCGTGTGCGAGTGCGACGGAGTGGTGACGACAGAGGAATGCAGTCACTATTATAATTGCCTCTGGGACAAAAGAATGGATTTGCGCTCAATGCTGACAATCCTATTGTCGTTGTGGGGTTATTGTTGGTGACGAGGCGCGTGCCCTCAAAGAAATGGTGGTTGAGCAGGGGTTATCGCGGTGACGTCGTTGAAGCGGGATGGTGTGTTGTAAATGGCAGTTGCGCCTCGTGGACAAGGGGCGGCTGTTTTTGTACAATGATCGGCAAAGAATTTGGAAACTTGATAACGGAGAGTACAAGAAATCTAAGAGTAGACCCCAATAATTATAGTAGGAGAACAAAGCAGCACAGCTGCTGGAGTGAATGTATACTGCGACGAAGACTCGCAAGGATGTGATGCCGTGGGCAAGATGACTGTCTGGACGTCTTATATGCGATCCAGTTGTGCAACTGAGTGAGCCACCAAGAACGCGCCACAATCACGTTGGCGCCCTCCTGGCGTGTAGAGAGGGCCCAGATAGCCTGGTGCCCTGCATCTCCAATCGCTAAAGTTTGGCGCCGATGACGGACGCCAAGGATATTTGCTGTCAGGGGGCAACGCGGTGTTGATTGGTCCTGAGGCAAGCCGCCGAAGAGCTTCATCGGCTGTGTTTCAACGCGAAAATGGACGCAGAGGCGGTCGAAGTGCATGTATTGATGGAGATGCCGCCGGCCATGAAACGCCGTGGGTCTGTGTGAGTTACCCAGGCCTAAAAATGTAAGACAAGAACAGCTAGAGAGGTAGCTGTGCATTGAATTGATGGTCCTCTTACTCCTGAACCCGTTTTTCCTCTTCGTGTCACAAGAATCAATTCACATGATATTGTAGCTCAGGTCGCGAGCCTAAATCGGATCATCTTTTATTGATTACTACCGGGTACCACTGTGGTGCTAGGTCGCCGATTCGACGAGCTTCTCGACAAGCTCAAGGGGAGGCATATTTGTATCCGTACTTCTCCTTCGCGGCCTTGATTTGTTCCTTCACCTTCTCCTCCTTCTCCGCGAACTCCTTGTCGTCCTTCAGCTTCTGTGAATATGTGTCATTACCGAAAGGCGACTTTGATGGGACAGCCATTCCTTTCTGAACTGCTGGTCGCGCGCCGATGCGGTCCGCCCACGCCTTGACATTCGGGAAGTCGTCGATCTCAATCCCTGAGAACCGAAGCATTGAGACCCATCCATAAGACGCAATATCCGCGATAGAGTACTTGTTGCCAACAAGGTAGTCGGTGCCCTCGAGAGCGGTGTTCAGGACGCCGACAAGGCGCTCCGTCTCGCCAGTGTCTGCATAACACACTTAGCAAAGCCTAGATGTCTCGCATTTCTCATACTCACATCGCTGCATGCCATAAGGGATGCGCTCGGGAGCGAATCTATTGAAATGGTTCGCTTGGCCCTGCATGGGACCGAGGCCACCGTGCTGCCATGCCATCCACTGCTCTGCGCGGCTGATGTCTAGCGGGTCTGTGAAAGAGAACTTATGCTCGGGATCATAGGTCCTTGTCAGGTAGGTGAGGATTGCGAGACCCTCCATAACCGCGAAGCCGCCCTTGTCGTGGTCGACGATGACGGGAATACGGCCATTGGGACACAGCTTTGTGAACCCTATGTATAGTCAGCCTCGGCAGTGTATCACGCCACCTTGCGAGCAGCTTACAAGGCTCTTTCTGTATATTCTGCATGATGTTGATTGATTGCCTAGAGGTGTTCGTAGTGAGCGCACATCTCACGCGGTTGTCGCCGCAGCCATTCACCATGTGTAATCCATGCCGTATGCCTCCTTGAGTTCCTCCAAGATGATGGAAGCTTTCACGCCATTGGGTGTGCCAAAGGTAAGGAGCTCGATGCCCTTGTTTGCCTTGAGGCCGGTGGGACGCTCTGACATGTCGTCTTCTTGTCGCTGCCGAGCAGACGTGCGGAATGAAGCTTGGGTATGCGATCGAGGAAAGGCGGGAGCGGGAGCTGAATGTCGTAGGCAAGCAAGGTACGAGAGGCTTCGAGAGGTGCTACGAAGCTGTACGAAGGTGAGGGGTCTTTTAAGCGCCATGAGGGGTCAACGTGGACGTTTAGGGAAGCTACAAGGCGCGTTTGCGTCCCACTCTGGAAGAAGCTTAGAAATCGATGTCATTCCGTTCCGTCGATAATGATTACTAATTAGCACAGCCCAAAGAATACAATCGGAATTGTACGCTTTCCATGCTATTGGTGATTGCAGCGTTCGCTTTTGGGCATATCATGCTGCTAGATGCAAACATCCGTTGCGCTTCGTTCGCGGCTTCCGCGCGCGTCGCGTGTCGCGCGTCATGACGCCAAGCATGTAGCACAACACCACGTTCCACCCTTCACAGATATGTACGAGAATACCACCACTTATTACACCGAGTAATGGCTGTGGATTTCATACCAGGGTTAGATATGAAAGCTCTGCGACACGCTAAGAGTTTCTGCCGACCATAAGCACCCCATGCGAGCATTTGCTAAGCACGTTGCATCGACTGCAGGTACGAGTAGCCGTAGTCGCAGGTGCACAGCAGAACCCGGAAGGAGATAAGTCCTCTATCGGCTTCCGAAAGCCTGTCTATCGAAACCGTTCACGGGTTGCGCACCGCCACGTTACCAAGCCTCTCACAACTGATCCTGGACCCCATCCTAGAAGCTTAATGGCAAAAGTTCTGACAGTCATGACTGAAGAAGGGGCAAAGCAGGAAAACTACCTTCTAGCCGACAGTATCTCGGAAGTCTGGGCATTTCCGACATGCTCCGAAGGAAAGGTGGTTGACTTTATGTACCGAGACTGGCACTTCCATTATTCCAGGTTCCGTTACAAAGTCCCCTTCGAAACTCGTCTCCCAATTCATTACCCGAGATTGCAGGCTTTCGACTTGGGTCTGAAGATCTAAACCTCCACTTGTTGCAGCTTGCTCGAATCTCTCAAACTACCAGTCAACTAAACCCTTTAAAGCTAGACTGGCTATTCATAGATGCTTATGTACAGCCCCAGCGCGAGCACCTGTGAATAACGGCGGTCTAGGAGGAGCGGGGCGCCTTGCAATGAAGATCCTGTGTCAAGAGGGCCGCAGGTTCTCTTTCCTCATTCCCTTAATCCGTGACATTCACGAAATCGCGTGAAGAGAGCTGATCACTGCTCCATCATCCTCGATCGCGTCCGCACACCGAGTTGTCACATCAGGAAGCATGATCAGACGGCAAGTCTACTCGATCGCGCTACTCCTGCAGTTTATAGCTGGTCTCGAGGTCGCACCGAATTCACCATGTGCAAAAAAATGTCTCGATGATCCAAACAAGGGCAACCCAAGTTGGACGAATGCATCTCTGACATTCGGTCCTGACCTCGCCTGCATGGATAAGGACTTTGTGGGAAAGAATGCGACAAAGGTCGCGAAGAAATTCGCAGAGTGCCAGACATGCATGCAGTCAAGTGGCTGGGGTGACGAAGAAAGCGGCGAGAGAGACACACAATGGTTCCTATGTAAGTGCACACTTCCCAGATAGCTCTCCAGCAACAAGTATGCTAACTGTTTCTCTCTCAAGTTAACAATCGCGGAGCAGCTGACTATTGCTTGTTCGGACGCTTCGCGGAGGAAAGTGACGACAATATCTCTTCCAAGGAGCCATACAAACAGTGCTTCTCAGCATGCAACCCCATATACGCAGCATCGGACTACCGCGTGAAAAGCGATCCCGAGAGCTACAGCTACTGCGACAGCAACGGCAACTACACATCCGATGCGCAGAATTGTATAAAGTGTCTCTACGACGGCAAGGGCTTGACGATACTGGGTAACAGTAGGTTTCTGCACAGCACTACGATACAAATTATCCGCTAACCATGCCCAACAGTCGTAGCAACTCTGAAAGAGCTCTGCAACACAAAACCCGGCAAAAACATCGACCTCGACGCGGACATCTACAACACTACGCAGATCAAGCTCTCCGCCGCCTCCCCAAACTCAACCTCTACCTCCCTCCCCCCAGTCTCACCGTCCGACTCCGGTTCCAGCCTCTCCAAAGGCGCCATAGCAGGCATCGTCCTCGGCGGCCTCGTCGCCATTGCCGCAGTCCTGGCCGGCATCCTCGTCTTGCTCCGCCGCGCAAGAAAGCGCCGCGAAACCAAGACCATCGAGATGCCAGACAGCGGGACGAGCACGGCCGCAATACCAAACGCATCGTACCAGTACACACCCGTCCGGGAACACAAGTATGCGCATGACAGCGCACCGGGAGCGACAAGACCGATCAGCGAGCTGCCGAGTATGGGGAATGATGTGGCGGAGTTGGGACCGATGAGCCCGACACATGGAGCGAGCGAGTTGGGGACGGGGAGTCCGTATCGAGGTTTACCAGGTTTGAACGGTCGCCGCAATTAATACACCCATATCTTCAATGTTATTTATACACTACCTTTCCCTGTTTTGTGGTTCGCCGTTCGCCAGCACGGGGTCATCAATTGCCCTCACTAGGAAATGCAACTACTCAGAACGCTGGAGCGCTGAGATACTGACAGGGATATGTTTAGCATGAGAATAGCTCCCAGGCTACTACTTTCTGGCAGGTATCGACATGGCACAAGCTATGCGGAGACGTCATGTTCATGACGGTAAGACAAAAGCGCAGGTCATCGACATGGCACAAACGATACAAGCGACACAGAAACGAGGGGTGTGCGCAATAGCAAAGCATCGGGCGCCCAGGGACGCCACTAATACCACGAGAGAGAGCGGACCCCGGAGGCAGCAGGCGAACGAGACACGACAAATTCTCACCGCAATTCGGAACAAACGTTCAGTCTGCATCAGACATATTCGATTGCCTAGAAATACAACCCACCATGTAGACGCCAAAGCTAGCCGGAGTATAGACAAGACGTGATAAGACATGCTCTCATGCACAGGTATCTCGTTTCCCAAGCCAATCCATCCCAATCCAATCCAATCATACCATTTCCATACATTCCCTCGTGCGTCGCTTCCAACGGCTATGCAAACACGCAAAGCCAGACCGAACCAAGAAACCGTGAATGAAACCATCGCCAGCGAACCACTTCGACTAGGTGGACGTCAGGAGCTTCTGCTCTGCTCCCTCGCCGCCATCTCCCAAGCCCTCGTACAGAGCCCCACTCTCGGTAACTCCGAATCCCACGCCCATCACTCACAATAGCCCCTATAAAATCCGCGTCTCCCATCTAAAAGTCCTCGAACGAGTCCTCGTACTTCTCCTGCATGTCCTTGGTGTACGCCTCACGATGTATACTCTCAGGTTCATACTCGTCGAAATTCCGCGTGTCGGCCGGGCCCCGCAGATGGGGTACTATCGGCCCCTGCACCTTGCGATGGTACAAAGCGTCCCAGTCGATGTCCTTAAACCAGGCGTGGCTCTTGACTGTGCTGGCGCCGCCCGAGATGTTGCCGAGGCGTTTGGAGGTGTCCACGGTGCAGAGGCCGGAGATCAGGTCGCGGGCATCGGCGGACATGGCCGATGGGAAGCGCACACGGCCTTCTACGATTCTGATTGGGGAAGGTGTTAGAGGAGGGCATGGGACGTGATGGGGAGAAGGACCCACTGTTCGTAGATCTTCATGGGGTTCTGGTCCCAGAAGGGCGGCTGGCCAACGAGGAACTCGTACACCAAGATGCCAAAGGCCCACCAATCAACTGCGGTGCCGTGGCCTGCAAGGTTAGCTGATCCAGGGGAGTGGGCGCGCGGGTGACGTACCGGTGTTCCTGATGACCTCGGGTGCCAGATACTCGGGCGTGCCGCACAATGTGTATGTTTCCCCTGCAATTGTCAGTTCTACTCCTTTTCTCTGTGAATGTTGCACCCACTGTTTTCGACCTTCTTCGCAAATCCAAAATCCACTAGCTTGAGATGGCCCTCGGCATCGATCAGGATGTTCTCAGGTTTCAGGTCGCGGTATGCGACGCCTTCCCGCTCGTGCAAGAACTCCAAAATGAGGACGATTTCGGCCGCATAGAATTGGGATGTAGGTTCGTTGAAGCGTCGGGCTCTTCGGAGGTAGCTGAAGACCTCGCCGCCTGGGCAGTAATCGAGCTGCGTCGGTCAGTAAAGCATTGCGGTGCTGGTACATATGTTCCTCACCAGCATGTACAGCGAGTCGTGGTCCTGGAAGCTGGCGACCATTGTCGTTATGAAGGGGTGGCCTGCGACAGCAGCGAGGACGTTCCCTAGAGGCGCAGGTTCAGCGCAACTCAATCAACGGGAACAGCTACCGTGTGCATGTCTTCGCCGGGCGAGGAAAAGGACTCTCTTCTGCAGAACGACATATCCACAATGTATCCGTGGGATTGCTCACTCTCGTTGCGGACATGTTCGACTTGCTTCAGGCGGATCACTACGCGCTGTCAGCCGTGCTATGGATTCGAGAAAGATGGCGCATGCATACCGTCCATTTTGCGCAGGATCTTGAGTGCAAACACCTGGTTCTCTTCGCCATCCCTCGCATTCTTCACCCTCACCAGCCAGACCCGCGCAAAAGTGCCTGTCGCCCGTCAGCCTCTCCCACTGCCCCTAGTTCCAGCACACTCACCGGTGCCCAGCGTCTTGATTAGCTCAAAGTCCTCCTTCCGCAGCACGCTGGACGAGTGCCCAACCATCTTCTGGTCGGGGTCTTTGTCAATCTGGCCAGGCTCGAGCGGTGCCTTCTTCTCCCCCCACTGCGCAAGCGTGTGCTTCTCCTCGTCGCGGGCGCGCTCCGTCGCCGAGTGCTGTCGCTCATGCTCTTCTTCTCGGGCCTGGTCTCTGCTGCGGTGCGGGTGCAGCAACTTGTGGACTGCGGCTGCCATGTTGGCGGGCTTGCGGGGGCAGGGATCGGGGGCAGGTGCGCGCGAGGTCGTTCACGGGGCGGGCCGTCTGTCTACTGCATGGTTCTGGGTCGTGGGTCGGTGTTTCTGGGGCAAGCAGTTTGTGTTGGAGAGCAAGCAGGTAGGAGGCGCCTGGGGAGAGGCACGGGCGCATGGAATTGGGCGCATTCACCCATGGACAAGGAGCTGTCAGCGAGCGAGACGTCTGGCGGGGCCTGGTGCAGGGGACGGCCAGCCCGAGGGGATGACGCACTGCGTGGGGAGTGCACCCCAGACAAAGCAGCCCGCCAGCTTCCCCTTATGGTCTGCGGCCTCGTCCGTCAATCAGGATGCCATCACCCCCAATTGTGACACTGGATCGTTGCTGCCAGCCATGTCGGGTTCAATTGTCATTTGCCGTAGTCTTGACACCTGCAGCGCGCCCGCTGCACGAGACGCAATCCACGCGGCGCCCAAGCACCGCTGCCATCCGCTTCTCGGCTAACGTCGAGTATAACGGGCAGCGAATCACGCGGCTTTCCGTACTGGTGGCATGCAAGAAAGCAATAGAGCTCGGCATATCGAAGTCTGGTAAACCATTGCCTTCCTGCAATCTGCTCCCCTGTGCTACTTTCTACCCAACTAAAGACATGCATGGCGATCAAGACGCCCTGCAGACCGCATATCAGCCGCACCTTCGCACAGAGTCGCCGTTGGGCGTGCATATAATTTTTGATCCCAGTTACATTTACCAACATAAAAATGCGACTGCTCCAGTGTGCTTCTCTCCAATATCGCTCTCGCGCAGCATTGTTTTGCTCCATGATCATACCTCGGTACCAGCAGCATTTGTACAGTCCATAACTCCGTGATGCAAAATGCGTGACAATGCTTCTCCAAAAGTAGTCGTACAGTCGCCGTGCCGTTGCGTCTAGCCCACTGCGCGCGTGTTGAGGATGAGAGCAACGATAAGTCTGCAAGCTGAGTCAGTATGATAATGGCGGCGTTCGAGTTGTATCACGCCTACCCGTAAAGACCCAAAACTTCAGCAAAAATGAGAATCAAGACCATGCCGACGAAGATCCTCGACTGGCGCATGTATGCGCGCACGCCCTACCAGTGTTAGCCAGGGTGAAGTTGATATTGGAGTCCAATCCACGTACCACGTCGCCCACAATGCCGATGGCGTAACCCGCGGCCAGACCGGGCAGACCGACCGACAGGCCAGCGGCCATATGCATGATGCCGGTGTAAAGGGAGTAGTTCTTATCCGGGGGCGGGCGAATGTCGCTTGCAATGAGGACTGATATGACGAGGGCGTATACAGCTAAGATACCGGACATGACGACAGGAATCAGGCACTGTGCTGGTCAGTCAGAATAACATAGGGGCGCAGTAAATGCTACCTTCATAATCAGGTCAGGTCTGTATGTGCCTACACCTGAGATGCCAATGCCCGACTTTGCCGTGCCATAGGCAGCACCGAGACCTGCAGGCCGTTAGTTGCGCAACATCCTAGCCTCCGCCTTCAATACCCACATCCAAATATCATCTGTGAACAGTCAGCATTCGTGTCCATAGCTACCTCAATGTTCCAAAACTCACTGCGAAGGCGATGCCGCTCTATGCACTGTTAGCTATGCACTTTGCTCGCCCTGGGTCATGACGTACCATGCCGACGAACGGCGCAAAGCTCGGGGTGAGTTGATTATCCATGTTGTCGCGCGCTCTGCAGCTGTCGTGGAGGCGTGGACGGCGGCGGTCGGATGGAGGGAGCTGTGATGATGCAGGAGCTCAAGGCGAGGCGGAAGCGTGCCCGAGCGTGATAGGCGCCTCTTGGCGATGCAGCGAACTCCACCACAGGTGTGCAATGAGCCCGCAGAGACCCCAAGGGCAGCAAAAGGCCATTCGTCGACCCCGCCCCGAGCCCCCTATCCTTTCACCCCCATCGCCCTGTGCTTGCTGCCCGACAAGTCCATCCAGGCTGATTGTTCGCATGGTCAAACAGCCGCGCCTGTAGTCAGGGAGACAGAACGTCCCGCTCCCGCCAGCACAAGCAACCCTCGTTTGCTGCATCGCCCGCCGCGAGCCCCGCCCGCCCTCCGCGACCCTCCTCCCAGCGCGCCTGCTGCTCGCTCGCTGCACGCAGAAAGACGCCCAGACAGCCGCTCTGCCCGCCTGGCCCGCCCTCGCCCCGCCTCCACCGCGCCGCCCCGTGGCCAGCACGCCGTGAGAGCTCCCTGCAAAACCAATCCCCAGAGCCGCCCCTCGCGCGTGCGGATGTGCAGTAGACGCTGACGGGCCCTGCAACGAAAGAAGGTGACATGGCCGACTACAACCAGCAGCAGGGGAGAGAGTACGCGCGCCCCGGCCAACCCACTGGCGCCCGGGATGCCGCCTTTGCGAACATCTTCGGGGCCAGCCCAGCCATGGCAGGGCGCTCGCAGACCATGACTTCGCAGCGGCCCATGATGCAGCAGGACCGAGCCGCGACCATGTCCGCGCAGACGGCCGACATGATGCAGCGCGCGCCCCCAATGCGACAGCCAATAAACGGCTATGATCGGCGCCCTCCACCGCAATTTGACCAGCGGCCTCCTGCCAACTACGACCAGCAGCGTCCGCACGGCTACGGCCAGCAGCCCGACGGCTACAACCGCGGGCCTCCGAACGGCTATCCACCACAGCAGAGAATGGCCGACGGCGTCTCCCCACCCCAAGCTCAACGCCAGCCCCAACCGCAGTATCTCCCTCGACCACTTCGGCCCGAGCGTCAGCCATATGGGCAGCCCCAGCGCTTCGATTCACGCGACTCCCCACAGGGACAGCCGCCCTTCAACAAGCCTGTGCCGCAGCGTTTCGGCCCTGGTCCTGGCCCGGCCATGCACAACGACCCGTACCGATCGCAGTCAATGGCCGCCGTACCTCGCCCCCAGTTCAATGCGCCAGGCCCTGGGTACATGTCTCCTGCGAATACATTCCGGCAGCAGCCCTACATGAATCACATGGCGCGAACAACTGCTCAAGGTCGCGTGGTGCCAGAGCGCCCTGACGAACGTACCATGTCCATGACTTCCTACTCTCGAGATCCCGAATACGCGCAGACAATGAGTGGAAGAGTTATTCCTTCAAGGAGAAGAGAGTCGGGAGATCCCGAGACTTCGCCTATGGCTGATCCGAACCAAGTATCGCCGCCTATGAGTGCTGGACCAGGAAGCAAGACAAGGAACGCGAGCCACGGCAGCCAAGGCAGCATACCTCAGATCCGGACCATGTCTATGGCATCCACGGTCGTCCCGCCCTCTGAACGCACCGACACAATGAGCTCGTCAATGACGCGGCCCAGTTCTACCCAGACTGTGACCAGCAACAACCGAGCTTCCTCACAGTCCAATCAAGGTGGCCAAGTAGGAATCGTAGCTCAGCGTCGTTCTCCCCTTGTGTATCCCGCTCTGCTCTCTCGGGTAGCCGAAGTGTTCAAGGATCGCATCCCGATCACTGAAAAGCAGAAGGACGGACTGGTTTACAACAACTCCTTCACTGGCGCAGAAGCAGTCGACCTCATAGCGTACATCATCAAAACCACGGACCGGAACCTTGCACTACTCCTGGGCCGCTCGCTCGACGCCCAGAGGTTTTTCCACGATGTTACGTACGCCCATAGGCTCCGTGACTCGACCAACGAGGTATATCAGTTTCAGGAGACGATGCTGGAAGAGGGGGCAGAGCAGGTCAACGGTGTCTTTACCCTTCTTACGGAATGTTATTCGCCTACGTGTACGCGCGATCGACTTTGTTACTCAATCGCATGCCCACGCCGCTTGGAACAACAAGCCCGATTGAACCTGAGACCCACGGGTCTGAAGCGCGAAACTTCTCACGCTAGTTTGCACGAGGACCTCGACTCGGAGGAGCAGAAACTCTGGATCAACACTGTCTCCAAGGAGGTCGCTGAAAGCGTCTCTGATAAGGAGAAGAAGCGGCAAGAAGTTATTTCGGAACTTATGTACACCGAGCGTGACTTTGTGAAGGATTTGGAATATTTGAGGGACTTCTGGATGAAACCGCTACGGAACCCCGCGACATCACCTATTCCGGAACATAGGAGGGAGAAATTCGTGAGGACCGTGTTCTCGAACTGTCAAGACGTTTACATGGTCAACTCTAGACTTGCAGAGTCTCTCACTCGGCGACAGCAGAAAAACCCAGTGGTGGACTCCATCGGCGATATCTTCCTAGAATATGTGCCCCACTTCGCACCTTTCATCAAGTATGGCGCAAATCAGCTGTTCGGTAAGTACGAGTTTGAGCACGAGAAGCGGACCAATCTCCAGTTCACGAAGTTTGTGGACGAAGTGGAGCGAATGAAAGAGTCGAGGAAGCTTGAACTTAATGGTTACCTTACCAAGCCTACAACGCGTCTAGCAAGATATCCCCTGCTCTTGGAGAATATTCAGAAATACACCGCAGACGACAACCCCGACAAGCAAGACATACCCAAGGCTATCAAGATGATCAAGGACACGCTTTCCAAGGTTAACATTGAGTCCGGCAAGGCTGAAAACCATTTCAATCTTATGCAGTTGAATCGGGATCTCAAGTTTAGGCCCGGCGAGTTTGTGGATCTGAAGTTGACCGACGAGAACCGACAACTAGTCTTCAAGGGCAACCTCAAGAAGACGCCAACTGAACAGACGGGCGACATCACTTGCTACCTCTTCGACCATGCTGTACTTCTCGTCCGCTCCAAGGTCGTCAACAAGCGCGAAGAGCAGAAGGTTTATAAAAAGCCAATTCCATTAGAACTCTTAGTCATTGGCCAAATGGATGAGATCATTCCCAAAATCGGCATCGCGAAGCGCCCATCGGCCAATTTGATGGGTGCCAAGGCAATCGCTGCAGCAACACCGAAGGGCGATGCAGCGAAGCAGCAGATTTATCCAATAACTTTCAGACATCTTGGAAAGGGTGGTTACGAGCTTACTCTATACGCAAGTACCCAGATATCCCAGCAAAAGTGGATGGAGCATATCGATTCGCAACAGAAGAACTTGAGGGACCGCAGCAACATTTTCACTCGGTCCATCATCAATGAAGGGTTCTTCACCGCAGCCATCCGGGTTACTTGCGCTGTTCCGCTGGGTGAGTATATTGGTCCACGTACTAAGATGTTACTAACGTTGATCAGACGGTGGTCGAAAAATCGCTTTCGGTACCGACGCTGGTATTTTTGTTACTGACCGCAAGCCGAAGGATGCGTCACACAAGCCACAGCGAGTACTCGATTGCAAGGCGGTTACCCAAATCGATGTTCTCGAGCAACATCAGATCGTCCTGGTACTGTCCGATAAGACCTTGTTCTCGTACTCGCTGGAAGCGTTGGACCCCAACGAGAACAACGCGGTCGCCAAGCGCCCGAGAAAGATCTGTCATGCCAACTTCTTCAAGTCCGGTATCTGTCTAGGTCAGCAACTAGTTGCCTCAGTCAAAACATCGACTTTGTCCACGACTATCAAAGTCTTCGAGCCTAAGGAGAACATGGCGAACAAATCGAGGAAGTCTGGCTTCGCCAAGATGCTCTCGACCGGACAAGACCAGCTTAAGCCGTACAAGGAGTTCTACATTCCCACAGAATCTACTTCCATACACTTCTTGCGGTCCAAGCTCTGCGTTGGGTGCGCGAAGGGCTTTGAGGTTGTTAGTCTTGAAACATTGGAGACGCAGTCACTACTGGATCAGGCCGACACCTCGCTCGACTTTGTTGTACGGAAGGAAAACATCAAACCAATTCATATCGAACGATTGGCGAGCGAGTTTCTTCTCTGCTACACGGACTACTCCTTTTTCGTCAACAGGAACGGGTGGCGAGCCAGGCCTGATTGGCGAATTGCATGGGAAGGTACACCGCAAGCATTTGCCATCTTCCATCCTTATATCCTCGCTTTTGAGCCTAGCTTCATCGAAATACGGCATATGGAGAGCGGAGCTCTTGTACACATTGTCACAGCGAAGAATATCAGGTGGCTGCACACATCCACCAGAGAGGTATGTTATCGAGCACTCGGATCTTTGAGAGGCAAGATACTGATACGAAACAGATTATTTATGCATATGAAGATGAGTTGGGTAACGATGTTATTACGAGCCTGGACTTTTGGCAGACGGCACCTGGGCACAAGCAATCCATCGAGAACAACCGCTACAACGAGAAGAACTGAGGGCATCGAAAGAACTTTAGACAAATACCCTCATCAGGCCAAATATTCAGGGCCACGTGCAGCTCCGTGGGTAGCATCTGCCGCCCAGACCACGATAGGCTTGCTCCCTTTCGATGCGATGGTCCGATGGACTTCCCGCGCCATCGCATTTCCTCTCGTCTGTCTGACCGCGCAACTCTTGGTCAAAGCCATATCTCAGGCTGCAGTCCGCAGCATGGATCGCCTCGCCGCGCGGGCAAGCAGGTGCAGCTTTGAGTTGGGCCTCTTCTCCTTTCGCCCATTGATTTAGCGGGCATTTGTATTATACTTCCTTCTTGGCTAGCCTAGGCATGAGCTGGTGCTCGTTCGTTGGGGGGATTTGAAGCGGGTGATTGGAACGCATTAGACGAGATAACATGGGGCGATTACTCTGCGATAGTGGGCCATGTGCTGGTGGTAATGAGAAGGCGATCTCGTTGTTGAGCGTTACACCCCGATGCGCCGCGTGCAACTTGCAGCTAACGTCCGTGAGTCGCAGGTAACTACCCCGCACACTTTGGTTTGGATGGGGACGCGGATATCGATATCCAGGGCGCGTCTATACTACCACGCTTAGCCTGGACATCATCTCCAACTCCAGTTCTGATCTTAACCTCAACCTCAACCTCAACATCACCCTCACCCTCACCCTCACCCTCACCCTCAACCTTGCCCTCAACTTCCACCCGGAATCTTGCCCCGGGATCACTTCAGGTATCACCATTCTAACCACGCACACCATCTCCCTAGCAATCCATCCAACTACTCATCAATCCATCCCGTCCCTACCACATACAATAATTCTAAAATGCCAAAAGGCATCATATGGGTGTCCAGTCGGCTCTCGCACCCGCCGGTCGACCAGGCACGCGAGGGGGTCCCTGCTTTGACGCCAGAGCGCTTCTGCGACTGGTACGAGAACACGCATATCCAGGAAGTTACGGCGCTGAAAGGTGTGCCGGCGGCGGTGCGGTGGGAAGCTGGTATGTATCACACGCCTTGTTTTTTTTTTTTTCCTCTTCCTAGTTTATCCCGTTTGGAGGGAGTGAGGAAAGTGGCGGACGTCGCACCATGGACATTTTCTCAAAGGCGCCGCCGGTCCGCCAAAGCTTAAACTCAGCTCAACTTAAGACGAACAAAAGAAAGATGCCAGCTAATACACCCTCCCTAGCGCACCCGCAGCCCTCTCCCTCCGCCTGGTCCGTCGCCGCCCCCTGGCTCACCATCTACGAAATGCCCGACATCTCGTACCGCGACACCGCGGAATTCAAGGGGCTGGATGGCCAGAGCCCGCCCAAAGATGCTCTCCTCCATGAGATCTTCGAACAGGCGCGCTTCGACACGCGGTTTTACGAAGAAACTTTTTCCTCTCATGGTTCCGAATCGGACTCTTCGACGCCGCTGCCGAAGGAAGGGAAGTACGTCCTCTCGCTCTCCACTTCCGAGCCTGAGGCTACTGCGCGCCTGTTCGATGGGGTGAGGGGGGTGCGAAGGTTGAGAGCGTTTAGGGTGCAGGCGGGGACGACGTTGGAGAGGTTTGTGAGGCGGGATGCGCTGGGGGAGGGTGGGATTAAGGGGGGTTTAGTAGTTGTGGAATTTGGGGAGGGTGCTGGGGAACGGGTCAGCGAGGTGGTGAAGGGAGAGGAGGACGGCGAGGTGGGGTGGTATGTGAGGAAGAGGGAGTACGGGGAGGTACAGTGATGGGGATGATCGGGTTTGAGTTTCTGAGATGATAGGCGACCTTTGCTATATCTCTAAGGGTGTCAACCGCAGGGCTCTACTTGACATAGAGCGCGGATGTATAAGAAAATTACCTATTTTATTTGAATTGCGCTATAGGGCTCTAAAACGACGTGCCTAGATGCGGTAACGCCAGGGGTGCTCGGCCGCGAGCATGGATTTCCACTGATCCAACGCCCGCCTCTTCCTTGTACTCTTTTATGAAACCATGATTTGGGATTCCCATCTGTCTCACGGTCTTATTCTCGTCGTCCAGCCAATTTTGAGCCAGCCTCGTGGCGTAGCAGTTCAAGGGCTTTCCTGAATGCGCGTCGACGACGTTCTGCTCGAGCTCGCCGATCGTGGTATTTCCTTCGACACTAATGTGGTGGAACCAACCCCAGCAGACTAAAACTTGTAGCTTGATTGTCTTCGTAAAGGTGTGTGATGTATGATTGGTATGGAGTGAGTTGAGGTCTTGATGCAGCTGTTGAAAATGGTATAGTTTTTGTTCGAGCTAGGGCTTTTGCCGAATGTGGTTTGTCAAGTGAAATGAGCGAAGAAGGAGTTTGTAGAGGTTCTTGTGAAATTTTAGGAGACCGGGAGAGAGAGCTGGTAGACCATAGAATGCCTGGGCTCGTTTGACTCAGAAACAGCAGGTGTTACCTTTTCCCTTTCCGAACAATGGCTCTCCCGTCGAATTTTAGACAGTTCCACAAAAGCCGAAGTTTACCATCACCAGAGTCACCAGGTCCTCGAACTAGCTCACCATGCGCGGACCCGAAAGAACGTCGTATGTCCCCTATTCCACTCATCCAGGTAGCACCTCATCACTGAACCCTCTTCAAAAACCTCCTTCTCTAATGTTTTTCAGTCATACCATATCTTGTATCCGTTGTTGCTGCTTGTTTCATCGCCAACATAAAGCCACAGCGAGTGCATTGGGTGAAGGGTGAGACTTCTCCGGCGATCTTTGATGTCGCCAACATTCCTCTGATACCGATGGCCAGTGCGAAAAGCTTGTACATGAATGGAAACAATTAGGGAGGTTCGTTTACGTCGTGGTTTCAAGTATTTGCCTGTCTGCTTGAACCGCTGCACATTCATCCAAAGCTAAGATCCCATGTGCAATCCTCCCTGCTTGCAAAAGTACGCGAGGACTTCACGGTCGGGACTGGTATTCACTGTCCAACTGACGATCATCCTCGCAGAATTCAATTCTCGGAAACATCCTTGAGCTGCCGACATGGCCAAAATCTATTTTAGCCCGCTTGTATGACGGCTCAACCTCATCTTCAAGCAGAGGTCGGTGGCGCTCAACAGTCTCTTCGATTTGGGTAATAGACGTAAGCTTCTTCTCCACGATCGATGGATACTGGCTTGTTCTGCCATCACTGAGACTGTAACTCTCTGCTGCCCGCTTGTTGAAGACAACACGCAAGGATTCTGTCGATGACGTGGGAACCTGAAGATTAACGGCAGTGTTCTCTGTGTTGAAGGACTCTGGCAGCGACAGAATTTGGAGGTATGACCTTCTATCAGATACACCTAGCTGTTTCGATTCTACTTTAAGCTCATTGTCGATAGTTGTCACAAGCAAAGTCTGTGAGCCATTCGACTCACTAGCCATCTTGACAAGGTGCGAGTCTGAAATTAGGTTCCCAGGACGGAATGCCATGAGCTGTAAGTCCCGATGTTGACTTTCTTGCACGGTTGAAGCAGTGTCCATCGTAGCCTGCACGGCACCCAAATCCGTGGGTTGTGCGATGGTCTTCAAAGCTAGCATGTCCTTCGGTATGGGTAACACATCAACATCGGTTTTGTCGCGTGCGAGGAGGTACCTGCCGCAGGCAGAAAAGGTCAAAGACTCGAATAAACGACCGGGCAAAGTATTGCTCGTCTGGAGACATACTGGCTCAGCATTTTCTACGACAAGCGTTAGTGTTGTTTGAGACGCTGTCGGGTGAAATGTATACTTGCCTTTGCGGAATTCCCACACCCATACCTTGTTCTCGGAGAGAAAAGCGACGAGCGGAGATTCCTTGTGAAACATTACTTCCTTCACCCATGGTTGACCTCTTCGAATCATGGTCGACCGAAGAAGACGAGCACAGAATTTTGGTTCTCGGATAATCTCGAAAATGACCAAGTGCGTCATGCAAGGCATTTGGTAGTCTGCGAAGGCGATGTATTCCCCCGTGCCGCTAAAAGAGACAGAATAGGCATACCAATCGCGCCAGCCAACGCGATCATTAGGCGGTAAGAAAGCAAAATTGTCCGGATCAAAGGTCGCTAGATGAGAGCCCCACCTGCTTTCAAAGTGAGGCAGAACCTCCAGCGGAAGCACGAAGGAGTCACTGGTACAACCGGCCACCGGGTGTCCTGGTGTGATATTATAGACCGTCCTCAAAATAGAGAAGGTGAGGCAGTCGGGACCCATGGCCAGGGGGAATGAAGTATCAAAGCTTCTGTCGTCTAACGCACTATATGGTATAACACCCTTTCTGCTGCGTGGGTCTTGAAATTTGTATGGATTCTGGCGAAAGGACTGCCGGATGAGGAGGCGTATCTCAGATTCTGAAAGAGCAATCGTAGCACTGGCTATGCGAACTTTGGATTCAGTGGACCAGATCTCGTATACAGCCCTCCAATCGGAGCAGTATTGCTCTGCTTCTTCGTAGGCTGTACTTGGGTCAATCTGCTTCCAGAACCGCTCGAATGAAGATGACGGGTAAATGTTGAGTGTGGCTATCATGGCCCCGTCGCTAGTAAGTGAAGATATGTTACTCAAGCACTGGATGACCTCTCCATTGTCGTGTGTGGGGGCAAGAGGTTTCACGGTTGTAGCCTGTGCCGCTCCCAGTACTTTTGCAAGCTCGGCTGCAAATCGAGAGGTAGGAAAGACAAGAACGTCAGTCCATATCATCTCCGGGTTTTGAAGAAGCTTCCAGTGCCAGTCGCCATCTATCGCATCCAGATCTTCCGAAAATTCGACAAGACGGTTAGCTGTCTCTTGCAAACGAAGTGAGTGTGGGAGGCAAATCCAGTCTCTCAACTGCGATGTACACAACTTCATGTTTGCTCCCTGGCTATAGATTCCTTCGATCCAGGCAGCTCTAGCTAATGGGTTGCTTAAAAAGCTGCAGATTGCATCCGACATTTTGAAGGTAGACTCGTGGTCGGGTTGTTGGATATAGCCAATACTGAGATGCATCAGATGTAGAGACCAGTGTTTGATAGCGTATGCACTGAAAGATGTGCCTTCCAGCAGTCTTAGACGTGACAAAGCTCCCGAGTCCCTTGTTGGAGGTCTTGTGGGGGCGTGGGCACATACCCGTTGGAGACACCTTGCTGTGAGCTCTGCATGAGCTGCAGGCTTGTTGGGTATGAGGTCCGTTTTCAGATTGGACTGCGGCAAGGCCCTCAAGTACTCCTTGACTGTGATGTGAGTCAACTGGAATACTGTTTGGGGGCTATATTCGACAAGACCGCCACAGACGGAGACGACGGTGGAAGCGAAGTCTTCTGGTACTTCTTCATCGTTATCGCCACTGATAGCATCATGTAGAAATTTGCTAGTCAGCAACGAGTCATCTGCTACGTTATTGAGCCAAAGTAAGATGCGCCGGGCCAGATCCTTGTGAAGTGTGTCAGCTGTGGTGATCAGTGAAAGTATCCTGTCGTACATAGCGTTCAATCCCTCCGGAAAATGCACACTGTTGATCGTGGCCAAGCGTTGCTGCGGAGACAATGTGAAGGAGCTGAGGTAATTAATCATCAGCTTAGCCCACAGGAACATCCCATCCGCCCCGTGGAGTAGCGCCTCCGCTAGTTCCTCGATGTTTGCAGAGTCTGGAAGCTGTTCATTCTCCACGAAGTCTTGTAGTTGATGTTCGAGAAACATTCTTATATCTGGACTCATGGCTTCTCTGTTCACAGCAATGCGATTCGTCTGGTCGACTAGCTTATGGAGGCTGTTGATGTTGGGTCGACTGAACATTATGAGTTTGATAGGAGATGCCGTTACTAGCTCCTTCAAATGGGGGCACATCATTTCCGGCTGTACTGCCTCATCGATACCGTCGAGAACAAGAGTCAAATTACCGATGTCGCTAGCGAGCAGCCTTATAAGCTCGTAAAGCTCTTTCGATGTTGCTATTTGCTGACCAGATAGCATGGACATTGAAACCCTTGCGAAGACGAATATGTCTAGTATGTTGTCCGCGTTTCGACTACGGTGCAAAATCTGCGCTAAGATAGACCGGTAGGCCGCATCAAGAGTCGAGTTGTTTCGGTCATCGTGCTTGAAAAAGAAGTAACATGTTTGATGATTTTGGAGTTCGGAGACGATCGATTCGGAAACTTCTTCGACGACGGATGCAGCCAGAATCGTCTTCCCAGATCCAGGGTTGCCTAGTTCACTCGTAAGATACTGCATCTGCTTCCTAGCCGCACTGAAACTTGCCATGAACCCACAGAACCCATGGCGGCATTCTTCTCCACTTCACATCTCCTTGAATATCCAGCTTGGACTTGGCCCAATATTTGTAGACCTGACTTTCGAAAATCCACTCTGATGTACCTTCCTCACGCTGCTCTAGGCTGTTTTCCAATACCTGAGCAAATTGTGGGGGAGCTAGCCAGTTCAGTATGCGCTGAACGGTGGACTCTGCATGGCAAAGTGAGTGAGCGGTCTGCAAATACGACAACTCCACCTACCTCTACGCTCTGAATCCAGTTCCTTTCTCATTCTCTCAGTCTGCTTGAATAGGTCATCTGCTCGTTTTCTGTCTGCATCTGCCCTCTGTCGTTCGTCTTCTGCGCGTTGTCGTTCGATCGCAGCAGCCCTCTCCGAATCCTTTGCCTGCTGAGCCTGATGAATATCTAGCTCGGCGTGAATGAAATTGCGATGGACTTCCATGGATTCTAGCAGGCTACTGAATTGTGCGTCAAAGGGTTTCCATATGACAGTCGTAATCATAGTCAAGGGACGTTTCACTTCTGTCAAGGATGAGCATAGTTCGTCGCTCTACGTTTCGGTCAAAACTTACTTCCACTGGAGGCAGTGAAGATTCTCGTGGCCATTTGTATGAACCGGAACAGGTCTATGTACACGCTCTCCAGGTGTCGACGGATGCGCGTGGGAGGGGTACCCTCAAAGAGCTCGACGATGGCAGAATACTGTGGAAACGTATCGGACAATTTCTCCAACACAATTATGAGCTTCTCGAAAAATGCGGGAAAGCCACTTGCAAGCTACGGAAACTCATTAGACATCATTAAGGCTACAGAATACTGTCGCACACACCTCGAGTACGAGCCGGATAGCTCCATAGGCAACCGCAACTGTATCATTCGCACTTGCTATTACGTTGATGGCATCGAAATAAGGGCGAAGCTTGTCATTGAAACGCTTCACTACATCCAAACAACGATTCAGGGTCTTCTTTTGGCGCTTTGTCGACAGTATCTTGAAGTTCCTGAGCGTCTCTAGCAGTTCTTCGGGCGAGGAACATTTGGAGAAGTAAGCCCTCTCTTTGCCGGGCAGGCTGTCGATGAACTCATCGTGCACTTTCTCGAAGATGTCGTTCTTAGTCGAAATACCAAATGCAACGGCGCCCTTCAGCTTTGGCAAGTCCATTGTCCTTCAAGGCTAATTTATAGTACATAATGTGGAACGCTAACACACAAACACAAAGACAAGCGCTAAGATTGATTCATAGTCGCTAGAAGGAAAAGGATGAACCTGGGAGCAGACACTGCGCAGCGAGTAACTAGATATAGGAGATGCGGGGTAATTTGCGAGATGTGGCGCATGGCTATGGAGTGAGGCTGTGCATCTTCGCACTGACGAATTCACCTGGGCCAATTTGACACCAATTTCTTTCGATCGACTGCACATTCTGCAAGGGAAGAAATAACTGAAATACATTTTCAATCACATAGAGCTAAATCTGATAGAATCTCACCTGGTAATATGGCATATTCAATGTCATCCGCTTGGTTGACTCAACCTCCGCTCCTCGCCTAACAAAATGCGAGACAGATAGGCGATCCAAATGCGAATGGGGCATCGGGATTTTTATCAATCAATCCCGCCACAGTACCTCCCAGCAGCCTCGAAAACTTTTCGGGAACCCATTCAGCCGCATCGTCACTAACAAGCTCGACCTTGATGTGAAACTTCGCCGTCAAGTCGCCATCACCATTTTTCTCGTACCAGATGTCGATCTCCTCGGGTACGGTGAACTGGAACTCGTCTCCCTCGGCCTTGTTGAGGACTATGTCGGTCGTTAGTAAAGAACAGGGCACAGCTTATGAGATTTGCCTGCTTAGCGAGGGCAGACAACTCGCCGTCCTGATTCCCTCCTCCTCCGCATGCGGAGGATGGCGGAGAAACGTCTCAAGCGCGTCCAGAATCTGGACTGCATTTCCATCGTTGCCACTGCTGGTGAAAGTAGCCTCAGTGACGAAACCTTGAGAGTCCGTCTGTAGCTCTTGCCATCGAGGACCATCTGGGTCTCCATCTCTAGATCGCTGTCTGTGCAGGAGGTCGAGCCTTCGGCACACTTCCCTCTCAGTTTGTCGAGGACGTCTCATGGGCGCTGGTCGCCCCAGAGGACGCGCCGGCTTGAGGACTGCATGTAGGTGTTGCCCTTGGTGCCATCATCCGGTCGGTTGTATTCAGTTGCCAGTGATGAGGGTAGTTAGATTCCGAGACCAAGTAGGGCTATCTGCTGAATCTTGGAGAAGTGCATGTTGCGTGTGGATTATGTGATGGTGTGAAGTAATGATGGGAGAGCGATTGAGCACCTTGAATAGAGAGGTGTCGATGCTTAATTCTGGTTCAGTGACAGAAATGTACACTCTCTCCACTTTGTTAGCTCTGCTTGCGCTGCATTTTTTGTGCACTCATGTCAGAGTCGAGAGATAGCATACCCACGTTTGTCGACGCCTCCATTCGATACGAGATAAACATCTCGCTTAGAGAATACCAAGGCGGCATACAGTCAAAGAGCTAGATTAAGATACTTGCATCAAATTTCGCTAAGCTATTGACAGGTCTTCTTGCAATTAAAAATCAGCCCCAGTAAGTGGGGTGCCCAGGCCTCCCAACTTCCTGATGGACTGTACTAAGAATATGGTACTTCAAGTGGGAATGACTTAGGTGAATGATCCTCTAGGGCTTGCTAATAGGTGGCTCGTACTTCCTGAGCCCAATGGGGATTGAAAATGCTCAGTGTCGGAGACTAGTCTAAGTATGAACGAGTCTACCGTCGAGTTATACCCCAGAGGAGAAGAACTCGCGGTAGAAATTCCCAATCCAGACTGCTCCAATGTTGCCAAACATGAATTTGACCGGGACTGAAGAAGGATAGCCAGTCCGTGCTCCGTGCTCGCGATGCCATGATAAGCCCTGTTGCAGCACGCGTTCACTGAGGCCTGTAGTAACCGGATGCTACACTAGAGATTGTACTTAGGTGTCTCTTATGTGTCCCTTGGTCAAATCAATCCTACTAAACGATTGGAACGTTTGTCTGTTTAGCTTACATATTGGTCACTTCCTCCGCCCCCACGGTTTTCAGCCTGATCTTTGGCGAACGAGCAGACACTTACTCAGTTGTACGCTCATTTTCTTACGTAGATGCGAGAATCATTCGCGGTGTAGGTCAAATTTTGCTGTGGCAGTTCATTTAGATTCGGGATGGACACCAATGATTGGATGCGAATCGCCAGCAGAGGCTCTTACTGACCTTGAATTATGATGATGTGGCATGTACTTAGCTCAACTTCGAAGGTCAAATGTCTCCGTTGCAGTGCTGAGCGAGTCTCACAATCTCTAATCGAGGAGCTGAAGTCTGAAAGGGAAGAGATGAACCACTTCTATCTCAGCAAGGGGCATGAACATGTCAGCCAATCAAGATGCTCATGTACATGGACGTACATTGTGTGGCATAACCATAATCCCCACACTCTATTATCCTGTGTTTCCCAACGCAACATCTAAGCGTTAATTATTCCAACGACCAGGAACGAACATCTTAAAAATACTGGCGTTAAGGGTGTGCGTTGTGCGCGGTAGTGGCACATTCCCGAGCGCGGAATCAGCATTCTTCAGGGTACCGGTAACTCTTTGGGCCAGGTGACCTCAACAATTATTTGACAAAAAAACATATACCTAGTTGGCACGCATGCTTCATGCTCAATCGACTCCAACTCTTCTGCAACCACCTTGTTCGCCGTAGGACGAATATACGACGACAGGATGTCTCGCAATTAGTCTCGCATGCTAAGACGATTCAAGACGTGGAGGCCAAGCCATAGGTATGCCTAGGATCATGTCTCGGCAACCTCGAAAACAGGAAATACAAGATTGGACGCGTAATGTTTTCTCCGGCACCCTCGTAGTGGAACGGTTACAACGGCGCCAGATATCGACTAGTGGTGGCTAATACAGGCTAGCGGCTCTCCCCGGGGCTTGATGATCAGTGCTGGATGCTGGAATAACGATACTGCCAGGTTGCCACAGATTGAGACAACTGCACGATGCGGAAGATGAAAAATCGAAGTTGAGGGCTTCTAGCAGGCAAAAAGAAATGTTGCGAGTCAAAGCGGCACGGATTGTGGAGAGGAGGGCAGTGCTTGCCGCTCAGTGGAGGATGGGCATCGCATCGCAATCGGGATCGACGGGTCTGTGTTTCACGACGGCAGGCATTGTCCGATTGCAGCAATGAGACAAGCGGGCGGCTGTACCGCCAGAGACCACAATTCAAGTCAGAAAGGGAGGATGCTGGGAAGGGTCGGTCTCGAAGCGAGAGCTGAGCGCCTTGGTGAGCATGACCACACCGGTCCTCGTATCGCACGCGGTGCCCCCTTTCACGGCGTCGCATCTGAAGGATTCAAAGGTTATGGCCACAGACCTGCGTCTGTCGATGAGGGAGGATAATCTCGCGAGGTGCCGCAGGATTCGGGGCAAATGCTATCTCTAATGAGCAGTGGGGACGGCCATTGGTGACTACTGGAGAGCTTTGGCCGCCACCGCCGGACTGGAGTATGGAGATTTCAGTGGGCTGCAGCCAGACAATACATTGGCTTGGGGGGCGGAGCAGACACCCACCAGCGGCGACAACGACGGGAAGAGGTGCCGGATGCATCGCAGAGTCGGGCGCTTGTTGAGCAATGCCAGCGCCCACGGCTGCTACCAAGGCACGACGCAGGAGACGGTCAACAAGAGACGATAGCGCAGACAAATCCTGATTCTGCTAGCAGCGTTGCGGCTCTCGTTCGTTGCGTCAGCCAGGTGCTGAAGGCCTGTTCGTTGCCCCGGCGCACGGCGGCTAACTCGAAGCGGCAAGGTGTATCAGCCATCGTTCGTGCTGCAACCTTCCCAGGTCGGCTCTGCTCGAGTGTCTGATCTCCCAGCAGAGAGGCGCTGTCATCCGACCACAGCCAGTGTCCAAATCGTCGCTCGTTGGACTCGGCCAGACCCGTAATCCGCACGCCCACAGTCGCTCTTGAACCTGCAAGTCGCCCGCTGTTTCTCCATCCTTCACCATTGCGAGGCTGGGCGCCTGCCACCGGAGACGCGCCGTCGCTCAACCCACCTACTACTGACCCACAGTCCCGGACACCTGCCGCGACACTTGCACAATGGCATACCAGCCGCCACACCACTACTACGACGAGCGCGACGTCTCCCCCGTGCAGCCCGACAGCGCAATGATCCCCCCGCCTCCTCCGCCGCACCGCACGCCCGTCGCCATGGACAACTCGTACGGCCAGCCGCAAGGTCCCGGAAGCAACAACTACTCCGACTATTCGCCGCCAGAGATCACGCCCGGCGCCGACAACCTGGGGGCTCATGCGGCAGGCGGAGGCATCAACGGCCTCGCTGCCGGTGTCGCCAGTTCACACGAGAGAGAAAGCGGCGTGCACGCCATGCGAGACATGAACAGCAACAACTACAGCGCCCCCATGGGGGTTCCGCCGCACAACACTCCCTTCGCAGACGCTTACGCATACGATTCACCCACGCCTCCGCGACCGATACACTCGCCCTACAACGTCTCCAACCAGACGCTAGGCTCTGGTCCGTTCGGCGCGGCGGGCGCGTATTCCAGTGCCAGCTCCATGCACAGCTCACAACACAGCGCACCTATATCATCGCCGACCGCCGTGCCCTACTCCGACAACCCCTACACGCGCTACTCTTCGTCGCACTTGGACTTGGCCCCGGCCATGGGCGCCATCGACCCGAATGAAGTAGCAGATGACGACGACTGGGGCATGTCGCATGCACCAGTCCAAAGCAAACGGCAGTCAAGAGGATTGTTTACTCGCGAAGGCGCAGCAGGCGCAACCGTAGGAGCAGGAGCTGCCGCCGGTGCTGCTGCAGGCGTCGCAGCAGCTGGGTCGCATGACGGAAGCGGGAGCTACAATGCTGTACCCACTGGCGAAAATGCTGCCCCTGCAGCAGCAAGAGGAGAGAAATCCGCCTGGCTTGAACGGCAGAACCACGGCCGGAAAAAGCTCATGTGGATAGTAGTCGCGGTCATCGCTTTCGTCGTCGTGGGTGCTATACTTGGAGGTGTATTGGGTACCGTTTTGAACAAGCACGGAGGAAGTGCTGGTTCAGGGAAAAGCAATTCTGAAGCCCAAAGCGACGTTGCAAAAGACAACCAGAACGACCTGTCCATCAACTCGGATGAGATCAAAAAGCTCATGAACAACCAGAACCTGCACAAGGTCTTTCCCGGGATGGACTACACGCCTCTAAACTCTCAATACCCCGACTGCATGCACGTTCCTCCGTCGCAGAACAACATCACGCGCGACATGGCTGTTATGTCGCAGCTTACCAATGCTGTCCGCCTCTATGGAACTGATTGCAACCAGACCGAGATGGTCCTCCACTCGATCGACAGACTCGAGTTGACCGACATGAAGGTCTGGCTCGGCGTCTGGCTCGGCAACAACGACACAACGAACAGCCGACAGGTCTCCACCATGTGGGACATCATCGACAAGCACGTAGTTCCCAAGTGGAAAGACGGGAAAGACCACCAATTCAAGGGCGTCATTGTCGGCAATGAAGTCCTCTTCCGCAAAGATCTTACCAAGACCCAGCTACTCAAGTATATATCGACCATTAGAGACAACATCACCTCCTTGGGGAAGAAGTATAACGTTGACGACACTAAGCTGCCTATAGCTCTCTCCGATCTCGGCGATAACTGGACCTCCGACATGGCCACCCAAGTCGACATCGTCATGTCGAACGTGCATCCCTTCTTCGCCGGTGTTGAGGTCGACAAGGCTGCGGGTTGGACCTGGGACTTCTGGACCGGGCACGATGTAGCACTGACCGCGAACAACGCCTCGATCAAGCAGATCATTGCGGAAGTAGGGTGGCCCACTGGCGGCGGCAACGATTGCGGAGAATCTGACTGCACGTCCGACACCCAAGGATCCATCGCGGGAGTTTCCGAGCTGAACCAGTTCATGGAGGATTGGATTTGTCCCAGCATGAAGAATGCGACTGAGTACTTCTGGTGAGTTCCCTCCATTCCAGGGCTTCAAGCAAAGACTAACAGATACCTAGGTTCTCCGCGTTCGACGAGCCGTGGAAGATCATCTACAACGAGAAGGGCAAGGAGTGGGAGGACAAGTGGGGTCTCATGGACGTGAACCGCAACCTTAAGAAAGGCGTCACCATTCCCGACTGCGACGGCCAGACTGTATCGTGATGACAAATAACCACCATTGCCGCTGCGTTGCGAGCGAGCGGCTGTTACGAATGAGTTGGCGATGCATGCATTCAGCTTGGCGTTCTGCGGCGTTTTATACCGGCTGGTTCTTTTGGTTTTCAATCCGCTCCTTAGCCGGCCTGGCGTCTGGTTTTGCACTTCGGAGGACGGGCATGGTATGTATATGGAAGGAATGGGATTGCTCCGCGCGCCGCTGCGCTGCATCTTAGCAGCACAGCTGTATATGACTATGGCTACGGGAATCTGTGTATATCAGGGGTTTTTTCACAGCGTGGAGTCGGGCATCTTCGTGTAATGGTTTTTTTCTTGGACGTTGAGCGAGTCGATCTTGATTCGGATTTTGCTGATATCGGGAGAGATGATGACATAGCGAGCGATTGAGCGCTTTTTGCTCTGCACAAGAGCTGTAGATAGAGGTGAGATGCAAGGGGGAATATATACGGTTACGAATGAGACTCGTGTGGTACGCGTAATGTGCGTGCGTGATGGGATCCACTTTTGTTGATGGAGACGTACAACGACGTGCGCATGTACGAAAAGCTGTGCAGAGCGTTGATTGTGCAGTGAAGTGGCTTACAGTAGCATTTGGTTGGATGAGTTGCTGGGCCCGGTCCCTGCCTGCCTAGGTTCCAAGGTTGCCTCTGCTACAGGCAGCAATGTGCACCGAGTTTCGAGTTCCAGCAGTGACAGCAGCAATGTGACTGCAGTCTAGAATCCTCTCAAAGAAAAACTTCCAGAATTTGTGCAGAGGGCCATCGAAAAATCCAAAGATGACCACTCAAGAAGGACCGAGCAAGAAGTCGTTGGGCCGATACGGACTGCTCTTGCACTTCGGGGAGTAGAGGAAGAGCAGGCGCTTGCGACGGCGAAGCGAGTAGATTTCGAATGGCAAACGCGTGAGGACCTGCATAACGAGCACGCGGATAGTGTTAGGAAACTCAATGCTCGCCACACTGACTATGTGGTTGTCCTGAGGAATCAGACTAAAGAGTTGGAAGTAGCTCAATCTCAAGGAGCACCGCAGCAGCTGACAGGCAGCATGTCGAACCCAATGCCAGGTCAAAAGAGACAGCCTGACTCATCGTCTGCTGAACCACCTTCTCGGCGAATACGGAGGAACCATGGGGACAATGCTTATCATGATGGTGGTGTGATTATCAGCGACTCGTACGGGCCAGCTAGTTTGTTCACTCAACACCAGATACCCGCTGGAACAGCACAACCCCATCAGGTTAGAGGTCCTGTAAACCATATGAGACAATCAAGTACCCATGAAAGCTATGAGATCACCGATTTGACACTATCCCCAGTCATTTGCGCCGGCGAACAAAGCAAGCAGCGTGATTCTGGACCTCGTCGTGTCCAGGATCGAAGTACCGAGAACTCAGATGACGAATCACTACTCAACAGACACGCTCCAAGAAAGATAGAGTCAAGGTCCACGCCCACAATTTCCAAGGAGAGCCCCCAATCTAGTCTGCAGCCCTCAGGCGATTTACACGTTCTGGAGGGCATATCCCGCAATGAAAATAACAGGAACCGTCAACTGCCTCAAATGATAGCCTGTAGCCCAGCCAAAACACCGATGACTGGAGCTATGCCAGGATATAACCTTGTAGCAAGGACCATAGAGCTACCAGTCAAGATATTGGAAATGGATGGAAGTAATGGCTATAAATGGCGGAATGAAGGTACACCTCGTGACCTTCGTAGAAAATTGGAGATATTACTGCTCAGCCATATCAACGATCGATCGAGGGAACAATACTTCCGGGCCTGGCTGAGAAATCCAAAGGGTTGTGCACTGGCTTATGCTGTTGGCCACAGACCCGGTTCAATCGGTCCCCAGCCGTACACGGCATGCGACAAATGTACCGGGGCAAAAAGACCTTGCGTGATTATGGTGTGGGAACGGGGCTGCCGACAACTGGAATTCAAACTAATTCAGGACTTTCTGAGTAGCGGGACCATTAGCGACGTTGGATTCTATGTGCCGGAAAGGACGGCCTCATCGTGATTGACTGAGACCGAAGATGCCTGGTGCAACTTGACCCAAGTTGCGTATGGTCATGTTTCTCTCAAAACTGACCGTAAGATTATGCTATAGATTGAAATTCTAGATTTCTCCACTATTCGCTTGTGCTGCAAACTATCTAAACAAGCAGGCACCACCACCTACGCATCCGCAACCCAGTCCTCAAACACCGGCCTAACATCCATCAACCCATTCACCTCGCCCCACCTTGGATCCGTCGGCGGACTCCCCACTTTCCCCCTATAATGCCTAAACACCACCTCGGCATCATATGTCGCATACTGCAAACACCGCGGATAATACTGCGTATCCCGCATACTCGCATAGCACGGGTCAAACTCCGCGGGCGTTCCCCCCTCCACCGTGACCCACTCCCACACCGCATTGCGAATCACCTTCTTGCTGAGATTGAACCAGCTCTCGACCCCCGTAGCGTGCGCCCCTGCAAACGTAAAGTTCGAGACGAGGATGTTAGACACGGTGGCAGTGGCGTTGGCCGCCGAGGGCGCAAAGGCGCTGATGGTGTCGAACTGGATAGCCGCACCCATGAACGCGCGGCGACATGTTACGTTTGCCACGGCAACGCCGTCGGTCCCGTGGTCGAACGACACGCAGGTACCGACAGGCCTATCGCTTCCTGTCTGCGCGCCGAAGTCAATGTCCACATTGGCAATGCTAACGTTCTCCACCTTGCCCATCTCAAACGCAAAGTTGTCAAACGACGCGTAGTTGGGATTGATCCCCTCGGCCGTGATCCTCACGTCCTCGAAGCGCAGATTCGAGCTCCCGCCCTGCAGCCGGAACACACGGTCCTGGATGTTCTTGAAGTGCAGGTTCTCCACGCTGACATCCGTCGACCCGTTGGTGACATGCACAAAGGGATACCCGCCCGTCTTCGGACTCCACTTAGTCCGCTGGTACCAGCTCACCGCGTTGCCATCCACCACACCGCTGCCAGTCACACTGCGGATGCGCACGCCGGTCGCGTTGGCGATGGTGAAGACGGAGCGCGTGGCGCCGTTGGCGTAGTACGGGAGCGTGCCGTAGTAGGGCAGCTGCTCCGCCGCGAGGATCAGCGTGCCCTCGATCTGGACATCACAGTGCCGGCAGAGAGAGAAGTCGAGCGGCGTGAAGATGCTGTAGGCTTGGTCGGCGGGGAGGACGATGGTGCCGCCGGCGCCGCACTCGACGAGGGCGGCATTGATGGCGGGGGAGTCGTCGATGGCGGCGAAGCCGTTGGCGAGGGGGGTACATGTGTTGTCTGCGGAAGGTCCCGCGAGGGCGGGGAGTGCGAACAGTGCGAGAGCACTGCTGCATAAGGAGAAGGACCGCATAGCGAATATGTCGTTGCGTTCGAGGGATGTTGGTCTGCCTGTCCTGTCGGTCCACTGGCAGAAAATCATGTGTTGATCATCCACCACTTCTTATACCACCCGGGATAATTTCTACGACTGACAGTTACATCGTAGCATGCACCGACGTCGTATTCCATGCATTGCAATGCAGTTGTAGCATGCCCGGGTGTGATGTTGCTGTTGCTGCAATATCCAGGTTCGCGCGCAATATCCATAGTAGTTGCTGTACCTTTATATTAGCCTGCAGTCCTGGACACAGTTTACACGTTCCTAGTACAGCAATCTTCCTACATCATTACTAAAAAGGAGCAGAGGGTATACGAGAAGCGACCTACTTGCGATCTTAGGCGAGGCATGGCCGTGATCTCAACATCGTATTGCTGGCGGGTCAGTGTTAAGTGACAAGCGTGCTCACGTTGAGAGGCTCGCTAGCCATAATGAGACCATGTATGTAGTATTGCAACAACTCTACCCTACCCCTTTATCTCTACGATGATATATATGCACCGCTTCAACGCACGAAAAGAACAAATCCTAAATCAGGAGCCCAAACATCTCCGATATGCTCACGCGTGAAATCGCCCACGGCTGGATGCTTCGAAATATCACGACTAAATGAAAGTATTTCCGCTGCGTCATTAGAAAAAACCATGTGCCTGAAAATAGTCGAAATTCGCTGTAGGAAGGAGATGCAAGCCAACTTCTCACTTCTTCCACCTGAGCTTACCGAGCGGACCCTTCTTGCTACTGCTCTCGGTCTCCTCCTTCACCTGCTCTTCTTGCGCTCGCTCATCCTTCGTCGGGGGCCTCGGCTGCTCTGCGAACCGGATGCCTGGTGCTCTCCTCGCGGCAGCCCCTTGCTGCGCAGTGTGCGCTCCACGGCCAGTCGCAAGCGGATCACCACCCTCCTCGGCATCAGAGTCAGACTCTGGAGACGACTCGTCGCCACTACCCATACCCAACGCGCCAAGACGACGCTTGCGCTCGGCTGCTGTCTCGCCTTCGTCCATGTGGGACTTGGGAAGTGGTTGAGTTGGATCGATGGTGCGGCGTGCCGAGTTGGAGGGTGACGAGGAGCTTACAAGAGCAGCCATACGACGCTTTTGCTCAGCGGGGGTTTCTTCTTCTTCATCGCCGGAAGCTTGAGGTGCCTTATCTGCGCCCGTGTCTGAAATTTCCGATTGCTCAGCTGCTTCGCGACGGCGGCGCTGGGCTGCGGTTTCGCCGTTGCCCTTCTCCATCGAGAATTTTGCTAGGTTTTGGCGCACATTGTGGAAGGGTATGTCTTCGTCGTCGCTATCGACAAGGGTAAGTCCTTCGGGGCCGCGCTTACGCTCTTCGTCGTGCGCTTCTGGGGTTTCAATCCTGTGGATTTCGGCCTGACCTTCCTCACCCACAACAGGCGGGACCTTTGCAGAAGAAGCGGCGCCTCGACGAGATGCATCCTTCGCATCTTGATGAGCCTCGCGTTTTATACCGTCGGGGACGTTGCTCTCCTGAATAAACTTGGCGCGTTCCTTGGGAGCCATGCTCGACATTTGCTGGATGAACTCAGCTTTGCTCATCCGACGGCCACCGGCTGTGACCGTAAAACGAATGCGTTCGTCGTCTTCATCAAGCTGCATCGGCTTCTTTTTCTTGCCTTCAGTGTTCGTTGGCGCTTCCGCGGATGCCTCGCTCTCATGCTGCTTGTGCGCTGGAACACCCACATACGTTCCCATCTTGCGCAAGCTCATCATCGCACGACCGCCAGTTTCTGCCATAGATCCTTTGCGATCGACACTAGGGCGGTTCTTGGGCTGAGCGGGAATGTCGTACTTCTTGATCACCTCGCCGTCCTCGTCTTCAACAATGATAGTGTTACCGAACTGATAAGCAAGCGCAGGGCCTCGCTTCTCCGGCCGCTGGGCCCTTGGGGGTTCAGCTGGCCCAGCTGCTGTGTGGTGCTTCCCTGAAAAGCTCTCCATCCGCTTACGCCATTTTCCGGGATGCTCTATTGCGTTGACTGCTTTCCCAGGAGCTTCCTCCAGTGCACCGCCGTGTTCAGTTTGTGCGACACCGTGCTCCACATCCCTCTCCCTTCCAAGCCGTATAGCTTCTTGGTTGTCACGTTGCAGCCGCTCTGCTGAGTCTTCGTTTGCGCCACTCTCACGAATACCTAGAACGTTACCCTCTTCGTCCTCAATCACGGTCTTGTCTCCTTCTTGATATATCTCCTCTTCTGACATGGTCCTTCCTTTCTCCCTAGCGGTCGCAGATCCCTCCGGTGATTCGTCACTCGGTCCAGCGAGGGTATCCGAATCTCGCTCTTGCAATGGTGACGTGGTTTCATATGGATCGCGGTTTCCTCTGTTAGGCGCAATTGCTGACGCCGAGATTGGTCCACCTGGACCGCGTCCATTGTCCCAGCCGCGGCCCCTGCGGCGCGCAGAAGGTCGCAGGGAACTGGCACGGCTTGTTCCTTCATCTTCTCTTTGGCGCCGCAGGAATGCAGTCGGTAATCCATCAGGTCCAGTGGTGTCCTTTTCATCGAGCGAGGATTCAGATGGTCGGCGACCAAGGGACATAGAGGACTTGGAACGCGACTGGATACGCGGTAGACGATCCATCCAACTCGGTCCGTCCTCGTTTGCTGTGGTGTAGGACAAGGAAATCGTCAACGTATTGATGTGCTTTCCGAGCGTGAATACTGCTATCGAGCTTCCGTGCACTAGGATACTACAAATGACTAGGAAACACGTAATAGGCCAAATCAGTTCGATGACATTGCGATGCGGAAATCCTGGTGGAGGTATATCGGAGAGCGGTGTCGTTTCCTTAGTCTCCAGTTCTGCTCTTGCCAGGATGGCAACAAACAAACCGCCGACTCCTATGGGACCAAAGTGTCCAGCGAAAAGCGCCTCTCGCCAAGTTTTGATGTCCGGAATAAGAGGCTTAAGTGCAAGCATGATTGGTATACGGCGGAAGAATAGGACGAGCAGACCGAGCACGACCAGTCTCCAGGGCGTGATTCCGAGAACGTCCGAGTTGAATTGCTCCCACGGTATGATGGTGCCAAAGTAAACGAAAAATGCCAAGTTAATTAACAAGTCAATAACGTTGGACACGTGCGACTCCTCTGTCTTTTCGAGAAACCAGCCATCGTTGGAAAAGCCAACTCCGCAGGCAAATCCAACAAGCAGATCGTCCATACCAAGCAGACTTCCGGAACCAGCGCAGAACAGGGCCAGGACGAAATAGAATACGAGGAAACTCTCACGGTCGACTAAGTCGCGGTCGTGTGCATATCGTATAGCACGACGAGCTCCATAGCCGACGCAGACCCCGTAAAAGGCACCAAAGACACATTCGTATAGAATGGTGTAGCAAAACCAATGGAGGGCCACCTCATTGGGGTGATGGTGATAGCGAATGATGTAGATGGCCAGGTATACGAATGGGAAGGCCATGCCGTCGTTGCAACCAGACTCGGCAGAGAGCAAATCTCGCAAATGTTTGGGTACACGCTTTGCGAACTTTCCCTTTCCAACGACGGAGGAAGCTAGGACAGGGTCGGTGGCAGTGACACAGGCGGCGACGCAAAGACTGTCGAGCCAGTTCAGATGGCTCCCAAACATCCACCAAATGAACAGGCTCGTGATCAGCCAGCCAAATGTCATGACCGGAATCAAAAGGAGCGTGACTGACTTCCAATGCTTCTCCATGTATGCGCGGGGCAATTCGACACCGACGGCGAAACATTGTACAACGAGGACAATGCGAGAAAACTCTAACGTGATCAGGTCGACATTACCCCATTCTCTCGGATTGATGAGGTCTGCAGCGTGCGGGCCGAATATGATACCGCATAGTGTTGCGACGGTAGCTTCGCCAATGTATAGCCGCTCTTTGATGACGGACGAGCACAACATGAACAGGCTCGTGAAGCCGCCGAGGATGAGGTACACCAAGTGCGGCTTGGTTATGGAAAGGTGGTCCCACGCCATGGTGTCGCGTCTTGTGAAAGTCTATCGAGGGTATGTGTATCCGGACTCTTGTCCCGGATGGACGGCGAGTGGTACTCGGTGGAACGGTCGCACTCGAGCGGCAGGCGTTCAAGGTCTTCTAGAATAAAGACTGTGAAGGGTGGGAATGCAAACGAGTGCAGACGGCTTATCTGGGCAAGATGACGTCGGCGCCGATATCTGAGGGTGCAGAGGTTCGGCTGCTCGCGCGGTTGGAAGGTGAAGCCTTCGCGGTAGGCATGTATGTAATCGCCCAGTCGCCCGCCTGTCAAAGTGCCGTGGAGGCTCTTTCTGTTCCAGTAGGACGAGGCGGTGGGAGTGGAAAGCGCGGGCCGCGGTGCTCTGAGAAAGAGCAGTGGTCAGTCTCAGTTGCGCAACCAGAGGCAAAGGATGATGCTGGCGAAAATGGTCGGAAAGCTTACGGAAGCTAAGGCGAGCTATCCACTGCCGTGGCACGCTGGAAGCTTGGGACGGAAAAGCCTCGAGGTGCCTTTCTTGCCCTCTGCTTGGGTCGCTACCGGTTGCGGAACCTTGAATCGTCGCGCTGCACACGCAAAACGGGGACAATGCACTCCAATGCGCGACACTGGGCTCTTTGGAGGTCGGAGGGCGCGCTGGAGAGGGCTCGGAGCGCAGAATCTGCAGCAGATATGGGTGACGAAAGCGCGGGATGGCGGCCATGGTTTAATACTAGCGTTTCCCTTCACTCTGGGCGCGCACTTGGCTGACGCTCCGCTTAGTTGCCCGCTCCACCTTCTCATCCGCCGAGCGCCCCACGCAGAAACATGCTTCTCCGCCATGGAAAGACAAGACAGGCAAGCAACTGCGCAGCCGGAACACGGCACTAACATTCTACAAGCAACACATGCGTCCCACAACTCGAAGCTTGCCCCCCAGAAGACACTCCAAAGCGAAGCTTGAGGCCTCGTCAATCTCTCTCCGCTTGCCCAGCCGGCACTAGCGAGCCGAGCGCCAAGTAGGAAACCTCGACGGGCGCGGGAAACGAAACACCTGCATTCGTTCTCGTCCATGGCTGCGGCGTTGCCCACGTGCACCTGGCGCAACTGGCCGACCGTTGCTGAATCTACGGCTCGCGAAGTCTCGTCGCATCACACAATGCTTGCGCTGCAAGCAGACTGCACGGCAACTGCATAACGACTGCAGCCAAAAGATGCGTCATGCTATCGCCCACGAATCAGGCGAGTGCTGTTGGGCGCTGGCGTGGGGTGCGCCGCGCCAGCAGTAGCTGGAGGCTCTGGTGCACGGGTTCTAGAGAAGCACGTGATCACGTGGAGTGGATAGAAGCCAACCAACGCACATAGAGAAACATGTACGGGCACATAGAAGCTGTAGTGCTGAAGACGATATTGACATGCGAAGCGCTATATACACGGACGCCGCCATGTTAAACACAGCATCCGCCAGCCCCAAAAGCGAAGCACTGAATAGATACAATCAACACTTCCTTGTCAAACCCCTTGTCACCGGTCAAGATCCATGCAATCCCACCCGGGACCCGAAAGCACGTTGCCTATGCAAACGACAGTACTGGGATATACCCACCTGAACACCTCCGGAACTAGCCCGGATGCAAAACATGAGCAAGAAGCAAACAAAACAGAAATGACGCCTATCCGAGCAAGTGTCACGAGAAACACCACTGAAAAAAATTATGCAATGCTTTGGCCGTTTGAATGACCGTACCAAGATCCTCCTTTTTACATTCCGGGGTCGTGTCGTCATGAGTAAATGTCATTATTGGCCTGTCAGTTGCCGACCGGCAGCCAAGTTCGCCGCTCGTCCAGAGATCGGCTGTGAATACGGCTTCCTGGCGTTAGAGGGATTTCGACTCGACTGCGCCCGCCTGTACCGTCCCCAGACTCGCCTTCGCTGTCATCGTCGTATGCTGATAATCTGGAAAAGTAATCCGCCAATCCGTGCGTCGGTGAAGCAATAGTTTCGTAAAGCGGGGGAGGCGTCTCCAGTGGTGGTGGGGGTTCCTCCTCCTCGAAGGGCGGTGGATTGAACGAAGGTGCTCGTAGAAGATGCATTGGCCGTTGTAATTGAGTATCCGTTGGGCCACCAATGTGGGCTGCCTGGGGTCGTGCAAGCGCTGGGCTAGGGATCGAGAGCTCTGAGTTGTCTCTTGAGCGTCCCATAGAGCCCAGTGTTGGCACAATCGAGGGAGGTGAAGTACGCCGCACAGGCGCACCTGGACATCCACATTGCGGCATCTGGTGGTCTGCGTTCGGAGCTTCGGGAGAACTGTAGGCAGGAAGAGCGGTGTTTGCCTGCGTAGCTTGGCAAGAAAGGATATGGAACGGCGAGTCGATAGAAATTTCAAAGTGACGTCGCTTTGTTGGGTCGTTCGCGTCCGGTTTTGAAAGCCGCATTACAATCTTGATCCAATGATGTACCTGTATGTTCTGGTATGTTGTGTCAAAGTGGAGCCTGCTGGCCTTGTCTTTCTCCCTCATGTTGTGGCAGCTTGGCAATTGAACATTGAATTCCATCTCTGTAGGTCCAATGTTGGCATCTCCAGTCGATAGGTCGCCTAGCAGATTGGTTGGGTCTTGAACTGTAACATCTTCTCCACGTGAAGCAGCTGCTCTCTGGTCATACGGAACACCACCTCCAGATACGATTCGCATAGTGCTTCCGGGGAATGTGCTAGTCGCAGGGCCATCTGCTCGCTTTTCGAAGAGCTGCACTTTCCGAACCGGTTCCATCCGGTGAACGCGCTTGTTGGAGCAGAAATACTCGACATTCTCGGTAACAAGAACTTTGATCCTGTGGCATTGAACTTTTGCAAGCGGTGTCAGCTTGAAAGCGATCGGTACTTGAGCTCCAAGCGGGAAAGATTTGCCGGATATGACAATGTCGTAATGTAATTGATCTTCCCAGCTTCGGCTAATGGCTATCGGTTCGACTTGCTCTAGCGAGCCTTCTGCTGGAGCGCGAATGAGAGTCACCTCTTTAGTCCCAACGAGATTAGCACGAAAAGCCCCCGCACGCTCAATCGTCGCCTCAAGTTCATACTTGACGGAGCCGAGCTCAACATCAATCGTCTCCGGTAGGTGGCTGTCCAGTGGTAACTCAAAGTTGTACATGTATGTTCCAGGGTTGAAGCTTCGGTAGCCTTTTTGTGCGACAGTTGGTCCACCTGACGGTGATTCGCCTTTACCGAAACTGCGCGATTGATTTACCTGGAGAGACAAACGTTTCGCTTCCTTGGTACTCAAATTTGTAGATGACGCATTGGGCGAGTTTGTCGACCCAGGCCTTGAGGCTTGGAGATTCGTGGATGAGCCTTTGAACAATTCAACTTGATCCGCGCCTGTCCCAGCCTCGGCAGTGGGGAATTGAGCGTTGAAGAAGGGCCAAGTGTGGCTCATAATGGTATCGATTTCTTCAAACTCGGTCTTCTTGGGAGGGATACCTGTGGATGTTAGAACATGCATGTTCACTGTTTGCCAACTTTGCGCTTACCCTCAGGCCATTTCGTCAGAGCCTTTCCACGGAACTTGAGCGTGATGGCCTTGATCTTGGTCGGCTTCGTGATCTTGAGGTTGAGTGTTCCACGAAGCATAGCTGTGCTACGATCCGACGAATCAGACTGCTCGAAGCCCTGCAGGAAGAGCACAGGCTCGGTGAGTGTGACACCAACACTGACACCATTTCCAGACGCCAATGGTTTATCCTCAGCCAGTGTCTTTACACTACTGCTCATCATGCTCTTTACTGACGACCTCGCGGACGATCGATGGCTCTCCACCAATGCGGGTCGAGGGCCGCCCACGGCACTGAGGCCAATGGAGCCTCTCGGGGTAGATCTCATCTCGCCGGTCGCAACTGACCACCTCCTACTTTCAGGTGGGGACGCGTTGGGAGTACTCGCACCACTCGTCGAGGATCGGGGCGTAGTGCCAACGTCGGGCAATGGGGGAGGGTTCGCAAAGCGCGAGTCAATGAAGGACCGAAGGAAACGTTTGGCGTTGTCGCGTGGGCCTGCCAGCTTTTCGAATATGTAGGATTTGGTGGTGGTTCGGCGTCTGAAGAGTAGAGGATCAGGTGCCACGCGCGCAATGTGAATGCGGTGGGGTCTGCGATTGCGGCCTTGGAAGAGGCGGCGACGTGTGCTTTCTGGGTCGTGTAGGTGGTCGGGTATATACGAGAGGTGTCCGCGGTCTGTGTAGATGGGGAGGTAATCTCCAGTAGCTGTCATGGTGGGTAAGCGGTGTGTTCAGGCGGGGCCGAGGGCAACAGCGGAACAGCAAGACATAGAGGAGTCGGCCAAGAAGCAACTGCGGTGACGAGAGGAGCATGTGTGGGCAGGATGGCTGCTTTTGTTTGTGCGACAGCTCATCAAAGTGCAGAGCGGTGTACAAAGTAGATCCTGGCTACGGTTGCAATGCCATGTCCTGGGGTAGAGGATGTTTTGGGAAGGGGTTGCAGTCCAACGCTCCTTGCCGAACAAAGGGACCCAAACAAAATAAGACAGGGACTCACTTCAAAATGTACTCAGCGTAGTGCCATAGACCTGGTACTATCCGGATTTAAGGAGGACAGGAGACGCAGTTGGTGCAGCGATCAGGCGTTGGGTGCGGAAGCGTGCGGGAAGACCCTGGGGTTGGGTGATGAGTTGGCGGCGACGAAAGGGCATCAGTCAGACCGCGCATCGGATGACCAGGGCCTGCAATTAAAGGGACGCCGAAACTGGGCCGTTGGAAAGGTCTTTCGAACCAGGGCACAGGGTTGTCGTCGCGCAGGACAGATGACGCAGTGTGGGGTTGGAAAGGGCAGGGGCGCTGGAGACTAACGGCCGCGTCAGGATCGCAGGTGCTTGCTGCGGCCAGAACACCACGGCACTGACGGCGGCGGATGCACCGCGGACGCAGGCATTGTGCGTCTTTTTTACTGCAAGCGTGAGACGGCCGCAGATGGAGGCGCCGGATAACCGTGCTGCCAACAGTACGTCACGGTTTGAGATTTCAAGCGCGCGCACTGTCTATTTGGTGCCAGCATCTCCGGGCTAGCGTCCGCATGCGCCGGATTACTGTACTCGACGTGCAAGTTGCGGTACCTTGGGCCTCTGGGAGGGCGTCGGACGCCACTCCCATCGACGCCGTTGCTGTGCAGTGTCTGCGCGAGTCGAGATTCCTGGCTGACGAAGACATCTGACTGAGCCACGCTGGGCAGCCGCACATCATCTCTTGCGGGCTGCGAGTGCGCGTATCAGCCACGGCACCGATGCACACACAAGTCATGATCATGACATGCCTTTCTCTGGGCTGCTCTGGCAGCGAGGCGCAGAGTGCTGCCCAGGGCAGGGCAAGTGAGCGATAGCAAATCATGTTTTATTTCCGTGCTCGACAATGCCAGGTTGGGCGACCACATGTTGGCAGAGAACCAAATGGCGTAAGTGATCGGCGGTCTGGACATCTCGAATAGGCTGCCCCATACCGATCCTGCGATGGAAGACGTGCGGAGATCGACAGCGAAAAACATCGGCGACGTGCTGCGCTCTTGGGCATCGTCAAAGTGCAATGGAGGAGGGAACCTCCTTGACGGCTCATCATGACAGCTCCGCGCAGTAGTCCTGGATTATCGTCATCAAATCAAAGGCGCACAACAGTGCGCAAAGGGGGCCGTGTAGCAAGCAGGCACGGCTCAGATCTTGCAGCAAGATCTCGCTTGATGGTGCCTCCGGAACATTAATGGCCCAAGCGATCACGTGCCCCCGCAACGCGTGTCCTTGGCGCCGGACGCGACTTGACAGTGCAAACAGCCTAGGGCACGCGACGTGATGGGCCACCCCATGCATCTTTCCGCGCAATGAGCACAATCACCGGGGCATACGGTAAAGGCATTTCACAGCATGTTATAGCAACATCTAGCTGACTCCAAGCAGGCACCAGCCAGATGCCCCTCGCCGGGGCCATTCTGTGCTTTACCTCCGTCGCCCCAGAGCAGCGTGTACGCATCCCGCTCCACCGACTCGAGTCTCGATATTGTCGCTAATGCAATGCCATAGACAGAACTCTCAGTCATTGGTGCGCAGATGGGCGCGCAAGTCAAACTCGACCTCACCTCAGATGTCACCCATCTTGTAGTCGGCAACACCAATAGCGCCAAGTATCGCTATGTCGCAAAGGCACGCGAAGACGTCAAGGTCCTTTTTCCGGAATGGATACATGCAGTGCAGAAGGTCTGGATGACAGGTGAAGACGTAAACGTATTGGAAGTTGAGGAGCAGTGGAGGTTGCCACCCTTCTACGGCCTCAGGATATGCCTGACTGGCTTTGACAATCGTACGACTGCGACGCTCATCGAGGGGGTCATGTGCTGATTGTCAACAGCCGAACAACGCAAATACATACAGGAAACGGTCACAAAAAATGGCGCCGAGTACCACGGCGATCTAACAAAGGCCGTCACGCATCTTGTCGCAGCCCACCCGTCGGGAAGCAAGTATGAGCACGCCGTCAACTGGCGCATGAAGATTGTCACATGGGAATGGTTCGAGCAGAGCTGCGAACGTGGCATGGCCCTAGATGAGGCCTATTATCATCCTACAATGGCGGTAGACGAGCGGGGCGTTGGGGCGTGGGACCGACGTAGGAGTACCTCACCCATGCTTGGGAAGCGCATGCGAGCAGCTGAGCAAGTCGAACCGATCCTCAATCCTTCACGACGAAAGCTGCGACGTGCTGCAAGTACCCGCCTCAGTGGTCAGACCGAAGCCTTATGGGCTGGGATCACCTCCGGAGGCTTGGAGAAGAAACCTGACGACGGAGACGACTGGACCGAAGACAGTATCGCTCAGCCAGACCGGCAGCCCGAAATCGAACACCGTACCACGCCAGTAGTTGAGTCACGCGATGGCATGCAGCCAAGGAAAGACCCTGCATCGCGCCCTCGCGGCCCTTTCTCAGACGACCATGATGGGATATTCTCAGGCCGAGTAGTCTTTTTACGCGGCTTTGATAAAAATAAAGTACGTATCTGCTGACAAAATAGCTACAATGGTTTCCAGCGCTCACTCAGAAGCAGACCAACATCCTACGAGAGCATCTAGACAGTAATGGAGCTGTAGTGGTCTGTGATGCAGCGGAATTAGAGAAGTTCGCTGCGGATGACCTCGGCGAAGGTTTCGTGTTAGTTCCTCACGATGTTCAACCTGACCTCACATCACTTCCGGATGCTGCCGGAGCCATGTCGATGGTGACTAATTGGTGGGTCGAGCGCTGCCTCCACGGGAAATGCCTAGTGGACCCCACAGACTTCGTTCTGTGTAAGCCATTCGATAGACTCAGCATTAGCAGTGCGTTGACCCCTCGTCGGATGATGTTAGTGCACTAATGTTATGCAGGGTTAGCAGGTCTTACAATTAATTCAACCGGCTTCACGGGAATCGAGTTATTGCATGTCACGAAGGCAGTGGCAATGTTCGGTACGGAAATAAACCTTGCATGTATTGAGTGTCGCTAATTGTTGTAGGGGGAACATACGACGAGATCTTGTCGCCAAAAGTATCGGTCTTGGTCTGCCGCAATGACAAGCCAAACCGTGATAAGTTGAAATATGCTGCCGACAAACATATACCTGTAGTGCATGCGGATTGGCTATGGTCTTGCATAACAAGCTTTGAGGCTCAGCCCTTTGATGCGTATCTACTCAAGGCTGTTCCATCACAGTCACCGCAGCTGAGACGGAAGCCGAATGATTCTTCAAACAAGGTTGTGCCCACTGCGCCTCTTTCGAAAGAGGATAGCATCAAGCTCCAACAGAAAAAGGCCCAAAAGGGTCGGCTGGGTTTCGATACTCGGAGCAATTCACGACGTCCGGGGGCACTGGAGCTATCAGCGTCTGGACCTCCAACTCCGTCTACTGAGGGCTCGTCCACGAATCCAAACACAACTAACAGTCAATCTAAACCATCTAGCTTAGCATTTGAACAGGCTGCGCAATTTTCGGAGAGCTATGACGGCACAGCCTCGCTCCCTCTACAGGATGTAGACGTAAACTCTCCACGCAAGCGCTCTACTTCATCCACCGATTCAGCAACGTTCTCCAAACCAGCAGACCCATCCGGGAAGCCGGCGCCGGCACAGCGGAACACTAAGCTCGTCAGACAGCCGTCCCCAGACTCCGTCATCCCGCCTGATACCGAACGTCCAGCCGAAGCCGAGGCACCGATCGCACCGCCCCCAGAGAAAGACTATTCCGACATCATGTCAAAATTACTTGCGAATCGGAAAATGTCTGTTCCCCTGGAGAAAGAAGAAGAGAAAGGCCGACGGAGACGGCGTCCACTGGGCCGTGCGCAGTCTGGACGCTCAAACACTTCAACTGCTGATGACCCGCTCTCCCGACCATCTTCGGCCAGGGTCGTTGAAGAAGAAGAGATGGGTGAGGAAGACGGTCATGTGCTGGAAGCTTTCAAGCCGCCGGAGCCGAGTCAGATGCTTGGGTGGGACTCGCCTGGAGCGCAGAGGGCGAGGGAGAAGATGATTCGGGCGATTGGGGGGAATCTCGCGACCGAATCGCCTGCTATTCAAGAGACAAGGGCTGTTAAGGACGCGGTGACTGATACATCACTAAGCATGGGCAGAGCGAGCAGGAAGAGAAGATAATGTGGAGGAAGTCATAGTCATGGAGAGATCTGTCGTTTTGAGTAATGATGAGACTAATTCTGTAAAGCGATCGAGGCATAGCAACGGCGTTCATGCACACGGCATAGCAAGGCGTTCGAATACTACAGATGCAAATGCATGCCATTACAAGTGATTACACCACGCTAGCTGTCCGATTGTCACCTTCCAGAACGGTGTGACGATCATAGGATGCCAAGAAACAATTGTCGTTCTTGTCGCTTGTCTGAAGAAAGCTGTGTCCAAGGAACAGCCTCGCAGCCATCAGTCTTTCAGCCCATACGTAACCTTTAATCTCCGATCCAAATGTTCCTTCGCCGTCAATACCTCGCCCCCTCCACTCCCACCCAGCCCCAGCCTCTCCCTCTGACTCTTCAGCTCTTCCGCCCCTTTGTCCCCAAACGCCTCAATTACCTCACTCGGGACAGCTTCCAGCCTCGCCGAATCCAACGGGTGGCAAAAGTAAGCCATGCTATACCGCTCCTCCCTACCGCTGAACGTCACACGATGCACGGTGCTCTTCAACATCCCGTTCGTCCAGAAACTCAGCAAATCCCCTATATTGACCAGGATGGGCGGGGTTACTAGGTCGGGAGATGGATTCACGGGCACAGGCGCCCACGTCTGGTCGGGCTTGAGGATCTCGAGACCGGGCTGGCCGGGCAGCCGGAAGAGCAGAGTTATGCTCCCGTAGTCGGAGTGCGCGCCTGCGCGGATCGATGAAGTCGGTGTTGCGCCGTCCGCGTGCATCTTCGGGTAGTACAGCATGCGGAAGGTGGTGCCGCTTGGACCTTTGGATTCGTTGTGTCGGTCTGCGAGCCACCGCTCTCCTCCCTCCTTCTCTTCGATCTGCAAAGCGGTTCCAAGCAGCGTGAGGATCCGGGTACAAATTGCATGGCACGAGTCCAGGAACTTTCTAATTTCAGCGGACGAGTCCGAGAGCGGGGACGGCAGGGGCTGCAGCTCTGGATGCGGCGGTGAAATGTTGAATGCTTCTTTGGGATCGCCTGGATGTGAGGGGTCGAGCGCTTCGCCGGCCATGGTGACCCAGCCGCGATTAATGCCGCCGGCAGCTGCGGAGTGGATAGCGTGTGTGGACTTTCGGGCAACGGGTTGTGAGAAGAATTGCGCGGAGAGGGCGAACATGGCGTTGACTTGTGCTCGGGGGAGGAGGGAGTCGTCTTGTTGGACGAAGAGGAAGCCGTGGGTTGAGGCGGCGGAAAGAACTTGTTGTGCGACATCTGGGGCTTGGGAGGAGATGTCGATTATGGGTATGTTGGGGTCTTTTGGGTCTGGTTGTGGCATTTTGAGGTTTGATGTTATGGGAGTGTAGAATCGTGACGATGGCGGCGTGATAGTAGATAAGAACTAACGAAGATGCTCAGAGGTGATTCTCTAGATGCTCAGAACTAAGACATAAACAGATTGGAGATTCAGTAATACACGTCCTATTGTGCGATCCAGAGGTGGCTTAAACTTCACAGTATTTCTGCGAATCTACTATCAGAATATAACTCGAGAAGTTGCGAGTCTGTGTAACAGAACTGGGCCAATGGAGGGGTTCCCGCTCGCACCAAACAGCTTGTGGCTAGGCGATATGCACGGTCCAGGCGTAGTGCGGGAGCTGGTGCAATTGTTTGGAGCTCCAGGGTCTCACGACCACAGCAACTTGTAAAACCACCGCCCGTCGTATCTTTCTTCCCAAACCTCCTCTTTGACCAGGAGACAGACTTCCCGCATCCCAGCCGCCCTCTTCCCTTGCATGGGGCGCACCGCTCCAAAAGTCTCCTGCGCACACTGACGACACCCCCGCGCCCTCTCCGCACCGCGCAATATGATTCGCGACTTCCAGACATGGAATAACACAATCGGCGAAGCGTCGCAGCTGGAAGACCTGCGCGGTCTTCGCGTCGGCATCGAAGCGGCCCATTACCTCGACCACCGCCTTCTCAATCGCAAAAGCATCTCCGAACCGCTTGTACCTGCACTGGGCGGTCTGCCACTGGGCTTTTGGCTGCACATTGAGGAGGATCTCGACAAATTTGCGACTTTGCAAATAGAGCCGTTCTTCGTCTTCAGCGGCCTCGACATTGCCAAGCAGGATGACCCGTTCAGGGCGAGGCAGGAGGGTGCGGCAGTCAATGCGAATGCGTGGCATTTGTACGACAGTCACGAGGCGGAGAAATCGGTCCACAAGTTTGGCCAATCTCGTAGGTCAACCGTACGCGCATATCTGTTGGAAATAGCTGACAGCCAGTAGCCTACGTCACCCCCGAAGACCTCTTTGGTGCACTTCAGACCGTCTTGACCAAGAAGAAGATTCCCTTCATGGTCGCACCATACAGCGCATGGGCTCAGGTCAGTAAACATCCGCATTGCCGCGGTTTTTATGCTTACAAATGGTAGCTATCCTACCTTGAGCGGGAAGAGAAAGTCCAAGCTATTTCCGGGTCGTCTGAAGTCCTCCTTTTCGACTGCGACCGAGTCATCACCTCTTGGGATCTTGAAGAGGGCGTGTTCAAGTGGATAAAGCGCGGGAAATGCGTTGCCGACCTGAGGAAGTACGTGCAAAATGCCGACATCGCCGACGACACCTTCGTCGACGCGTGCCTGCTCGCTGGAAGTCACTTCCTCCCCACACTGCCCAATCTGGACGGCCCCAACAACAGGAACAAGGTGTCAAAGATCAGCGGGGCTATTGAGATGATCATGAGTCAGGGCAGGTCGGGTCATGCGGTAGTGATGAACAATCGCGATGATCCGATTTTTCAACGGACGAACTATGTGGATAGATACCGCAAGGCTCGTCTCGCTGTGAAGCATCATCCTATCCTCACAACTGATGGCAAGATCCAACCCTTGCTTGAAGGACAGCTTCCTAACGATTCGTACGAATTCATAGGGCAGCGTTTACCAGACGAGGTCTACTACTACATGTCGCGGGGCTTGATCAATTCGCGTGTCCTCAGTTGGCGAGCGGCCAGTGAGATCGTGGAGGCACCACCAATCGATGGTGGAGATGGCGTTGCGTACCAGGACTTGGTCAGCACCAAGCTCACCCCACTACGCACAACGGCAATCAATCTGTTATCCTCGTCACTTCACAACTGGTATCAGCACAAGGATATCGACCTGAAATGCTGGTTCAGGGTAGATCAAACTGGCAAGCACCAAGCAACTACCATCAGCATGAACGGTCTGCCAGAGTGGCGCAAGAGTGTGGACACCTGGAATGTGAAGGAAGCCACCTTCAAGGATGTTGTGTCCAAGTACAAGGTATACAAGGTGTTGGTCCACTTTATATATCGATGCTGATTTGTCAAGCCCGCCGGTCACCTCGGCTCTGCGATCCTAGCTCTCCAGGACTCCGACTTCGTTACAAAATCTGTGTCTAAGAAGGATGTGAACAATGTAAGCAGATTCACCCATGGCCGGGCCTCCGCTAAGTCTTTATAGCCCCTCAGCACGACGGATGAGATTTTGTACAACTCGATCTGGCGATTCCTCGCGCTTCGAGAATATATCGACAACAACCACAATCTTACTGCATGGGGCAAGGTTTTGAAGACTGCCATTGCAGCGCTCCAGGGCAAGTCAGAATTAGAGGAGGCTACGGTTGTTGCGATCGAGCTCATCCGCCAGGGTGTTCTTAACTGGGAACTTGATATGTTCCCTTACAACGGCGCTCCCATGCGCGGCGAGAGTATGTGTATCCACTACATGAAGGAAAGCGATTAACAGCAAGCAGCCAGGGACAGACAGTTCAACCTTCTCGTGTCAAGAGTAGCAGGACTTGGCAACCTCCGGCACAAGGCTATCGGGTTTACGGGACCCCTCAGCCAGCACTTGCTGGCCTACGGCTCTATTGTCAACCTAGTACGACAAACTCTCCGCGATCTGGTCGAGGTTGCTGCAACGCACATGTTTATGGGTGCCTTCGCCAAGCGTGACCTTACCAACCTTTCGGAGATCGCCATGAAGTAAGTTCACATAGAGTAATACCTGTAGGTCATACTAACATAGCCAGTCTTCCCTTCCTCCTGTCGAACAATTGTGCCCTTAGCATCGCCGTCAAGTCGTACCTCGACGAATTGTACACCGATAAGGACCCCACCGCGACCGAGACTAAGGAGCGCGTTCGCGAGACGGCGGCCAATCGATACTTCCCGCAGGCCACGGACCTCGTTGGTGACCTCCACACTGCTGGCGAGCTATGGGATGCAGTCTACGATGGAGTGAAGAGCTCGGGCAGTGCGCTGAAGGAGTCAGAGAAGAAGCAATGGGCCGAGGCCAACGAGTGGTTCGCTGCGCGACGATGAGTGAAGCAGAACAACAATCTTGGTGACTGCCTCTACAAGAAGCTAGTGCTGGACGGGAACTGTACAACACCGGCATGGAACGCTTCAAAACGCGTGATGGGTCGGAATGCTGAACAGCACCTGCACAAGGCCGCTTGCGACAATAGTGCGTAGGACGCATAGAGCTGTTAGCTGAGCCTGCTGCTTGTGCGCATGTAGAAAATGAACAACACTGATGCTATCATATCTGTATGCTCCGTTCTCGAGATTGCCGTGGTCGCCCCTAACGTGCATTTGTCCCTCCTTTCGGACAGTCGCACCGACAGCCCGCGCTTCGTCACCCTTCATTGTCACCTTCACCTGGTTGCCCACCCTCCAAGCCTGCCTCCTTCCAAACTTGCGATACTTATACGTGGCCGTCCGTGCTGACGTCGCGCCAGCCACCATAAGAACGCGCGCCTCTCCCACTACTTGTCGCGTTCTCTTTTCACGCGCCCTGCCCCAATATCCTCTGGCTCGTGTCTTCGGCTGCCCCTAATTACCAGTTGATGACAATCTTCTGATCCCTCCGCTGTTTTCCCTATCACCATTGACCCACGTCTTTCATCCCTGTTACCCTCTGCTGACTTAGGTCTTGCTCCTGTTCTATCTATCGACTTCTTTCCGAACAGGAAGCCGCACCCGCCTGCATTTGCACTGCGCGGAGCTAGATGTGGTTCTGGGTTTCCGCAAGGCGCGCCGGTGGAGGCAACTTCTGCTGGACGCTCAATTGAAAGCTTTGCTTTGTTTGACCCATTGCATTGATACTGGTGGCGAGGCTGCGGCGTTTGGAAAGGGGCGCTATGTTAGTAGGTGTGAGGGTATGGCTTTCTTGACTTAGACCTGCCAGGGCATCGGGAAGGTATTCGGCTAGCTGCAAAGATATCTAGGCAAATGACTGATGACATGGTGTTTGACTTCACATACGGCTTTTATATACGCCTTGCCTTTGTGCTCTGTTTGACCTTGCCCTGCGTGTGCCCGTTTAGACCCTTGATTAGGCCCACCTACGTTGGGAATGAGCGATCTGATCACGCCTTCAGATTCCACTCAAGTGAACAGGAAGGCACTTGAGCCACAAGCACGTGCCCGCCGCTGTCTCTTTCAGCGGCACCACCTGTCACCTTCACTCACGCTGCCGCTTCTCTATCTATATAAAGACAACCCTCGCCCCAAACACTCCCAGTGCCTCACACCAGTCCCGATACCCACTCCATCAGAGACTATCCGATACACCAATCCGACACCCACTTTAGCAAAGACCCTGCTTTCCGCCAATCCAACAAGATGGCTCGTCTTTACTTCTACCTTCTCTCCTTCCTCGCTGTGGTGACTACCGTCACGGCCCTCCCACAGCGCCCGCTCATCGACAGCATCGATGCCCGTGATCCTCAGCGCCCGCTCATTGACGAGCTCGACACCCGCGACCCTCAGCATCCTCTCATGGACTCAATCGACAAGCGAGACCCTCAGCGTCCACTTATCGACTCAATCGACCGCCGCACCGCCAATGAAGCTGTCGTCGCTGACGGAATTAGCAAGGCTTGCGGTATCGCCTACTTGACCACCACGCCCGATAGCTACGTCTTCCTGGTTGCGAACACATGCGGCTTGGTTCACCCGGATGTCGGTGTGACGTCCTACCGGGCGGTGAATGAAGACTGCAAAACCTGCTGGTTCTTCGAGTAAGTGAACCCTCGCTCATGCGAGCTGATTCTGCTAGCGACATGCTGACACGTAAACCTAGGAACGCTGGTTGCACGGGCGGTATCGCCTGGCATGGACTGATTGCTCCCAAGGAGGAAATCTCTTTCCCTCCTGCCCGCAGCTATATTTGCCGGGTTTGAGGCATCTCTCGCTCCACTACGCACAATGTCGGTATGATTGATCCCAGGCTGGGCGAGTACTGCCTAGGGAAGGTGGAGATATATGAACGACGCTGAATTCATGGACAACATCGAGCTATTTGATAAGATCCCGAGTATGCATAAGGAGTGCGATATGACAACGAGTATGTAGCGCAATTGAATTTCCTTCTCCACAACCCTTTTGGGTCTTCTTCTTCACTTGCTTCATCGATTCGGACAATAGCGCATTCCAGTGCGGTCAGGCGCCAGTATGAAGGTTGTGATGCCCTGTGGTACCTGCTTGCGACATTGACTCCCTCTTACGCTCGACTTTCTATCACTGAGCCGGAGTTTCTGTCCAGCGTCGCACCAAGCGCAATTGTCCTGCCGTCAGCTTTCTACCTTCGAGCTATTGGACCTTCTGACACGATGAAATCCCCGCACTGTCACATGTTCTACACCCGATCGGTATGTCGACGCTCGGTGCGTTTGCTATCTGCGCGGCAACTAGCTGTGGGTCGTCTTCTGCCCTATCGGCAGACGTTCGCCAACATTGTGTCGAAGGCGTCATCGTCAGGGCCGACATCTGTGGTTGTCCGCGGCTCTCGTGCCACTGAACTCGTTCGCCCGCTCGCTGTTGAAGCCAAGTGATAGCCTTCGATTCGTAAAACCTTGAGTACAACGTTCATCCGGCATGTCTTCGTGACGTGCTGGCTCTTCCAAAGAACTTGCTCACCTTCTTTTTGATAGTCTATTGCGATTGCTGGCTGCCAAAATGACAGCTCGAGTGTTGGGCGAAGCCGCGGCCGGGGATGTCGTGGGTCCGAAGTAGGATTTGCGAGAGAAGGATGAAAGGAAGGGGCCCTGCTCCAATTGCCGAGATATCTTGCAATATCAGCTCTACAGCCACTGGAAATCGTTTGCCTCTCTTGCGAACCCCGAGACTAGGACTTTTCCCCAAGTCTGAGTGCTCTCCACCTTCACTTTCACAGGAAGCACAACTCATTCTATCCTTCATTCCGAGTAAGTGTCTGTTTTCTAGAGTGACTTCAATTCTAACCGCCTTTTGGATTGTCTACCAAATACTACTCCTTCCAACAATACCAGGCCCAAGACCACTCTTCCAAGATGCACTCCATCATCATCTCCATCCTCTCCCTCCTCGCCCTCCTCTGCCCCTTCACAACCACCAGCGCCCTCCCCCAGCGCAAACACCCCCCGGTCTGGAACATTGACAACTCCACCCTCGTCGAAGCCGGCATCCTCGGCGAAACCCACTCCGACATCCGCTTCTCGGCTGTCACAAACTACCCCAACAGCCACATCACGAACAACTACGGCGCGTGCGCCTCCGCAGGCCCCGACCCGCGCTATCTCGAGAACGACCCCAACTCGTGGATGGTCTCGCTCGACGCCAGCGTGCCCAATTGGCAGAGCTACTGCGGGAAGAAGGTCCGATTGACGGCGCCGGATGGGCGTACGGCCGAGGCGACCATCGTGGATAAGTGTCCTGGATGCAGTATTGGTGGAGCGTACAGTCTGGATCTGCTTGAGGCGCCGTGGAATGCGGTGGGCGGGAAGACGTCGGCGGACAATGTGTATGGTGCTAAGTGGGAGATCATTGGGTGAGAGTGTATCTCGACTTGGTGGGTTACTGGGTGAGAGTGTTCTCGGTGTGGGCGCCCCCGTGTAACTAGCTGCTGCCCGACTGTGAAATGCACTGCTGAAGAGGAACACATTTGGAAGAGTTCATCTTGCGGGAAGTCGTCCAGGTGCTATGGACCTGGTTTCTGACCCCTTGCAAAGTGTGTCGGAAACATGTACTTTTCGCTTGATGTCACGATATGTACGTAACAGCACACAACTGTGCTGCTGCGCTACCTCTTCATAAGAGAGTCCGCGCTCGGAGCTCTCGTTCATGGTATTGTCACTATCGAAGTCTCTCTTGTTTGTCGAAAACCAGATGGATGAACCGATTCGGATACTGGGTGGAGGAATTTGATCCGGACCCGCTACCGGATCTTCGCCCGTTGCTGTACACTCGCCGCAGGTGCAGATCAGCAAGGATGCCCTACCGGACGTGAGCTGTTCTAGAAGCTCGTTCTTTCCTCTTGCCTGCTTGAAAACATGGATCCTGGTCCTCGTGCCAATGGGGCGTCGGGTTATCATCGATAATAGATCCATGTGGAATGCCAATGCGCCTACAGCACGTTGTTCGTTTGGGGTTAAAGTAGCTGGGAAGCTCATGTGTAGGGTGTTCGGTAATCTTTCCTTGAAGAAGAGTAAATATGAATAAAACTCTTGGATCCGTTGGTCGCTCATGTCCAGAGCTATGCGGGGATCCAGCTCTCCGAGCCAAAATAATAGCACATTGTGGTTCCTTATACTGGGTACTAGGTCATGCCAATTTACGTGGCGCTCGCTTCCCCGGGAATGTTGTATTTCCAGAGCCATAGAAACATCGGGACTATTGCCTACTAGTTCAGTCGAAATTTCCCGAATTTCTGCCAACTTTAGCCTGTCACTTTGAGAAAGTACACCCTCCAGCAGTTGGGCCTCGCTTATCGAGAAAACGGCAAGGTTGATCCTTAATTGGATAGCCAGATGAGCCAGATTATTTAGTATTCCGGCTTGAGAGAGCTTGACATCGAAAGGGTAGTCGTTAACGGACAATTGCTTTCGGAGAGCTGTCAGAACGTCATGCAGCACGATTTCTACCGGCTTCTCGTAGTCTACCACGAGATCTATTTCATGAGTCACGAGCCCGGTCAGGCCGTAAATCTTGTCCCTCGTGTCCTTACATTGCCAATCAGTAAAGCGCTGTAGAAGGGAGAAGAGCGCTCTGCTCTGGTTTCCGGACCTTTCCAGGACGATAGTGTGCGCTTTCTTGAATGCAGGGTAGTGATTCATGTAGAATTGACGATGAATTCCAAAGAATCTTTCAAAACAAGACCAATCAACTCTCTTCTGACCACACATCAGATCGACTTTCTTAGCTGCAATCACTTCTTGTAGTATCCAAAGTCTTGACCAGTATGGTCTTAGCGCAAGATTTATCAATGCCGTTCGGGTACCCTTTTGTATTGATGAATCTGTATGGTCCTCAGGAGAAGCTCGTATAACTTCGTGCGCTGTATCAGCGATAAACTGCATCGCAAGATCACTGCCATCAACAGAATCACCAAGCCATGCAATAACCCCTGTAGCTCTTGTATAAATCTGGTGCATCATTCGGACTTGATGGTTGCGTTCCTTCGTGTTGCTCTGGTCAATACAGATCTGATCTATCCATAGCCAGCCGTGCCCCTCGTTCCGCAATATCTGCAACAGACGATACAGATTGGTCCCGACCGGCAGTATCCGTCCTTCTATGTGGAGTATGCAACCATTAACATTCTCTCCCCAGGTGTAGGAGATGGCCTTGTACGTAGGGAAAGTGTCATCAAAATTGAATCGCTCCACGCTGGCGATGATTGCACTGTCGTCGGATCGTTCAAGGCAGAGCAAGCGAATTTGAGCTTCGTTTAGGTCGAGCGGCTGATATTCGTATGCCACCATCTCGGAAAAGGAAAAGTGCTTCACTTTAGGTAATGCTCGATTTTGAGATTTTGAGTCTGAGATGTAATCTAATCATCGTCATGGCCAAATTATACACATGCGCAGATCGTGTGGGCGGGGCTGAGCCACCTTGTGTAACAACGCTGCTGCCTATATGGCTACCTTCCCGATCCAGGTAAGCACGTAGAGTTACAAGTCGAATCTCGGCCATGTCAATTCAGGTCGACTGCGGAGCGCCTTTTTCTCCGGATGGAGGAGATGTAAACGATTTTATATTGCTATCGTAAACCCTTCCTGCTGGCAACGTGCAGATGTACTGCACATGTCCGTCTCTCCAGTTCGGGTTGGGACGTTGTCAAGATTCTAATCACGCCGTCGAAGCATGTTTAAAACATTTTGTTGTGAGCGGATGAGCAGTATACGTTCCTGATAAGAGGATGAAACGTTACACAATTATCCGACATTACCCCACAATCTCCGTGCCATCTCCGCGGGCGACAGCAACCGAGCCATCTGCCGGATTACGTCGAAGCATCCGACCTCAACATCCAACGCATACCGCATCGGGCTATTTCCGAGTTATCGGCTGTGCACCCTCCTTCAAGCCTGTCGTTTTCCCGTGATTGTATTCCAGGTTATAACGCGGGGCTCGGATAGGCACCTGGTTACCTCACCATCAAAAGCTTAATTCTGAATTCGTACGAACCTGTCACAGCATATTTGAATTTACTGTAGCGTTGTGGAAACTTCAATATCACTCGGTGAAGTGTTCTTGCTTCGTCTTTCTCTCTTTCAGTCTAACCAGTATTGTCACTGCTCTGAGAATATCTTGGAAATGGTCAACAAAACCGATGTCCTGATATGCGGCTCCGGCTCGGCCGGTATATTCGCCGGAACCTGGCTTGCACGCTATGGCATCCCCTTCACGATGCTCGAGCGACGAGCCGGCCCCATGGAAATTGGCCAGGCGGACGGTGTTCAATGCCGCACCGTCGAGATCTACGAATCGTTTGGCCTTTCGGAAGAATTGCTCCGCGATGGCTACCACATCTTGGAAGTATGTTTCTGGGGTGACGATGGGAATGGTGGCATTGTAAGAAAAAGCAGAGCAATGGATACTGAGGTTGGATTGAGCCATATGCCGCATATCATTCTGAACCAGTCGAGAATGAATGGGTTGATGCTGGGGAAGATGGATGAGCTTTGTGGTGGTGAAAAGAGAATTGAGTATGGGTGCGAGATCAAGAAGGTGGAAGTTGATGAAGCGCTGGTGGGGGATCCACAGAGTTATTGCTGCAAGGTTGTCGCAGAAAAAGATGGGAAAGAAGAAACATGGTTGGCGAAGTACGTTCTAGTAAGTCTGCCCCTGACGTCTGCTAGTAAATGGAGGTCTAATATAGACAGGGCTGCGACGGTGCTCACAGCATTGTACGCAAAAGCCTAGGCTATGAGATGGTCGGAGATACTACCGACACAGTCTGGGGCGTCATGGATATATATCCTCAGACCGACTTCCCGGATATACGCAGAAAAAGCACGTTGCATTCATCATCTGGCAATATCCTAATTATTCCGCGTGAAGGCGGTTCACTCGTGCGCTTCTACCTCCAGTTACCTCCCGGCTCACGGGCGAAAGACGTCAAGCTAGAAGATCTCCAAAGTACGGCAAAGAAGATATTCGCTCCGTACAAGATAGACTTCGCCGATACGTTCTGGTGGAGTGCATATAGCATAGGCCAACGGATAGCCAACAACTTCCACAAAGACCATCGCGTCTTTCTGATGGGCGATGCATGCCATACACACTCACCCAAGGCAGGCCAAGGTATGAACGTCTCTCTGCAGGACGGGTATAATCTTGGCTGGAAGCTAGCGTCTGTCCTTCTTGGTCTATCACCGCAGTCGCTACTACGCACGTACGTACTCGAGCGGACCAAGACTGCCGCGGACCTAATCGCCTTCGACCGAGTCTTCTCGAAGAAGTTTTCCTCGAAGGAGGAGCGGCCTGGCGAGTTCGCAGAGTACTTCATCAAGAGCGGTCGGTATACGGCTGGTTTCACAGCACAATACGATGACTCGGAATTGACAGATGCGAACGGCAGCAGACAAGAACTAGCAAAAGGGTGCCCAGTTGGTATGCGCTTCCCGAGCGCTCAAGTTATACGGTTTTGCGACTGTAAGGCGATGCAGTTGCAGCGCGCGTTGCAGAGCAACGGGCGGTGGCGCGTTGTTATATTCGCTGGTGACATAAACAACCCCGACCACAAGTTGAGGCTAGAAAAGGTAAGACAGAAAGCAAGATATTATTGGAATGGGAGCTTACATATGCAGCTTGCTCAATTCCTCGAACCCCTCGCTCGTACCTTTACACCTGCCAGCGGAGATATTGACGATCTCATCGAGCCAATTGTGGTCCTGAGGAGCAAGTTCCTAGAGACGCAGCAAGAGCAGATACCCGGATACTACTGGCCGGTCAGAGGGAAGTGGAAGATACGAGATCTTCACAAGGTATATATAGACGACGGACACTACAACCATGGGCACGGCCACGCTTACGAAAAGTATGGTGTTGATGGAGACATCGGCGCAGTCGTCATTGTTAGACCGGATCAGCATGTCTCAAAGGTCACAGCGTTGGACGACTTCAATGGTGTCGAAGGCTTCTTCAGGGGTTGTTTCGTTGGAAACAAGACCTTGAACGGCAAGCTGTAGACTGAGAAGATGATGTGCACGATGGCATGGTAAACTCTACAAGGAAAGATTTGAGGCGCTGAAACGAGCAAGTCTATGAATTAGAAGTCAAAGCAGCTATTGCTTAACGTGCGCTTCGTCTAGGCTCTTGATGCTCCCGGTCGTGGTCATGCTCTCTGCCTTCGCACTCGTCGGGCTAGTCGAACCCATCTCAATCGTGACACTCGGCACCCAGAGATGTTGCTCTGTCCTTCCATCAAATGCCTTCTGCTCCAACTCTATCCGTGACGTGGGAGGCCCGTATATCCTCTCTTCGCTCTCGCTCCTCTCTAGATTGTGGATGCTCCTGGAATTGGACACGTTGACGCTAACAGTCTTGGAAATGCCTCCGTGCTGGGGGTTGCTCTTCAGCCCGATCCTAGACTTTCGCTGCGACCGTACGGCCCCTGATCGCCATGCAGATCGTTGAAGGGAGCCGGATAGGTACCGTCCGTCGTAAGAGTTGTGCGACCAGCTCTTCAATCTGAAGATCCGCTGGACGAGCGGGTACGTGAGGGGTAGATTCGCGCAAAGGAAGGCGGTGTAGCTCTCGCGGAGGTACCACTCTGTCCACTCGTCGCCGAATGGATGTGAGAAGGAGTAATACTTGTTCAGGACAGCTGCGACGATCTGCTATCATTAGTACTTCGCTCAACTTTGCTCGAAGTGTATGCTTACGTTGAAAGTTCCAATCAGGAAAATACCAATCAATATCGCTTTGTTTTTCTTCGGCAGCTTGACCTTAAACAGGAGGGGCATAGGGATCGCTATGATCATGATATCAGAGGAGATGTTAAGAACGGCGTTTGTAATGAGGTGGTTGGTTGCCGCAGAGCACTGGGGATTCGATGGAGGAACGGCCCAGTACTGGTTGAATGGCCGGCACCACACGCCGAGGTAAAGGATCTCCATGACCACCTGTGGTAAGATGTTAGGCGCCGATCGAAACGCACCAATTTGAGAATCTTACAAATCCAAGAGCTGTATATATAGAGACGATCATAACGATCTTGTGCTGTGGGAGAAGCGCTCTAAAGGCCTAGTCAGCAGTGCAATGTGCACGTCGCAGCGGATTCAGGACTTACGTCATGCGCTTGTACATCAATAGCAGACATGCTTTAACAAGCCAGATGGTGATGCACTGCATTTGCTCCACCACCAAAACCAGCTTAGATCCATAGATTCGTCGTTGTATCTCATCTGCCGAAAACTTTGAGATATCTTCACCGGGAGCAATAAGGTTGCTGCTGCTGCGCACCACGATGTGCATTGCACCCATTAAGACAGTCATCGAAATCTGAGGGGTCAGCGGAGGGACGATGTTCAACACAAGGTAGAAATTACCATAGCAACGCAAATTAGATAGTCGTCGGTTCCCAGCGCCTTCCATGAGCCATGGTGAAGCTTCCTGGAGATGAGGCGGGTTATAAGCACTAGCCAACATGTGGCATACCAGATGCCAGACTCTGGCTCGAGTCTCGACATGGTGTCGTGGTGGTTGATACAGGAGGCTTCACCAGCCTAACATTGAAGGTTATCGAATATATATTAAAAATAGCACTATGTTGGGAAAAATGATAGAAGATCGGTCAGAGACAATGAGTCTACAATAAAGGTCGGGACGTTGGATCCTGGTGCATTGGAGGTTGTCGCAGGCGGTGGAGGATCCAACAGGGCTGTGGTCGAAGTTGCTTGGGGCTTGCGTTTGAGGTTGCGTGGGGTGCGTGAACAGCTGTTGGTGTTGCGTTGGGGTTCGGCTGAGGTATGCCCAAGGTCACCTGTCGAAGCCGATGATCGACAAGTACGATGTCGATGAGAATTTAGAGTGACGTACTCTTGTAACTGAGGAAATCCTGGTACCCTTATGTTCAGCCGTCCGGTCTGTCAGCACAGGGTCGTGAAACTAATGTCAAGCACGAGCCGCAGCCGCTTGACATTAAGTTGTGTCACCTGCGTAATCAGCGAAAATTCGCTCGGTGAGCTGTCGGCGTTATTCTGGTAGGTTTGCCTTCACGCCGTGTTCCTGCATGGACGAAGGCCACTGGGTGCTCTAGCGGGGGCACTTGAGCGTTAGCCTCCTCTTAACCGGGGGAGACCTCGTTTGAGATCAACCCACTGGCGTGAAAAGTCGGCATCTGCTCCGAGAGTTGCCATCCAATGCGTTCGGTTCGTCCGGGGTGGAATCATGTTGGACATGATTGCTACCCACAATAATCGCTTCGTAACCCTTCACGGAATTGCTTTTCGAAGACCAAATTTTACGAGTCCCGCTCGCTGCCTATCACCCAATGTTCCAGGGGCAAAGTGAAGAATTGCGCTCTTCGGCCGGGACCGATCGCTTTCTCGCTCATGAAACGTGCTGACCTCGGAACATCGCATCGTAACCTTCACGAGCTTTTCTCGTTCTTGTTTGAGGATATTACCCTGGTTTACCTTCCCGTATTGTCCTAGATTGGAGCATCAGACCCTGCGAGCATATGCCTTACCCCAAGACTCTAAAAACTCTATTGGCATGCAGGCCGCACATAGTGGCTTGGTCGCGGCAACGACGGCACACGTACGTGCCAGTAAGTACGAGGGGCGTGGTGGCATTGGGGAGGGGTGCGGCTCTGTGCCAATCGGACTAGTGGGGGACGATTGCGAAAGGCGCCAAATTAGCGTGGAATGAATGATACGCATCGAGGCACCGTCAGGCTGGACCGCGAGCATCTTCCAAATGCCCGTTGTCGATCAAAGGATCCGACACCGACAACCTGTTCTTCGGCGCTTCGAGAGTATTGTATATGTAGGCACTTGTGGCGCACCTCCACCGGTATCAAGGGAGGATGGGGAATCAAGGGGACCTGCCTCCGTACGTCGTTTCCGCCGGCCCACCTCGAAAAGGGCCACTTCTCCAGTAATCCCCACCTATTGTGGGTTATCGTGGACGCCTCCAGCCCCTTGAACCGACTTCCGCGAAGGCCATCGACTCCATCCAGCCGACCCAGCAGAGCGGCCAAGCTACGCAGTACAGAGTAGACGGTGTGGAGAGGGTCAGGCAGAGTCAGAGACGTAAATTGAAGTCGTGCACCTGCATCGTTCCCAGTCTTGACCGGCCATTAGATGGCTTCCAAGAGGCTTGCATGTCGGAGATGCGACATGTCAGACACGAAGCCAATTCTCTGGCGCATGGCATGTTCCGTTGAGGGAGACGTTTCGGCAGCGCTGCCATTCAGGGCAAGACTGCATCCGGCAGTAGAGGTGCCCGGCCAAAGGGGACTAGCATAACACCCCAGACTGGATCTGGATATCAGTCACACGAGACCCAGTTCCTGGTAACTTGATTATTTGTTATAGTATATAAAAAGCGCACCAGTCTGTGCTGGAGATATCTGGTGCGCAAGGCTAAACGAACACCATGGACGATGAGGTGAACTTCAGACGATCGACGTAACACTACTGGATGGATAAGGTGGATTGCTCCTCCCGGCTGCGAGCTGAAGGCGCATCTCAAGGACGATGCCCGTCGAGGACATGTGGGCTAAACGGGACAGATTGGTACGCTATACTTGCCTCGCGAATCGGTAGCGTGCCGCGTGGGCGGCGTGGGCCAGACCATTATTGATGACGCCGCTGCTCTGCGTGGACGGCAATTGCGCCCACCACGGAGAAATACGAGCGAAACGTCTAGAATGGCAACTACGGAGTGATTAGGTCGAAGAGCACGACACACCACATAAGGGGCGGGAGATAAGAGAACGTGGCAGCCACACGCACCCTGATGGAACCTTAGAAGCCATCACGTAATGGGGCGATACGAAGTACGAGAACGTCGTCATAAGCGAGAGCACGACCGTAGCATTGGGAAATCATGGAAACAAAACGGCTTTAAATCATTCGGATAGGGCAACAGGCCTGAACTGAGGTTACCGTGAGGGAATACAGAGCGTCTGTTTATATGGGCCCAGAACGGGACGATCGTGCAGCCAGCACATCGCTCCCGCGTCCCGATGGGAGGCACGATCGACAAGGCTTAGGCTTCCTGCACCGGGTAACTAGATCGAAGAGCGCAGAGCCCTTGCTCAATGTAGCTGGCATCTTCATACCATCCCACTCTCTCCTCCGCGGCGAGACCCCTGCCTTTCGTAGCATATCCCTATGTTCCACGGAGCCGTCATGACTCTCGAAAGAAAGTGTTGAACGCAGCCTAGCACAAGCCTTGATCAGATGAGCCCTCACAAAGTCACTGGTACTACACTCTCTCGGGAAGTTTTGGATGCCTAGCGTCATTAATGTGATCGGGTTCCCCTCACTGTTCAGGAGTCACATCCTACAGTAGCTGAATCTCGTCTCTCTCGCCACTGCAGGCACGACTCTTCCGGAATCCGATAATAAGGGGACACGAGCGTTCTGGTTCAAATCAACCCCTGTGTCCTACATCGGCACCTGAACAAGAAAGGCCTCTCGCCCCTGGTCCAGCAAGATCACATATGTTCCTATTGCCAACTCGATATGGAATGGTCACAGCTCCTCACATGGATTGCGCGCTGGGCCATAAACCTATCTGCTCACCCCAAGTGCCAGCGTACCGAGCCACCATGACTCTCAGAAAGAAATCGTAAATGCGACCTTGTGGAAGCCCTGATGGCATGAAGTGGCCATAGGGTTCCGTAAATTCTAGCCTCCACCAAGCTTCCCCTATTTATTCGAGGGCCTTGTCGGGATTCTGCAGTCGTTGAAGAATAAGCGGGACGCGCTCATGGGTGCCACAACCCATAGTGTCTGAAGCTCATCTCTCCCAAGCCACGGACGAACGACCTGGTGCGGGGCACCCTTGATATCCCACCTGAACAACCGAATCACGAGGGCTTTCTAACTGAAAGATCAGAGTATTTGGATCCGTTCGTGTCAACTGGAAAGCGTTTGATGCATAGTAGTACGGTACTCAGAGATTGATTTCAAGAGATTTAGGCCTTAGAACGCACATTCAATGCTAAGACACAAGCCTAAGTTCAACCTGCCTACATATTGATCATACAGACTGGTGTAACACACCGTATATAGCTTGTGGCTACAGTTGTTCAAGAACAGCACTCCATGCCCATACGCAGACCATCTTCATCCGCGGACCACCCTTACCCCCAAACCGACCTCATCTACACACCTACCTGCCCATGTCTAAGCGCGTACCCAGACTAAGACCTCGTCCTTCGCATTCATTGTTCATGTCTCCCAAAAGCCTCTCCGTCTACCCCTCCCTTCCCACGCAAGGAAAAAGCAGCAGTCCCACCCTAGCAACTCCTCTCGCCGTCCTCGATCTTGATGTGTCAATAGATAGAATACCGCCCGCTCGTTCGCAGACTGTCCGCGGTTCCATAGAACTGCAAACGAGAGAAGGGTGGGCATAAGACGCGCAGCTCGGTATGCCGGAGATGATGTGTTATCTTATCAGTGCAGCTCGGCAGACCAAGTCTACAGACGGACATCGTGGAGCTATCACGAGCGTAACAGCGAGATCACAGCATCGCCGAAATCACTCTGACACATCTTTGGGGAGGGGACCGCAGGCTCAGGATACAGTACCGGTTTGGGTGGAAAGCCGATTACATCCGTCGGACGTCTTCACATGGCAGTGTATCTTGGACGAGACGATTCGATTGGAGCTATAATACATGGTTGCATTTGCGCGCGGGGCGGTGTCTATGGTACAAATTTGGAAGGTATCTCTACAGGTCGTTGATTGTACACCATGGTAAGATTGGTATATATACAAGTATGAATTAAGACCGTCGCTCCTCCTGCTCATCATCCATTGCTTCTCCGGCAGTGGGTTCACAGTCCTCGTAGGTCGAAGAACTAGTCTTAGTCGCTGAGTCGGGCAGGGTAGCGGCAGGCTTCTCTCGTCGCGGGACTGCATCAGGATTCATAGCTCTGGTCTGCGCTTCGAACGTGGCGAGAAGCTGTTGGAGCCCCGGGTCTTCGGAAGGATCGGCGTGCTGCGCAAGGGGATCACCTTGCTCTGGGGATTGTGCCGGTTCCTGCTCCAATTTGTCATGTACATATTGATGTACATATCCTCCCTGGTGAGCATAGACAGCATTGTCAGAAACAATCTCCTGGAGTTTCAGGTGGCTCCTTCTAGGAACGACGCGATCGAACCTCGGATGCCACATGAGAGAATGCGAGTTGGACCTGCCGTACATCCTTGGCTCCACGAGCAATGGTCTGCCCCAGATCTCGTTCACCCGCCGGACGTATTCCTCGTACCTAGTCTTGTTGGCGGCCTCCATCATGCGGTTGTGTATCTTCCGAGATCGGCCTCGACCAAACAGATTGACAAACACTACCTTCAGTGCTGTGACGACCGGCGAGGAACTAACGTGTAGGCCTAAATCGCGGAGTTCCGTGAGCATCTTGAGACCAGAGTCCCAGCTTAGGCGTTGAACCATGTGAGCTTGACGGAGGGCGCGGCGATGGCGCTTCTTGCCTTCTCTACCCAGGTCTTTCGAACCTGTGAGCAAAGACTGCTCGACTGTTGCGTTGGAGAGAAGTCCTGCTCTGAAGCCCCATACAACAAGTGCTTGTTTGAAAGAATCGGGAAACAATAGTCGTAGGGGGTGGTTCCGATGCATCTGGCCTTTCATCTGATGTCCAGTCGCCAATGGCCTCGATTCTATTACTCTTGCAGATAATAAGGAGCGTGACCTCTTGATAGCAGGGTTCAAAAAAACCGGTTCGCGAACTGTGCTGAGTAGTTCTTCTCCTCGGGGTGTGTACCAGCAACAAAGCCATTGGACTAGACGTCGAAGCTCGCGCAAACGGTAAGCCATCCCAAAACGTCGCAATATCTCACGCCAATTCAATGGATGAATATATGCCATGTCCCTTTCCAGGATGAACAGATACACACGTGCGACGAAGCGCAGATCGTCGAATGTCCGGGGCCGGTCAGATGTCACGGCTGGCCGACCTGAACGCCTACCCGGATGGTGCCCTCGATGTCGGGACGGGAGAAGGTCAGTCTTCAATTTGACCAGTGAGGTCGATTCCACGGCAATTTTGCATTGAGCCATACTCTGCAAGGTTTGCACAATACCGCTCGGGGAACGTCTTTCACTGTAGGATTGGAGTAGCAGATTCCAGGCTCGCGTTGCACGCTGCTGATGGAAGAGACTGAGGATCGCCAGCGTGCGATGGGCCTGGTTCCAGTCATGCTGTTCAAGGTAGTGATTGAGGAGCTCCGTCTGAAGCTTTGCATTGTCGTAGACTTCAGGATGCTGGTCGCTTTCGAGCATGCTTTGCACCAAGAGATGTTGTTTCTGTTCAGCGAAACTCTCCAAGGCCAACGAAAATACACATCCCTGCAGCGCAATCCCTGAAGCTCTCAATTCTTCAAATCTCTGGGACAGCTCAGAGATGGGATCTGTCCTAGACGCCATAGCACGTACAGCCAGGGGCCCGATCTCGTTCACGCCTACCAAAGCTAGCCCCCTGATGACAGATTCAGGAGGAACTGCTCTGGTAGCGAACATCCTGGCGCAGAACGAATCCTCAAAACGGACAGGAGCTGTGTCCTGACCGCGAAGACGGCGCAGAAGGGCCTGGTCCATTTTGTCGTCAAGTCCCAAACTTCCAGCAACGGCAGCGTTTTTGCGTACTTCGGGGATGGAAGAAGTCGCATTGTGAGCTATGAATGATCGGACCATGGGAGTGGCAGCGACATCAGGTGAAGGAAGATCACCTTTCAAGATGCATGCTGCGTGCCAGGCGAGAGCCCATGCAGGAAAACGTCTCAACCGGGGAACGACTTCATCGTACAGATTCGTTTCGCTGCTATCCTTGTAAATTTCCAGGAGGGTGTCGTACATGGCGGGCTGCAAACGTCTTTTGAGGATTCGCACCAAATGTTGCAGCGGTAGTTGGTCGAGCTGGAGCTCGCGCCGCATAAACTGGTGGTATGCCAATGCCTGCCTATGATGCATCGGCTTGGGCAGCCAGTGGGCTATGCACAGTTCGTACAGGCGCGGATAGACATGGCCGGTCCTTTTGCGAAGGTCTGCAGCGTAGGCAAGGAGCTCTACAACGACCCGAGGGTCCTTGATAAATGTCCCCCAGAGGACTTCGGCTTCTCGTGTATCGTCCGTAGGCAGCTCGAAGCCGATCCGAGTGCGCAATATCCATTCTTTGAGGATTTCATCGCGCCCCTGGCTCCTCACCGCCTCTTGCAGCCTCTGTACCAATTCCTGGACGCTCTCGACGCGTTCTGGCTCGTGCCTCCTCTGTCTGAAGACCTTGAGATTTTCTTTCACATGGCGACGCAGGTCTTCTTGCTCCTTCCAGCGCCTCCATCGCGGTCCCTCGTCGTCCGGCGGCCCGGTTGCGTAGCTACGGCGAGGGCAGATGCAGGCGACGCATTCGGCAGCGTGCAGCCACGCAGTTGGCGGTGCGTGGGCAGTGGCGAGGGTGCGGAGGAGTCTCAACGCAGACGGGCTGGCGAGGAGCCTGTCCAAGGCCGGTGGCATGAATCGGCGCAGCGAGAGGGGCGCATTAAGCCATTGGCAGTGCAGGCGCAACCGTGTTGACGACGAAGCATGCAGCTCGAAAAACCCGCTGACATAAGAGGACCCAACGCTTGGCACCGTCCTCGGGTCGTTCGATGCACACCTCACAGTTCACCACCACCACCACCGACCCATTGTCCCCGCACCACACCCGCGAAACCTCTCCACTCTTCAAAATGGCAGGGTACGTCTTTCCTGCAGCTTCCGGCCTGCTTGTCGCCCGCGCCGCGCCCGCGATAGCCGCTCCCGCTGCCTCTGCGCGCCCGCTCAAAGCTCGTCACTGACCGCCCGCAGCTGGATCTACCGCGAGAACCGTGTCCCCGCGTACCAGAAGGAGTACCAGAAGCATGACGGCGTTCGCCTGTGGATGAAGGTGCGTGCCGCTTTGCGCAACGGTTCAGTGGCATGAGCGAACGGCAGGCTTTGGCCGCGAGGGGGTCTCACGCCCTGCCTTTGGAAGCTCTTGTCCGACCGGGGAAGACCACGACCGCTAACACAGCCCTACAGTCCCGCGGAAGGTGGATGATTCCCGCCTACAAGGTCGTCCTCTACACCAGCATCGGCTCCAGCTTGTACATGATGGGCCGCCTTGTTCTCGTATGTTCCCCACCGTGCACTGCACGAGCATGATACTTACCCATATCACAGGGTCACAAGACCTGGTTCGGCAAGAACTAAGCTCTGTACACGAAGGAGTGAGCAGTGAAGGGCAGCGTGAGAGGGTAGTTCATCGGCCACAAATGTACAAACAGTCAGCAGAACTTGAACCAATGGCATAGATTCCCTTTGTTTTCCGCGCAATGAGCTCAACCATATATGCATTTTGTCCGACCCGTGGTGCTTATTTCGCAACGTTTGAAAGATCTCGTGATCTTGCCTGTGCTCAGGTGGGACGACTCACATCACTGCATGTCCCCACGCTTCTCACGTCGGTGAAACAATATCAATGCATTCGATCGTTAGATCTACACAGCTTGCTTGAGAGCTCTGCAACTTAACTCCTCTCCGCATCGACCTCTCCAAGCTGTGCTTTGGGCCATGAGCGTGCCAATGCTATGGGATGGGGGTTCGGTTAGCTAGCTTTCGGAACCACCAAAACGTCAGAGTGCCGAACCGAGCTTCTTCTCTACCTCCACATCCCCACGATCCATTGTCACAATGGCCGACTTCGTAAAGGGGCTCTTTGGCGGCCAGCAGCAGAAGGTCGCCCAGCCGCACTCGGGCGGCGACGATGGTACGCTGCCCCTGTCTTCCCCCGCGCAGACTGCGACCCGCAGACCTGGGTCCTGGCACACCTCCACGAACGCGTAGCTAATCTTGCATCGTAGACTTCGCCGACTATGCAGGAGCACCGGACCCTTCGCCTGTGTCGTTCGCTTCCAGTGTTGGCGCTGCCTCGGCCGTACCCACCTCGACGGTCGGCCAGGTCCCGTACACGGCGTGGTACCGCGTGTGGGAGCGCACTTCGGTCGACGACTTCAAGCTCGAGCTGTACATCCTGCCCTTCATCCTGCTCATCGTCGTCGTACACCTCTGGGGCACGCGCCGCAACCGCAGCAAGGCCCACCACTGGATCAAGTCGCATGCGCCTGTCCTGCAGCAGGAGTTCGCGCAGGTCGGATACACGCGCCCCCAGGCGGGCGCCAACGATGTGAGCGCCGTGGGGCTCGTCAACCCGGAGACGTTCCTGCGCGAGAAGAAGCCCGATGAGTTCGCGTCGTACGCCACCGGCCGCGCGAACGTGGCCTTTGTCGACTTCAAGTTGACCCTCGCGAAGCGCTTCAATCCCTTGATGCGCTTCGGCGAGCTCGCCATCTCGCTCTTCTTCGAGAGCATGCCCGTCCCCATCGAGCGCATGGAAGCCACCGCGTACGTCTTCGACGGCCAGGAGGCCAAGATCGCTCCGGCCATCGCGAGAGGTGTCGGCGAGAAGGTCGCCAACAGCACCTTCGATGGCTTCGTCTTCGCCGTTGTGCACAAGGACCTCATGAAGCGCCTCCGCGAGGACCGCTACGACCTCTCCCTCACCGCAAGCAAGGACCACGCGAAGCTCCCCCTCTGGGTCACCGTCATGAGCGAGAGCGCCGAAATCACAGACACCATGCTCACTCCCGAGCTCATCAAGGCCATCACCGACGCCGGCGACGATTTCGAGGCCCTCGTCATCACCGATCAGCCCATGGATCAGCCCAAGAAGTACGCCCTTCCCCTTTCCACCCTGCTCTCTTCTTACCCCTTGCTAACACCATCAACCAGACTCGACGACACCGTCCCCCGCAAGCGCATCAACCTCTCCCTGAAGCTCAAGTCCGCCAGCACGCCCTACGACTCCACGCTCCCCCTCTTCCAGTACTTCATCCGACTCCCCGACTTCCTCGCGTCGAAGGCGCACTTCCGCCCGGAAGCCCTGCGCCGCATCAAAGCCACGCGCGAGGAGCAGATCGCCAAGATTCGCAAGATCGACGACGAGGAGAAGGCCGAGGAGCGCAAGCTCGCCTCCGACAAGCTCAAGAAGGAGCAGCGCGATGCGAAGCTCGGACGCATGACTGCGGATGAGCAGAGGAAGTACCTGGATAAGGAGCGTGAGCGGGACGCGAAGAAGAGGACGAAGAAGCAGACTGTCAAGGGTTAGGAACATGTCGATCTGCATCCAGGTGGCCGGTTTTGAGGACTGGAGTTGGGTTAGGAGTTGGTGTTGGTGCTGGGTTGAATGGTGTGTGGTGTTGTGTTGATACAGATGATTGTCAGTGTTTGGATTGTGAAACAAAAGTGAACCATCACTTCGGTAGAATTGGTTGTAACTTGTCTAGCTAATACCAGAGCACCGCTAGGGCTTTGAAGAAAAGTTGTATTCACCTCAAATGCAAGGTCCAGTCGTGGTAATTAAGAGTGTGCGATGAGACTGTGAGGTATGTATGACAGTGCGAGGTGGGAAAATTGGCTCATATTCATGCTATCTCATTGCTCATTGCTCTGGATTCTTAGGTACATGTGGTCCCGTTCCTTGCAATAAGGTTTGTTGGATTGGCAGCAAGTTGACCACAATGGCCATGGAACTGATCGCCTTAGACATTTGCCTCCATTCAAGAACACCGAGACCGTTTCAGTCGTCAGATACAAGGGCTTGGCAGTACATCCGGCCGGCATATCAATATCCTCACACTTCATTGGCTCCTGTCTGCCATACGCAAGATAGTAGCCCATCCCACCACCATCATCATCATCATCATCATCATCATCATCATCATCTTGGTAGTCCACTGTCTCGTGTGAGGGCAACATCCAATGCTTGAATAGCATATCCCGGACATACCGACTGAAGAATTCCAGTATGCCCATGCCTGACGTGGCCCTTCCAGAACGCTAAGATCGCATGAGTACGGCCACTCTTTTTCGTATTCTTCGTCATCCTTCGGCGCACACATCAGATCCCAACGAGCTAGCTCTTCTGTGAGAGTCTTTCGATAGCGATCCTTGCCCCCCCCCCCCAGCAATTTTCGTGAGGCGAATCAGGACATCTCCGAAAGTTCCACGCGAGGACGATCTCCTTTGTTTGAATCCAGTTGAGCACCGTCGCGCCAGAGTAGTGTCCATCCGGTTCTTTTTGCCTGGTGCCCATCTTCCATGGAGCAAGCGCTTCCACTGTACACAGACATAGCGATGCTCACTAGCAGAGTTGAACTCCTGGCGTATAGGAAGATGCTCAACCTTTGAGCACTTGCACCTTCCCCGGAATTCGCAATCGCTGAGGGGATGATGGACCCAACCACAGTCCTCTTCTGCGCCACCGCAATTGCCTATGCATGGATCTTCACATACACTTCTAGTGATGATCACAATCGTCACTGCACTTGAGGCGTCCCCCTCCATGATCCAAGCATCGGAACTTCAGGCCGACTTCTTTGTAACGCCTTGAGTTGTCCACGTCATCCTCCTAAAGAAACTCCACCCAGTCTCGGCATATGGTTCTGCTCATGCTGCGTTGCATTGCCTATATATCGTTCGTGAAGGATGCTGTGATGAATGCTGCTGACTCATGAGCATAGACTTCGGGACAAATGAACAATAGTGTCGCTCTGTCAAACGGTCGTTCACGAAGCATCCGGAATGGACTTGAGTGATTCACTAGGTCTAGGTGGATACCCATACTGTAGGAAAGGCCCGACATACTGGGAAACATCCTATTTCGGATCCTCACACAGACTGTCAACGTGACAGAGCGGAGTACTGTCCAGCTACTGCTCGGCTGAATCGATGGACCGATGGCGACAGCTTTCTTGTGGTACTTTCCGAATTATTTTTGAAAGTGTTCCAGGTGTAACTTAACATGTCGACCAGTCGCCTCTAGCGGTTTCCTCTTACTTGATGTCAGACACAAATTGACTCACCCAGAAGCGGGAACCTGGTTTGCCAGCAGTCGTCCTGGGGGACACCATTGGCGTGCCACTTTCGTGTCAGCGGAGGGAGATGCAGGTACAGGCATTGGTAGATCACGGACATCGTAGCTTAGCTTGGAGAAGAAAGGATTCTGTGTCTGAGCGGCGATGGTATCCGGCGGCACATCTTTTTTTTTTTCTCCGCGCTCTCAAAAAGCTTATTATTGTCGCTCGAGACCTTACTCGCTGACGACGCGCGACGCTTCGACATGGCGAGTGGGCCGCCGTTCTGGGCCGGAAAAGTGTGAGCGCGGCCGCAGGTCGAGGTGGTGTGGGAGAGAGCAGGAGAGTGGCGGCGGTGTCTCCAAATCGTTGCGCGATCCTATATTTCCATAGCCAGCTATCCTTATAGAAAGCTCTAGTCTTGCCACAGCACCAGACTTCTGAAGTCTCAGTGCCGTCACAGGGCGTCACTTGTATGCCAAGACTGTGTTGTAAGTCTTGGTGAGTTTTCGAAAACGTCTGCGTGGGCTTTCATCAACACACCTCGTCCAAACATAATCTCTAACAGGTTCCATCGGCCCAGTCCCTGCTTGTACCTGACTTCCTCCAGAAAGTGAAGTCCTTGTCTGATCGACAAAGTCTATATGGTAGACAAGCATCATAGTCAGAACAGCAGATTCTGAACAGTGGTCGGTGCAAGGACCATACTCCGTATGCCCATCAATCGAAAGATCGTTCAAAGTGCGGTTACACCGATTGCAATATGCGATAGATGGCGGCTACAAAACAAGAAAGAACACGAACAACATGACGAAAGGTATTGACGAGGGAGCCTTGTAAGGATCATATTGAATAGCACATCGAATCTGGGTATACGCCCTAATAGAAAGCACGTTTCCCTGGAGTGGCAAGCAAGGCGGTTATCTGTACCCAGGTCTGTGTATGTGTGACGCTCGTAGGCACCGTTCCACGCTTCGGTCACCCGCAAGGCATCTGTAGCACCTGCAGCTGTTACTCACCTCAAAATAATTCTCACAGGTCCCCTTTAGGCTTGGAGCTCTGCTCCAGATATCGATCCCGTACTTCTGTACATAGCACAGTCTTGCAGGCACAATGCAGAGCCATAGATAATCTGAACACAAGATGGCAACGTCTAGTAGCCCAACCCGATACCCTAGACGTAAAAAGCTCTCTCACAAACAGTCCAGCCCTACAGTACCGCACAGCAAAACCGTTAAAGATCTGTGAGCAATAGCCATGCTGTGCTGTCTTGCCTTGTACTCTACACCCTCATCCCCCCGCTCCTATTCCTCATACTCACTCCCTCCGTCCCCGCACTCTCCTTCCATCCATCCTCCCTTCTCCTGCCCAATGCCCTCCTCAAGATCCACTCCTTCGCACTAACCTCTTCCTCCTCTCCCAACTCCTCACCCTCCACTAACGTCTTCAGCACAACATCGTTCACCGGCCGACAAAAGTACACAAGACTGTACCTATCAACCTGCCACTGCTCACCAGGTGGGGGCACAACGCGGTGGATATTACTCCGCAACCTCCCACCCGAGAACTTTACCAGCGCGTCACCCAAATTAACAATGCAATGCCCCGGCAGCGGACGGACGTACGTCCACCCGTCCTGGCAAAGCTCCTTTTCGACATCCGAGCACGGCGCAGACGATGAAGGCGGCGTTGGCGCGATGGACGGTGGGAGGCGCACTTGGAGTCCGCCGAGACGGTTGAATAGAATCGTCACGGAGCCTGTTTGTCAAATTAATAGCGTCAGATATAGACTTTTAAACTGACAAGGACAAAGTGTACTTGCCGAAGTCGGTGTGCTCGCCGAGGGCGACTGCGGCGGACGAGTGAGGCTGCGGCGGAGCCTTCACGAAGCGGATTTGGTCGCCTGACTGGGCTGAGAGATCGTGTAGGGCGGACAGTCCGCCAGACGCGCGAGTCTGAGGATTGAGAGAGAGTCGTGAGGAGACGAGGGATGCGAAGAGCATGCAAAGGTTGTGGGAAGCGCGGATATAGGATTCGAAGAGGGGGCGGTGGGGATTGAGGAGATCTGGACAGGGGAGTGGTGGGGAAAGGTTGAGAATGTCGTCTTTTGAGATCTGAGGGGCGGAAGGTCAGTTTCGTGTTGTTTCTGGCCCCAGGTGCAGGTGGCCGTACATTGTAGAACTCATTCCGATCTCTCGTCCCCTTCCCATCAACAATTCCCTTTCCATATCCCTTGTACCCGAAATAGCTCCCCTGATCCGCAAAGTCGTACTTTGTCTTTTCCTCGACCGGAAGCCCAAAGAAGTCCTTCATCACCTCAAAGAGTTGCCCTACTTCCTCCAGCAATGCTTCCCCAGTGCCATCTTCGGTCTGCAGGTCAACATAGAAGAAGCCAAGCTCGCAGCAAGCACGCCAGCATCGTTCATATTCATCCGCATCGTTACGCAAGAGCTTGGCGAGAGAGATGCGTAGAAGAGGAGCGGTTGGTACATTGTCTGGGAAGCTGGGCAGCGCAGCCGAGGCATCGGCGGGAGGTGATGCAGTGCGCTCAGAGTGTGGCATTGTGGAGTGACTCAAAATCAGGAAGGAACACAATTCGCAGACCTTATTCGAATGTTGACACGCTGTAGTTGAGTTAGGTGGAAATTATGCCTAGATAGAGAATCCTAAAAAGAGTATGCTTCGTGGGATTGTCCGACAAGAAGCTGGGGATGTGGAGCTACGTGGAGAAGGCGGGGTAGCTCAGGAACCGGCGCGGGAGTGAGGGCACTAACGGGGAGCTAAAACAGGGCCGAGGCATCACGAGGTGTACAACACAGAATGCAGCACGAACGTTCAAGATATAAGCAAAGACTCCATTAACTATCCACAGATGTACTTCGTTTTCCCATCCATGAGCCGTAGATCCCTGCGCCAATTGCTATGCAAAAAGGCAGCACCTGCCGCAGGCAAACCCGCAGCGAGGTGGCAGTGAGCCCAGTCAGGTGATCAAAGCGAAGAGAATATATGAACACAATTTGATATGACAAGGCCGACTAGGTCCAAGCTCCGAGGCGTTTCGTGACACGTACAGCAAGCTCAAATGCGACCTGAGCATGTTAGTCGAGAACTCAAGACAGGGAATATATCATGCTTACCATTGACAGGATGAAGTCATCTACAACCGGGAGCCGTGAACGACTTTGTAGTCGACGGCCATCTCGAGACCCTCATCGTTGATAACCAAGATGCGGACGCTGCCACGACCGTTGTCGAAGGACTCGGTCAGGCGCTGGAGAAGGTTGCTCTGGTCAAGGATGGGGAGACCCTGCTTGACGTCACCAGTCTCGGTCATGGCGACAACACGGCCATCCTCACGGATGTCAAGAACACGGTACTGCTTGAAGACAGGGCCGAGCATGTTCTGGACAACGACGGACGGGGCCGGGTTGGAGATGAAGCTGGATTCCTCATGGAGCTGCTTGGTGAACAGGTCAACACCGAGGTAGCGGTGCTGGCCAGTCTGGGAGGAGGTGGTGATGCGGATGACCTGGCAAGGGCGGCCCTGAAGAATCAGGAGATCGCCAATGCGGATGTGGTGGCAGGGGATGGTAATGGTGTTGGGAGGAGCCATCTTGCGGGTGGTGACGGTCTTGCTGCTGGAGACGACTGAAGGACCGGCGGAAGGACGGTAGGTAGGCGCGGGAGCGGGAGCGGGAGCACGGGGAGCAGGGGCGTGAACGTGAGTGTCACGGAAGTGGGTAGGGGCAGGAGCGGAGGTGGTAGTGTACTTCTCCTTGACTACGATGTCCTCGCGGATATCCTTGTGCTGGGAAGCCTTGGACGAGTGGTCGTGGGAGTGGTGGTGGCGGGAACCGTGGATGGGGTGAGCGATGTGATCAGCGACCTTGTGGGCAGCTTCCTTGATACCGTGACGGAACGAGTGGTAGTGGCCGTCGTCGTCGTAATATCCCATATCACGCTTGAACTTCTTGGGGGCGTCAACCGTGGAACGAGTAGTTTCTACTCGAACCTCCTCTCGGCGAGGGTAGCGGCTGTCGACTGCGTCAACCTCCCGATGGGATGGGTAGGTGTCGTGCTTGGCGCCAAAGGACTCCTTGCGGTAGCTGGAGGCCTGCTCGAAGTTGGGCTGGGTGTTGAGGTTGTGGGACTCGTGTGCGTAACCACCGACGATGGGACGGGTACGCTCGCGGAATTGACGCTCGGAAACGTCAACCTGGGTAGTAGCGTAGTCGGGTTGGGCACCTCGGACTGCGTTGAAGTCGCGATCGTAGGTCGTGGACTGGGATCCGACGATAGGACGTTGGGATGGGTAGCTATGAGGAAGGAGAAGGTCAGCTTGGGCAGGGAAGAGAAAAGAGCGGAAAAGTGGGGCAATGCGTGTCGCTCGGACAACAATAAAACCGATTGGGTTAAGCACGAGCTCGCTTGGGCCAGTGCATCAGGGGGCGGTGGGCGGCTGATCCGCTGGCAGCCCGTGATGTAAACAAGAAAAAGTGACTTACCGGTCTCGGGAGTCGCGGTGCTCGTGGATGTCAACCTCTACACGTTCGGTGCGGCGGGACTGCTCAGGCTGTCGGTAGCGGTGCTCCTCGTGGATGTGGACTTCCTCGCGGTGCTGCTGGGGGCGGCGCTGGCGGTCTTCAAAAACACGGACGTCCTCGGTGTAGGTTTCGCGGTGTTCAACAGGTCGCTCAGCAGGCTGATTGACGTGGACTGAGAAGGATTCCTGACGTTCAGAGTGACCTTCCCGTCCTGCCTTTGGTAGCTCTGCCTTTGCTTCTACCTGGACCTTTGTCGATTCCTTTACAGCGTCCTTGCTGACGTTCTTGTAGCTGGACGGGAAGACACTGAACGGGATCGGAACTGGTGCGGTCAGCGCGTCTTCTCTCGCGACGGGCGGACTGTCTCACCTCTGGCTTCAAAATCCAGGTTGGCGGAGTCGACGCGTCACTTCTAATCCCCTCAATTGAAAGGACAAGAAGCGACTGAGTGCTCCTGTGTAGAGGCAACGAAAGAAGCTGCGAGAGCTTGAAGGTTGCGACTAAGGTATGATGGTTGTGCAATTGGTGGGGTGGGTGGAGGGAGGATGGATGCGTTTGCAGGAGAGGAGAACAGCTGTCCGTGAGATTGCCGGGGGCCCGATGAAGGCGTCGTTTCATACGCTGCATAAAAGACGAGGTTGGGCTGATAAACAACACCAAGCCCCTTTCGGACAGCTATTCCACGCTAGCGCCGTCGCGCCTCCCCTATTCACTGCGCTGCACTACGCCCGCCCCTCTTGTTCCGCCTTTGCTGGAGCCGCGGCGGCTTGTGAAGCTCCATCGACCTCCAGCGCACCTCGGCGATCGCGTTGGCCTGGCGATGGCCCTGAGTCGGGCACGCAATCGCCAGCAGACCACCTGGAGGGCTCCACTCGCGTCCCCGGGAGCTCCCTTTGGCGCGCATGCAGCTTGCGAGTCTCACCCACCTCCGGCCGGGCCACTCGCTCGTGGTGCTTCGCAATTGGAGCTCCATCATGCAGCCGCCGATAGTGCATCGCAGCACAGTGGGCAGGGCCATTTCTCAGCTGAGGACACCCCGGCCACCCGCCTGTCGCAACGCTTCCAGCCTCCTCCATTGCTGTGATTGGTCGGCCCGAATACGACTGCTCCACGGCACGACGGGCTCGACGCGTTCTGGTACGGCGGTACCTGGCTTAAGGTTCCAACACTCCAAGGCTTGCAGCAGATCACGTGTACTCACCAGCACCTGGGCTTCCGCCAATCCTTGCGAAAGCAGCAGCGCATGGCATGAGCAGCGCCATTGCTTGCCATCGATTGCGATGCCAAGCCATCTTCTAGCTCGACGTCAAGCCGTCACCGAATCTGCCGCCCATGCGTCAACCTCACCACTGCAGATGCTACACAAGATGAAGCTGGCTTAATCAATGGCATTTATCTTTTGGGCTGGCATCTCGACCGTGTCCCTGATTGTGCCGGCTCAGAACTGGGACAATCTTTCGACACATTTCCATGTTCAATCGGGTGCAAATCAGTCAGGCACCTGCAACAGTCATCTTTGCTGACCCCTCGACATTGCCATCACCACGCCAGTAGTTTCTTCATGCCGCGCACGTGTGGCCCAGCCTCCCACTGCCTCAGACTCCGAAATTCAACTTCCATGACCCTGGGGGCGACGTAGTGAATGCTGCAGTCTCGGACTTTGTTAATATCCGCGATCGTCTCTGCCTGTTGGTCTGGATTCACACCAAGCACTCCATCCACGGCCGTCTCCTCCAGCCTCAGTATTTCCCAGGCAACCCTTCCTGCTACAACGCCGTCCCAGATCCCTTCTCGCCGTGGGAAGTCCAGCATGAGCGCGATCGCCCGACGTCGTAGCGTAGACGACTTCGCCTTGCTGACCACAAGCCACAGAGCAGATAATAAGCCAGTGTTTGACGAGAACACTGGGCGGGAATAGGCCGGAATGTCGCTCTTTGTATCGTATTTCGGATCAGTTGTGTTCGGATAGTAATCGTCAGGCTGAGCCCCGGCAGGAACACTGATATCCGGCGGTGCCCGGAGCAACTCGCAAGCTAATTCCAACATTAATTTCATGTCCTGTTCTTCCACGCACCATTCGATCTCACGCGTCCGTTTGGCCGGGTCGAATCCTTTGAAGAGCCTCAGGTAGACTCGTATCTGTTCACGGAAAAGCTTGATTCCCAGTACCGAATCGCGGTCCTCTTGGGCGGTGATGTGCGTTAAACGCGCCAGAAACTGGTCCAGGCAGATGCTCAGAGCATTGAACTCGCTCTGGAACACCTCATACTCGCTCTGAATCCACTGCGACGCGTCAACCCCTGCTGGTGGTGGTTCCACATCAAGAGCCTGCATGAATCCGATCAACTCGTGGTACAAAGCCTCGAAAGCGTACCGCGCCTGTGCAAACGTGACGAATCTATTCGGAGGACGACTAAAATTCCGCTTCGGTCTTTTCGCCCAGGTTTCCAGCATCTCTTTGCTCATAACGCCTCTAGCCTGTACGTCCATGGTTACGAAGATAGCTCGCAAGGTCTTCAACGAAACAGGATGAATCTCAAGGTCGTCTGTATCACTGTCAAGGGCCTGGTCCAACTGATGCAAGATCTTGAGACCACTGTGCAGGTGCTCTAAAGCGGTTGCTTGGTGACCCTGGAAGCAACACAGACAATAAAACATAACACAGGCAGTCATTACATCCATCATATCTGAAATGGTTCTCTCCGTCGACGTTTTCGTCAACTCTCGGATGGCACGGTTCGATTGCTCTATGGCAAACGTGATCTGTTTATCCGTAAGATCATCTGGTACCACAGGCATTCGTCCGCTGATGAATTTGCGATGCAAGGCTGCGATCGCGATGATAGCATGTCGAATTGCCGGGATAGTGTGCGAAGCTTGTAAAACTTCGAATTGCCAGAAGGCCGAATCGAAGAAACCCGAGAGCTGCGAGTCTTAGCCACGGACAGAGCTTGGAGGAATTTGGAGGCTCACCTCAAACGCTGTTTGATATTTGAAGAAGTGGAAGGCCTCCTGCTCCTCAATCGAGTTCATGTCCAATCCAAGAGATGGATTGAGCAGGAATCGTGGGGGCTGGTAAACGACCGGGAGTGAAGGATTCGCGAGCGCTGATTTGTATCCATCGCACTTCCGACCAGTTGAAGTGCACCGTTGGCAACTCGGTTTCGCCTCATCGCATTTGATCCGTCGAATTCTGCGAGCGTATCAGCCTGGTTCGAGCCACAAAGCCAACGTTGTGGTTGAACTAAGCTTCGGGTTCACGGGATGACACATCAGGATCTGTCGGGCACGATCGATTTCCGGGGTAGTGGGACCTGCTAACGTCTTGAACGCCGCTACACCTATAGCCATGTTCCAGTGTCCTCAAAAGGTAAAATGGGTGTGAGCGTCAAGCATGCCTACTCCTGCCAGCAGGTACTACCTGGAGGCAACAGTGACAGCATCCATTAACGAATGAGCCTGTAGAACTGTTCTCGCGGACATCACTGGCGAGGAAAGGGTTCAAGCTCACCTACAAGTTATACACCCTGTCTTTGTTTTAGGTCGCCAGGCTTTCTTGCGGACATGTTCCTTGCTTTTTGTCTTTTCCGACTTTTCAATTTTCTTCTCGTTGCCGACTGCGTCCACTGCACTTGGGTTCTCTATTGCTGCTGTTGCGGCTGCTGCTGAACGGGTACTTCTGGTCATTTCGTAACATGTCCTTCGTCAGATGCGACTCCTGTACGAACGAGCGGACCACTGGGAAACCCATGAATTTAATCGACGCCCCGAGCTACTGCACCGATCCAGTGTAGGCTGTCCTCCGACTAAGGCCGGTAGTGGCAACGTAAGCACTCGTTCATTGGTCGGTTCGTTCAATTGCTTGGCAAAAAAGACGCGCACCTTCCTATGGCAAGTTAAGGTCGGCTTCTACAGCTGCGTTTTTACCCCAGTCTTTAATGGCATCGGAAGCGCATGTTGCGTAAGCCTACCAGCAGCACGTCAAATCCGAACAACGACAAAGTCATCCTGGATAGGCTTTATTAGCGATCGAATGTCTCAAGCATTGCTGAACCTACGCGTTCAACACAGCCCCTGTCCTCCGTCACCAAACTCTACTTGCCAACGAGCATCGCCTTACGCGGCTTGATCGGATACTGATCGAGTTCGTTGTGTACAGCCATGTAGGAATAACTTTGATACCGCGCCAGCCGCTACCACCCTCAGCTTCGTCAAGCTTGTACCGAATCTGGATACGAAAGCGAGCCCTGACTGTGTCGCCAAGCTGCATCACTGGTCTCGAATTGGGGGTACTCGCAACATCGCCCGATCAGTAGATGAGGACAATTTTGGTGTGACCTGAGAACTACTACAACCTACGTAACATTGTGTTCGGTCTCGTGTAGGGCTGAGTGTAGTTTTGAATGCTTCTGAGAAACCGGTAGAACTCACCAATGCAGAATCCACATCTCGGACAGCCAGGGGAACTTGACAGAGTCACATGAGAGCTGCGCTCAACGCCGAGAAGAATACGTTAGGTCCAAAGTCTATCGGAAGCTGTTCATTCGTCCCCTACGCTAAATCTACCGTGGGGTCCAATCCTCAGCTGGACTTTGGACCTAAAGCCAAAACATCCTTGCCATCGCTGACTCAATTGTATGCCGTTCTGGGAAATAGTTTCCTCGGGCTTTGCTTGACCTAGCCACGTTATATGGGACCGAACTATAAGTCAGCGCGCAGTTCCGCTATAGATATAGAGCCTGATTTTCATTTGGGAAGAAGATGCATTGGGTTCCGCTTTGTGTGCAGAAAAACCCGGATGTTTGAAAGTGGACCTCCGAATGTTCTGTACATGGCAGAGATTTCCGCGGATCGGCATTTAGACGAGAAATTCCTCGTCACGTTTCATTTCGCAACTTGACGGCTTGAGCTTGCCTACAGATTTTAAATACTCTGAAGAATTGGAGACAGGGCAAGGCAAGAAAACAGTTTAGTACGAATCGCCGCTTCACAAATACATGGCTCACACTGTTCGGACACTCGCTTCCTCAAAAGTCGACCGGCAATGTGATACATCGCTTCCGTGAGAAACATCCGTGGCGTTCATCTGGCCTGGTCAAGGGTGAGCCGCTGTTACACAGTACCAACAAACCTTTCGGTAAGCGATCCGAATGCGTACCGCCTGACTGTATCATGCATCACACCTTGAAACCAAACTCCCAGACTCCACCCATGCATACCGTTGTTCCACCACATTATGATATCGGTCCAGGAACCGTTTGAAAGAAGACGATGTGATATGTATTTGCGACCGTACCTGGATATTGGGGTTCCACTGGTCCGTCCTTACATTCCGAATCACCTGCGACAAAAGCCACGTACGCTCCGGCAACCGGTGTAGGGCTGGTATGCAGCGAGGCGGCGGGGCGGCGCATATGTCGCGGGAAGAGACATTTGACACGCGAATGACATCTGTCAACTGTCGTCGGCTTGCATCAAACCTCCGGCACAAACGCGAGAGCAGGACAAAGGACAGAAACAACCAGCACCTTTTCCGGCAGCTACCAGTGGTCCATCGCTTCTTGAGTATCAGCGGCAGGGATCGCGGCAATATGTACTTGTACCCCAAGGTTCCATTCCGGTCCCGCTTCCGGATACACGGGTGGGTCCTTAGCAGTCATGCTTCGCCCGTTACGGGAACGCAAGGCATTGACAGCCGTTTCCCTTCTTGTTGAGCGGGTGACCCTGATATGCCAGTGAAAAGTTTGCCGCTGGCTGCCGTGGCCCTTGCTGCCTGTTGAGGCGAAGCTCTATCGGATATAAAACGAGATGAGGGGATGTATGTCCGTCTATTCTTCTTGGTTGCAGTGACCTGCCCTTTTAACTAAGGGAAGTGACCTGCCTTTTGTCTACTTTCCTCATATCTTTCCAGGAACACACGGACAATCAATTTTATCATAATTGCGGCGCAGTTTTTCACTTCGTTGGAGCAGAGGTCTTTGTCCACTTGCCTGTTCACTGCATCACACTGGAATGCTGCTATTTGAAGCCTGAAACGTTCTCACAACCGCACTCACTTGATCGCCTCCCCTCGTCAACACCAGTACTTTCTAGGACTACTTGGGCAGCTAGAGAAGAGTGGAGCCGAAGGAGATACTGGCGTCGTAGAACACATTGCGCGAATCATGCGTTTCACCTCAATGACAGCTGGAGCTTTGCTCCTCGCAGCTGTACATGCCCGTTTCATCATGTACTCCGATGAGTAAGTTGTTCACTGCGATTGTCCCAAAACCAGAGACTGACATTACCTAGATGGCATCCTACACGTCCTACGAAGGCCGCAGACCGGGGTGCGATTGACCATGTCGTTCTAGCCTTTGCCATGGCCAACAACACCGCCGCTTTCCAACCCAAGATCCCTATATCCACGTGGCGGTCCGAATACCCCAACGCTAAGATCATGATCGCAGTCGGCGGATGGGGTGACACTATAGGTTTCTCTCAAGCAGCGAAGGACAACGCGGCAATTCAGAAGTTCGGAACAGACATCAAGAGCATGCTGGCGGCAACTGGTGCTGATGGCGTGGGTAAGTTCACTCTTTCCATGATTTGAACATACACATGAGAGGCTTTTCATGCTAATTGAGGCATAGACATCGATTGGGAGTATCCCGGAGGCAACGGTGCTGATTACAAGGAGACTCCTAACTCAGCGAAGACATACGAAATTGCAGCGTTCCCCAAAGTTCTTGCTGCTATCCGCAAGGCTATTGGCAAAGATAAGCTACTGTCTATTGCCGTGCCCGGAAAGAAGATCGACATGATTGCCTACACCGACGAGACCGGTCCTCTTATATGGCCTTCTGTTGATTACATCAACGTAAGTATATGTTCCTCCATTTAATTTCTTTCGCATATAGGACTGACTCTCACCAGCTCATGGCCTACGATCTTATGAACCGCCGCGATACCAAAACCGCACACCACACCAGTGTCAAGGGCGCGACCGAAGTCGTCAAGAACTACATCGCCATCGGCGCCCCTCCCTCAAAGATGAACCTCGGTTTCGCTTTCTACGCCAAATACTTCCAGACCGCGTCTTCAGGCTCCTCGCAGTCTGCGCTCGGCATCCCCATCGTCCCTGCCGAAGACGCCGCCGGCAAAGACACCCTCACCTCCGGCGCCTGGACCTTCGAGCCCGCCCACATGAACCCCGTCAATGTCACCAGCCTCACCATCAGCCAGGACGGAACCTGCGGCCCAGACAAAGGCACCAAATGCGCGACTGGCTGCTGCTCCCAATACGGCAACTGCGGCGTCACCAAGGAGCACTGCAACGGCGCGTGCCAACACGCCTTCGGCACGGGCTGTACCGACCCAGACATCGCGGGCTCCTGGCAGTCTGCTGCGGCAGGTGGTCTCGCGGATGAAGATGCCGGCGGCCAGTACTTCCTCGATACGGCAAACAGCTTATTCTGGACGTGGGATACGCCCGAGTTTATTAGCCAGAAGTTTAGCAAGATTGTGCGGAAGTATAAGCTCGGGGGTGCGATGGCGTGGAGCTTGGGCGAGGACAGCGCGGATTGGAGCCACATCAAGGTCATTAGTGATGAGTTGGCTAATAATGGACCGTATAGTGGTGATGGGGAGGGTGCAGATGAGGTGGAAGCCGCGGCTGAGGAGCCGTTTTCTGTGCCTACGCCTACGACGCTGGCGAAGGCAGCGCAGTCGACGAAGGCGGCACCTGCGATTGTCAATGTGGATGGGGGAGAGGATGTTGAGGATGAGGAGCATGCAGAGGATAGCGAGGATGCTGAAGGGGGAGATGACGATGGTGACTGGGAGTGGGTCTACACTGATGAGGATGGCAACGAGATTCTCAATTCGGGCGAGGGATCCGAGGAGCTTGAGGAGTAGACTACAAGTCAGGATGAGCGTACGACTTATCTTAGTAGGGTACCAAAGGGCCCAGCTCTGATGCATGAAGATAGGGAGAGCTATGATATTGCATGATTGATGAAACCGAAATCAGCCACGTTATGAAAATGCGTGCACCTGCATCACAGCCACATGCTATACCCTTGGGTAAAACGCGACTACCGCAATATGTTGTATATGCCACTTGAAGTTCCATGGAAAGGTGAGGTGTATTAGCCGCTGGTATATGGCGTATTGGTCCAGCCCCATAGATGCCATCTGCGTCTCCTCACGAGCCAAACTCAAAGCTGGGGAGAGTCATCAACATTGTAGTACAACAGATTTCGGCCCCGAACGATAAGCGGATCAGACCGCGTATAAGTTTCCGTGACTCGAACAAGGCTGGCATCGACATCCTCCCGAACATCGGCATGGAGCTCCACGATGGCGGCGAAACCCTGCATTCCGTAGTTCGCAGCAGCTTCCGTAAAGTAAATTCGGTCAAAGAGAAAGGCCCTAGTCATGGTACACAAAGAGCTGTTCGGAGCTGCCGGCGGACCTGAGGATGTACGAACAATTCACGGCGAAGTCAGATCCTGGTGGATAGAAGTCAAGACAATGTAGCGTATTGTTGGATGCACGGTCTGTGGAGGAATCCAACCTCGCAGCGTGGGGTGTGGGTATGGGCTTGCGTCGTATGACGAGGTGGAGCAACGCTCTTGAAACTCAGTCGTCGCCACAACAGCACGAAGTCTCTCGCAGGTCTCTGAGGGTAGATGAAGATTGAGCTGTGAGTCTTTGGCAGATTGTATTTCTAGGACAGCTGCCGCAGGTTTCTCTGCGGGGCGGGCTATAAACCCTGTCTCCCGCGCATGCTGTGTACAAGCCTGCCGAAGGTGATTAGCAAGGCTATGGGGCTCTATCCTTTTCTGATGAGGCTTGTTCTAAACGTGTGAGTACCCAGCGCTCGTCGGAGCTAAAATGATTTGATGGGAAGTGTTGCTGACGATTCAACACCTCGGCTGCGTGAAAAGGGGTTCCGGCAACACACAATCAGACGAGGCATGTGGTTGCAGATATATCGATAGCTAAACAAGCGCGGCAGTGGCTCGGAGGTTGGGGCCCCATAGCTCGTCAGCCGGCGCCCACGGGCGGCGTCCAGAACGTCCCAGCCGTAGCCGTGGCACCATTCGCCCAACGCAGACGCAGTATAAGCTAGCGCATGGGGTTCCGAGACACCCGGGGATATGAGACACCGCGCAGAAATCCTCCACCCTTCAAACAATCGCGATATCTCCACATCCACCCTGCCAAAATGGCCAACCGTGAGGCTGCATTTCAAGCAGCTATTAG